CTATTTGATTTCAACTTCTCTGTGGTGAGTACTGAAATTGAATTGGATCAACCATCAATTATACGGCGCAAGCTATGCCAGTAGATTTGCTGGGGACTGCAGCTGCATGAACGCAGTTCGACCATCTCGCGCAGGTTTCTCAAACAAGGCATGTTGCGCGAGAGTAGCTGGCCTTTTTGTGCGTGGCGTAAGATATGACATGCAACCACAGGCTAGATTATTAATCTTTGTGGCAATCGTCAATTGCAATCACATGTAAGTTCAATAGATGTAGTTGTGGAAATGCCTACGATACATGTCCCTTGGACATGTCGAGTTGCAGCCTCGCGAAAGGTCAATGCGTTCACTTTAGACTTGAAGGCCCCTTCTTTCGAGTACAGATAGCAAACGTGTTTTCTCGGTGCGCTAATACCAGGTAGGCATCTTCAAATATATTATAGTTATCCATATCATAACCGTGGCCGTCCATCTCCTACCAGGCTATTGTGTCCCTGGTGCCTGCTCATCGCTTGTAGCTGCTCAATTATCCCAACCAGGCCATTGTATTATGCTTAGGCGAGCCAAGATTATTCCCACACCTTTCCCGAACGGAATCAGACGGATTTCACTTCATAGAGGCAAGGACATGCGTCGACTGTCTGCGGTGCTCAGGGGCTCGGAATAGCAACGACCAGCGCCTAATTCGCCCGGTCCTCACCGCTTTGCATATACGCGACATTTTTTGAGTCTAGGACAAACCTTTCCCATAGTTCATATGTGATAGCATTCCCGAGGCACGGGGTGGCTTCCACTCGTCCGTGAATGCCCTTGGTGACTGTTCCCGGGCTTGTCTGTGTCACTTGGGCCGACTTTGGGAATTCCTTGGAAGGTGCTGGTTTTTCATTCAGAAATAAAAATTGATCTAGCTTTTGGATTGAGCCATATTACGCGTAGAACCTGTCTCCAAGTGCACTTGATTCTTTTGATACTCAGCAATCCTTATTTGAGCTGAATTGTACAACGTTGTCTAATTTGTCCCGAACGTAACAACTAGTACACAGCAACGAAACTGGCCTTTTGAGGTAGCAACTGGTCGAGTCTCATAGAGGAATGGTACAAAAAAACAACAACATTTGATTCCTAACGTTATTAGGTCTTTTAACCAGATTCGCGACGATGGACTTTGGGGTCGTCTCGCTCAGCCGATTCTGGAGCACACTCTAGGGTAAGCCGTCATACCCCACCTTGCTGCTCCGAGGTGCGAATCCGCAAATGTTGCACAATGTCGTGAAGCTTCATCTGTACTAACGTCATCATTTCTAGCCAACTCATCAGTGCAATTCTGAGCGCGCGGACTCAAACAATGGAGCGCCTATGTCCTCTGGCCACCTCGTGGCAAACAAGGCACGCCGCGGGCGAACCGTTCTCCACCATCACCCTCAAGAACCTCACGACGACTAGCTTCACCGGACCTTCAGACGCATGGGGTCGAGCCTCCCGCCCCCAACCAGTGTCACTTTCCGCAGAAGTGTCTTTGAGCCGACCATTCACAGCGTCAGCAGGCGGTGACACGGTTCAAGAAGGTGACACAGTTCACTATGGCCTTCTGAGTAAGGAACTGGGCAAAAGACTGTTGGAACATGAAGGCAAGCCACTCGGCGCGGTGCTCCAAGCACTTTGCGAAGGTATTACTGGTCTCGGTCTGTTGAGAGACTCGTCGGCTGGAGTGGTGAGCTATCTCAAGCCGACGACGGTGCAACTCTTCCAGTTGGAAATCCTCCTACCAAAAGGGACGTTATTGGGGTCCGGCGTCAGCCTCACTGGCATCGTGGCTCATCCAGCCGGCGACGCTAAACGATCTGTCACGCTAAAATTCCATGATCTGCGCGTGCCGACTTTGATAGGAGTCAACAGCAACGAGAGGGAAGCAGAGCAGATGGTGGTCGCAAACGTAGCAATTGAGAAGTGGACCGAGATTCAGGATGGGTATCACACCATTGAAAGACTCATCACAAAGGTAAGATATCAAAATCTCCATATCTATCCCAAGCTAACAACTTATGAAAGACAATGAAAGACTCTTCGTTCGAGACACTCGAAGCACTGGTGGCAAAGCTCAGTGTCGAGCTGACCCGATACCTCACGAAGACGTACCCGGCACCTAGCAAAGAGGGCTGGAGATTGAAAATCGCCCTGGAGAAGCCAATCGCGGTGCCTTTGGCTGACTGTCCATGTGTAGAGCTGAGCATCAACACGGCGGACGTTGTGAGGGGGTGAGTGCGAGCGGACTCTTCGTTCAGCTTGCTAATTTGGATTCAATTTGGATTCAATTATCTTGCTATATACAAGCAGATGCTATCCCAAGGAACAAACAGGCTCAGTGAGCCTCTCTGAGACACTGCGGCACATCGCCTTGCGTCACCCTCTGCACAAAGCACTGATCTGGATCGTACATCATGACATGGAAATGCTCAACAGCATCGACTGACTTGAGCGCCGCCCAGTTCTTGAACCAAATGACCCTTCCTCGAGGCACATTCTTATAGAAAGCTTTCTCCATGAAAGCCTCCGTGTCTCTTCGGGCCTGATCTGTCATATCACCAGTCTTCGGATCCTCTGCCAGGGCAAACTTTGTCCAGACTACCAGGTGAACTATCTTCTTGTCAACACCATAGGGCCAGTCATTGAAGAGGATCTTGTAGTCGTCTTCGAGCTCAAAGGGTGCTCCACGTGGCTTGACTGGCTCCTCCCACCGCAATCTCTCTTTCAACAGAAAAGCGTGCACACTCCCGTAGTCTTGCACGAGGCGGTATACAATAGCCCTGTATCTTCGGAGGTCTGATGGCACCCGTTTGAAGTTTTCCAGACTGTTTGTGGCGACAATCTCCCGGACCTCGTCCCAAGACTGCGCAGTGTACTCGGAATCAGGTGTTGCAATGATCCCAACATCTTTGGGCGTCAGGTGTTGGAGGTAATCCGGACACGAGGTTGTCTGCTGCTCGGGCGGGATATTGACATTCCAGAACGCGGGTGTCTCGCAGCTGCCCATGATGGTGATGGTTCTGCGAACAAGGCGTCGTGCTTTTGTAGGAGTCTGTGCCACACTGTTCCGGCTATTCGGCAAGCTCAGCAAGACAGTCTTACTAGCCTCGGCGGGCTGAAATTTGACGCCAGTCACACAAGGAAAAGCGAGGCTATCGCGAGAGTCGGTCAAGGAGCCAGGCGCCTGAGCAGCACCTGAGCCAGCAGAGCCCGTTTAGTGGAGCTGGTCGGTCAGCAGACCGCTTGTTCGCACTGCTGGGGTGAGGAGCAAATACTACAATAACGGTCAAATCTGGATGGGCCCGGTCAAAGATGTTCAAGGTCATTCTGAAAGCGGTGTCCATTCACTTGGAGCTATGTATACGTGGTGCTGATACCACTGGGCAGGACGCATGCAGTCGATGACAACTACTGGCAGCCTTGCAGCGTGGCAGTCTCAGCCGTAAGGCTGGCTGGCGTTGGTATGTTAGTGCAGTCTAGTACTGTGGTACCCTGGCGACACCACCAAGGCCACATGGCATAGCAGCCATCCAGAAACAATGCCATTAGAAGCAGCAGACAAAGTTTTCCATCATGTCGACTATTTTTCTGTCGTCCTGTCCAACTGAGTGAGGTCCTCTGTTCTGGTTGATGCAACGGGCTTTGTACCTGTTAACAGGTTTGAGACATATGCCACTGGCGCCCCCACGTGCAGCGACTGGGCCCAGCGAGTAGCTGCCCGGGCCGGGATTGTGCACAACGCTGCCAGTGGGTGGGTAAAGGTAAAAAGTCCTGCTAATTATTACTCGTACGCGACAAGGAGCTGTGATTGCGCTCCGCCAATATCGACACCGAGACCAGGAAGCGACAACTAGCGCGGGTGCTTTCGGAATCAATAAGGGGGCCAGCTACCATCTGAGATACGGAGACCTGGAGAGGCGGAGAGAGAGAGAGAATTCAAACGTTGCATCCAACAAACCAGAGGAGAGAGAAGAAAGGAAAAAATAGAGAGGCTGTCGGACAAGGCCGACGTGCAGAACTTTGGGGGCACCTCTAAGCTCCTCCCTCCAGAGCACCTCCAGGATGGTCGGGCATTGGGGCCCCCATTATGGAGTAATTATGGGCGATCGCTTGATTGCGCTCCGGTCCAGGCCCCTCAACAGCAAATTGTGTCAAGAGACCGCCGTGGCAAAGGCGCCACGGTGTTTTGAGACGCAGCTCGCCATCGAAATCTGCGACCATGGTTGGTCTCGGTTGTCGTAGTGGCGGCGGCGGTGGTGACTGCTGTTGGATGGTGGGGGAGGGACATACTGGCATGGCTGGAACTGGAGGGGAATTTTGAGGCCCTGCTACAAGTCCAGTCCAGCAGATTTCCAGAGCAACGACTGGAGCCTTACACAATAATGATAGTAGGGAACAGACACGGGGGAGCTAATTAGGCTATCAAGCACATGAGGTTACGTTGATCAAAACCTGCATCAGAGCCGGACTACCTGGTCCTTTGGTGTTGTCGGCCTGACGTCAATGTTGCTGCAGGAATGAGGAGGGCATTGCTGATAGCAATTGCTTTGGATCAACAGAAACTTGACAATGCTCAAGACGTGAATACGACTGGATTGGACCAGACTGGACTGTTAGAGGACTGGACTGGAGCCCGCTACCGGTGATACCGCAGTCACCCGTAAAGTGAGGTGCTAATTACAGCCCAGACCTCTCTTTCCCGGGTTCGATTGACCGACATTGGAACTGCGCAGGAGCTCCTTATTTCTGCCCCGCTCTGCCATCTGTAGTGCCCATTCTCGCCCGCATCACATCACAGCCAGCCTCTTCTTCTCTCCTCCTCTTCTCTTTCCCATATCCATTTCTTCTCGACTTTTCCCGCAGACTTCTCGAGCCTTGTCGAAACGTTCATAGTACGAATCGAGCCGACCAAAGCCCGCACGGTGCTCCCCATATCCACCAAAAACAAACCAGCAGCTCTTTCTTGCTAGCTCGTCATCATGGCTTCCGCTATCAAGAGTGCCCTCCCCTCGCGCCTCAAGCCTGACGACAACCAGGAAGCTCAGGACAATGGCGAGAGGCATCACGGAAAGACTCGCAGCCACATGGTAAGGCCTTTTCCTACACCTTCCCTGATCCCTCTACTCTCCGCGACGGGGGCCCCCGCCCCTCAGGACGTTGTACCACCCATGGGCCCAAAAGGTGGTAGCAAACAGCGGCCGCGGGGACTACGGGCTCATTGACCTGGCGTGTTACATGCCCAATAAAAGGTCCTGTTTGGCGCTGTGGCCTCGTTCGCCCTTTCAAGGAACATAGCTACACCATGGTAGCTCTGAGCAAGGTGGCGCTGGGCAACAAGGGACAATCTTGCACAAACGCAGCAGTTCACCTGTGACAGCCCGCGACCTGGAGTCAGGCGCGAGTCAATAGTCATGGCCGTGGGACCTGTACAAAGCTGAACCACATTGTTGGAGCTCGCCTCAGGTTCAACGTTCAAGACCCTGACATACTCGCCATTTACTGCCTTCCCCATCTCGCCTTCGGCGAAATACACCATCATGCCCGAGTCCATTGCGACCAGTCAAAGTCAGCCGCTAACAAGCTCCGGACAGGCTTTCGAGAACACCTCCACGAACGTTGCGGCTGCGCAGATGCGCAACTCGCTGACCAACCTCGCGGAGACTGTCACCGACCCCGCCCAGAAGAAGCTCTTTGAGACTGAGATGGACAACTTCTTCGCCCTGTTCCGCCGCTACTTGAACGACAAGGCCAAAGGCAACGCCGTGTAAGTAGATTTGCTCGCGGAGCGCTGCAGCACACATCCTAACTCGTGCACAGGGACTGGGACCGCATCGCCCCGCCCGCCCAGGGCCAGGTCGTCGACTACGAGGATCTCGCCAACACCGAGTCTGTGCAGTTCCTCAACAAGCTTGCTGTTCTCAAGCTCAATGGTGGTCTTGGTACCTCTATGGGCTGTGTCGGTCCCAAGTCCGTCATCGAGGTTCGCGACGGCATGTCTTTCCTCGACCTGTCGGTCCGCCAGATTGAGTACCTGAACCGCACCTACGACGTCAACGTGCCTTTCATCCTGATGAACTCCTTCAACACCAACGACGACACCGCTGCCATTATCAAGAAGTACGAGGGTCACAACGTTGACATCCTCACCTTCAACCAGTCTCGCTACCCCCGTATCTACAAGGACTCGCTCCTGCCGGTCCCCAAGAGCAACGACTCGTCCATCAACGAGTGGTACCCTCCCGGCCACGGTGACGTGTTCGAGTCGCTCTACAACTCTGGCATCCTCGACCAGCTTATTGAGCGTGGCATCGAGATCCTCTTCCTGTCCAACGTGGACAACCTGGGCGCCGTCGTCGACCTCCGCATCCTCCAGCACATGGTGGAGACCAAGTCCGAGTACATTATGGAGTTGACCAACAAGACCAAGGCTGATGTCAAGGGTGGAACCATCATCGACTACGAGGGCTCTGTTCGTCTGCTCGAGATTGCCCAGGTCCCCAAGGAGCACGTGAACGAGTTCAAGTCGATCAAGAAGTTCAAGTACTTCAATACCAACAACATTTGGCTGAACCTGCAAGCTATCAAGCGTGTTGTGGAGAACGACGAGCTGGAGATGGAGATCATCCCCAACGGCAAGACGATCCCGGGTGACAAGAAGGGCGAGTCGGACATTAGCATCATCCAGCTGGAGACTGCTGTTGGCGCGGCCATCCGGCACTTCAACAACGCGCACGGCGTCAACGTGCCGCGTCGCCGCTTCCTGCCCGTCAAGACATGCTCTGATCTGATGCTGGTCAAGTCGGATCTGTATCAGCTTAAGCATGGTCAGCTCCAGATGAGCGCCGCTCGATTTGGCGATGCCCCGCTTATCAAGCTCGGCAGCGACTTCAAGAAGGTGTCTGACTTCCAGAAGCGCATCCCCTCGATCCCCAAGGTTCTCGAGCTGGACCACCTCACCATTACCGGTGCGGTCAACCTGGGCCGTGGCGTGACGCTCAAGGGCACCGTTATCATCGTGGCGACTGAGGGCCAGACGATTGACGTCCCGCCAGGCTCGATCCTGGAGAACGTGGTTGTCCAGGGTAGCTTGCGCCTGCTTGAGCACTAAGGGATCATCCGCTTATAATTACCTCTTATTTGTATCTGTTTCTTATGCCGATCGTTTCCGTGTTTGGCAGGACACTTATCTGTTAATGATTTGCGCCGTCGGAGCATGACACGTATGCTAGCGGAGCTGCTGATGATTCAAGACCGGGACAGCAAGGGCGAAATCACATTTGTAGAGCATGGAAAGTTATAATTAGGGCATGACGTGCGAGCGATCCCGGCGCGTTCGAAGATTGCGTCTACTCTAGGAATCCGCATCATCTGGCTATGTTTACGTGCAAGGTAGTCATCGGGCTGTAATTGATGGTTATCCAACATTCGGAAACTTTCGAATTGTGCTTCTTTGGATCTGACTTGCGCACCGTACCATTTGGTTCAGAGCAGAACGGGCTGACTGCATGGGCGAGGCACATGCTGTCAGCCAGAGCCAGACTATCGAATGTGGCTTGTCCCGGACCACGGCAGCTGAGCGCAAGCCGCTTACTGTGCTTATTATATACGCAGTGAGAGCAAAATAAATACGATGTCAGCTGAAGCTTGGCCTGGAGGTGCCGAAGTTCGTACTCGTAGGGCTGACTGGCCGAAAGAAAAGGAGGGGGGGTAAAAAGGGATGCAGGATGCAGGTGCCAGTCCCGATTCGTGAAGTCGTGAAAGCAGCAAGTGACTGGAGGCAGAGACATGGAGCCAAGCCAGACATGAGCTTGGCGACGTTGTTGGCTTAGGCTCAGCCTCAGCTTCATCGCAAGTCGGGAACCTGCAATGAGCCCACGTCCTTTCCGAGTGCACATGCGCAGACGATGTGAGCGAAAGATCGGTATGACTTCTCCTTACTATGTGCTGGCGATGTAAAACAAGGGGAGTCAGAGACTCACTCGAGTGCTAATTAATGTGAGCTACATGTACACACTAGTGCTGTTAACTGATGGTGGGATGTTTCGCTGGTGGATAGCCAATCAGTGAATTTATTAGCCAGGGGGTTCTGGAACCGGACTAGGCGTGTGATGGCTGGGACATTGCATGTGGGCGACGCAAGCTCCGGGCACCATTGAACTTTGACTGTGTGATTGACTCCTAAGTAGAGGTAAGCACTTGACAGCCCCTTGTCTGCTTGTCTTGTTCGTCGTTGCATGTACTGAATCGGCCAGCGTTGATTGAGTTATTGTTTGTCCCCAACTAGCGCAGCGGTGTGTGACTCGACGCACGACTGTCGCGCGGTTGGCCCAGCATGGTATGTACAGTACACTATGTTCATGAATAGGAGTCGCGGACCGAAGAAACGGGCGGCGCCTGTGGACGAATTGGCGCGGGACCTTGCAGGAGTTCGAAAAGGCTGTCTAGTGGGTATATTGTAGGGAGTACGGCGTAGACGCGGAGGCATGCTACGTCGAGGCGTTAAGACCAGGACGAGGACGCACCCGGTCTCACTCTCTCACTGCTACGGACTCGCGGAGAATCATCAATTGTTGTTCCCCATATTTTTACTCATCCGACCTTGTCTCTCTCTCCAGCGGATTCGGAAATAGAACACGCGCTACATGTGTGCCAATGCCTGGCACATTCCACTTCCAAGTTCCCATTCCAATGCGACCCGAGGTCATCAACAAGTGGCGCTAACCGTTACGGATGCGTCCCAGGCGCCCAAACTCCCTCATGGAACGACCCGTGTGGGAGCGAGCGACAAGAGAGGGTTCCCGAGGGGGCCCGCCCGTGCGTGCGGCCGTGCCTGATTCGTCTCGGCAAAGTTAATTTTACTAACTAGTCGGACTGTCGACTGGACGGACAGTGGAAGCCTGTTGGGCCAAGCAAGGAGCTGCTGCGAGCAGCAGCAGCCAAGGGGTGGCGACCAACAGTAGACTGGCGCTGCGCCTCGAGATTGGAATGGCTTGGACCGCTCCAACGCTTGGCCAGAGTCGGCCATCTCCAGTTTGGGACAGGACGACACCCACAGGGAATGAATGGGCCTGGCGCTTCGGGAGGTCCATGTCGGTCCATGTCTTCGCATCCTTCTTCGATGCTCTCGCTGGTCTGATCAGGCTAGTCGGTCAGGCGGCTACCGTAGGCCAGCCAGCAGCTCGCGCAGTCTGACTGGAGAGACCGTGAGACAGCCTCCACAGTTCATCCACAGTCCACACTGCGAACGTCCTGTCGAAGGCTGGTGGTCAGAGTCTGACTCTGACTCTGTTGGCCACGCGCGCGACGGGGCGACTCGCAACGGCTCAGCGCGACCCCTGTCGACTCTCCCCTGCCAGCATGCGGCTGCATACCCGATGACAGTCGCCCATTTGATGATGGATGCGCCTGATCTGGGGGCGGAGCAGGCAGGCAGGTACGTACACGTAGGCTGGCTTCCTTGGTTATGCACCCACTTCCTACTGCTAGCAGTATTCTGGGCTTGGATGGGAGATTAGCCAGCTCCAATGCTCCATGCACTCACTCTAGTCCGTTCCATTCCTTGTCCGGTTGCGTCGATAGGCACATGTATATATATTGGACGGGGCCATCCGTCCCCTCGCCCGCCTACTCTGTTGCCCTCCATCTTCACTCGCTCACCAGCACTCTCTACTCGTGTAAGTTGCGTCGATCTCTTCCGATCACCGAACTTCACCCTCCACTCCAGCCTTTGGGGCTGCCACCCATGCCCACTCCGGCTCGTCGAGTTCATGTTCGGACGAGCTTTGGGCAGTGGGCCAGCGTGCCAGCGACATGGGCCTCATTGAAGCGTCTGGAAGTGCGCCCATCTCGTTTATTTTCTCTCGCTTTTCGACTCCTCACAACCCCTTCAGAGCGCAATCACCTTGACCTGGACCCTCAACTGACGCCCATTTCACAGCTCTTCACCACCGACACTCGTTGAACCTCGCAAGCTTCTGCAAACAACACCAGCAAAAGCACGCATCACAAAACACCAACCGCCAAGATGAAGTACTCTGCTGCCGTCCTCTCGTTTGCCGCTGTCGTTGCCGCCCAGCCCGCATTCACCAACCTGGCCTTTGACGTCCAGGAGGGCGAGCCCTTCACCCTCGAGTTCACCGGCTGTGACGCTGGCTGCACCATCAACCTCAAGGACGGCCCCAGCGATGACCTCGAGACCGTCGAGCAGCTGACCGGTACGCTCGTCCTGCCCACGAGATTGTCTGACTGAATCGACTGACTGACTGACTCGTCCCAGACTCTGCCACCGGCGGATCCTTCACCTTCACCCTCGAGGACCTCCCCACCGGCACCTACGCCTTTGAGATCATCGACGCCGAGGGCGAGGAGAACTACTCGGCGCAGTTTGAGTACGAGGGTGTCGCCGTCGCCCCGTCCTCCACCGTGGTCACCATGACCACCGAGGTCGTCAAGACGCTCACCACCTCGACCATGACCCCCACCAGCGAGGAGGAGGAGACATCCACCTCGGCCGCTGTCACCACCGTGACCACCCCCGTGACCACCCTCACCGAGACCTCGGCCATGTCCTCGAGCGCGATGGCGACCCCCACTGGTAAGTGATGCCTCACGTCCTCATGTCAAGAAGAAAGAATGGATGCTAACAATTGCGGCAGACGAGTCCACCCAGACTGAGCCCACCAGCGAGCCCACCCAGATCCCCGACGGTGGCAGCGCCGCCGCTGGCCTCGCTGCGCCTGGTACCCTTCTCTTCGCCGCCATTGCTGGCCTTCTCATGTTCAACTAAGCGTCACCTCGACACTTGATGACGACCTGAATGTACCTCACCACAATTTGCGGAGCCCCCTTTTTGGCATTCCTTTCTCCTCTTCGCATCTCACATCTTCTTCATTTCAAGCATTTCGCAGATATACGTACTAGTAATGCATTGGGTCGCCTCTCGCGGAGAGAGGGTCACATTTTTCTTTTCTTTCTTCACGTACCCAGGGCGTTTGGCAGGGGAAGCAGGGAGCAGGAAAGAAGTGTGCCAGACCCATAAGCCTCAAGAATGTGTACTATGCATCTGTTGATCGGACGAGGCGCGCATGGCCATGTTGCGGCGTCAGTCCGTTCGCGTTGCGCTCATCCATACGCGCGGGGTGTGCCAGATACACACAGTTGATTGAATGAAACCATGAACACGACCGCATTCCTCGCTTCCACAAAGTCCGTCCCTTTCCGAGTGAGACCTGTTTTCTTCATCTCCTCCCCCCCCTGTCTCGCGGAGCACAAATGTCTCATGCGAGTGTTGCCGTCGCATGAAAATGTCTCGACACGGCAAGGGACGATACTGTCGAATAGCGACTCGGATCGAGGACCGATGTAGAATTGTAGATCAAAGTGCTTATGCAGGGATGCCAGCACATGTGTTCTACGGATACATACAGTAGCCTGAGGAGTGGACCTGGTCACCGCTGTCAATGTCTGGGGGAATACGAGGTGCTCTCCTGTGAGGGACCAGCGTTTTCCCTTGAGATTGTCAACAAATCAGCCAATCTCCCCGATTTGCCAGAGGGTGAAAGCCGGGACTAGCGCCATTTTACTTGAAAGAACTGTTAGTCGCTACTTGGCTGCTGGCCACAAAGGTGATAGATAGCACGCTACGCAAAGGTCAAAGCAGACACTGAAAGTATCCGAACCCTAATCGGTGAAACGACTCCTATTAAATGAGTGAATCGAGCAGACCTGCGAAATTATTCGAGTTTGAACCTCGCGCATCCTGGTGTCCGTCGTCTCAGCCAGAGATCAAACCACCACGTCCACCATATCCTGCCCATCCAACAACATCAGCCCTCGTCTCTCCACCTCGCACATCAAGGTGAGCGCGCTCTACTGATAGTACGGATAGTGCCCCGACGACCCATACACAACAGGTCCGCACGGCTGCGGTTGTTCTTGGTCCTGGTCGTACGCCTCAGGATACATGTACGCTTGTGGGAATCTTTGGCACGGGGCACGGGCACTAGACGGCGGATCGAACGGTCGCTGAAAATACAGTGACGGATCGTCAAAGAGGTGCGCGTCAAATTGCCTCCAGGGGGACGCGGTATAGCCCATGGCAGGACCAGCGGCGTAGCTTACTTCGGCGGAGGACGGGGGCTGAGAGGGCTGAGCTTCCGTCGTCGGCATGTAGTCGACGTGGTTGCGCGCCGTGGTCTTGTCGGTACATGTAGGCAGATCGTCGAGAGAAAGTCCGTTCTGCATCCTCCGCCTGTTCTCCCTGAGTTGCTCCAGAATTTCCATCCTTGCGCGGTCCGCTGGTGGCGGTGGTGGCGGCACTGATGCCGATGACGATGACGATGCTACGGCTGCGGGTTGCTTGCCCTTCGCTTTCTTTGACACTGTCTTGTCACGGTGCCTTTGGAAATCGGCAATCTGCTCGGCTATACGGTGGGCGTCGCGGCTCGTCTCGGGGGCGCCGGTCGGCTCGGCGGGAGTGTCACGAACTGCTGCTGCTGCTGCTGTGCTGCAGACCACGACAGCATCCATCTGTTCTGTGATGAGGATCCAATCATCATCAACTGTTTTTTCTTGCACACCCTTGTGGGCAGCTTCCTCGGATGTGATATCTCCGCTTGTGGCTGAGGGCGATGGTACCTCTTTGGTGGCCCGTGGACTGTGGAAAGGGTGGGCGAGCATGGATGCCACCGAGCGTAAGTGGCCGCGGTCTTGCCCAGGCGCGATCTCCTTCTCCTTCTCTGGTTCCATGATGCAAATCAAGACGTATAAATCTATCGAGGGCTGTTGCGAGAGTCGATGGTGTTGAGGACGATGAGTTTGTCTTTCTGATCCCTCCGTGCTTTTGCGATGGCGATGCCAGGTATGAGCGGGAAAGAAAGGAACAGCGATGGCTTTTGTGAATGAACGGAAAGAACACTCCGGCCGACGAGAGTTCGCCAGGAGCCTGGATAAGCCCCAAGACTCGAGGGCTAAGCGCCGCCACCAAACCTTCGTAGTATCTTCAGAGGTCACTGATGGCCGATGTCGCGGACCCAGCATGCACCAAGGAAGACAAGAGAGTCGCAATGTGTAATGCATACGGCAGCAATTTTACCCAGATTGTAGGTCGATCCACCAGGCATGACGCCAAGTTGAGGTGGTCGGACCCAATATGAAGACGCAAGAGATAGAAGAACAACCCTGCAGTTTTGTCTTGTTCACTGGGCTGGCTCAATAGTCGAAGGCATACTGCCTTTGCGCCTGAGCCCACCCGCCTTGAGCTTGCGCACGACCTGATACGACCGGTCCAACTCATTCTCGACGGCGCAGCGTATCCGTAGCGCCGCCACGGCCGGCCACACACTCCTCTCCCCCCTGAGTATCCAGTAGTTGACCGTCTCGCGGGTTGGTGTCTCGAGGAGACGGACGAAATCGGACGCCGTCACTTCGGGCACTAAGGTCATGGACGCGGCGGGGATCTGCTCGTCGACCAAGAACCGCCGGATGCTGGCGGGCAGTAGACACAGGGTATCGAGCTGACGCAGACGATGCCGAATCTCAAGGCCCACCACGCGGATCATGAAGGCGGAGAGCTGGGTGGTCCAGCCCTTCGATTCGAGGACTGCAGGGCCATGCATGTCTGATTGGAGGAACGGGATGAGATACGGTCTCGCCTGACTCACGATGAAGTGGTTCACGTTGAACAGCTCGGCGATGCGTCGCAGCGGCGAGTCACGGTCGTTGTAGGAGATGTGCGTCCAGTGGTGAAAGTCGGCCATATTCGCTGGAGCCCATGGCACAATGTTGCCGTCAAGGTCCTTGCACAGGAGGGTCGTCTTGCCCGTGCCATAGAGTGTCGGCGACGATGCATTCGAGGCAACGGCCGCCGTCCAGATGAGCTGCACACGTTAGATACCGGCCTCCTGAAGGGCACGCTGGTGCACTTACGACGTTGGGTGCTGTCAGGTAGTTGAGCAGAGTAGGCACGCCGCCGTTGCTCCCCGTAGCCACGGTGATGTTGAGCACCCTCTTGCTGCGATTGTATGCCTCCTCAAAGGTCAAGTTGCCCACGTTGGCTCGGACACAGTCCTCCAAGACCTTGACGTCGAAGAAGTACCCCTCTCTGACAAAGCGTTTGACCCTCCTCGTGAGTGTATCCCACCTCGACCGCAGGCCCCTTCTCTCGGCAGCTCCGGCGGCGCTCAGCACTGACGCAAAGGCAGACAGATCGATTCCTTCACCCTTTAGCACAGCTGGCATCTCCTCCGTGGTGTGAATGGCCACCAGCGCGGCCACCAGGGCGCCTGTCGCCGTGCCGGTGATGATGCGTGGCAGCAGCCCCCTCAAGAACAGAGCTTTGACGACGCCGAGATGGCAGAGGCCAAACATGGCGCCGCTCTGCAGGACGAGGGTGCTCCGGCCGAACGCTTGCCGGGTGTCGTGTATGAAATCCAGTTTCATCTGGTTGGTGAGGACCATGTCCCCAGTGGGGTTGCCATTTGCGTGGCTCGTGGGCAGCGTTGATATCTCCTCGATCGATTCGGCGACTTGCGTGATATACTCCTCGATGAGGTATTTGGTACCCGAGAGTGCGCGATTGTACAACTTGGGGCTGGTGATGTTGCCCAAGTTCCGGACGAGACCCGATCGAAGAAGGTCGACTAGGGTGGTAAAGTCACCCCCCTCGCGCGCTTCGATCAGGGAGTGCAGACGAGACGTGAGAAGTCTCCAGTCATAGTATTTTGATGTTGGGTTGTTGCGCCATAGGTCGAGTCCGAGGAGGTTGTCGATATGGAGAGACGCCTCCTCCCACTCTTCGTAGGTGGTGGCCTCGCGCAGGAGGTGCAGCCATAGTTCGACGGGGTTGCGACTCGAATACCAACAAAGCAGTTTCTGATACGGAGTCAGCAGGAGGTTGGCCATGACGGCGCATTGTGGGAACAGAGGCGCTGGTGCTGACGATGAGGGGCGGCACTGGAGCAGAACGGACGTACCTTGCGCCAGAAGCTGGCTACGTCGACAACGACCCTCCACACGGCGAGGACGAGGCCCATTGTTGCCGAGGAAGAAGACAGATCATCTGCTCGGTCCCTGTGTGGGGAAGTCGGCTGTGTAAATTATTGCCCGATGCGATGCTGGCGTCTCAGCTCATCATCGTCTTTGGCTCTTCTTCCGTCCGGTCGCTCGGGATGAGGTATGGTGTAAGTGTCCTTTGCTTTGCGTGATGAGGCGCTGTCCTAAGGATGGAATGGACTTCAAATCGAGCAAGCTGTCGTGTGCTTTCTCGATATCGATTGGGATAGGTGTCGCGGACTTCCCGTCCGGATGTTGAATTCTGACATGTGAAGCAGGTGTGGAGTAGGGAATAGGCTGGGGAAACAGGGGGCAGGATGAGGTCACCAATTCGAACACTAACTGCGCACCAAGAGCCATCATTACGATGATCAACATGCATTTGCTCCACTATGGAATTGATGTACATGTATCGAACACGGCCCGTTCTCGTGATTTAACAGCATTTGGATGCGAGTTGTTGCCGTTGCTGGGAGTCTCACGCTGATGCTTCACTCCCAAAGAGTCTTATTCATCTACTTGGTCACGTGCACGTGGGCATTCTTCACAGTGCATCGCGGATTTCGGCACTCACCCCCATCCCCATCGAGCCATCAGGGTGCCGCGTGAGCCACCTCAGCCAGCCGTAGGCCAGCCGTTCTCTGCCAGACTGCCGTCTCGCCACTGCACGTGTACGATCTCACAATTGAGATTCGCTGGGGGAGACGACAGCGAGTCGCGGGGCCATGGACGCGTGAGCAAACAGACAGACGATTGGAGCGGGGCCGTGGGGTCTTGCACGCGTGCCCGTGCCATGGGGATTCTCTTAAAAGACCATGAAGCCGCTTTTGTCTGAAATACTCGATCTTTGTGTCTTGCCAGAAATCTCACCTAGCTTCGTGTGTAAGTAAAATTCCTCCCTACTTATGCTGTTCCGCTGGTTCCGCTGGGCACATCCATCCGTTTAGTGGGTGCCTGACGGTCCGACCACAGGCACGTGTCCAGCGCTTGCTCGCTGGAAGATCCCGCTGACTGCACTGGCTGGACCCGCTTTGTCCCGGGAGGGCCTGGCGGGATGCAGTCCACGGGACTAGACTGGACAGGATCTGCCAATTGAGTGAAACCCCTGGTTCATTGCCTGTGCTGACATCTTTTTTATTAGTGACCTTCTTTTCAGTGGCCAACATTCCGCCTCAATCCTCAATGCATTGAGTACTTACTCACCCACTCACTTATTCCATTCTCGCAAGAAGCTCCCTCTCGACATCCTCTCGCTTCTCATGCCTCGACCAGGTCGCGGCGCGAGACACCACCATCGCTAGCCGTCTCGAAATATCCTGGCGACATACAGATTGGAGCGACCAACATGTCGCCCACAGCGCGCTGGTCGCACCTCTTATTGCTGTTAGCAACTTTCTCCAGCCAGATCGCTGCAGCGTCGCCTCTCGCTGAGGATTCGCAATCTGTGCTACGGAGGCCCCAAGCAGAAGAACAACACCGTAAACTCACGGGCAAGTTCTTGCACATCACAGGTACGCACCACTTCCTCGTTATGGCTTTTTTTTTTTTTTTCGCGTTTCGTCTTTCCTGTATCTCTGCAAGCTGAAGACTGGTGGTTTGCTGCCGCTGCTGCTGTTCGATTAGGTTTCGGACCTGCGTCATGCGATAGGACGGGTCACTGACTGTGGGACCCTGCAGATTTCCACCCAGACCAATACTACAAGGCACACTCGTCGACCGAAGCGGGACTGGCATGCCATCGCAAAAAGGGCCTCGCTGGAGTCTACGGCGCCGAGACGACGGACTGCGACTCACCATTCTCGCTCGTCAATGCGACATTCAATTGGATCCAAGAGAATATCCGCGATGACGTCGATTTCGTGGTCTGGACAGGCGACTCGGCCCGGCACGACAGTGACGAGAAGTATCCCAGGAGCGCTGCCGAGGTGTTGAGCACGAATCAGATGATGGCTGATAAATTTGTCGACACATTCGGATCGAACCACGGGCGCATGCAGATCCCCGTGGTGCCGACGTGGGGAAACAACGACTTCCTACCGCACAATATCTTCTACCCGGGCCCCAATCGATGGCTGCGCAAGTACAGCGACATATGGAGGCGCTTCATCCCCGAGGAGCAGCGCCACTCCTTTGAGTTTGGTGGCTGGTTCTGGTCAGAGGTCGTTCCCCAGAAGCTGGCCGTCTTCAGCCTGAACACCATGTACTTCTTCGATCGCAATGCCGGCGTCGACGGCTGCGCCAGCCCCACCGAGCCCGGATATCAGCATATGGAGTGGCTGCGCGTCCAACTCGAGCTCTTCCGGCAGCGGGGCATGAAGGCCATCCTCATCGGCCATGTGCCTCCCGCGAGAACCTCGAGCAAGAAACTATGGGATGAGACATGCTGGCAGAAGTATACATTGTGGTTGCACAAGTATCGGGATGTGGTGACCGGCTCTCTGTATGGTCACATGAACATTGACCATTTCCTACTCCAGGACACCAGGGAGGCGGACTTGGCCATCAATGCCCAAGCCCTGTCCGAGGAAAACGATGACGCAAACATGGCTGAGGAGGACGATGATGTTGACGCCCAGGACGACGAGGTATCGGTGGCCTCGAAAGAAGACTACCTTCAAGATCTTCGGAAAGGATGGTTGAAAATTCCAGGAGATGCACTCAAGTCCGCGACCAAGGCCGACGTTGACTCCGAGAGCCAAGACATTGATGCTTCTCGGAAAAAAGGGAAGAAGAAGAAGCACAAGAAGAAGAAGAAGAAGAAGAAGGACAAGTTACACAAAATTGGGGGCAAGTACGCCGAGAGGTACATCTTGTCCTTTGTGAGCCCCAGCATTGTGCCCAATTACTTTCCGACGATGCGAATCATCGAGTACAACGTCACAGGTCTGCAAGATGCGGCGGTATGGACCGACACCTTTGATGAAACGGCGTACAAGCCCATGTCGGTGGGCGGAGATTGGTCAGACGACGAACTGAGCAGCCAAGACGCCAGGCAGCTACGGAACGACCTCCAGGCTGAGCGAAAGAAAAAGAAGAAGAAGCATAAGAAACCAAACAAGCCAAAGGATCCGAACCTGCATCTCCCCGAGGACCCTCCCAAGGGTTCGACGCCCGGCCCGGCGTACTATCCCCAGCCTCTCACCTTCACGGGTTACACGCAGTATTTCGCAAATCTGACACACATCAACAACGACATCGCCGCCCCGGACGCCGACAGCAACAAGTGGCGTGATGGAGACCACCAAGACGACGAGCCCCAGTTTAGAAAACCCAAGCCCCGGCCCTTCAAGTTCGAGGTCGAGTACAGCACTTTTGACGACAAGATCTACAAACTAGATGACTTGACGGTCATAAACTATCTGAAGTTAGCGCATCGCATCGGAAAGAGAGAAAAGAAAAAGAAGAACAAGAAGAAGCACAAGGGGAAAGGCAAGGCGCTCTGGGACGGCACGGAGGAGGAGGACAATGTGGAGTACGACATGGACTATTTTGACGCTGAGACGGACGAGGATGAAGACGACGAAGACACTGATTTCGAAGACGACACAGACGTTGAAGAAGACGACGCTCTGCAGCTTTTGCGCAAGGGCAAGAAGCACAAAAAGTCCAAGCACAAGAAGAACAAGGCCTGGCTTCACTTCCTCGACCACGCCTTTGTTCGGACGGTGCCGGAGGAGCAGCTCGAGAGGCTGTCATGACATGAATACACACGAACGCGCATCAATCTTTTCTGCTGCATCGCGACAAGCACGCCAGGAGTTCACAGGACAAGGGATAAAACGTTGACGTTTTCAGAATTCTTTTGGAGAAATATCATTTAACTTTATATCGAATGGGGTATCTAGAGCGAGAGTGAAAGAAGGAACACCATAAAAACAGAAATACATCATCGTTTCTCATCGCTTCGTCATCCATCCATCAATCCATGCCATTGACCACCCGCAGCGCCCGGCGCGGGCCCATGACCACACTGAAGAAGCTCGGCTCCCGCCCCTCGAGCAGGTTCTCCGTGCTCTCGCTGCCACTGCCGCTCATACGTTCCTCACTCTTCTTCGCCGTGCCGCTCCCGCTACCCGCACTCGGCGTGGGCTCGTCCGAGAGCCATACCTGCTCGGCCGTCAAGAGCGGTGCGGGTCGACTTCGCTCAGACCCCACCCAGCCAAAGCTCTCGCTGTCCGCTGACGCGGACCGCTCCTGTCGGCGTGAGAAGAGACCCACGGGGGCAAAGGCATCGGCTGAGGCGCCCGAGTACCGGTTCGTGGTCGCAATATGTTGCTTGTAGGCGGCCACCTGGCGACGGTACAGCCAAGTGCAGAACCCGAGGTAGAGGGCCAGCGCACCGAGCACGCCGGCGACGACACCGGCCGCAATCAGGCCCGGGTTCGGGCCGCTGTTATCGTCAGCGGCTGGCGGGCTCCCGTGCTCTCCGTCACTGGAGTCGGGCTGGGAGGTCGGGGTGATTGTTGTGGTGGAACCCCCCTGGGTGATCGTAAACACTGGCGCCTGGCCTGTCGCAAAGGGACCACCCGTCGCCGGCCCTGAGTCGGGTTGCGTGGCGGTAGCGCCGCCCTCCTCGTCACCGCCGATCGCCTTCTGTACTTTGTCAGGGACCGCGTATCCCCATGAGCCCGCGAGGACACTGTTGTCGGGATGGTGGTCGGCGTCGTGATCACCCGCCTTGAACTCGTTCGTCCACTTGAGAGAAGAAGCATCGAAGACGTAGATTCCAGGGTCGTCGCAAGGCTGGTCTTCACCAGTGTAGCCTCCGACCACAATGATCTGTCCGTCGCGCATGGTGCAAGTGTGTCCCGCGCGGCCGCTAGGAGCATACTCTGAGTCCGGGTCGGCTTTAATCCATATAAAGGATGGGATCGTGAGGATATACATGTCGTCGTATTGCGTCTGTTCTTGCTGTTACCGCATTAGCATGATCGTACAAGGATCGATCACAAGGGGGCCTTACAAAGGGCTGGAGGTTCTGCCCGCCAAACATGTATATCTGGAAGCTCGAGGCATCCGGTGAGCTTGCGATGACGGCGCATGGATTGACGCGCACACCGGGAATGTCGCCCGTGGCTTCCTGGTGGAACCATTCTGAGCTCTCGATATCATAGACGGTCAACGTCTCAAAGTTACGAGTGAAGACGTCCTTTGCGCCCCCGGCCATGCCAATCAAGACGCCCTTCTTGCCCCAGCCTGGCACGAAGACCAGGATACCGTCCGCACGGTTGGGGAACTCATCGGCCTGAATGCCTCCAGTGGTGATGTTGCGGAAGATGCCACCATCACCCGCGCCGTTGCCGCTGGCGATCTTGTCGACGCCGTCATTGGCATATCCCGGGTGGGTGAACTCGAGCAGGCTGTTCAGATAGATGCGGGGGACCTGTCTGGACCAGCCAGGAATCGTCGCCCAATCCTGGTGTCCTCCAAAATACCAGCTGAGACCAAGCTCGGGCACGGAGACGCCAGCGCCCTCTGCGGATCGATGCACGGGTTGGCCAGCGGGCTCTGAGAAATTCCCTTTCGATGTCTCTGGGTTCTGGAACTCGGTCCACTTCTGGTCTTGAATGTTGTACCTCCAGAGCGACTCGGGCGCAGGGTCCTTATATGGGTTGTCGGCGAATTGTCCACCATACAGGAAGAGGTTCTCGTAATCGCGCCACAGATACCCATTGGCCACAGCAGGGGGGCCATCAGGTATCTCTAGACCCTTGAGCGCCGGCTTGTCCGTCTTCCAGTCTTCCGTCAGGTCCAGCGTCAGGAAGTAATTATTCCACGTGTTGGACTCCTGACTCTCGTCTTTCTTCGCCTCGCCGCCGTAGATGTACAGCGTGCCATTGAGTTCGGCGGCCTGGTGCGCCCATCGATTGCAGACGTCGGTAGGGCTGGTCTCGCGCTTCGTGATCACCCCCGCCTCGGCGGTGCCCGCCTCCATCTGGTAGTTACGTGAGGTGAGAGTAAAGCCAGGAATAACGACGCATACAAGGGCGACGATCAATGCAAAGCGCTGGAGCCCCGGGGTAGCCTGTGGGGGGCCTCCTGATGTGCTTTGAACCCGGGACTGATTCCTCGAACCGGTGAACCTCGAATACCAGGATGCAGCTGGCTCGGAGACCTGGCGTTTCCGTATGCGTGGCCGAACGTTGGCCGATGGGACGATGCCGGAGCTGTCGTGACGACGGGGTTTCACTGTCGTCTCAGAGGGCTTGCTCACAGGGACTCGGGAAGTATCGCCCACGTCTTTCTCGCGATGGACCGGCGACTCCTGCGCTGGGCTGATAGGACACGAGGGCTGGTGCTCTGGCTGACGGTGATCTGGGTGGTGACGACAAGCCGCCAGGGAGTGAGCAGTGTTGGCAGAGTCAATGTCGAGGCCAATCTCTTTGAAGACGGGCCTTCTGCCCTTTTCAATCTTGCCGCCCATTTGGGACACGAGAACATGCAGGCGAAAACTCTCGCGCAGGCGCTCCGAAGTAAGCTGAGAATTGAATGGTGGTCGCACCGCGGAGGTCGTATTGGCCGGGTGTGCAACCTCGACGTCGTCGAGTGAGGATGGCTGTGTGGGCCTGCTGCTGCTGCTACCGCGGACAACCGTGAAGGGCATGGCGAGGGAGGGAGAGGACGCCCAAGGTGATGGTGGGAGGTGCGTCAACAAATACTAACATCGATTTGACCTGGAGGACGAGGACTGGATGCCAGCCCAGCAGCTCGGAGCTAGCTTGACAGGGTTGGGCGTGCCAGCCAGTGAAGGAAGAAGATCAGGAAAGGGGTCTGCCTCGCTCAATCAAGCGGTGATGATGTAGCTGTACTGCAGGCCGAGCACACGCTCCCAAAATGGCATGGCAGTCTGTTTGTCTGCTCATTGATGAATGCAGGCTTGCAACGGAAAGAGCGAGCCAAGATAGATGGGAGACTGGAGGGTGGTGAAGATTCCTATGGGGGAACTGTGTGTGCTCGCTCGCTCGCTCGGTCGCTTGGCGATTTAGTTTTGTCCGTTTGTTCGGCCGTGGTCTAACTTTGATTAGACTCAAGAGAGGCCCATGATGATATTGACGGTTTTCATTGCTCGATCGATCGAGGCAGGACAGGAACCTGTGGGTGAAATGACCCTGTCTGTTCGACATCATCGATCCCACATAAAGGTTGGCAGCGATCGCTGCTGCACCACACACCAGACTGTACTGGGGCACAGCCAAGAAAGATACTTTTGGCGCCTTCGCTCAGCCTGCATCAGGGCCAGGGCCCGAGTGGCATTGCGACAAATGATTGGTGTCTGGCTTTGATGACTGCGGAGGCGTGTCGCGTGTTCGTATCCCAGGGCCTTTGCCGTATTCTTTGCTGCTGGGCTGAGCAACGCTGTGCTTTACTTAACTTCGGAGGTGTATTTCGGTATCGGATCATGTCGCGTCTTGCCAAGCTATAAGACCGGTGATTATGGTTTGAGACGTCCGGGGACAGCTGTTGAAGGCGCCATCATGTATGTCATGGTGGACCAACCTTGTCTGTGTTTGAGGCGTCGAGTGAGTGTTGGCGTGATGGATGAATGACGTCAGTGGAACGGGTCAGTGATAAGAATTTATGGACACTGTATATTGGGCCGTAGGCTGCATGTTTGGCACAGTGTCTGAAACCATCCATGACTGGACTGCCAGCGTCCACTATCACAGAGCATCCACCCATATGTGGCATCGCACGAGGGACCTTGGATCAATCAAGGATGCAGACTGTTGCTCACCGACAAGCTGAATTTGGAACCTGCCTGGAATGTTGCAGTCTTCGAAAGCCACACATGGCGCAGTGACGCCACACTCCGACGCTGTGGCTGTGGTCGAGCTTTGTGCAAAAGACCCCTTTACGTGTGTGTGTGTGTATATTTTTTTTGTTCCATCAAGCGTTGGTATCGTTGCCCCTCTCTCTCCATGGAGATGGGGCATGGTACCGCGAGGTGCCCTGGGCAAGGCAGGCGTCGTGACCTTGGCTCGTCGCTCGACACCTTGTCACTGTGCAAACATGAAGGAGGCTTGTGTATCGCTGAATGAGACCACATAACAGCTCTGAACGAGGACCAAAGGTGGCCAACAAGTGAAAAGATCTGTGAATCACACTGGGGCCCCATTGCGTGATGACCACAATGCCACTGGGTAAAGATGCGTCGAACTCCATCAACCCTCTATCTCTCTCCACCTCTCTCTCTCATGCCACGCCCTGAACTTGGAACGAAAGACCACTCTCTCCCCCATTCTCAGACATACGGCAGAGATCGAACAATCATGGGCTGCACTACGTTCAGCCCACCCTCTCTGCCATCCGCTATCGTGCGGATTCTCAACGAGCCTGTGCTGCCCCCTGAGATCGGGCACCAACACACGTATGCGACGTTCGATCCAGAGAGGTCCTCAACGCTCTGTAACACGGACATATGGGAGTGCGGCGATGAGGAAAAGAACAGCGGCCTGAATACGGTCATCTCGGATGGACTCATCTGGACCGAAGAGTATGTCTCCAGTGTGAATTCACGCTGAATAGAGGCTGACATGTGCAGCGCTGGCCGCCAGAGCACAGTGACCAGCACTGTCTACGAGCCATGGGATGCCTTGCCCTCGGAGTGCTCGTGCCCAATAGTGCTGTCCACCCTCACAGTGACCAGGACCGAAACAGAGACAGAGACACCAGCCAGTACCCCGACGGGGGTTGAGCAGCCAGACGCAGATAGCAGTGGTTCGACAACGGCTCCCATCCCAGGAGTCGCCTCTTTCATAGGTGCCGCGGTCAGGTCGGTGAGAGGCATGTGGCTCGGTGCTTGGATGGGGTTCTGTCGCTAGAGCATGCTGGTCTTCCTTGTTCCGTTGCGGCAACATAGCAGCTAAGCAACGTAGCCATTGTCGCGTTTCCCTCTCACGAATCCCATCATGCAACACTTCCATGTTTAGACACTGCCCCGTTCCGGATCTGACTTTGGATAAACCTCCAGGGCCTGTCTGATGCCGAGCTCCCTGCCCACGTACAAGAGCAACCGCCCGGCCGAGGCCGTCTGCTCCCATGTGGTCGACTGCGTGATGTAGACGGCCGTCAGGGGCCAGACGAGCCGCAGCGCCTCAAACAGGGTCTTGGGCGAGTGGTCCTGGGTCCGGAGGTCGCGGCCAAAGTGCTCGGACGCAAAGTCGACAATCTCCCGCGCCGAGCTCCTCACGCGCCCGAGGCAGTAGTTCCTCTCTGTCTCCAGTTGGGTCAAGGGAATGGGGCACAGTGGGTAATGGGTCACCAAGTTGACGAGCTGCTGCGCAATGTGGTATCCCTTGACCAGGGTGGCGCAGTACATGTTTCGCCAGTAGGACCCGAGAACGTCGCCCGCGGCTTGTACTTCAGGCGTAGCAAAGCTGACGTTCGCTTCATGCTCGGCCGCCGTCAGCCCGCCCATGAGGGAGACGTATTCGCGCGCGGCAGTCTCCTTGTCGTCGGCTTGCACCAGCGCAAACATGCGGGACTGTATCGTGGCGACCTTCGCCATCAGCATGGACGCTATGAGGGCAAGCCGCTCGTCCTCGGATATGACGTGGCCCATAGATTCCAGCCAGGATTCCGACTCGGGGTGTGAGCTTGTGGTGCTGATCAGGCATCCGACTTGCTGTGATTGTCAGCGACGTTGGTGTGAGGGGCAGACAGACGCGTCGCCATACCACAAGGTTGAAACCAGTCCAGAAAGCCGCTCGGCTGCAGTCTGACCGTAAGTGTTCGATTCCCCGACTTTTCATAATGGTGTAGAGTCCTTGAAGGTGGGTAGTCCAGTTACTCTGGAACGGATCCCGACCCAGAGATCCTATGAGGATCTCGTAGTTGGCCAGGATCCAGACGGTCGCGAGGACGTCGTCACGGAAGACGCCATCGGGATGGTTCAGAGCCTGAGCGACAGCACTGATCGTCTTGCCCATGTAGGCCCCCAACTCCCGCCTGTTCTCGTCTAGGGTCTCGTTGTGGATGGCCGTGGGGAAGCGGAGGTTGATCACATATGTTCTTGTGAAGAGATGCGCAGCCCAAACAAGAGGGCCTTCTGTTGGGTAGCAACTGAGCATTCTGCTCAAAAATCCCATGGTCGAATAGACATTGAGCAAGATGGGAATGGAGTGGTTGGTCCAGTGCTCATTAATGGTCCGGGCCATGGGCATCTGGACTTGGAAGGTGCCAAAAGCACCGTCACCGCCAGCGAGAGGTACGAGCTCAGTCGAGCCAGTCGCCATGTGGCTGGGGTCGAGGCCCGTATCCAAATTCATGGTGGATGGCGAAGAGAAGCTGCTGGATGAGGTGTATCCAGATGCAGATGAAGATGCCGTAAGATTCTGACCTGAAAGGAGTTGCTGTGTGCGCTTGTTACGCTTCTTGGTGTTGGCTGGGTTGGCGTCACGGAACAGGAGATCTTGCTGGTTCCGGTACCCAGGGCACTCTGCGCCGTATTTGATGCACCGCTGGCATTGCGGTCTGCCGAGGTCGCACTTTGTGAGGCTGTCAGTTGCCTGCGTCGCCACAGGAGAGATTGGAGGCGGGAAGAGGGCTGGGTGGAGGGTCTCACACCTTGACGCGGCGTTTGCGGCACAAGTGACAGTCCCTGCTCGGCTTGCCCGTGTTCGGCATGATGTCTGGTCGGATTGTCGGGCTCGCTCACATTCTCCTTAACCTGATGAGCTGACCTGGTGCTTGTCAGCACGATTTCAATGAGTGACGATAGATGAAGAAAGGAGTGGAAGGTGCTCGCGTTTACGTGGTGAATGAATTCCAGTGTCGACGTAAGCTTGCCCCATAATTCAAATGACCCAAAACGGCTTAGCTTCATGTCCTCTCGTCCGTGTAAGTCGGAGGCGCAGCGTCTTCTGTTGGGTGCTCTTGTATGCAAAAGACAAGAATGAGTCAGACCAACAAGTGGATAATCAAAAGGCAAGAATCATCTGGGCACATGGTGCTATCTGCGCCGTCAAGGGCCTGGCAGATACTTCTGTGTTGAGAAAGTTGCCTTGCACGGCTGGCTGGTTGTCCTGAGTGCTCTCGCTACAACCAACTCAGTCATCAAGACACCTGGTCAAGCTCTGATATCTTCATCCCGACACGTCTCTTTCTGTGCATATAAAAAAGCGCTCATGTGTTCTCGCTACTCTGCACTTCAAGATGCTTCACCTTACTGCCTGAAACCTGTCCCTTGGGACCATCTCACACCGTCCACAGACAAGCAGTCACCATCCAGCGATGGATGACTCTTCATCGGCAGCAACGCGAGCGTTACAGTGCAATGTGAATGAACTCGCCCTCCCATCACTCGTTCCCGCGTTTTGGCTGCACGAAGCGGGCTTTATCGCAGATATTGGTGAGCCTCGCCGCGCCATTGCCTTCCCAATTTGGCCTCCTCCCACCCTTCCATTGGCTCATCCAGATCACACACCAAAAACCCCGCTTCGCTCTCACATAGACAGGCAAGCCTGGCTCAAATCCTTTCCCACCCAGCCCCAGGGCTATAGATTGCCTAGTTTCTCTTTTCCCTGTAATCCTCGGCTGTTCTTCCTCAAGCATCACCATTTCGAACCAAAATTTTCGCCCAATGGCCCACTACTCGCAGAGAGACGACCTCTTCCCCATGGCTGGCTCTTGTCCCTGCCGCCGCACAACCTTCACCATCCACCTCGCCCCTCTTCTCGTGCACGCCTGCTACTGCCAGGCATGCCAGCGCCAGACGGGGAGTATCATGGCCCTCAATGCGATCATCGAGACATCTGCTCTGCAGGCGCAGCACGCCGCCCCAACGACACCACCAGGATACCTCGAGCCCTTTGCAAAGAGCACCGGCGCAGACCAGCCACAAGAGGTCATGGGCCTGAAGAAGGTCTGTGTGCCGAGCACGTCTGGCGCGGGGACGACACTGGTGGGATGCCCGGTCTGTGGCACGACGATATATTCCCACTATGCAGATGCTGGACGCTATCTCGCGTACGTACGTGTCGGCCTCTTGGAGCGCGCCGGCAACATCACGCCGGATGTGCACATCTTCACAGCAGAGAAGGCATCCTTTGTGGACATTGCCGATGGCAAGCCACAGTACAAGGCGTACTACGCTGACAGGGGTGAAATGTACAGGGAGGGGGTGAAGGACAGAATCGAGGCGCTGGGCGTCATGGTGAGCAAGTACAAGAGGGAGATGATGGCATTGTCACAGCCTCAATGATACCACGGCAAAGTACAATTGTGGGAAGCAATGATGTCAGAAACGGAGGGAAAAAAAAGAGGGTAATTCTCTTGTTCAGTTGTTGTAGGCATGCGCCTATTAAGTATCCCATTTCCACTCGTACATTGCCGTCAAATGAATGGATCGTGTAATGCACCACGCCGTAGAAGCAAAAAAGGGTCCGCTTCCCAACATCTTCCTCGAGGCCACGGCAAATTGTAGAAACCAGTGTGGACTTGTGTCCGGGTATCACTCAAGCAGTCGATGAGCAGTACCAAAGTGACATGCAAGGCAGGCTAGGCTCGCTGCTCACCACGTGCCGCGCGGCCTCTAGCAGCCCGGCTTGCGGAAGCTCTCCACCCCCAGCAGAGGCACCTCAACTTGCGCTATTCCTGGGACGCCCTCGTCCCGGCGGCGGTCGGCAAAGTTGTTGCATTCCCATATAACCTGGCCCCACTCCGCGAGGGCTCGGCCGGTGTACACGGCGTTGTTGACGTACAAGCCTGCCGGCTTCACTGGTTCCGTGATCGGCTCGGCAACCAATTCCTGTGCTTCATCCACAGACACCTCAGCCGACTCCGTGGCAGCTGCCTCGGGTGGGCCAGAGTCTCCGTCGTCCTTGTGCGCCATGGCCTCCTTGACAAGGGGAGCTGGCCGATTGTCGACCTTGTCCGTGCCGCCAGCCAACGCTCGTAAGCTGACAACAGCCTGTGCTGGGGCAGGCAGGCGTGGTCGAGTGAGGACGCGGTCGCGCGGGGGCATGCTGGGCTGGTGCCACGCCAAGAAAAACTTGAAGATATATTTTGATTCTTCATAGGTGGGTGACGAACACGAAGAGTCCGAATCGCTGGATCCGATCGAGGTCGAAATCTTCGAGGGTGCATTCGCGTGGCGCGCCTCGGCCGTCTCCCGACGCGCATTAATAAACTCCTCGTCCCACGAGGACCTGCGGTCGTGGCCTTTTGATGGATTCGATCCCGCCAAGGACATGATCTTGCCGAGTAGGGACCCCTTCTTCTTCGCCTCAGGCTTTGCGGCCGCGCCTTCGCCAATCTCGTCGGCACTGACCACGTCAAGGCCCGTAGCCTTGGAGAAGGAGTCAAAGTTAGCAAACAGGCCCGGCTGCGGCTGGCTGACTTCCTGGCGGATGATCATAAACTTCTTTCCCGGTGTCGGTACAGTCGGCGCTGTGGAGGGTGGGCAGCGCCCAGCTTCCTCCGCACTCTGCTTTAAGTGCAAGTAATGGGACCAGGCGGTTTTTAAGCGTGCCGAGACGACGGTGTAGATATTTCTGACGGTTGTTAGGCCACGATCAGATTCAGAAAGGGCGAGAGAAAAACTCACGTGTCTACCGCGTCGGCGTCCCCGACACACCGACAGATCCGCCAACACAGCAAGCGGTGGTAGTATGAGCGCACCATGGGACACCAGTGGTTGAAGAAAGAATCAAACACCTCCTCCGTCAGAAGCCAGTCTAGGCAGACTGAAGCTTTGCGGGTCTGGTCTTTGACGATGATTGGCCAGACTGTGTAGATGAAGGACAATACGCGCACCTCGGACATGGTGTTCATGGACCGCATGGCCCTCTTGAACACGTCCATCCAGAACGGCCAGTCAATGTACGATTTGCTGCCGGACATGGGGTCCTCGTAGTCGTCGTATATGGCCAGTGCTTCTTCCAAAAAGTCGCACATCGTGAAGCAAGCTGCCGTGTCAAACTGCGACGTCTTCATCACAGCCGCCTTGATGATGGCAGCGCATGTCTCTGCAAAAGTATGCCGCGCGCCAGCAAAGCCTGGCAGGGCGTTCGACATGAAATCCTTGAGCAGGATAATCACATTATTCTCGCTCATGCCCTTCATGAGGTTGGCCGGCGGTAGTGTCATGGCCATGGCCGAAGCATCGGCACCGGGCATGGGATCCATCATGTGCAAGCCCGAGTCCATAGCTGCTTGACGGTGAATCGTATCGTCAATAATGGACAGTAGCTGGGCGTGTACTAGGGCGAATCCAGGAGCGCGCGCCTTCTCGACGAGTGGCAGTTTGGATGGCAGAAAGTCGTCCGTCAAGGCATGGAATTCCTTGTAAAACACGAACAGAAGGTCAGACTCCCGACCCTTCCACCTCGATACCCACGGCCCCATCCATTGAACTCGCGAAATTACCATTGGCATGTTCGGGATGCGCTTGAGTGTGTTCCACATGGATTTCGGTGACGTCCAGCTGAGAGAAGCCAGCTGGGGAGGGAACATGGCCACAGTGTCGCCCCCTTCGCCCTTGTAGCGCCTCGGCAATCCCATTGCATCCGCCGCTCGCCGGATGAGCCCGGGGCCTATGCCCCAAAGACGGACCAGGATATCTGCCACACCAGGCACAAAGAAGAAGGCGTAGGCGCAGGTCGCACCAGCAAAGGTCACCAGAGCCTGTGGCGAGTGTCTCGCGGCCATCTTCTCCACCACGAATCCCATCTGCCTGGCGAGGTTGGTGATGAACATCGTCCTCACGTTGTGTTCCGCAGATTCAACCAAAAAAACAGTAGAGTGATCGGAGTCAGTTGCCTCTGTCGTCTCTGCACTTCGTTCTGACCTCTGACGCTCCCACACGGCTCGGTCGGCAAGGGGCAGGAAGTACGGCGTGGTTTGCCTCCACTCAGGACGCACCATAATCGTGGTCAAAGTGTCGAACACAACGTGTCGATCGATTCCTGGCACCGACCCCATGCCTACGCCGTCCATGAGACCGAGAAGTCCATTCCACCACTTGTCCAGGATGACAGCGCGTCGATCGATATCTTCCGGGGAAAGCTTCTTGTTGGATGCATGCCCCATTGTGCTGCGGAGAAAAGGCAAGACGAGTGTTTGCAACTGAGCAACTCGCTGCGACGTCGACTTTGCAGTAAACCCCTTGAATTCCACCTCCAGGTTCTTGAACGACGACCAGAGAGGATCTCGATCAGGCTTGGGCAGCGGTGGCATTTCGGCAGACGAGTCGTCGGTCACGGTAGGGGCTTGAGACAGTTGATCATCCGTAGTCGTCGAGGCACTGGGTCCTAGACTGCTGACAGACGAGGTACAGCTATTGTCGAGCTCGGCGATGGCGTTGAACACTTTCGGCTTCGATTTCATCTTGCTAAAGTAGGAGCTCGCCCGGTTAAGCGCCTTGGATGGTCGGGTTGGCTCGGATGGGCGGTTCTTGACCAGGTGAGCCCGTGTCTCTGCTGCTGTCTCAGATGGAGAGCGGGCCGCCAATTTGGGAACGTCCTCCATATCTTTGTCTTGCTTGTCCTTGGCCGTGTTTGGCCGACGCTTTGGTGAGGGTGAGGGTGAGGATGACAACCAGGACCTCTTTGCAAAGTTGACGAGGCTATCCTGGACGGCCGTGGTCTTGCCCGAGACGGAGCTGAAGCGCTTCTCGCTCACCCCCTCCTCGCCCACGGATGTGGCGGGTCGCTGCTGCTGCTCTATGTCGGCCGGCTCTTTCACGGGAGCCTTTGCCGTTGTGGGGAACCAGGAGCGCGGCCTCTCCATCAGTGAGCCTGCTCGAGAGCGTCGGAGGGCGGGCGGTTGTGCAGTCTGGGGATCGCTGTCGGCTGGCTGGCTTCTGGGCGCGGCGGGACGCCACGATGGAGCACCGGGTTGGCTCGCGGGCCTGGAGGCATCGCTGAGAAAGAATGATGTGTCGAGCTTGAAATCGTTGTCGAAGTTGGGCACTTCGTAGGGTCGGTCGTCTTCTTGATCCGTCGCTCGTGAACTTTGGCAGGAGGTATCAAAGGAGAAACTGGACATGGACATGAGCTCAGGCGTCGAGTGAGACCTGGGGAGGCCGTTCGAGGACTCGACTGCCGGTGCCATGAATACTGTAGAACCGCTCATCGCATCGGCCTGCTAGAAGGAAAGAAGACGAGGAGTAGAACAGTCAAACGACGCTTGGTCGAGTGGGAGGATGGGCGTCTCGCCTACTCAACCATGGCTATGGATGGGCTGATCTCTGGCCGGCAGAGTATTCAGAGCGCAGGGCAGGGGGTAAGGTGAGGTAAGGTTAAGTAAGATGATGTAGGGAAAGCAAGATGTGCTGGACAAGCGACCAAGACAAAAACGCGCAGATGTGAAATAAGGAACAAGATGTTAGAAGACAAGCTCACAACAATTCTGAGCGCGACCGCCTGGAGGTTTGAGGTTCGGTTAAGGGAGGGTCCAGTCCACTTGCAATTGCCAATCGCCATGGATGCGAGAAATGGGAGAAATGCTCGACGTCTGACTTATTTTGGCCGAGGGTCCACCGAGCTCCTCGCTAACTTGGCGGGCTGGGCGCTGTGGCTTCACTAGCTTGCCACAGCGCCAGGCACCCAGCGCCCCAGCCGTTGCGCGCTGTCCGGCCTGAGTGGCAGCCAGTGCGCCTACTCACACCCGCTACTCCGTAATGAGGTCCCTGAGGTACCGCCCACGAACAACGACGCACGCCAAGTCCCCGATGGCGACACTTGTTGATGTTGGCCACAAAAATGCAGATAGCATCCCTCACGATGGAGTCAGCGAGAATGCATCGATCATCATCATCATCATCCACGGCCAGAGGTCAGTCTAACTACGCAGCACCGCAAAGCCATTGCGTTTGTTGTCATCGAGATGCCACAAATTCCAGCGTCCGTTTTGACACCTCACTGCCATGAGACATCTGAACCAACAATTCCCGGCACATGCCCTAATGAAAGTAGCCGTCGATGGCAAGACAGAAAAGAATGAGACGGGCCCTCCGGAGATTGAGGAGCGACCGCGCTACGCATTGACGTCGTGCGGCCCCAGTCCGCAGGTCAGCGGAGTAAATTGTGGCCATCTTCAGCTGCTCTCAATCTCCCCTCGTAACGAGGCTGTGATGGGCACTGTCTCACCAAAGTCATTGGACGTCTCCCCCACCCAGGGCGACAAAAGTCAGCATCATAGGACCTCTTTGCCGCCGAGTGCAGCACAGGAACACCACCACCTCCCGTCGTCGCCGGTGTGCGTGGACCCTGAGTAAAAAGTTGTCATCAGACATGATAGATCGGGAGAATGGCCGCCTGCCAAGACAACTCCTCAGGGCACCCACCCCTGGTCCGATGATTCGGCACGGGTTTGGGACAGGACGACGACGTTGTGTTCCCAATTATGACGTTCATGTTCATATCATACGGATACTTCATAGCTTCATTGAATGAAAAGCAGAGCCATGCATGATGGACCTTGGCCGCTCGCTGCGTCCTGCCCTCCTGCTGAGGGGCGAAACCAAGCAGGAACCGAGACCGCATGAAGAACGAAATGGCGGGATCCCCTTGATAGAGTGGGAGGATCACGACAAGCATCACTTCTGTCCCGCTCAATGTCGGCAGAAACGAACCGTCAGCTTTTAAGAATGCACGGTCCAAGCAGTAGCGCCTTTCGAAAAGAAGTGCTCGCTCCTTTTCTCTCAAGAGACGTAATTGACAACCCATCTCAGATTGAACTGCTGCTCCCTCCCGAATCCCGTTCGTGGGTGACTGAACTCGAGGTTCCCAGTAATTATGCAGGGCACCCTAATACCACACCACGAGCTGGCAAAGCAGCGCCATGTCTCGGGTTGTGAGCCTTCCCGCACTCCCAACTCCCAAGTACCAACCTAATCCCATGGCAAGCCTTGTTAATATCAAAAAGTCCCGGCTCATAAGTAATAATGTAAAGACTGGTAAAGTGGCGAATGTCTGCCGTCAAAGCGCCAGCGTACGCACCACGTCGCCTAGGTCCTCCCCCTAAGATCAACACGACCCCCGACAGTGGAAGCAGGGAACATGCTGTCATGGCCGCAGATCATCAGCCATCGATCCATTCTCCTTTCTCGGGCTGGTGTTTGTGTCCACGAAGGAGGATGCGCTCTTTGCCTCTTTTTGATCCAGCTTGGCGCCGCGGTCTTGGAAGCGCCTGTCCCCTGGAGATACGAGCTCGTGTGACTCAAGACTGCGGTAGGGCCTCCTCGGGTGATACTGGCCATGACGACAAAAATGGCTCGGATGGAACGTGTCGACATACATCATCCCCAGCAAGCAACGAGGTCTCAGTGAAGGGACATGTCACCCTCGATTCATGCACCAATAGCCGTGGGAACGAGGCCGAGGTGTTTGGTAATAGGAGGGCAGACGAAATAATTGTTCTTGGCACGATAGAAAAATCCTTCAGCAAGAATGGCACTGAGAAGAAGCCCATTGCTGTACACACTGATGCCGTTTTGTTTTTCAAATATTGGGTCTACGATCAACACGCAACTTACCACCAGCTTGCCTGAGCATGCTGAATCATTCCAGGGATCGCGGTGATGCGATGGCCCCCTTTTCAGCTGCCGAATTGAAGCTGCGCATTCCGAACAGGGCCTAAACGACCTTTAAGCGGATGAAATCGAGTAGATTGAGACAGGTCCCGTCAGACTGGACGCGAGCTGTCCATCAGTCGCTACCGTTGTGGCTGGGAGAAGTGACTGAGGAGGGATTGGAGGTGGTGGTTGTGACTGGCATTTTGCAGCGAACAAATTTTGACTTGGTCGAGCTGGTGGGGCCAGTTGCTGACATAATCCTTTGGCATGCGCCCCACATGAATGCAAGCGAGCCTCTACTGATTTGGGCAAGCTGGCAGTTGCCAATGAAGTGAATGAACACAATGATTGTCAATTGATGCCACAAGGCTCCCTGCCTGTCTGTCCGAGGCGTGGGTGAATCGCCTGACTGACCGGCCTACTCATTGACAAAAATGCCAAACGAAACGGCCCGAGCACGCGTCTCTTTGAAAATGAAGCAGAGAGGAGCGAGTCAAGCTCGCATGGTGCTCATTTGTTTGGCCCGCCGCAATCTCAGCCTGAGAAACGTGGGCGAAGGTGTGGCTGGGCATTTGTATCCATGTGCAGTGTCGAATTGTGCCACTGTTTCCAAAGCCTCTTCAATCATATCGAATTTCAATAAGCACCATCCCTTCACAGTCTGCATTTGTTAGTACAGTAGCCTCGGCTTTAATGCTATTGCCCGGATCTCGTACGTGTGCGCGGGCACGGGAACTGGCGGGGACCCAATGAGGTCATTTGCGATGCGCTGCGTTTAGCTTCGCCTTTAACGCTAAGGGCTGAAGGTAATGACTTGGTAAACTTACTCAGGTGGCTACGAAGAGACATGGGAGGACTCAAAGTGGACAAGGAACTTGCCGGTCAATACAATGGTGGCGGGATAAATGTCTGGTGCCCAAGGCCTGCAGCATCGCCGAAAACGCATGCACCCAGCTGTACGCATCGAGGCCTATTACATCACCAAGGGGCCCTCGGTGTTCGAGACAGCTCAATGCCTGCCTTAATTAAAGCTATCATCCCAGCCAAATCATGCGGGTTTTGTGGAATAACGTTTGTGGTGTAACTCCACTGACTACAAGGCTGAACTCTAACAGTAACGATGTCTGGAACCCCTCAGGGGCTCGGCCATGAGATGCTTCGTTTCTATGACACCGGGACTTTGGAGTACACCACGGTCGCGACGCAACGTGTTAGTGACCTTAGCAACGACTGCGCTTTAGCTGCGCTAGATGCGGTAGCAGGCTAGCAGCACAACCATATCGGCCGTCGATGATCGATCTGCCATCCCTGCTCGACGCCAAGCCCATAGCCTAGCTGTTACTGGTACAACCACGAGCTGCAGCTCGACAACAAGGAAAGTACGGTCCAGACAATGCAAGTTGCCCACTCCCGAGATCTTGCATTCTCCGACGTAATAATTAATCCTCGATACGCGGAGCCCAACCTCATCCCACCTCTGCCGGTCCTTCCCCCCAAGTCTGGTCTTTGGCTTCCCTTCTGATCTCCCCCTGGCCGTTCAGAGTTCCCCCTCCAACATGGCAGACCGCGAACGATCCAGAAGCCCCCAGCCTCCGGGCTCGAGCGACGGCCGCGCGCCCAACCCCTATGCCTCCGCGAGCAAGTGGCGTCACCAAGAGTCATCCGCCTTTGCCAAACACGCCGCCCAGCACGCCCAGCACGCCCAGCACGCCCAGCAGGCGGCCGATGCGCGCGAAGATGCTGCCGCTGGTCGCACAAGCGAGCTGGCTGACTTTATCAACAAGTCCTCCCGCGTCGAGCCACCCGCCGACCGCCCCGTCACCGCCGGTGGGGGCTACAAGCCGATTCTCGAGGCCGCCGGACATGCCAAGGATGGCGCAGAGCCCGAACGAGACGCCGAGGACGGTCGCGGTGAGCCCAGCGACGGCAGGGAGATTGTCTGCGGTCCTCTGCTCAACTACCGCCGCATGGAGCGCGGACGATGGTACGGGAGCGTCCTGATCGTCATCAAGGGCGGCGGTCCGGACGTCCTCTTCAAGCCGTCCCTCGTGATGCGACGAGTAGGCGCTGCCGGAGGACTCCCTGCAGTGGACGGACAGGCCAATGGCGGCGGCGAGGTTGGCGGCGAGAATGGCGACATGCGCTTCGAGTCCCAGCGTCTCTACTCGGACGCGCGCAACACCTTCTGGGCCTTTGATATCGACGCGCCCATTGAGGCGACCGAGGTCCAATACGAATACTCTGTGCCCGACATGCGCTTCAGCAGCCAACACAAGCCGCGTACCAACAACTTCTTCATCCCTGCCGAGGACGAGTCGATGCGCATCATGTTCCACTCGTGCAACGGGTTCAGCGTCGGCACGGACGAGGACGCCTGGAGCGGCGCTGCCCTGTGGAACGACGTGATCCGCAAGCACCAGGCTAGGCCGTACCATGTCATGCTTGGCGGAGGCGACCAGATCTACAACGACGGCATCCGCGTCGAAGGCCCGCTGTATCCATGGGCCAATATCGGGAATCCCCAGAAGCGCAGAGACTTTCCTTTTCCGGAGAAGCTCCGCGCCGAGTGCGACGACTACTATCTCAAGAACTACATCCGATGGTACAACACGGAGCCGTTCTCTTCGGTCAACGGACAGATCGCCCAGGTGAACATTTGGGACGACCACGATGTAAGTCACCACCCCTCCACGGTCAAGGACAACCAAGAGGAAGCCCCTGACCTCCTAGATCATCGATGGCTTCGGCTCGTACACGGATCACTTCATGCGCTGTGACGTCTTCCGTGGCATTGGAGGTGTCGCACACAAGTACTACATGCTTTTCCAGCATCACCTGCCGCCGCCCGCCTCGACGTACACCACAGGTGTGCATTGTATGCCCCCGAGAAGGTTCGTCAGCTAACGGGGTCAGATTCCGCCGCTCTTGCCGAGTCGACACAGGGACCGGATCCCAACCAGATGGTCGGCGCCTTTGTCGCCGAGCCGAAGAGCGATCCGTCGTACATTGTGGGCGCAAAGCCTGGACCCTATGTCGCCGAGCATTCGTTCAACATCTTCACGCGACTTGGCGCCCGCATGGCGCTCATGGGTATCGATGCCCGTGTCGAGCGCACGCGCCACCAGATCAACTATCCCGAGACCTACGATCTCATCTTCAAGAGGGTGTACGATGAGCTTCGTGCCGCGGCCGCCTCGGACAAGCCCATCACGCATCTCATTGTACTGCTGGGCATTCCCATTGCATACCCCGTACGTCTGCCCCCCACCCCCGAGTTGTGGTGACGACGCAAGTCCAACTAACGAAGCGCAGCGTTTGACTTGGCTCGAGAACGTGCTGCGCAGCCCCCTCGCGGGCCCTATGAAGCTGATGCACAAGCGCTTCGGCGTGGGTGGCGCCCTCTTCAACCAATTCGACGGCAACTTTGATCTGCTGGACGACCTCGACGACCACTACACCGCCAGGGTACACAAGGCGGAACGCAGCATGCTGATTCACAGGCTGCAGGAGGTCGGTTCCGAGTTCTCGTGCCGCGTCACCATCCTTGGAGGTGACGTCCACCTAGCTGCCCTGGGCCGCTTCTACTCGAACCCCAAGCTCAAGATCCCCGCGGAGCAGGACCACCGCTACATTGCCAATGTCGTCTCGTCGGCCATTGTCAACAAGCCCCCGCCCCAGGCTGTTGCCAACCTGTTGGCCAAGAGGAACAAGATCCACCATCTGGACCACGACACGGATGAGACCCTCCTCGACATGTTCAACAAGGATCCGGGCGACTCGAGCAAGACGTCTGGCTCCAATCGCTGCACCATGCCCAGCCGCAACTTTGCGTCCATTACCGAGAACTCACCCAACAACCAGCCCATGGCCGGCTCGAACGGCGGGACCACCAATGTCAACGGCGCAAGCGAGACGGGCGGCGAGGCTGCTCCCCAGTCATTCATCGGCAAGGACGGGCACTCTGTACTGCACCAAGGCGAAGTCGGCTCTGGCACCAAGCACAAGGCGGCCTCCATCGAGACCCATGGCCGCGGCAACGATGGCAGTCTGGACGTGCGCATCAACATTGAGATTGACCCGTCGAACCGTCAAGGCCTGACGGAGGGGTACGGCCTGAGCATCCCCCTGCTCGCGTATCAGAAGCCTACGACGCCGGCGTCCGCGGCTCCCGCTGGCTCCGTCCACAGCGCAGCACAATAGGCAAGGGTTGGCAGCGTAGATGGGGCCGATTCGAAGCGTGGACTCTTGCGCTCGTTCGAGGCGAGAGACCCGTGACCATGGGAGGCAGGGTCCGTGGAAGACGCGAGAGGCTTTGACACGGAGGGTCTACTGTTTGTTCTTGTGGCTAGGAAGGAAATTGTTTCCACTATATGAGATACCAGATACCACGCGATGGCGGAGGACGAGAGGGTACAGTTCACTTGTTAGTTTTTCAGTGTCATGATGATGGAGAATGCTGTACATGGAAAAAATCTCAAAAGTAGCGGCGAGTCAGCGACTGGAGTTTGTTGAACGGAGTGAGTGATCACGATGCGTTATCATGGGCCCCATATATCGTTTGGGGCACAATGAGAATGAGCGCGCGGTGACCGACCGACCACGACCGGAGCAAGCTCCGATAGCGCTGGCCTGGAGGGAAGCAATTGACCAATCACTGCGCGTCGGGACGCCTTACCGACAATTTTCAGTGCCCGGGCCGACCGACATCTGGGGGAACCTCTCCGTGCTCCGTAGGTACGTACAATACACGTAAGGCACTGGGCAGGCGCCAGGCCGGCACGCTGCAGACGTCACACTGGCTCACCAGGCTGCCCCACCTCTCTCTTATCCATGCCGTGATAAGCCGTCTCGAGCTCGTCCGCCCTTTGCCTCCAGCCTTCTTTTCCCCCTTCCCTTTGACTTGACTTGACTTGACTTGAACCTGACTTGACCTGACCCGACCTCAATCTCTTTAGCCTTGTTGGTTCTGACTACACGGTCAACATCTTCTCCAAAGGATTCCCCATCATGCAGTCCATGGCCTTCAAGAGGGTGGCGGCCACCAGCGTCCGCTCGGTGCAGCAGCGTACCCTGGCCACCGCCTCGCTGGCCGCCTTCAAGACGCCCCAGGTCGCCAACGAGCCCAACGTGAGTCTGCGCAGGATGACAAGAGAATGAGGGAGCACCGGCAGCTAACCTGAAACCACAGCACATCTACGCCAAGGGCAGCCAGCAGCGCTCTGGCCTCTCCGCCGCCATTGAAAAGTACCAAAAGTCCATGCCGTACACCGTGCCCGTGGTCGTGGGTGGATCCGAGGTCACCTCGTCCTCCCTCTCGAAGCAGCTCAACCCGTCTGACCATGGCGAGACCGTGGCCTCCTACCACACTGCCACCAACGCCGACGTGAACAAGGCCATCGACGCCGCCCTCGCCGCCAAGCCCGCCTGGGAGTCGCTGCCCTTTGCCGACCGCGCGGCCGTCTTCCTCAAGGCTGCCGACCTCGTGTCGACCAAGTACCGCTACGAGATCATGGCGGCGACCATGCTCGGCCAGGGCAAGAACGCCTGGCAGGCCGAGATCGACGCCGCGGCCGAGTTGGCCGACTTTTTCCGCTTCAACGTCGCCTACGCCGAGGAGCTCTACGCCCAGCAGCCCCAGCACAACGCCTCGGGCGTCTGGAACAGGCTCGAGTACCGCCCCCTCGAGGGCTTCGTGTACGCCGTCAGCCCTTTCAACTTCACCGCCATTGCCGGTAACCTGCCTGGCGCCCCGGCCCTCATGGGCAACGTCGTCGTCTGGAAGCCTAGCGACTACGCCATCGCATCCAACTGGCTGGTGTACCAGATCCTGCTCGAGGCTGGCCTGCCCAAGGACGTGATCCAGTTCGTCCCCGGCAACCCCGAGGAGATCACAAAGGTCGCCCTCGGCCACAAGGAGTTTGCCGCCCTCCACTACACCGGCAGCACCGCCGTGTTCCGCAAGCTGTACGGCGCCATTGGGCAGGGTGTCGCCGAGGGTCGCTACCGCTCCTACCCTCGCATCGTCGGTGAGACGGGCGGCAAGAACTTCCATCTCGTCCACCCCACTGCAGACATTGACAACGCCGTCATCAACACCGTCCGCGGCGCCTTTGAGTTCCAGGGCCAGAAGTGCAGCGCCACCTCGCGCCTGTACGTCCCCAAGTCCAAGTGGCCCGAGTTCAAGGAGAAGCTCGTCGCCCACATGGAGCCTCTGGCGCAAGGTGCGCCCCAGGACCACAGCAACTTCCTCGGCCCCGTCATCCACGAGGCGTCCTTCAAGAAGCTGTCTGGCGCCATCGACGAGGCCAAGAACGACAAGGAGCTCACGCTCGTGACTGGTGGAAGCTACGACTCCTCCAAGGGCTACTTTGTCAAGCCCACCGTGTACGAGACCACCAACCCCGCCCACAAGTTCCTCAGCACCGAGTTCTTCGGTCCCATCCTGACCACCTACGTCTACGACGACAGCACCCCGCAGGGCTTCGAGAAGGCCATGGAGCTCGTCGACTCGACCTCGGAGTACGGTCTCACCGGCGCCGTGTTCGCCAAGGACCGCGATGTCATCCGTCTCGCCGAGGAGAAGCTCCGCAACGCCGCTGGCAACTTCTACGTCAACTGCAAGAGCACTGGCGCCGTTGTCGGCCAGCAGCCCTTTGGCGGTGCCCGTGCCAGCGGCACCGACGACAAGGCTGGGTCCAGCAACCTCATGACGCGCTTCGTCAACATGCGCGCCATCAAGGAGGAGTTTGTCCCGCTGTCGCAGGTCCCCTACCCCAGCAACGAGGCGTGAGCGCGTTGAAGGCCATGCCAGCGCCAAGTTGGCAATTCCGAACCATGCACTGAGCGTTCCCTAGCAGAACAAGGAAGGAAAGCGACAGGCTCAGCAGACGCTGAAATGATGTAAAGATACCCACAACGATCTGCAGGAATAGAGGGCCTGGGGAATGCGCCTTTCGCACATGGCCGAGCGGGCCATATATTATAGGAGGCTGAAATCTTGGCAGTAGCGGCTCCCGATGCCATTTGGAGATATATAGGATGAATGGTATGGATGCACGACCCCAGTTGATAATGAGCTCCTTATCCCTGCGATAAACACAATGAGAGCCCATGTACCCCGTGACATCCACGTAACTAGGCTGGACCAAGAGATGCCCTATCGCTGCAACGCGCTGTGACAAGAGGTGGCTGAAGCGCAACCATAGTAGCCGGGTCGTCCCAGGGGGCTCCGCCTCCAGTATCAACAACGGCCTCCCTTGTTGCTGCCGTGCTGCTGGCGGTATTGCTTGGACCGGATGGATGCCCGACTAGACGGCGTCCGCGGAGTCCGCCTCTGGTTCTGTAGGACGGTACTGTCTCCAACAAGAGCCCCAAGGCTGGGACTCCAGCTCGAGCTCATCCTTGACGATGGGACCCGAAGGGGGAGACACCTCGGAAAGAGTGACCTCGGTTTCCTGCCAATCTGGATCGTCGGAATCATCTGCTAGATCCTCAGTATCCCAACCGTCTGTCCTCTTCACACTCCTTCATCTTGTCGAGCACGCTCGCTACTGATGTGTGCAGTCTCTGCTCGTAACTCGCGGCTTGGTCATAGTGTCCTTTCTTTGGGCGATTGTGCTTCTGTCAGAATGTGTAGCTCCCATGGGTGATCGAGACGTACTACTCCGCCTCGACAGCCATGTCGGACTGAGCCAGCAAAGCTGCCCGGGCGGCCTCATCCATGGTTCTCCAGCCCACTGTAGTTTTGGCAACCTGAGTCTGCTTGCGACGTATCTGGGTCATCATGGCCTTTTCATGGCGCTCATGCTCACGTTTCTCTCAGCTCGCAGGCTCGATGTACGTCGACGGGCTTCAATGGTGTCCTTGTTGGTGGGAATATGCATCTTCAGCCTTGCGCGGTTTTGGCGGTGGCATAGTGGCTGACGTTGCTCGGCAACTGTCTGAGTGCACCAGGCTCTCTCACCTGTATGTAAATAAAACTTCATTGTTGTTAAGCACATCGTTATGCTAATCACTGTTCTGCTCTGTGGAGAGTGACGCGGAATGGGAGGATTCACGGTCCTATAGGTCCACCACCTTGAAGGTAGGGATGTGCCTGAGCAACTTGTTCATCAAGCTCTTAGGACATTTGAAGACCGTCGAAGCTGTTGCTTTCGAACTTCACAAGAGATTTTCTCACAGTGGTGTATTCAGTTGATGTTCTCATCTCGAATCTATTGAGGACGGTCCTCATCATGTTCTACTCAATGTCTAATTCTACGCCACAGACGTGATATACTCAATGAAAACTCCCTGAATTTTTCACACGCCGCATGCTTCCAGCTCTGATCCTCTGTCCGAGTGCGTACTCTCTCCCCCTTACTCCTAAAACTTGCCGTTTGTTCTACTTCTGCTGCCTATGCCGTTTTTCCAACGCTCGCTCTGCGTCCAGTCATCAGCTTCGTCATCTGAGGCACAGGCCACGCCAAAGAATCTATAGACTTTGTCGAGACATTGTCCGCCGTGAGAATGTTGACAATCTCCACGGCCGCGTAGCCACCGATGGCGGTGAGAACATGCCACCTGACAAGTCAGCGGGGATAGTAACGCGGTGCTTCGAGGCCAGACATACCATCCATGAAACTCCAGGAGGAAGGCAAAGGGCAGGCCAATCGTATGTCTTGCTTGGATCAGGTACTGGCAGGCAAATTCGTCAATGAGCCACAGCGCGTAGCCTGTTGCGAAGGACACTATAGGAATGGCAACGTCAGCATCCGTGCGCTTGTGGAAGGGGGGCACTATGCCTCGGGGGAAACCCACGGCAACCAAAGATGGACGCGTTGCTGATCAGCGCTCTTGCATGAGGATCAGGGACTTGCTTAGAGAGTCTGAGCCCGCGCGAGGCGATAATGTACACACTCAAGCCAAAGGCTGTGGCATGGAGAAGGAACTCGTCCATGACCATGTGGGTCACCATGACGATGGTGAAGAGAATGGACAAGATGATGCCCACAGTCCTCGTGCGCTCAGGCGTGACCTTGTAGGTGAGTAGGCGGTATATGAGCGGTGTCGTGAGCAGGTGCATAGACAGTTCGTCGGCTAAAGGACACACGACCACGGATCAGAATCTGGTTCTCTCACCTTCTAGTCCAGGAGAGAGAGGGGGTGGGAAAGAGACTACGCACCCATTTGTGTGTGGTACTTGAGCGTCATGTGGTAGCCGCCAGAGCATATTCCCACACCCATGAGACCGAGATACGACACCAGTCGCGGTCCGCGGGGGAACGTCGACGATGTTGCCAACCCATAGAGGCCGTAGAGCACTACACCAACCGTCAGCAAGATTACTCCCTGCTGCTGGAGGATATCGTCGTACCGAACGTGAGGCTGCTCAACGTGTTGACGATTTCTCCAACATATCGCGAAATGACGTAATCCTAGTACCCAAGAGATCGATCAGAACCGTGTCGCAACAACCACGTCGCCGTTGGAGATGAGCTGGATGAGCCAGGAAACTACCTTACCTCTTCGCAAAAGCTATAGCGAGAAATGTAAAGTCAGCACTGAGTATAGCGCCAGAGTGTGGAGGGGGATGGCCACACTTACTTGAGATATGAGGTCGGAGGACCCCAAAATGGCCCTGTCATGGCGATCTGTTCCCCGTGTGGACGCCTATAGGACGGGGTTGCAGTAGGATTGCGGCAGATGCGCGGGGTGAAGTACTTGCCTACCTTATATACTTGTTTGGATTCGGTATCAAACCGGCTGTCCGGCCTTTATCTGGGTCCGAAGCGGCAAAGGCCTACGTCAAGTTCTGATTTTCGGTAGGTACCTACGAATGTGCCAACGGACCAGACTCCTACTCTGGTGGATTGTCCCGACAAACGGCTAACCCTATACGGCTTGGAGACAGCACGGGGATGTAGAGTGCACCCTGACAGGGTGTCATGCTGTGATATGGTATTGACTGCTGGTAGTTCTTGGGCGGATGAACAAGTTCTGAAGATACAATTCATTTGGGACACATTTCTTCCAACGTCACCATCAGACTTCAAAAGGAAAAGCAACAATGTACTCATTGAAGAATCATAAACTCAGCAATATATAGCAGCTGAACCATCTGCCTCCATGCCCCAAGTCGACAATCGCGCATTAATTCTTGGTAATCCGGCACACCAGATCGGAACCGTCGACGCTGTCGCCCTCCCTGACCTGCAAGCTGGCGACCTTGCCGCTGTGGGGAGCAGAGATCACCATTTCCTGATATACACGTTAGCTGGGGAAGTCAGGCTGAGAGATATTCAATAAACGCACCATCTTCATTGCCGACAACACGGCGAGGGGGTCGCCCTTCTTCACATCCGAGCCCTCGTGGACGCGGAGCTCGACGAGGACGCCCGACATGGGCGCGCCGACCTGGCTCGAGTCGCTGGGGTCGGCCTTGGCGCGGCTGACGTTCTCCACGGCCGCCTTCTTGTCGACGACGGTCACCTGGCGCACCTCGCCGTTCATCTCGAAGAAGACCTCGCGCAGGCCCGTGTTCTCGCTGAGGGGACCGACGGCCAGCAACTTGAGGATGAGCACCTTGCCCTTCTCCAGCTCGACATTGAACTCCTCGCCAATCTCGGGCTTGGAGAGGAAGAACCGGGTCGGAAGGACCGACAGGTCGCCGTAAGTCTGCTGGAACTGGCGGAAGTCCTCAAAAACCTTGGGGTACATGACGTACGACGCAATGTCGCACTCGGTCACCGGTCCGCCCGTCTTCTTGCCGAGCTCCTTCTTGACCTTGGCAAAGTCGACCGGCTCGAGGAAGAGACCGGGACGCTTGTCGAGCTTGCGTCGGCCACGCAGAGCATCGGTGCGCAGCGGCTCGGGGAAGCCGCCATAGGGCTGGCCCACTAGAGGAGTTGATTAGCACAGTCAATGGGGCATATCTATGGAGTGGACTCTTACTCAGACCCTCAAAGAAATCGAGGACGGAGCCGGGGAAGTCGAGCTCTCCGGCGCGAGCCTTGACATCCTCTGGCGAGAGCTTGTTGGAGACCATGAACTGGGCAAGGTCACCGACAACCTTGGAGGTAGGTGTAACCTTGACAACGTCACCCAGGAGGTCGTTGGCCTGCTCGTAGGCCTTCTTGGTCTCGAGCCACTGCGAGCCAAGTCCAAGCTGCGCGGCCTGGAACATCATGTTGGTCAGCTGGCCACCAGGGATCTCGTGCTCGTACACTTCGGGATCGGGGCCCGACAGGTGGGCCTCGAAGGGGGAGTAGAGGAGACGGAGCTGCGACCAGTAGGTGTCCAGGCAGCGGACCTGGCGGGGGTCCAGGCCAGACTGGAAGTCGGAGCCCTCGAGAGACGCGAGGATGGCGTTGATGCTGGGCTGCGAGGTCATGCCCGACAGACTGTCGGTCGCGGCGTCGACGGCATCCGCGCCCGCGTGCGCGCAGGCAACCATGGATGCGACACCAGTACCAGCCGAGTCGTGGGTGTGTACGTGGATCGGGAGATCGGGGTGGTTCTTGCGGATAGATCCGATGAGGATGGTGGCCGCATGGGGCTTGAGAACACCCGCCATGTCCTTGATGCCCAGGACGTGGATGTCAAGCGCGACGAGCTTGTCAACGAGATCCAGGTAGTATTGCAGGTTGTACTTCTTCTGGGGGTTCTACAGGCAAACGTCAGTGAGCGTTATCCACTGCGGCGCCCGAAGGGTCAAGGGGCAGATATTGACTCTTCTTCGCCCACGAATATTGGGCCACCGCGAGAACATGCCGTATACGGCATGCAAGTAGAAAAAATTGTACTTACTAACATGTCACCTGAGATGCACACGGTACCCTCAACAACACCGCCAGCCTTGTGGACAGCATTGATACCAACCTCCAGCTGGTTGATGTCGTTCAGGGCGTCAAAGACACGGAAGATGTCAACACCGTTCTTCTTCGCCTGCTCGACAAAGTGTTCAATGGCATTGTCGGGTAGAGAGGAGTAGGCAACACCGTTGGCACCACGAAGGAGCATCTGGAACGGAATGTTGGGAATGAGCTTCCGCACTGTTTGATAAAGTAAGCATATGATCGACAGCTGAGGAGATCCTCGCGCAACACGGGCACGGGAGTAAACTTACTCTTACGCAGACGATCCCAAGGGTCCTCGTACAGGAAACGCATGGCCACATCAAAGGTAGCGCCACCCCAGCACTCCAGACTGTAAAGGTTGGAGAGCGCATGGCTCGTCTCCTTGGCAATGTTGAGTAGATCGACTGTGCGCACACGCGTCGCCAGGAGCGATTGACTGCATCACATTAGAACGACGGACATCAGCATGGAGGGAAACGGTTGCACGTACTGGGCATCACGCCAAGTGGTATCCATCAAAAGACATCCCTTGTAGTCGCGGACAGCCTTGGCGAAGGCCTTGGGGCCCTGATCGACGATGATGTTGCGCCAGCCCTTCTGGCATGGCTCGCTGACATCGATCTTTTGACCGTTGGAGGCAATGATGTCGGGCATGATGATCTCGCTCCTGAGCTTGGGCTCGCCAATCTGCCCCTTGATGCTGCTGCCGTTGACGGCGACATCTCCAAGGTACGCCAGGAGCTTCTGGGCGCGGTTCTGGCTGCCGACGAGGTCGAACAGCGAGGGGGTATCGTCGATGAAAGTCGTCCAGCAAGTTCCGTCGATAAAGGTGGGGTGCGTCAGAAGAGAGGCGAGGAAGGGGATGTTGGTCTTGAGGCCCCTGATCCTGAACTCGATCAGGGCACGGAGGACCTTTCTGCGCGCAATCTCGTATGTTGAGCCATGGCATGTGCACTTGACCAGCATAGAGTCGTAGTAGGGGGTGATGACGGCGCCGGCGAAGCCGTTGCCACCGTCGAGGCGGACACCGTTACCACCGGCAGATCGGTAAACCTCGATCTTGCCCGTGTCGGGCTGGAAGCCCTTGGAGGGATCTTCGGTGGTAATTCGGCATTGGATCGCGTAACCTCGGGTCGAGATGTGGTCCTGCGTCAGGCCGAGCTGGGACAGAGTGGCGCCGGCGGCGATCTGAATCTGCGCAGCGACAATGTCGATGCCCGTGATCTCCTCGGTGATGGTGTGCTCGACCTGGATACGGGGGTTGATCTCGATGAAGTAGTAACGGTTCTGCTGGTCGACGAGGAACTCGGCCGTTCCCGCGTTGCGGTAGTTGACAGACTTGGCGAGCTTGACGGCGTCCGCCAGGATGGCGTCCCTGGTCTCCTGAGGCAGGTCCTTGGCGGGGGCAATCTCGACGACCTTTTGGTGACGGCGCTGGACGGAGCAGTCACGCTCGTACAGGTGGACAATGTTGCCGTGGTTGTCACCGAGGAGCTGGACCTCAATGTGCTTGGGTCTGTCGAGGAAGCGCTCGACAAAGACGGTGCCGTTGCCAAAGGCCGACTTGGCCTCGGATGTGGCACGCTCAAAGTGCTCCTGCAGGGACTCGGGCTCGCGGACGACGCGCATGCCGCGACCACCGCCACCGTAGGCAGCCTTGATGATGATGGGGAAGCCATACTGGTCGGTGAAGGACTTGACCTCCTCAAATGTCGCGACGGCGCCCTCGGTACCGGGGACGACAGGCACATCGGCCGCAATGGCGAGCTTGCGGGCTGAGACCTTGTCGCCGAGCGAGTCGATGACATCAGGCGAGGGGCCGACGAACTGCGCAAATCAGCACGGTACTGTACATGATGGCGAATCCTAGGCGATGGGAAGCTTACAATGAGACCGGCCTTCTCGACGTTGCGTGCGAACTCTGCGTTCTCGGACAGGAATCCGTAGCCTTGGAGTGGTTAGTTCGTCTTGGCGAGTCGTCTGTAGCTTTCTGTAGAGAGGAACCAACCAGGGTGGATCATCTGAACGCCATGTTCGACAGCAATCTTGATAATCTCGTCACCGGCAAGATAGGCTCCGACGGGTGTGTATTGACCGCGCTTGCCAATGACGTAGGCCTCGTCGGCCTCTGCGAGCCCGTCAGTACTGTTCGTGGGAGGCGGGAGGTAGTCGTACTCTGCCTGTGCATGCTGAGACGGTCCTCATAACTGAAGACGGCGACAGTGTGCAGCGAGAGCTCGTGAGCCTGGGACGGTGGTCAGCGCTCTGGTCAACCAATTGGCCATGTCGGACGGCACGTACAGTTCGGAAAATCTAGCAGAAGCTCCATGTCAGCAATTGTCCAAGCTGTCTAGGTTTGCTCTGGGAGGCCCAGGAAAAAGCAGGGAGTTCTCGTACTCGAATGGCTGTCCATAGTTAGCCAACGGATTGTACATTCACTGGCGCAAGGAGACTCACGAATTTCACCACGGTTGGCAACTGTGAGGAGAATAAAGATCAGCGCAGGCTCGCGAAGCTTTGTTCCAGAAGACGTGACACACCGAGGATCTTCTTCAATTGCATGATGCTCGAGTTGGCACGGATGTGGTGGACGGTGGGCGCCTCCTTCACGTCATCTTCGTCTTCGAAGACATCGGTGAAGGTCAACGGCTGTTGCGGGACGACGGCAGCCATTGTGACGGCTCTTCGGGCGTATCGCGCTGAGCTGGAGTGCGGTAGCTAGGTGAAGATAGTAGCGACGAAGCTCGAGCAGGCAAGAAGAGCAGAGTCGGGTCACGCGGTACAGGAGTGCGAGGCTCGCTGGTTTTGATAGCGAGTATCTGCCAGGCGGCGGGTACGTAGGAGGGGCCGGATTCGGTGATGGCGGGGTCTCAAGTCACACAGAGCAGAGAGCTCGACTGGAGCTCTTGGTTCTTGGTCCAGTCTCTTGCTCGGCCCAAGGCTGGGGGTGGGCGTGGCGGTGGGGTATCTTGATCAACAAGTTGCAGGGGGTGGGTGGGAAGGCCTGCTGCTCTACGTAGTACAGGCGGGATAATCCGTAGCTTTCGCCAGATCTGATCGACCGATAGGGTGAGGTCAGGTAATTTGGTTTGAGATGTGGGAGATAAGTAACCGTGTAGGAGAGGGGTCACGTCGACTTGAGTGTCTTGCCAGGCGGGTGAGGTTACGGTATCTGCTCTGCCTGGCCCGTCTCGGGTGACGCAGTTTTGGCAATGGCGGCGCGATAGGGCAGTAGAGCACCTGCAGCACCAATCACTAACTAACAGCCGCCGTCGACGGGCACTGGCACTGGCACTGGCTTGGACTTGGAGCCCCGCCATGAGCCGAGGGCACTGCGGCTGACATTGGTGGTGGAAAACCTTCTCAAGCTGCTCTACACTGTCCCGTGAGCAATTGAGTTTGGGGAGTTTGTCTAACAGCCTAACAGTCGATACATCATTACTGTGCTAAGCTTGCAGTAGATCTCTGGTCTGGAAGTCCCAGATGATTGGCATGTGTCAGTCAATGTGTGTCATGGATGGACACCTCCGTGCTCGGCGAGGCTTTTCTGACGCATCGGACAGAGGAAAGAGAGAAAAACTGGCACAGCGATTGCGAATTTCGGTCAGTCACAGATTGGCGTGAGACACTTTTTTTTTTTTTTTCCTCTTCCTTTTTTGAGAGAGGCGAAGATGTCGCGTAGGTAGGCCTGCCGCGAGGCTGTACGTTGTTAGTAGCTCCAGTCGCGCTGCCACCAGGCGGGCCAATCAGTGCGCGCTGATAGTGGCCGATTACGTCTTCTGCGTTGTCTAATGGTAAATCCCGATGTGTAAAAACCCTCATACACGAACGTCCCAGGACGCTGACACTCTTCGACGACCGACTGATGATTCTAATGAGCATCAAGAGGTACCGAGGGCGTCACGGATGTCGAGACGCGACAGGAGGCTGCGAGAGCGCGTTTCCTCGGGTCAACTCGCAACGAGCACGCTGCTGTGTGCTGGATTCGGAGCTCTGTCCCTGACTATTCTCGTGCCTCGACTAACAACATCTCCAATCACGAGTGACCCTGGCCCGAGGTCCACCAGCGGGAACCCCTCGGCCTTGGGACCGAAGCCCTTGGAGTTGGGTCGGCTTTGCGCATCCGTGGGGCGGTCATCAGCTGCTCTGGTCCTCTGGGAAACTTCTCGCTTCGAACGGCATGGCATCACCCCCGAGTATCGATAGCCGGGTAATAAAGGTCTGTTCGGGGCGCTTAGCGAAAGGGGATTCGACGTCCATCACTCTACGGTTAATTGAGGATTCAGTACTAGCCTACCACTAGGTCTGCATACTTTGTAGAATCGTAGGTACCACCGTACGCACAGCAAATAAGCTTGACCCCCACGGGGCAACGGAGATTCGGCATTGTATCGTTAGATGGCGGCTACATGCCGGTCTGCAACAGCACTGTCATGTGAGGGTCAAGGCTTGTGGGATACGCAGATCACCCTGCAAGTCCCTGAAAAGACTCATAGTCACTCCGTGAATACTGGACTAAGGCCCAGACTTCATATCTCCAGGACAACACATGATCATACTGCTTTCAGTGTTCGGCATCTTGAACATGCCAAGCACAATGTTCACCACCACCAGCGCGTCACTATGCATTGCCACGCATGCTCCACGCTCCCTCCAGCCTGTAGGCATCACGTTCAGCGAGAATCGTGCAACCTGAGTCCGTTCGGTCAGATGTTCTTTCGCCGATGCCCAACCGGTTGGCATCTACTGATCCGGACGGCTAAATGTGGTTACCCGCGGGTCCCAGAGCAGCTGCCAGCAGTTACCGTGATACCATGCTAGGGATGCAGGAACAAGGGAATGAGCCAGTCCACCTCTTCGATCCCGAGATTTCACGCCCACGACGGGACTGGCCCGCAGCAGAAGATCGTACGTAGCCGGTCCAGTCCAGTCAGCACTGCGCCGGACGTACGGCCGAGACGTCGAGGCCCCAATCGGCTACATCAAAAGGAAGATTCAGTCGGGCGTGGCCGGAGATGGTACGGGCCAAGGTACCCAATGAGTTAGCTTGCCAGTGCGTGTCGATCCGGGGAAGAAAAGCGCCAGCGGGGGGAACCGCAACTGGGGGGAGGAAAAAAGATTCACGATCTGGATACCTGTCCAGTCTCAATTACAGTACAGAGAAAGCCGTGGCCGTCCGTCGTGTCTTCCTTCTCTTTCACCAGGCTGTCCAGCCCGGTGAGCCCATCCAGTCATGCGATGGGGCGGAAGAATCTCCCAACAACAACAACACCTCTGCATGTCCCTTCTGCTCGTCCAGGTGGTCCTTACTTGCCGACCGCGCTCTTCACCTTGTCCTCCACCTGCTGCACACCCTCCTTGGCCTTCTCCACGCCATTCTCCAGACTCAGCTTCTCCTTTCCACCCCAGTGGTGGTACGACATGTATCGGTACATCTGGGTCAGCTGCGCGCCCTCGTTGACAAAGTGGCAGCCAAACAGTAGCCAGTTGCGCGGCGAGACGGCCAGCGAGTAGCGCATGAAGGTGGCCGAGTAGATGCAGAGAGCACCCGTCATCTGGCCAGAGATCCTATCGTTGCCCACGTGTTAGGTCAGGTTTCCATCAAGTAGGGAGAGAGGGCGCGCGCGCGCGCGTGTGTGTGTCGTTCTTTCGGATACGCTGGGTTGTCTCACAGGTCAGGGCTCTTCTTGGTGTCGAGGACGGCGGCAACAGGGATACCGAAGTTGGACACGGGGCCCCAGAAATCTGTGAAACGCGTGTCAGCCATGTGTTCTTGAGATCATTTGTGTTCGGTAATCTGTTCCAGCCAGTGTCCCCGCGTCGGCAAGTCTGCCCGGCGATGTCGTAGAGCTTCGCGCGAAAAATCAGGAACCCCCAATGTCCAGACGTGGGGTGCGCAAGCTGCGGACAAGGACTTTGCCGGCGCACAAGACACTGCCACGTGCTGGCAACTCTTTCCGTTGTTTTCTGGGCGTTTTCTCTCTCCCTGTATCCCCTCCTGTTTCTACCAGCTCACACCCATCTCCTTCCTATCAGGTTATACGTACGTGTCGAGCAGACGTAGTCGAGCATCGGGTTCGCCCGGATCTTGGCGTTGGCGGCCTTGATAAAAGCAGCCATCTTGAATAGAGTATCGACGACCGTGGAAGGTGAATTAAAGGCGTGGTCGAGGGCGCGAGTTGCTGGTGTTGAGCGTCGTGCTACCGCTTCCCCAAGAATTGTTGCGGCGGATACCGGAGCTTGCATGCAGGTCACGTGATGTGATCTCTTGCACCGCAGGCCGCTTTTCTTAGGCGCAGCAGTCACAGGAATTGAGAAATGTCGAATTTTATGAACTTCCCATATTCACAGTAAAATCAGTTTACCTTGTTCTTTGACCTGTCGGTATTCGCGTGAGCAAACGTTTTGCTTATTCAGTCCCAGTTGCGATGCCGGCAGGGAATCCCAAGCTTATGGAGCATTAACTACCTACCCGGTACCTGCTCGTTCAAAAGCATGATCCTGAGCAGCTGTGCTGCCATTTTGGCTCAATCAAATGACTAGCACATCTCGCAATATTCCGCGCACATACTGTCAAGGCTCTATTACGCATTAATGCCTCTAAACACAGTCGCCTAGATACACCATCCTGGTGCGTGGAGCTCTGGGGCTGCTATCAACTAATTACTCAACTCCTAAACATTTGAATAAAACAGCTGGTCATAAGCTGTCAAGAAAAGGACCGAACATATACCACATTGAAAGAATCAAACCCTCTGCCTACATGCCAGGGCGAGTGAAGCCTTCGCCTTCAGGCCAATTGCCCAGCTCGGCGGGATCGCCACCAATGCGAACGAAAACACCCACAGCGGGAACGCCGCCGTCAAGAACAAAGAACTGATACCACCCTGGCGTGCAGATGTAGGGACCAGGAGGTGCAGTGACCGTGCAATCGGTACCGCTGCACGAGACAGCGGGAAGCAGTGTGCGAGCACCCATGGAGTTACCGTGGGTGCTAGAGACGGAGCCAAGGAGGGAGGCGGTGATAGCACCGTTGACGGCTGGCGACCCAAGAGTGAACGAGTACGTTCCCTCAAAGTCCCAGTCTGTGTTCTCCATGGTGAACGTGGGACGAGGCTTGCCGCTCAAGAGGTAAGGGGGGTTGAAGACTTCAACGCGGTACTCTTGCGGGTTGACACCATCTTGAGGATCCGAGCCGGAAACAAGGACACGTCCGTCAAGGAGGGTCAGGGCTTCGGAGTGGTACATGCGCGCCACCGTGGTATTGGCCATGACGGTCATGCGGCTGCCCGTCGGCTTCTCGGGGTCGTAGAGGATCGCGTTGAGGTTGGGCTTGGTCGCAAGTCCGAAACCAGCCACGCCGTGCATGGCACCGTTCATGATCAAGTAGGTACCATCAGGCAGAGGTGCCATGCAGCTCATGACACGCTTCGAGGGCATGCGTTCCAGGACCCATTCTGGCTCGGCGGCATCGGGATAGATGGTGACGCAGTTGTCCAGAGCATTGGCCACGCCCTCGGTCGAGCCACCACAGATGAGGATACCGAGAGGGTCGCTGTAAGGGGCCTTCTGAGGGAGCAGGACAGATGTGCCTTCGAGAGGGTATGTACGTCCACCCATGGGATCATTGACCGCACCGGGGATGTTGGGCAGAGTCTTGATGGTCTCAAAGGTGTTCTCATCCAGGATACGAGCTTCGTTCCAGTAGGAGACAAAGATACCCTTGGACGGCAGAACGGCCAGGTAGGGGTAGAGGTTGTTGGGGTCAGTCCGCTCAAGCCACTCCATGTACAGCGGAGCACCGCCTGTGAAGGGAAGGATCTCCAGAGTAGGGACAGGCGCACCGTTGGAACCTTCCTCACCACCGACCACGAGAATGGAACCATTGGCCATGTTGAGTGTGGACGGGTACCAACGACCGTCCTGAAGGCTCAGGATATCAACATCCTCCTCCCAGTCGTTGGTGCCCTGAACCCCATCGCTGCCATCGGGAGTGTACAGACGGACACCGTAGGTTGACTCGCCTGACCAGCCACCGACAGTGAGTTGCCGACCAGCCTTGTCCGGGAGCGTGACACCGGCGGCACAGAAGAGATCGGTCCTCACGTTCATTGTTCGCCAAGCAAGGTCAAAGTTGTCAATGGCACTCAGATCAAGTTCGTAGGCACCCGTCGAGTTGGGAGGGCCAGTCGTCCACTTCTCGAGGAAGGTGACCTTGCCGTTGACGGCTTGCGAGGTCATGAGGGGAATAACCACGCCGCCAATGAGGAACTCGTAGCTGCCTGCCTCGGGCGTGCCGTCTTCGGGAAACTCCCAAGAGTACAGAGGCTCATCGCCGTCCCAGAAGTAGGTGGTCATGCGAGAACCGCCGCCACACATAGCGCCGCCGTCACCGGCGCAGGCTATGTCGCACTCATCATCGTCCACAATGCTGGCACCGTTGACTTCAATATTTTCTGGGTCACCGCAATAGCATTCAACGCCGTACTCGAGACCGGCAGCAGCGTATCCGAACTCGGCGCAGGCGTCGGTGCAGATCTTGGGTGTCAAGGTGCCATCGAAGATAAGTTGCCATGGGAAGGTACGATCCAGACCCGCATTGTCAGTAACGCAGCCAGCATAGACCCAGTCACCAACCCTCTCCGTTGCCCTGGGAGGCTGGTAGATCGTGGGTTCGCCACGGGAGAAGATGCTCATCCTGTTTGGTCCTCCACAGAATTCGTCACTGTTTCCTCCGCAGGCAGTGTTACACTCGGACTCACTATCGGCAAGCTCGCCGCCGTTGTAAATGGCGTTGCCGCAGAAGCACTGTGTATAGTATTGGGTACCAGCGATAGAGTATCCACGGCGATCACACTCAGCTACGCAAGAAGCAAGAGTGAGCTCGGGGTCGTCGGGGGTTTGTGTGTTGAGGATGCGGCCATTGACCATATCGGCCCAGCAGCCATAGTAGTCCCAGCCGTCGGGAAGATCGGTGGGCACAGGGGCGGTAGGGCTCTGCGAGGGTGCGTCGTCCGTGGTGGATGGGTCGAGGGAGGGTGTGGGAGGTGCATCGCCAATGGCGTACACAGAAAGACGGTCTCCTGCACCACAGAAGTCACACTGGGCACCTCCGCAGAGCATGTTGCACTCGGATGCGGGACGTTGGGTCGAGCTGCCTTGGAATTCATTACCGCAATAACACTCCCATTGGTACTCAACGCCGAAATATGTGTACCCAGCGCAGTTTTCGGCGCACATTTGAAGGGTCATCTGGTAGGATGTCATGGCGTTCGAGTTCAGAGTGCGAGCCGCAGGAGAATCTGTGTAACACCCGGCCCAGGTCCAGGAAAGCACATTCTCGGGTTGACCGGGACATACTGTGGGTTCCTCAACAGGCGCAGATGACATGGTGGTAGATACAATCTCTTGCTCCGATTGAGAGGAGGTGGTGGTGGTACTCGAGGTTGAGATGCTCGAAGGGGTGGGAGTGGCCGATGCTGAGGATGAGGGAGAGCGAGTCGTCGTCGATGCGGCTGAAAGCGAGGGCGATGAAGTGCTCGACAGCGATGCCGAAGGGAACGAGGAGCTGGGCGACGCTGGAGGAGACGAGCTAGGCGAAGCTGAAGCAGACGAGCTAGGCGACGCTGAAGGAGACGAGCTAGGCGAAGCTGAAGCAGACGAGCTAGGCGAAGCTGAAGCAGACGAGCTAGGCGACGCTGAAGGAGACGAGCTAGGCAAAGCTGAAGGAGACGAGCTAGGCGACGCTGAAGGAGACGAGCTAGGCGAAGCTGAAGGAGACGAGCTAGGCGAAGCTGAAGCAGACGAGCTGGGCGACGCTGGAGGAGACGAGGAGCTCGAGACGGAAGCCGACGTAGAGACAGCACTGGAAACAGGCGAAGAGGAGGACGAAGACGACGAAGAGGCAGCGCTCACCGCAAATATACTACTGGGGGTCGTAGTTGATGCCGAGGAGCTAGCACTCGTTGATGTGGTTACAAATGCTGATGTGCTTGTAGGCGTGGAACTGGCCGAGCTGGTAGTGGAACTCGTTGGAGAAGAGCTCGAGCTCAAGTCCGAACTCGTCTGTGAGTCTGACAAGGTCGTCGAGGGTGTCGTTGTGCTTGGCGAGCTCGTGTCGCTCGACGCCGAAAGTGTTTCTGTAGTAGTTGGAAGGGGAGTGTGCGAGACTCTGATTTCCCATGGTCAGCCAGTCTCCTTTCAACGCTTCCACACTTGACAGCCCGGAGACTCCAAATCGATCCGCATATACACTTACGTGGTGGCCGGTGGCCCCGAAAACTGCAGCTTGAAGTCATACACGTTCATGTGGCCTGTGCCACCGCACAGCTCGGTCCTGTTGCCCCTGCAAGCATAACTACATTCATCGGCTTCGGCGAGCTCATGGTCGTTGGTAATTGTGTTGCCGCAGACTGCGAGTATATGGTTAGGAGATGTTCAAGGGCCATGGGTGCTTGACCCATGATAATCATTTGACTTACAGCATTCTCCGCCGAACTCGACGCCCGCGAGGATGTAGCCGCGAGTGGCGCACCCCTCAATACACTTTTTGACAGTCATGTCGACGGGATCGATCGAGTGCTCCTGGCTCGTCAACGCCCTGTTACCGGGGGAATCCCTGTTCATAGTCAACTTGCTGTCGCCCTCGTTGTGAGTTTTCGGGGTTGCCTTGGAGCACCTACGTCCAGCAGCCGATCGCTTCGTAATCCATCCAGCCAGGGTTTACATCCGGACCTTTGCGCTTGTACAGACTCAAACGATTCGATCCACCGCAAGGTTGGTCCTCATCGCCCATGCAGGCGGTGTCGCAGTCATTGGGGTCAGCTTCTGAAGCACCAGGGGCCAACTTGTCGCCACAGAAACATTCTTGATACCACTCTGTACCAAAGGTACTGTAGCCCCGGTCATAGCAGAATTCACCGCACATCTCGTTGGTCATCTCATCATTGCGGAAGCTGTCCTTGTCGATGGTGCGGCCAACATCGCTGTCTCCCGGTCAGCACATGTGCGGATACTCGTGGTGTAGAGAACAGGCGCCCTACAGGTAACAGCCCTGGTACTCCCATCCTCCTTCGATTTCGATTGGCGCCTCCAAATCTCGTTTGTGCACTGCGGTAGCATCGGAGGTGTAAGAAAGAAGGGCGAGGGTCGCCAATGACACCACTGTTGACCTTGTCATTGTCATCATGGCTGCCCCTTTCTGGCGCAGTCGCACACGGGCAAGACGCGATGCTGTGAGGCAAGCAATGTCCTGCAGAGTAGGATTAACAGGGGGCCAGATGCGTGATCGAATAATCAAAATTTAAGAGGGAAAACGTCAACAACCCATGCTCGACAGGAAGCCTCGACTTCTATACGTGCACGGGAGCTTCGTTCAGCTTCAGCAGGGTGGTGGGCCTCACTAGATTTAATGGGCTTAGACGACACTGCAAGGCGGATCTGACTCGCCGGCCGGCAGGTCTGCCCGGCGATGTACCTTTTCGACAGTCCCACGTTGAGCTATTCATATGGCCCCATGGTATTGCTGTGGCCAGTGACGGGGCACTGCTACTGCCATGGGTAGTGGCGGTGGTGATGAACTAGTAGGGGCATCAGCCAGCCTTGCCGTGGGACATGGCCCGGCCGTCGAGCTGGTGGGCAACAATCATCTCGAAAGCCACGCGAGCTGAGGGAATCTGAGAGTCAATGGCTTGTTAGATGGGCTGGCTGTCCGCCGTAATCCTGTGCTGACTCTGCTGGCCGGCGGGTGGAGAGATTGTCGCAGGGGTGCCGTGAGCTCCCGTTCTTGGCGTGCACATTCTGCTCGCGGAAAACGCGTTGCCTGGTGATGGATGCAGAAGCTTATGGACTGTCCCTCGCAGGACGCGATACGAGGAGCCCGCAAGCCCCCCAATGGTGTGCGCATTCGAGCTCTCAGGGTCGTCCAGCTGGGTCGATAGCGTCACGGGCGGGCTTGGCGCCAAACAGCCACGCGCGCTGTGCTGCAGGCCACGAAGAGGTGAAAAAACGAGGGCAAACTAATGAATGTGGTACGGGTCAAGTGTTGCTATCATCAGCGGAAGGAAATGTGATTTTCGACTTTCACGACATGGTTCAAGGATCAAGAGTCAAGACCATCACTTGCGGTTAATAAGGCAAGATCGACAGTGGACATTGCTGTGCCTGTGGTGGCACTATGTGGCTTGCTCACCGGGCTGAGCGAAGGACTGGAAAGGAGGAAAGGAGGACCAAGGGGAACAGATCGAGCAATTTTATTGTTGATTATTGAACCCAACCTTGACCGCAGTGAGGGAAGCCTGAGCTTCGGGCGTGGACATCTCCAAGAATCAAACATGAAGCCAGGGCGCTTTACGATCCCAATTACCCAGCAACGACTGGCCCGCCCACCAACAATGGGATTCTACATGACCAACCTCGCCCCACACGTTCGAGTACCGTAAGCGTGCTGAATATGAAGGCGACGTGGGAACAACTCAGTACGCGCCTGTCGCCTTGCGTGCCAACTCTGCATGATGAGCAAGCGGTCATGCCATAAGCACCCATGATGCCATTCCACGTAGTATTATTACCTACGCGTGTCGGTGCCGCCCAGTCCCTTCTGCCCGTACACCTACATGTACAGTACTTGTATTGTCAGTATAGCCCTCCACCCCCTCATTTTGGCAGACCGTAATCAAAATTGTCGCCAAGCAAGTCGAGGCGTGGCTAGATGGTTAAAAGACCTTTGTTCGCGTGAATCAGAGCGTAGCGCGCAGCCTCGACCATTTGATGGTTCGCTATTCCTGCTCTAGATGCGGATGGTGCCACGTCCAGCGGTGCCACAAGGCTGGTGTCCGGCGAGCCCAGGTATCTGGTTATCAGGTCATGGCATGACCTATGTACGAAACGTGAATAACGTGCATAGCTGGCGAGGTCTGGTGTTTGGTGGGGACGATTAATAGAGATGCAAGATCTGAATCGGGACATTGGCCATGGCTAAAGCTAAACTCAAACTATTGGGGTCACTACATCCGATCCGGTAAGGTAACGACTGAATCTACAAGTGCTAAAACTTAGTGCCAGGGGTCAGTGCGGCCGGCCGGTGGGCGGTGGTGAGACAAAAAAGGAGACCCTTTCTGAAAAGTGAAAACCCATCTTCATTCTTCACTCTGTGTGATCATCCGAAGCAGTCGGCAGAACTTACAGGGGGATCCTGTGATACTCGGGTCTAGGGACATTGGCAGACTGCTTGCAGGATTTTATAGTGTGCTTTTCATTAGCAGGGCTCCAACAAACGCTCACACAGATTGTACGTATAGTGCTCAACATCTCGTACCCAAAACGTGCCGGCGACCCGCCGACAATCTGCCAAGAGAGCGCCTCTCCAACAATGACCTGAACCTGAGGTACTTGTAGGCCTGTAGCACTGGGATCCACTGCTGGCTTCTTGGGCTTGTCCGAGCAATCATGTGATCTCAGATGAATTGTACAAGTACAGTCGCTGTGCTAAAAGTACACGTAATGGTACATAGCTGACCCTGCAACATACGAAGAGGCCACCAGCTGTTTTTGCATGAATATGATACGACTGTAAGTAGTTTTGCAGCTTGCAGCTTGCAGCTTGCAGCTTGCAGCTTGCAGCTTGCATCTCGTATTATGTATGTCCGACTGTTTGATACCAGCCGCACGCCTGCATTTCGGTGCTGATAAGGCTTCTAACGTTGCTTCCTAGCCGACACTCATGTGACGAGCTTTAGACGACCAACTAATTACGGCGCCATGGTGACAATAGCTCAGCATATCCGCACTGAACACAGGTAGACTACCTGGTAGACTAGCGGATTCCATCCGCCTCACAACATACGAGTCCCGCCCCAGGCCGCCTGGGAGTCTGGGACTCGGGAGGTGCGTCCAACATTATTCGGCCTCGGAATAAGCCAGTTGAGGCGGGAAGAGCGAGTCAGCTGTCAATGAAATGTCAAGGCGATTTATGCTTTGGAATGCATAAACCGTTTTGCTATATTGTATTTTACAACCAGCCCTACGTCGCGACTGGAACTCAGGCGCCTCAAGTTATCAATGTGTGGTGGCACTGGTGTGATCCTTGCTTTTTCCACAGCCCACGCACAGCCCCCACACGGGCTTTGTAAAAAGGAAAAAGGACAGTGACCAGTGGGTAGCGCAGGAGGCATTCAAGGCAAGCGACGGTCAGAGCAGATCTCCCTGAGACAAACAGCAGGCTAATAAACGCCTCCTCACAGATGTTATCAGCTTTAGAATCCGCAGAATTCACTACCCTATACATTTGTGATGTCAAGGCCATTGTCGTCACGTGACAGCGCGACAATTGACGTGTGCGTGATCCGGAAGCAAGCAGCGAGCACATCTAATTACCACGCGAAACCAACAAGTAGACATTGAGCAGCTACGCGGTCGGGGCAGCGCGTTTGCTTATGTGCCCATACTCTGGATGGCCTTGTTGTCAGACGTCAGTCGCCATCACGCAGAACATGCTGTCGCAAGCACGTGCTCGCCTGGTGTTTGCCAAATGGAGAGCTCTTGAGATGTAATTTTTGCAGACCATGCAAATTTGAAACCTTGTCGCTGACGACTCGAGTGATCTGCGCGCGGGAAGACGAAGTTGGCTGGGATCTAATGTTCCTGTCTTGGTGAGTCATGTTGAGTTTGCCTCTGCAGCGCTTCAGCAGCCTGTGTTTTTCAACTTCACTTCATGTGGGTCCCGTCCGCTCAGTGCAATGACAAACCTCGACAAGACTCGCCACACCTTTGAACTCGGAGACTCTGCAACCTCGTTCAGCCTACATCGTGAATCTTTTGAACATTACCGAGCAACCATCGCTCTCAGCCTGAGGGTTTTCTTGCTAGCCACACACGGTCACTGCCGTCTGTTCAGAACGTCATCATCATCACTTCGAGTCTCCGCCCACTGCACAGTCTGCGTGGCACGGAAAAGACCTTGCCATGAGGGGAGGAAAAGGGAACGGCCAGCGGAGACCGGCGTTTTCGGGAAGTCTGTCCAAGAACACTGCCAAGAGCAGCAACGGCGACTCACCTGCTGCGAATTCTTCATCAGCAACAGCCCAGCCCAAGTTGAGCGCGCAAGCCCAGGAGTTCGTTCCCGGCCAGCCCTCAGAATCCTCCCAAAAGCCAACTAAGCCCTCTAAACAAGCCAAAAGGTAGGGGTGAAGCTGTGGACCACGACCACCATCAGACATCGGGCTAACGTGAGCAGTGTCCCTGTCAGACCCAAAAGGCAACAACGGCCCAAGGTCATAAAGCCCCCCAAGTATGGCGGCACGGAGCGCGGCACCACTATCCAGGAAGACATTGTCGCTGGACGCTTGTCATGCAGTATCTGCACCGAGAACGTGACGAGACGGAACCCCGTCTTTAGCTGTCCCAAGTGCTACAACGTACTCCATTGGAAGTGTGTCAAGGAATGGGTGCAGTACCAGGACGACGCCGAGAAGAAGTTCCAAAAAGGCATCGAGCCATGGCGAGGACCATGCTGCAACTCGGAGATCCTGGGGTTCCCCAAGGGACCCACATGTTGGTGCGCAAAGGAACCCTTCAAGGGTCCATCGCCTGCGACGCTTCCGCCACACTCGTGCGGTGAAATGTGTCAAAAGGAATTGCCAAACTGCGACCACCGATGCATCGAGCAGTGCCACGCGGGGGTCTGTCCGCCATGTCCCATTGTCAATGAGATCTCGCTATGTCACTGTGGTGCTCACGAGGAGCGCAAGTCGTGTCGCCAGACGGACCGCAACGGCAAGTGGTCTTGTGGCGAGCCTTGCAGGACGCTCCTCCAGTGCGGCACACACAGTTGCGAGAAGCCCTGCCATCCGGGGCCATGCGAGCCTTGTCACCTCGAGTTCGACTCCATCTGCTTCTGCGGCGAGTTCAACAGACGTCTACGGTGTGACGAGCGTGAGGAGATACGGGAGTGCCACAACTCAGAGCTTGGTGATACATGGGAGGGCTCTTATAGTTGCGGGAACAAGTGTGATCGACTGCTCGATTGCGGAGTCCATCGATGTCTCCAGACGTGCCACGTGCATGATGAAAAGTCGGCGGCCGGACACTGCCCTTGGTCTCCCGAGCTTGTGGTCAGCTGCGCCTGCGGTCGAACCTCACTCGAAGCACTAGAGGCACCAGAGCGCCAGTCATGTCAGGACCCCCTGGCTACATGCGAGGAAACCTGTGGCAAGGCCCTGGTCTGCGGACATCGCTGTCAAAGCAAGTGTCACGAAGGCGAATGCCCAGTCTGCCCCCAACCCGTGCAGTTGCGGTGCCGCTGCGGACGTGTCTCTGAAGAAGCCACCTGCTGCGGTGGCCATCTCGGGCAACCCATGTGCTTCAGCATGTGCCGCGACAAGCTCAACTGCGGACGGCATCAGTGCCGGGAGCACTGCTGCCCCGTCGAGAAGAGCGGCCCTCGCCGGCAACAGCGCGAGGAACCCATCGAGCATATCTGCACTCGTGTGTGTGACAGACCGCTCAAGTGCGGCAGACACTCCTGTCCCGAGCTTTGCCATCGCGGACCTTGCCCTCCCTGCCGCGATGGCATCTTTGAAGATCTCACCTGCCATTGCGGCAGCACCATTCTTCGCGCGCCATTGCGCTGCGGCACGCAGCCTCCGGTCTGCACGGAGCCCTGTCAGCGAGAGCCGTCATGCGGTCATCCTCCTGTGCCACATCCTTGCCACGGCGACGACGCAGACTGTCCAAAGTGTCCTACACCGGTCGAGAAGCGATGCGCATGTGGAAGGCAGACCCGTAGCCACGTTCCGTGCCACATCAAAGAAGTCTACTGCGGCACACCATGTGGCAAAGAGCTTCCTTGTGGGCACAAATGCACAAAGGCCTGCCATAGAGAAGGCGAGTGCGAGGGATCCACGAGACCAGGCAACTGTTGCAACTTGATTTGCGGCAAGCCGCGCAGTATCTGTGGTCATCCCGACCAGAGCCTGTGTCATGGCAAGACGCCTTGCAGCGAGTCCCTGCCATGTCCGGCCAAGGTCACCATCACGTGCGAGTGTGGTCACCGAAAGAGCGAGGTCAAATGCCTCGCTTGCGACTCCAACCTCGACCCGGCGCACAAGACGATCCAGTGCGACGACGAGTGCGCACGTCTGGCACGCAACGCCCGTCTTGCCGACGCCCTGAAAATCAACCCTGAGACTGAGCTCACCGACCACGTCCCCTACTCGGATGACACGATCACTGCTTTCCAGGAGCTCAAGAATTGGGCAGAGAAGATGGAGCGTGAGATCCGCGTCTTTGCCGCCACACCTGGCGAGCACAGAATCGCACTCGACCCCATGGATAATCGCAAGAGGCAGTTCATTCATCTCCTGTGCAAGGACCACCGCTTGACCACCTTTAGTCAAGATGCCGGTGTCCATCGTCACGTCACCGTCGAGAAGCCACTGAATTACCCAGGCGGTCTGCAAAAGACTCTTGGCCAATGCGTCAAGATCCGCGCAAAGCAAGCGGCCGAGAAGAAGGCCGAGGAGGCCGCTGCCCAGGCCCTCGCCCAAGCCCCCTTCAACGCCCTTCTGCTCACATCAGTCGGGTTTGGGCTGACCGTGGAAGACATCAAGGAGGGCATCGAGTTTCTGATCGTGGCGCAGGGCTTCGTTCTCCAGAGCGTCAAGTTCCTGCACACGGAAGAAGTGCTGCTCCGCATCACGGCGTCGTACTCTGCCTCTCTCGGTCCCAATGGACTGGAGAGTGGTCTGCTCTCTCTTCGCGATGCCATTGTGCCTACCGTAAAGGACCGCGACCTCGCTGGCAACGTGGTCCTCGTCGCTGCCGACTGGAGTGACCACCTGACACGTCGCGAGCGGGTCAAGATGGACCCTGAGGGATGGAATGCCATTGCTCGCAAGGTCAAGGAGCCGCAAATGCCTGAGGAGCCAGCGGCCGCCAAGGGCAAAAAGGTCCTCATGGCGAAGAAGAAGCAGCCCGAGGCCAAGGGGGCCTCCGCTTGGGGAGTCCTGCAGCCGGACGCTGAGGCTTGATTGCATGACCATGGAGAAGCGCAGTTGGTTGGGATATGATCAGTGGTAGCAGCATAGGCCGGTGTTAGTAGTGGGAATGAGAACACAAATCAAGCGTCCCATACGGGTGCCTACTGTTGCAAATGGTCATGTCAATAAAGTCTTGTACAGCCTAGAACCTTGTACTCGCAGTTCTGAGAATGAGAGCCTGCAATATAATACTGCGCTGGACAGTAGAGTGGGAGCTGGTTGACAGACGCGGTCCGGGGTGCTAATGCCGAGGTCCACCACCGTCACCTGCCGAGATCGCCATCACTTCCACCTCCCAAGAATCATCCTACCTCACTTCTTGAGCTTGCTCGTGTACGACCACAGCTGTGATTGCCTTTCGAAAAGCAGCAAAGCATCCAACTCACTCCAACTAAAGACGAACCACGAACCGCACCAGAGGGCAACGCGACCCGCGCGCGCACCACCATCACGATGGCTTCCCCATTCCCCTTCGCAGCGGCTCCCGACATTATTCGCTCCCACCAGAAAGATGCCTACTTCACCGGCCACCTCACAAACACCCTGACCGACCTCCATCGCCGCCTCCTCGGCGCCCGCTCCGCCCACGCTCTCGCCCCCGAACTACGCACCGTTGCCTCGCTGCTCTACTTTGCCCTCACCACGCTCCCCGGGAACCGGACGCTGGGCGAGGAATACTGCGACCTGGTACAACTCGAAGGCCACACTGGCCAACTGCCCAGCCTGCGACGGAGGGCAGGCTACATTGTCGCCTCGATCCTGGTGCCGTACGGCGTGTCGCGGGCGCTGCCAGGTCTGCGGACGCGGTTGCGCAGGGTCCTAGAAGCCCGCCTCGCCGTCCAGCGGCAGAAGGACCCCAAGTCACGGCAGACGAGGATACTGGAATACATCCTGCGCCATCTACCGAGCCTCACCCCCTCGGCACCGCTGCACGCCCTGACGCTGGCCGTGTTCTACTTTAGCGGCACGTACTACGAGCTCTCCAAGCGCCTCCTCAGCCTGCGCTACGTGTTCACGCGCAAGGTGCCCGACAGCCCGGATCGAGCGGGCTACGAGGTCTTGGGCGTGCTGCTGGTGATTCAGATGGCCGTCCAGGGATATCTCCATGTTCGCTCGACACTGCAGGCGCAGGAGCCGCCGAGGGAGAGAGTCGGGTTCGAGGCCGCCGCCGCCGCCGATGTGTCGCTGGACCACGACAACTCGTACTCGGCGAACAATGCCCTTCTCCCGGGCAGCGGCGGGATCGGGACCGGCCAGGGCATTAAGATGGACATTGCCGCGGCGACGCATACACCCGTTGGCACGACGCCGCGGTTCGCGTTGACGGATGACAAGACCATGGCCTACATCAAGGGCAAGCAGCAGCGCAAGTGCACGCTCTGCTTGGAGGAGTTGAAGGACCCAGCGGCTACGCAGTGTGGCCACGTCTTTTGTTGGGAGTGTATCGGGGACTGGGTCCGGGAGAAACCAGAGTGCCCCTTGTGCAGGAGAGATGCCCTGGTGCAGCATATCCTGCCTCTACGAGTTCTTTGATGAATAGAACCCGCATGCACAAGCATTGTATGAATCACACACCACGACGTTGTAAGGCTTTCGAGTAAGCTTGGCATATCTCGTTCAACATAAATCCACATCATGAGCAACGCAACGCAATGTGACCCGATCCCTTCCAGTGGTATCGTTTCCCGACGCTGCCCCATTCTCGATCCTCATCGTCCATTAGTCGCTCCTAAATCCTTTATACCGCAGACCTATATCATGAATACAGAGTTTCGCCACCAGCTTGTGAGCAGGCGGACCACGCATAGTCGGAATCTCCGCAATTGACTCATTATGACCAGCCCCAGCTCAAGACCAGCTTGAAGCTCGCATGCCATTGCTCAGGCTCCTGCGAAGGCGCCTGCAACACCTGTTCGTTCATCCGCGGAAAGTGATACACGTGACAGCGGCCGTGCCGTGCCGTATGGGTATTTTCAGTGGTAGAAGATGTAGACAAAGAAGAATGCAAAACACGGAACGCTGAACGCCTAGTCTCCCGGTGTGATTGATGCCCAGCCGTACAAGAAGAGGAGATAAGATGTGTTTCGTCGCCAGCATGAGAGCCCTCAAACTGAGAAGAGAACAATCTCGCCGCGATCGTTTTGGCGCATTCGGAGAGATCGCCAAAGCTCCTTCTCCGCAGCATGTTTCGACATGTCGACACCGGCGGCCTGACGGTCGCGATGGAATCGCTTGAGCACCTTGTTCATGCTACAGCCGCGATCGCTCTCGGGACCTTTGTTGACATATTTGAAGAGCACCTCGGCTTGGGGCTTGAAGAGGATCATCTGGCCATCCTGGCCGTCCTTGCTATCTTTGGAGCCAGGGCGATACTCAATCAGCTTGTCGTTCTTGTCACGTGACGAGTGCTTCTTGGACGTCTTGCGCTTCTTTGTCTTCGTCTTGGTGTTGCCTGCCATTATCCCGAATATGCTGTTGCTTTGACCGTGCTTCGAGTGTTTCGAGTGCTTGCTCTTCTTGAGTGGGCTGAGTGGGACAGCATCACCGCCAGAGTAGTCGGGGGATGGCGGGAACTGTTGGCGCATGAGCCCCTTGAGCCCACCGGTCAAGCCTGAGGACAGGACCGGAGGCGCGTCTGTCATGACTTGGTCGCCTGGCACATCTACGTGCAGCCGCTTCCTCTTCTTGTCCGTCTTGGGGTCGCCTTCTTTTCTGCGCCGTTCGGCCTTGGAGGCAGCCGGGGTATCATAGGGGCCGACGCCGTATTCGACAAGAGGCTCCTTGTTCAGGAACTGAGCGGCATCCAGGGAGTCGTCTTCGTTGCGTTCATAGCGCACTAGAGACTGACTCTCATCTCCTTCCTTGACGTGGACCAGATCGGTATTGGAGGCATTCGGTGTCTGCCCGGTGGCGACGAGGAAGTCGAAGACATTGGGCACATCCACTTCAGGGACAGCAGATGGTGGTGTCGGGGCCTCTGGTGGGAAAGCAGCAGGCGACCACCCGTCGTTGGTCTGTCCAGGGAACTCCTTCCATTCGTCGGCGTCTTCCACGTAGGCGTGTTGAGCCATGGCGCTCTTGGAGCTGTTGTTTGTCTTCGCCTTCTTGTTCTTTTCCTTGTAGAGGGCGCCTTGGTACTTCTGTTCCTCTGACATGCAACTCTGGGCAGTGTCAGCAAAGAGCTAGGTTTCCTCTGAGCGTAGGTTCATACCGTGTGTGCGCGATACTCGGTTCCGGGGAAATATACCATGCAATCAATGCAAGTAAAGGTGGCGCCGCGACAGCGGTTGCGGTGAGGATCGAGCTTCTTCTTCGTAAGAACGTCGCCACAGCCCTATATGCGCAGACGTCGGGTTAGTTGGCGTAGGGGAGCGAGGTTGTCAGTGGCAGAGAGTAGACACGGATGCAGCGCGGTGGGGGTTTTTGAACAGGGAGCCGTTGTGCGGTTAGGGGCAGAGTCGTGTGTAAGAGCCAACTACGAAGTAGGCTAGGTAGACACCATGATCACCCGACTGGGCTATATGGTCTCTAACGTGGGATAAGGGGTGGTGGACGGGTGGTGAATGAGATGTGGTGTGAAGCGGATGATGTCAGGCCTGATCTGGGATCGTCGAGCTCTGGGGAATGGTGGGATGGAGGGATGGCCAAGGGGGATTCGGCACAGAGGAAAAAAGGGATAGTGGGGTGCTAGCACCGGACAAGGGTTCAGTTTGTAGCGGGTGTACTCCGTACGTATGGGAATGAAGAGAGAATGCGAGGGGGAGGTGGCATAATGATGGGGAGCGGTAGGGTGAGGCGAACGATGCTTGAAGTCTGCCACTTCATCAGGGTATGTACGTACCTCGCAGGAGAAGGAAACCATGATGATGATAGCAGAGAGTGACGCTGAGGTTGTAGGTGATTGGTTGTCGGTTCTGACAAACTCTGTATGGCCACGATATGTAACGGAGCGTTAAAAATGCTTTGCCAGCGCTGGGTCGCAGATATGCTCTGTCGTGAGTGGACTGGACTGGACTGGACGCAGGACACAATTGCTCGGCGGCAACGGTTGTGCGGTTCGAGCAATGCCTCTGTTTCGACCTGAATATTTTGTCGAAATGCGCGTTCCGGGTGAAGGTCAGTTTCCACGGGGCGGACCGTTGGCTGGATTCGGAGACGTCAATGCACGAGGGCGCTACACTATCCCTTTGAATGGAGTCGCTGCGAGGAATTTGTCTCGAAGTGGAAGCCAGAGACAGTCGTTGGGCGTTTCTGGTCAACGTCTGTCGGTGCAGTGTGTCGGGTTTCGATGGAGGGGGGAAGCAAAAAATAGAAGGAATGGAGGGGCGGGACCTGGCAAGTGCTGAAGAGAGCAGGTCGCAGCAGGATCTGAATGGAGTTTTGTAACGCTACGTCCCAAATAAGGCGCGTAAGTGAGACTTGAGACGTGGGACATGAGAATGTGGCGTCGATAGGCGAGTTGAGTGGCTCTGGCTTGTTTTCTGAAGTTTGATTGCAATGGCTCGTGGGTTCTTGTGAGGGTGTGGTGGTCGAGGCGATCAGCGCGCGGCGAGCGTGTCTGCACTCTGCGCGTACGGCAGTACTGAGACACACAACGAACGAGATTTTGATGTCTCTCAGAGGCCTGGGCTAAATTAAGACCTTGGAAAAAATAGGTTCTTTCGCATTAACAAATGTGATGCGTCTTGGTGCACAGCCATTCTATCTGTCCGTAGAGAAAAGTTATTCAATCGTGTCTGATTGATACTAGAAAGAGGTTATTTCATCCAATTCGTGTCACTGTTCCGTTTGTCAGTTGCTCCTTCCGTCGTTGTCCGCCAGCGCGGTAGCTTGGGCAGGAACGACGCTCTGACTGGTGATAGGCCACACACTGCACTACGAACCCACTTTGGACCCCAAACCTTGTCTCCACAGCAACCGCGCTCCAAGCTACGCGTCATGGTTGGTCGCGTTGCACCATCCTGCATCTGCTCATTTATGCCCAGGTCATCTGACGGGGTCATGATCCACGCCAATGCGAAGTTGGGCAATGTCTCTCCCAGGATCATCGATGTTGCATCTTATCACAAGTCCAATCTCAAGCTGTCCGATCAGATTGCCCCTCCCAGCTGATGTACAAGGACAGACGGGGAGCAAGCAACAGTCCGTCTTCCCAAGGCTCGACCAGTAGTGAAGAGGCGCTGCTGCTCGCAAGGTAACGGTAGAGATCGCCCCTCCCCCCTTGATACACACATGTAACAATCTTTTCTTGGTGCTCTTGAGTCTTGAGCTTGGGGCAGCTTCTTGTTGGCACTGCGAGGGCTGGGACCCCTCGTGCTCCAACCGGGCCCAATGCAAGGGCACAGCTGCTGAATGACGCGCGCGGGTGCTTGCTGACTGGAATTGCTCCCACTTGTAACTTCGTGAGACGCAGGCTTGCATCGCAGCACACCATCTTATCGAAAGACTGGTAGCGCTTAGCGTCATCGTCTCTGGACTCCAATCCTTGCTGCAGACATTCTAGGGCGCTCGCAATCAGAAGGTCTCCCTGGAGCCTACAGTGAGCCGCTGGTCATGGTCGGCTCACTTGCTACGGAGAAGATGATTCTACAGCTTGTTGTTCTTGCGAGTCTACATATAGGTTAGTCTCTGGACTAGGCATAAGAAAACATTGGTCAATTTACCTCTTGCGTTGAAGTGAGGTTCGTGGACTGAGACGGCCCGTGTTTCAGACACAGAAGTTTGGATGCCAGTCATGTGGCAGCACGACATGTGCCTCGTTGAGTTTAGCTTGTCAGGTTTCGAACTGGACTATGTAACAATGAAAGTCACCCACTTGTTAGCATTGCCTCATTGGAACAGTGTTGTTGATGGTCGGGTTCTCACTCAATACGGAGCGCTCCGTACCACTCTCTTCGCAAGTTTAGCCTCCTGCACCACAGGCTCTTATATTCAAGTATTCTGAAAAAGGGAAACAGCAGAAGCTGATGCCAGGTACGCACTGCATTCAATCAGCCTCAAAGGAAAAGGATGGGCGAGACTTGTTGATAGATCATCTGGTCGGTTGTGAGCTGTGGATCGGAGGCTCAACACGATGATGCCCTTGTCGTGTGCTTGTGATTGGGGACTGGTGCCTATACACTGGCTTACAACAGCTGTTGGAGCTGGCTGTAATGGAAGCAAATCAAGGATAGCAATCGACAGGAACTGATATTAGAGTCTCAAAGGCCACAGCATGTTTGATCGTGCACAATTACCTACATGTACAAGTAGACATTGTACTTGTAGAGACACCCTTATTAGCTTCCCGCAAGAGCGTGGTTCCGAGGCACAACGACGCAGGCGTGCAATTGCGCCGCCCAGCTCTTGACTCGAGTCCCAACAGCTAATATGAGTCGCGTCACCGGGTTGCCAAATTGCAAAATGCGGTCAACGAGGTGATTCTGGCTGGGTGGAAATGGGGAATTATGGGCCTTTCCGAATGTTCTGAAGCCTCCGAGATTCTGCTCCCCCAGAAGGAGTGGAGCTTTTAGTCAGATCTGACGACTGCGAATGGCTCGTCGGTTGGCCGGTTCGGCGGTTCCTGCTTTCCACTCCAGGGCCACCCCTCAACGGTCAACAATTCTCTCGATAACCTTGTCCAATAGTGCCAGCTTTGTCACCGCAACGCCTTGACATATTTCAAAACTCTCCTTCTCGTCGTCATTCTTTAATTACTCTGCCCTTCCCTTTTGGCTCTGTCATCAGCAGTGGCCCATTCGCTTTCGCAGCAGGCAGCCATCGCTCCGTCAATGCAGACCTAGAGTGTGCCCTCTATGCCCGAGCGTACCAGCATGTCGAGTAGTTCGAACGCTGCCTCACCTACAATGACCTCCTATCTCGAACAGACGGTCTCGGTCTTGAGCTCAGTCGGCAGCTACATGCGCCTGCCTGCCATAGCCTCGACGGTACAATGACCTCCCCGGCTGCGTTGCAGCTCGCCACCGACTCCCCGGATCGGCTGACACGGGTGCTCGCAAAGGGAATCGCTGCGGTATTGACCACACTGCTCTACTTCAAGCAAAAGTTTGTCCACCATGCGCTCATGTCATGTGCCAGATAGCAGCGGTTGCCGAATGGTGCTAACGTGTGTCTCGCAGGGCCCTCATATATCCCTCGCACATGCCGCCTAATGCACGGACGGAAGTACCCCGGCCATCACAATTTGGAATCAGAGACTTTGAAGAGCTCGTGATACCGACCGATGACGGCGAAAAACTGTCCGCGTTCTATATCCGCGGCCCTCGTGGCGGCAGCAATTCGAACATTACAGTGATCATGTTCCACGGGAATGCCGGCAACATTGGCCACCGACTCCCGATAGCACGCATGCTTGTCAACCTCATCGGCTGCAATGTGTTCATGCTTGAATATCGAGGCTATGGTGCTTCCACAGGCGAGCCAGACGAGTCTGGCCTCAACGTGGATGCACAAACTGCCCTGGACTATCTGAGGCAGCGGGCGGAGACCCGAGACCACCTACGCATCATCTATGGGCAGAGCCTTGGAGGTGCTGTTGGCATCAAGCTTGTTGCCAAGAACCAAGACGCTGGAGACATTGTCGGCCTTGTGCTCGAGAATACCTTCCTCTCGATGCGCAAGCTCATCCCGTCGGTCATACCACCAGCCAAGTACCTGGCCCTTCTGTGCCACCAGGTGTGGGGGAGTGAAAGCATTCTGCCCAGCATCAAAAAAGTTCCAGTGCTCTTCTTGAGTGGTCTTCAAGATGAGATAGTACCGTAAGTGTTTCCCCTTGTCTTACACTGCCATTGATCTCGTGATGAACATATACACCCACAAAATCTGAACCTCCGGGTCCTGATTGTAAACTACATCACCACTTATGTCTGATGATCACACGCCCCACTGCCTACTATACTCGCCACACCTTGTCGTACGCCTTGAACTAACTGATTCTGGGTAGGCCTACCCACATGCGCCAACTCTATGACCTTTGCGCCGCCCCCATCAAGAAGTGGAGGCCCCTCCCTGGAGGCGACCACAACTCGAGTGTGCTGGAAGAAGGCTACTTTGAGGCAATTGCCGAGTTCATTGTCGAGATTACGAATGAGACAATCCGAGAGAAAGCGTCATTATAGTGCGTACAGAAAGAGAGAAGCAGGGATAGAGAGCAAGGATGCAAGTTAGGAGGCGCCTGGACAGGTTGTTGAAGGAGAGGATCTGATGATTGATACCCCACGTCTGCTAGTCGCAAGACGGCTTTAGCGATTCTAATTCACCCGCAGAACATAGCAGCCACAATGTCAATAAGATTTATTCATTCATTCCTGCTTCCTGAGGACGACCAAGACATGTGTGGTTGCAAGATGGTGTGGTGGCACGGATTGTGGGGTTTGCTATACCATGTGATCCGGGCAGCCACTACTATTCGTGCACTGAGACTGGTGGCCTCGTGATAAGGGTCCTAGTGCATGAACAGCATCATCGTATCGTTTTACAGCTCGGCTTGTCTCCGAGGTCTGCGCAGTTCTGGCAGGGCCCGCGGGCTCCTCGTGGTTGGTCCAAGTCCTGACGCTCGACGCAGCCTTGCAGTGGTTCACAGCGAAGCTGGAAGTTTCCATTTGCCTGCAAGCCAACAGGCCTTCTTGCAAGAGAGAATTCTGGTATTGTAATTCGAAGAAATTGACTGTATTAGACATGAGGCAGGTACTGCGTCCACTCGACGTGCACAAACGCTGATGCGTCAATCTCTCTCAACTCCATGAACCCTTCCACAAGCTGATAGACCCTCGCGATGCCATACAAGATGGCAATCGGCGCAATGCTCCAAAACTCCCACGGCAGCGGCAACGTGCTGATATCGCGCGGCTTCTCCTGCTCTTCCTGATCGAGGCGGTCAAAGGTCGCTTGACGAAAACGGGGTATGGCCGCTCGGTCAAAGAAGTACAGGTAGAGCATCTTCCAGCGCCCTAGCCGTACCCATGAGGCCATTGTCTCGAGGATCCAGAATGCGGCCGTGACGCCGAAGAGGATCAGGCTCGCGACGCGCCAGAGGACCTGCTCCGTGTACGTGGGAAAGGACATGTTCCACCCGGCGACGTGGAGGCCGGTGAAGACGAGTGTGGCGAAGCAGAGGAAATACTCCTGCGTCCCGTACGGGTCCATGGGGAAGCGGTCATTGGGGATTCGCTGGATCGGTCGCTGCTCGGGGATGACTGGCAAGGTCATAAAGGGCTGTACGTTCATCGACCAGCCAGGCCCATTCTGGTCGATGAAGTCGAGAGGCGTGTTGGTCCAGGTATGGGTTTGGTTGCAGCTCTTTGATTCATCCCTGATTATATCGGCAATGTCAAATGGCGAATGGAGGTCAATGGGGGTTGCCACATCAGACGGCTTATGAAGCCATGTGAACGCTGTCATGAGCGAGCAGACGACTATGGCGAGGGTATTGAGTTCCAGCGTTGTTATAGCAAGCCCCTGGGCGAGGCGTCCAATGCATTGGACGACGAGATAACCGATCTGGAAGCTGGTGATGAGCTTGGCTAGGCGATCCTGCTTGGACTTGTCCCATATCTCGGCAGGACTTGTCTTTGGATAGTCAACGAAACCGTTGACCACCAGCCAGTGTAGCTGCTTTGCATTCAGGGGGAAAGGATCTGTGCCGGGACAACTCAGCCGGAAGCCACCCATGTCGGCAAAGAAGGCAAGCTTGAGGGACCATTTTGTGTATCCAGACCCGTGGAAGGCTTTGACTGAGTGTTTGGCCCTGCTCCACTGCCCAGCAGCATACGTCAGAACGATTTCGGGGGCGAAGACAGCAAAGACCATCCAGAAGAGGCGTCTCTTGATCAGGATCCAGGGTGTGTCCGAGGGGGCAGGAATGTTGAGATTGAGCAGCGTGTATGTGCAGATGAAGGTGGTGACGAGGCACGTCCAGACAATATCCCATGTGCCACGCAGATTGGACTGTTCAACCCAACCTCGGACGCGACCATCTGGTGTGGCAATGAAGTCCAGGGCAACAATGGTGCTCTCGTCCGTGCCGTTGAGAATGTTCGTCAACGGGGTGAGATTCTCGATGACTTCCTCATCTCCTGTTGCGGAACGAGCGAAAAGGGCAGCGAGGACGACGGGTATGGGAGACATTTGATGGTACGAGGCCAGCCTCGCCTGTTGCAATGCGTGTGGACATGATGGGAGCGAAGCGAGACCAGGAACAGACTGGACTGACTGCTATGCTAGGGTATTAAAGCTTGCTGGATTTCGGATCCATGGGCCTCGCAATGGGCCTTCTGAGACGCATCGGAGACTGAGGATGCATGTTGGTCGCAGTTCAATGCGAGGCCCACGGCTAAGCGCCCAGGTTACACCAAAAGGTCCAAAAGGTACGATCCTAGTGAGGCCTAAAGAGGCCCAGGGATCTTTAGGCGCCCAGGTTTCACGGACATTGCAGTTCCCCAGTATTTTTCCCACTCGACGATTGGGATTGAACCCTTCCGGACTGCATTTCAGCCCGCCGACAGCTCACGCTCATTCATTCATTCAGCGCAGCGCTTCATTTCACTTTTTTCGCGTGGTCAATTGATGCGTCGTGACGCAGCCTTCCCTTCCTGTTGTCAACGTCGTGCATTCTCACAATGGGCGTCGCAGCAACTGCTTTGCAATCAACAGCCTACGCCATTGCTGGCGTGGTGGCCCTCTATGCTGCCTTTGTAACCATTCTCACCGTGCCAGCGGTGCAGAACCAGGTCATTTACCTAAACAAGGTTAAGCTGACGTGGTGGATGGACGTCAACTACCCTGAGCAATGGGGCTTCCTACACAACCAGGTCACACCCTTCACTTTGGACACGTCCGATGGCGAGACACTGCACGCGTGGCATATTCTCCCGCCAGGAGCCTGGCAGGATCATGCCGAGGTCTTGCTCAGTGAGCCGGCTGGACTGGTTGAGGATATCAAGTTGAGGAAGAGCTTCCAAATATTAAGAGACGATCCGGAGGCGCTGCTTGTGCTGTACTTCCACGGTGCAGCAGGGACACTAGGGTCTGGCTATAGGCCGCCAAACTACAGGGCAATATCAGCAATGGGGCCTCACAGAGTGCACATTGTCGCCGTTGACTATCGAGGCTTTGGTACCAGTACGGGCACGCCTTCAGAGAAGGGTCTCCAGATCGATAGCCAGAGGTTGGCGACCTGGGTGATGGACGAGGTGGGCATCCCTCCAGAGAGGGTCGTTCTCTTCGGACAATCTTTGGGGACGGCCGTGGCCATTGCACTAGCGCACCACTATGCGCACCTCCAGGAGCCGATCCATTTCAGCGGCATGGTCCTTGTCGCGCCGTTCGCCGACGTCGAGCTCCTGACGGCCACCTATCGCGTGGCCGGCACCGTACCACTGCTGGAGCCCGTCGCCAAGTTCCCTCGACTGCTGGCTCTGCTCAACACCTTCATCAGGGACAAGTGGTCGTCAAAGGCGCGACTGGCGGAGCTCATACGCCTGCACAACGAGGACATGGCCCGGCCTGAGTACTACATCAACCTGCTCCACGGGGAGGATGATTATGACATCCCCTGGACGCACAGCGACCAGCTCTTCTGGCACGCCGTCAAGGCGAGTGAGGAGATCAGCTTTGAGGATCTCGAGGGGGAGAAGAAGGCGACCAGGCTAGAGATGGGAAGTGGAGGCTGGATGGTTGAGAGGAAGAGTGGGCGAGGCGTCATTCGCGAGGAGATTATGAAGTACGGTCTGCATGATAGGATCATGGGATACCCAAGCGTGAGCCTGGCAGTGTGGAGAGCCTTTGGCTTTGGTAGAAAGGACAATGAGGCACAATGATTACCTACCTTAGGTATCCAATGTTGCTGGCGCAGAGTCAGAGTCAGTGTCAGTGTCAGTGTCAAGTGTCAGTCAGCAGCCCCTGACGTTGGCTGCAAATTTATGTGGATCCTCGCGAGTGGCAGACTCCATTCCATGTCTTGGCCAATGTTAAACCTCCGGGACCTTTACCTGGACACACCCAAATCTCCATCATCAACCCATTGCGTCAAGGACACTCGCTGCCCCTCGATATCCCAATTCTTCTTTTCGTCGCACACGGTTGCTACAGCTGTCGACTGGCTCCTCAGTCGCCCGATGACGACCAGCAAGCGCCATGGACGGTGATCCCGCGGTAGAGCCGGAGCTCGACTCCTTCAGCTTGACGTTCCCTCTACCGTACCGCGTCGGCTTCATCGTCACCCTCGGTACGTCCTCTCCTCTCTCGTGATCTCGTATTTGTAGCGCTATCCTGACAGTTGACAGCTGTCTGGGGCTGGGGCCTCAACCTGCACTGCCTCTATCGCTGCAACATCGACGTGCCCTCGCTCATCAAGTACCCGACGCGCACGTCGCCGCACCACGTGTCACATCATTTTACGACGTACCGTCTCGCGACCGTCCTCTCGGGCCTGTTTGGCGTCTCCATCACGTTGTTCTGGCTGCTGACGTGGCGCATACCGTCGCGCGTCATCGCCTACGACTGGCTACCCCTGACCTACCTCGTCGCGCTGCTCGCCGTGTTTCTCGTCCCGATCCGCGATCTTCCCGCGGCCGGCCGACGACGCTTTCTTTCGACCTTTCGACGAATCGCCATTGGTGGCATCGCGCAGGCGCAGGATGGGAAATTCGGGGACATCCTCATGGCCGATGTGCTCACCTCGTACGCCAAGGTGGTGGGAGACCTCTACGTGAGCGTGTGCATGTTCTTCCGCACGGGGGGCTCGGCGACCCATCGCCCGGACCGGGACTGTGGAGGCACGGTCATTGTGCCCTTGTTGATGGCGATTCCCAGCTTGATCCGCTTCCGGCAGTGCATCATCGAGTACTTTCGCGTCAAGAGAGCGCCGTACAAGGAATCGACCGGCTGGGGAGGGCAGCACCTAGCCAACGCGCTGAAATACTCGACTGCGTTTCCCGTCATCATTACAAGCACACTGCAGCGCAACACCAGCGACTCGGACAGCAAGGCGGTCTTGAACAAGCTCTGGCTGCTCGCGGTCCTGATCAACTCGCTTTACTCTTTCTACTGGGACGTCGCCAAGGATTGGGACCTCACTCTCTTCGCAGAGAAGAGGGAGCGCGCCTCGCCACATCACCCATGGGGCCTACGCGAAAGACTCATGTTCAGGCCCGTCAACCTCTACTACGTGGTGATTGGTCTAGACCTGATGCTACGCTGCACATGGTCCATGAAGCTGAGCCCTCATCTGGACAAGTTCAGCGACTTCGAGAGCGGCATCTTCTTGATAGAATTCTTGGAAGTTTTCCGGCGGTGGGTATGGATTTTCTTCCGCACAGAGGCTGAGTGGTTTCGACACAATGGGACCAGCGGCCTGGGGGTGGATGATATCTTGCTCAGGAGTGTCCAGGGCAAGGACGACGACAGCGACGAGGATGATTTGATTTAGAAGGCCATTCCACCAAGCTCGCGTTGGGTTTCATAGACTTGTGTATTCTGGCGCTGCATAGACGGGGTTCTTCTGGGTCTGGATTTTTTCACTCAACCATTCTTTGTTCGCTTCTCTCGCTGTGAAAAGCACCCACGTGCAAGCGCTGATTGATACGGCAACACATGAAGGTATTGGATGACACGTTACCCAAGCCGCTCTGATGAGGCGTGCTTGTCAGGTCGGACAATGCTCGACCCGTCATGAGTGCATCACCGGGAGGCTCAAATCGCCCATTTCTGCGCATCTGACAAAGCGGTTGTCGTCGTCTGCCTGCTCACGCTGCAAAACGCAAGGCGCTACTGTTCACGGCCCATGGCACTGGCACACCGCCGTCCTTTTGAAAGGGGCTGGTCGCCATTCTACCACGGTAAGACCAATTCGTCCGCAGGATTGATGACGACTTTGTCTATTTTCGGGTGGAACCTGGGGGCAATCGCCCGCGGTCCAGGGAAACAAACACTGATCACAGGGAACGCACAGATCATGACTCAACAGTGACCAAAGAAAAGAAGAAGAAAAAGAGAGAGAGAGAGCTAGGGTTGAGCTCGTGCCACCGGTGCTCTGCACAAGGACATCAGGTTCCCCAATCTGACTGACGAACACGCAGCCCTTTGCGTCTCTCTCCTTGTCACAGAACAAGAGTAGATCACGAGGCCCCCATTTTGCCGTTGAACAACGACACGACGCCACCCAAGGCGTTCTGGAACTTGTTCAGGATGAATCTACCTGGCTACCTCACCCTGAGTTTCACTCGTGTCGTCGACAGCCTTTTTCGCCGGTTTGGAATGAGACACGACTATCAGACAGGCAAGCAACCTGCGACTGCGAAAGCGATTATCACAGACAAGAAGGGACAGACCACAAGGACAAATCATTGCGACGACATGGCGCCACGATATCCTTCACTCGAAGGCATGGAGATTGCCATTCCTCCATATGATCATCGAGACAGCGGCTTCGGCATGGCGGAAACCGAGCGGACTGCAACGGCAGAGGAGTACGATACGCGTCCGCTGCCACCCCTTCCACGCCCTCTGTGTGTAAAGAGCCCATCGTCTCTTCCGAGGTCGATGGCAAAGTCATCTGTGCCCCCGTACAGGCAGGAAACACTCGTTTCCACGTCCATTCCATCCGCATCGACAGCCACTCCCGGACACGGACGACTCCCCCAACGGCCGCCCGGACCGGCCAAGCTCATCCCACGGAAGCCAGTCCCCATGCGTGCAATTAATTGGGATCCCACCGCGAAGCCACTCCCCCAGACGCCGACGCGAGCATCCATGCCCATGGCCAACCCTCCGTTAGGTCACCGCTCCGTCATCAAGGCGCGCAAGGTGATGGGCTGCGAGGTGGACATTCACGACGCACGGAGCGAGGCGCGAATACCCAGCGAACCATCGAGGGTACAGTTCCAGAATGAAGACGCACGACCTCGCATGGACGCTGGCGAGAGGCGATTCAGTGACAAGAGGGCGGCGCGGGAGTATCATCGCTTTGCGACAAGTTTGGTGGACGAGAGGCTGCCAAAGCCCAACTCGACACCATCACATGTGCAGAAGGCCTCCTCCCCAGGGCGTGCTCTCGTGACGCACAGCGATGGAGGCCCCAGGCCTAGGACGTCGTGGGGGCCCGAGCGACCGCTCAGTGCTTTTGAGAGCGACTCGGAGGACGAAGAGACCGCTAGGCTCATGGCTTCTATCCGAGGATTTTTCTGTAACGGGGCCAAGTGTGTTGGTATCGATGAGGAGACTGGGGGACGCGGAGGGAGAAGTCTGTTTGGGAAGGCTAGGGAGTGGCATTCTGAGCGTACCAAGGCACGGCGGCGGGAGGAGATGAAGAGAACCATCCGCACGAGCCATGGAGAGTAGCTATAGTATGTTATTCAGGAGCAAGATCGCAGAGAGCGAGTTGTGAGTGACGGTCCGTCCCGATGCCCCTCGGCCCCCGCCCCCGCGATGAGCTTATCGATAAGCGCGTGTCGGATTAGCTGGAACCAACGGTTCCAACCTCGGATGTTCGTTCATCTTCTCCAATTCCTGACCTCCGATCAATCACATACATTTTCCCCCAATACGCGGGAGTCACGATGCCTGCTGATCCCAACGCGCAGCAAGACCAGCAACAACCGCTACCGACGACCCAAGACCCCGCCCTGACAGAAGAGGACCTGGTCGCCATCCGGGCCACCCTCTCTGCCCTCCGCGACGACACCACACAGGCGTCCCTCTACTACGATGCTGCCACCATGGCACCGCTGAATCCTCTCGCTGCCGTTCGTCGTGTCTCCCGTGGTGTGGCGAGGTCTGACCTGAGAAACGGCAAGCTGATTCGAGCCATAGGCTGCTGTCGCCCGACTTCGCTCATACAAGCCACCTCCCTTCCCCCTATGGGACGCGCTCCCCGTCCGGAAGCGCGCTGCCGTCCTGATCCTGCTGTACGCCGACCGATGGGGTGACCTACGCGTCGTCATTACAATGCGCGCTGCGAATCTCCGCAGCTTCAGCGGACACGCAGCCCTGCCTGGCGGGAAGGCCGACACGGCGGAGGAGACACCGTGTACGAGAGCGCCACTGCTCTACCATGCCAATGGACAAGAAGACTGACATCTCGCACAGATCAGATCGCCCGTCGCGAAGCGAGTGAGGAGATTGGCCTCCCCGAAAACGACTACGGCCTGCCGAAACCCTTCCGAGTCGAACCTCTCTGCACACTCCCGCCGGCGCTCGCCCGAACGCATCTCGTCGTCACGCCCGTCGTCGCCTTTCTTCACGCCGACCGTAAGCTACCAGGCGACGCCTCCCCCTTGGTCGAAGAGACCATGATCCCGCGCCTCGACGCGCGCGAGGTCGCCGCCGTCTTCAGCGCGCCCTTTTACAACTTCCTCAAGCGAGACGACCTCCCCGTCAAGGGCGAGGGCGAGACGCTACCCGAGGGCGCGTGGTACGACGGCTCGTGGATCCAGTGGAAGGACGTCTCCTGGCGCGTCCACAACTACCACGTGCCCGTCAACAACCAGCGCGTGTCCACGCCGCGCCACGCGAGCAGCAGCAGCGGGCAGGGCAACCTCGCGGGCAAGCTGGAGGAGGAGCAGGCCAAGGAGGGGCGCTTCAAGGTCTGGGGGATGACGGCGCGGGTGCTCCTCGACGCGGCGCGCGTGGCGTTTGCCGAGACGCCGGAGATGGAGCACAATGAGGACTACGGCGACGGCAAGATCATTGACATTGCGGCCAAGGACGGTGTGTTTGAGGAGGTTGCGAACGCGGATCGGCCCAAGGACTATGACAGCGAGCGAGGCAAGATATGATGATGATGGCGTTCTATTTGATCACTGTATACTTCATTTCCATGGCAGAGAGCAGGCTCGTGAATCGTACCGGTCTGGTCTAGTGGCAGGCATTGTCCTTTGTGGAGGACGTTGTCTGGCCAAAGACGACGTACCCAAGGAATGCGCCCAGCGACACGGCAATCATCACCCAGCCATTGTACGTCATGAAGATGAGCCTTTGGAACATGGTCAGCGGTCCGTAGTGTCCGTCGGGATATGCTTCTTGTACTTACATGAGCATGAACGCGTAGAAGTTCTGCAGCGCGTACAGCAAGCCCTTGATCAGATGCGCCCTCTGCTCCGCCTGGTTCTGGTTCTGCCCTGCACCCACCAACGCTGTCGTCTCAGTACATGCCTCTCCAGCTTCACCACGTAGAAAATTCCCCTTCAGCAAGGGGGCTGACTGGCAGGGGGTGGGGGGTGGGGGATATGTACATACTGGGGATGGCCTCGATGCGCCGCGCGGTGGCGAGCTCGTACTTCTTGGACAGCGCCCGCAGGCCCTCGTAGCCGGTCGCCAGGAAGACAATGGCCACGAGGGAGAAGAGCAGGGAGGGAGTCGAGCTGATGCGCCACTGGCGAAAGACGATGCAGAGGTTCTCCGTGTCCCATGTGAAGAGCATGTTCATGCTGCACTCCTTGGACATGTCGCCGTGGCCACCATGCATGTGGTCACCGTGGTCCATGTGGGAATGGTCCATCATGGCGCTTTGGTCGTGCTCCATACGTGCGGTGGTTGAGGATGGGATGGATGTGTTTGAGTACAGGAGGGGAAGATGGATGAGGAACTCGGAGCTGGCCAGGCTGTCGAGATAACTTGCTCGCGGACTGGCGTGGGGTTTAGGTGGCCTGGTCTGGGCACATGATACGGGCGTAAGTTGCGTGGTGCGTACGTATCGTATCTTCCGGAGGTGGCGGACGAGGCTAACCGGCCTTACCCTGTAGCGCAGCGCCAGTTCCTTGCGCGACGCAAACACTCACGGTTGCTAGCCTTGAGAAGAGACAGAAATCAGAAAACGTGGCTATGGGACACGAGTCTCGAGATTTCGGTATTGTATCGATAGTGTTCATCACAAGCCCTGGCATCATACAGACAGACAGACCCCTCTTCTGTCCTGCTCTCGGTCAATGATGCCTTGGAGTCTTGGTGACCCGTCAATTCCGAGCCGACACACTCCCAGAATATCTCGCAGGTCACTTCACGTCAATACAACGAAAACGCAACCCAAAGGCCCATCTACCCTTTGAGAATCATTGAACACATACAGAGCCATTCCAAACATGCTCGGCCCTCCTATCAATCTGCCTAAATGGTACGGTCCTGTCCGCCCAGTGTCCCTCCCGCACGCCCACTAACAGAAACCTACATGTAGGCTGAGTGAGAACTCTCACCTTCTGCAGCCGCCCATCAACAACTACTGCGTGTACAACGAGGACTTTACCGTCATGGTCTGCCAAACCCAAGCCTTCTCCCGCGGCTCGCTGCAGCTGTGCTGACACGCCGCAGATTGTGGGCGGGCCCAACGCCCGGACCGACTACCACATCAACGAGACCCCCGAGTACTTCTACCAGTACAAGGGCGCCATGATGCTCAAGGTCGTCGACGAGGGCAAGTTCCGGGACATCATCATCCGCGAGGGCGACATGTTCCTCCTCCCCGGCAACACGCCCCACAACCCCGTCCGCTTCGCCCACACGGTCGGCCTCGTCATCGAGCAGAGGCGGCCCCCCGAGTCCATCGACCGACTGCGCTGGTACTGCCGCCGCTGCGGCGAGGTCGTCGACGAGGCGGCCTTTCACTGCACAGACCTCGGCACCCAGATCAAGCAGGCTGTCAACGCCTTCAAGGAAGACCAGGAGAAGAGGATATGCAAGAAGTGTGGTGAGGTGGCGGATGCCGCCCCCAAGCCTGGGTCCATCCAAGATCCCAACCTCGAGTGACCTGTAGTTGTAGCCATCAATTCTTTACATGTATATATATATATATATATTCATACATACCCAGCCCAAGTTATGTCTCGTGGAACGCGTACGAGCTTGGCGACTCCTCCACCGCAATGTCAATCTTGCCCTCCTCAATCTCCCTCCCCCCAACGCGCACACCTGCCCTCATGACATCCCCCGGCTGCACGGGGCCGACGCCCGCCGGCGTCCCCGTGAGGACAACGTCGCCCGGGTGCAGCGCCATGACCTTGGAGATGTCGCTCAGGATGCGCGGGATCCGGTAGATCATGAGATTCGTCGACCCCTGCTGGCGCGTCTCCCCGTTGACCTGCAGAAAGAGCTCGACGTCCTGCGGGTCGGCAATCGCCGCCTTGGGGATCACCCGGCTCATGGGAAGGAATGTGTCGAAGCCCTTGGCAATGTCCCACGGCAGACCCTTCCGCTTGGCCTCGTCCTGCGCGTTGCGCGCCGTCATGTCAATGGCGATGGCGTACGATTGGATCGCCGCCAGCGCGCCCTGGGCGTCGTCCGCCTTGAGGTCGCGCACCAGCTTGCCCATGACGAGTGCCAGCTCCACCTCGTAGTGCATCACGATGCCCTTGGGCCTGAGACACGCGCCCTCGCCGGGGAGGACGATGGAGGAGGGTGGCTTGAGGAAGAAGAAGGGCTGCTTGGGCTTCATGTTGTTGAGCTCCGCAATGTGATCACTGCGTTCCATCGTTACTATGGGACCGACACACGGCGTTTCTCCTGCTTACGCGTAGTTGCGGCCGATGCAGACGACCTTGCCAGCCTGCTTCAGCGCTGATGAGGCCTGGGGGGCCATCGTGGCCATTGTGCGTCGAAAAGCGAACATCTTGGGATCCGTGTCGCCCCAAGCCTTTGCAAAGCAGGTCCGACGCGCGTTGAATTATGTGATTGCTCAGTGCATGTATGAGACCGCAGTCAAGTTCACGCGCCGAGAATCGGGGCGCCCGATCGTGTTGAGCTCGGCTTCGTTGCCGCTCGGTCGGTCGGTGCTGACTCGGGATATATCCGCGCAGACTGGAGGCTGACACTTTCCACTGATCACTATTTTAGTCTCTCACCAGGAGGTCGGGCATGCATATTCAATTCCTAACATCCATATAGTAGACAAACTCAGCCGCTCTATTTGCAGAACTCGCTGCCAAAATTACAATGCTGCGTATATCATGCTGTATAGCCTCACTGTACAAAGCGCTATGCCATCGTGACTGAACTGACTCTATGCCGTTTCTAGGCCCCAACGCCATGCCGATTCCCCTCTTATATGCACCACAATGAACAAGAAACTGCGCGCTGCGTCTACGCTACGTAACGATATGTCGAGGGGGCGCCGTCCTCGTCGGGCCGCTCGAGATACTCGCGTGTAATCAGGTCCTCGATGCGCTTCTTGATGAGCGAAACGTCCGGCTTGAAGCGACCGACGAGCACATTAAGCACCTCGCTCACAAGTTGCGCGTGACTCAATTCTTTGCGTGACCTGAGCGGACGTCAGTAAGCATATAATCAATGGCAGACGAAAGGCACAACGTACTTCATGATCCTCACAATGGCTGCATCCACAACGTGCGCGCGGGTCTGGTTCGCCTTGTCTTCAGTCGTCTTTCTCTCGGTGCTGTCCTCCACCTTGGACACCGCATTGATCAACGGGGCCTTGATGCGGACCGTTTTGCTCAGGAACGAGTTGTTGAAGGTGAACTTGTCCCCAGGCTTGATTGATTTCGTCAGGGGCTCCTTGGCGAGCACCCGGGACTTGGGTGCCACGGCGATGGCCGTGAGTGTCCGCATCAGATCAGTGGTGGAGATGCTGGTCTTAGCTTGGATTTCCTCAAAGGACAGCGATCCTCCGTCCTCCAGATCGTTGAACAGGAGCAGGACAACCATGCCAAAGGTCGGCACGTTGATCTCGTACCGTCTCTCCTTGGCCAGCGCGCCCGACTTGCCAGGAACCGCCGGAAACACGCACTTGACATCGGCGCTGCCGGTCGTGCCGATCCACGTTAGCTTTCGGCCGTTGCGACTGGAGAGATAGAACTGCTCAAAGCTTGCTTGCAGACGCGACACTTCTCGGGGATATGTGCAAGTCACGCGCGACTCGGCACCGATCTGCGCGGACCGGCCCATGACCTCGGCGGGCCAGTAGTTGGTCGTGAGGACGCTGATGTTCAGGTCAATGGTCTTCTCGCCTTCCCCTGCGACGTTCATGTGGTCACGGTAGCCTGTCGTCAGCTCGGATGATGTGACCAGATCGCGGAACATGCCCTCGAACTTGCTAGTGAACTGCTGGCCGAGCTCCTGCTTCATGCGCGAAATGATCTGCTTCTCCACATCGTGACTTTCCGACTTGTTATGTAGCAAGCGGCGGGCCAGATGGCGCTGGTAGTAGGTCTGGAACAGGTCCCTGTCCTGAAGATACCTAATCAAAACAATGGCCTTCTCCAGCACAACGTCGACTTCAGCCTCTGTTTTGCCCCTGATGCCTCGTTTCAGGTTTTCGTCAATGAACAGCGAGACGTATTCGGTACATCGACCAAAGACGTTGATGAACTCGGTGAAACTCTTGCTGACAGCAGCCTGGAGAACCAAATCCTCCTGGAAACACTCCTTGAGGATGGCGTCAAACTTGTCCTTCAACCGCAACACGTCGTCAACCCATTTAATGGCGGCAGCTGTCTGTTGCGCGGCGGGGTTGAGTGGCTTCTTCTCGCCCTCGCCACCCTCTTCGCCTTCCGCTAGACCCATGGAGAAGTCTATGCCCTTGAGGGCTTTCTCGATCTCGTGCCCGAGCTCCATGACCCGGCGCTGGACAATGTTTTTGAGTGCCGTCTTGTTCTCGTCTATGCGACTGACCAGGCGGTAGAGTATCGAAAGGTCGTTAAACTTGTCATTATCGATCATCCATCTCAGACCAGTGACATCGAGGGCCAGAAATTCATCCAGGTGACTCTTTATAAGGTAGTTGTCGATGGTTTGGTGAACCTTGGGCAACGTCTCCAGCTCAATGGTAGTGCCACAGCGATCCGTCTCCTCCCCCAGGCGCTTTTCCGTGTGTCGTAACCAAGAACTGGCGTCGGCTTGCCGCAGCAAGTGCTCACACTCGGCCTCATAGTAGGCTTCGCTAGCCTCAATAAACTTTGGCTCAAAGAGCACCAAGTACAGCTTCTCAGATTCATTCTCCAGCTGGTTTTGGAAGAGGCAGCTCAGCATCCTGCTGCAGCTGCGGATCAGGGTCCTGTCAATGACATCGCCCTCTCTTTCCATCTCAATTTGGTCCAGTATTACCGAGATCAGGATGTCGACCACAGACCGATCTGAGGTGGCGTCCAGCTTGGACTGTAGGATATGATCTCGGAAAAGGGCAATCGTTGTGGCGAAGATCGACACGCGATTCGGATCGGCTTGTGTGAATCCGCGGTCGAGGTACATGAGGATGTCTGCGGTCATGTTCATCGACATGTTATGATCGTCCCATGTGTCTCGAAGGCCCTTGAGAAACTTCTCTCCCGTCTGACGCCTCTCGTTCGCCGACGTCGCCGCGCTGCGGTCTTCTCCAATGTTGACCAAGCTTCGCGTCACCAGCTGCTCAATCTTGGGAATGACATTCTCGGCGAACCACTCCTCCTCGAACTTTGTGACCCGGTTGTACAGCTCATCTCCCTTCTTCATAAGAACGATCTTGTAGGCGGCCCGGTACAGCTCTTCGAACGAGAGTCGACTGCAGTTCTTGTTATGGATGTCCCTGAGCGCTTCGCGAAGAAGCTCCCAGCAAGCGTCGAAATCGGCCCCTTCGGCTGGGGCATTTGGCTGTTGGCGCCAAGCGTTAGCAAAGTTTTACCAAAGCTTCACGTTCAGGTAGTAGCAAGAAATCGGACCTGCGTACGCCGAGGGTTGCTCAGGGACCCGAACGGATCGTTGATACTACTTACGCGAGCAATGCGGCGAGGCGGACGGATGCGAGCACCTCGCGCGCCCGAGCCCCCTCGCCCAGAAATCATGGCTGTCGTGCTCTTGTATCTAGGACTCGATCTCGGTCGGCGGTGCAGAGAAGTCTAGCTCATCCGTCGCATATGTGAACGTCTTGTGGAGGGGCTGCTGGCGGTGGCGGGGTGACGGAGACAGGGCTTTGAGCGGATTTACGCGGTAAGAATGCAATATTAAGTGGTTTTGAACCCGAGGCAAAGGGCGATGCTTCACCTGCGCCAGTCGTGTCGAAAAATACTCGGTAAGGTATGTTCGGGTTTGAAGAGTCACGAAGAGGTGAAGCGGACGTAGATCGGCAGGAGCGATGACCGGGGCTTATCGATAAGTATTCGAGATCCGCGCAAGATCAGACTAGAACCAAGTCAATGGCATAGGCTTACACTGCGCACTACTAAGCTACCTGGTACTCACACCCAGAGTCTACACTACTAGTAAAGACAAATTTGGCTTCTTAGTCGTGCCTCATTTCTCCTCGTAGCATAAGGTGCGCTGCAGGTATCATAGATGCCGGGCCTGACGCGATCACAGGGGTCCTTGGTCCAGTTCCAACCTCGACAATGGTGTCGGAAGTGCTCTTCGCCAAATTTTCCTGGATAAACGGGTTACCTTGGAAAGTTTGCAGCTTCGTGCTTTTTCCGTAATCTCCCTAGTCAGCTCTTGACCGTGATTTCATCACCTCCAGCATGGCTGTAGAACAGACCCACCACATCTAGTTCACGTCACGTGCTATACGCCGGCGACCGCAGCTAAGACGTACCGACAGACAATTTGCAGCGACAAAGCTCCAGCCGTGCGATCACGAACGCGATTGCTCGACCAACCTGTAACGCACTCCTACTTCATACCCCTCTGCCACCCACACTTGGCGACATCAAACCGCCACAATGAAGCTCGTGAGGTGAGATTATCCCGGAACTTGGCAAAATTGAGTTTTGCTGAGCGCCTACCGCGAAGAACGAGCCAGGACTGACAATGCGCGACCAGGTTCCTGATGAAATGCACCAACGAGACGGTGACCATTGAGCTGAAAAATGGTACGGAAATCCCCTTTGAACGCCGTTGCTCCAGCGCAAGCCATACTGACCGACGCAGGCACCATCGTCCACGGCACCATCGCGTCCGTGTCGCCCCAGATGAACACAGCCCTACGCAATGTCAAGATGACCGCCAAGGGTCAAGATCCCCTCTCCCTCGACACCATGAACATTCGCGGCTCGACGATCCGCTACTACATCCTCCCGGACTCGCTCCCCCTCGACACATTGCTGGTGGACGACGCGCCGAAACCCAAGAACAAGGCCCGCAAGGAGGCGGCGGATACAGGCGGTCGCGGTGGACGCGGCGGGCGAGGACGCGGCGGCCCACGCGGGCGCGGCAGGGGACGTGGCGGGCGACGAGGCTGATTCGCACATGGGGATCTGACGATGCAGGATGGTATACGGGGTGGTGGTGGTGGTGGTTCATACAATGGCATCAGGCGTTTGGGGACATTTTGTATTCGGGCATCACGAGAGACAGAGAAAAAATTGGAATCCGCACGGGTTGGATTGAAAACAATGTAGTCTTGTGTACTTGTCCAGCCCACTGGTGGTATCATGCCCTGTCTGACTCCCTCCATATACGGACGACTTGCAGCTTCTCGCGCCCGGCTGTCTTCCCACTCGATCCGACGGTTTCGGCCCTCCACTCAGGCCCAAACTCACGTATGCGCTGCTTGACTTGCTCGGGCCTGTTCTGGGCGCAAAACAGAATGTAAGCACAGCCTTGGGGCGAGAGGATAGCGGACAGCGAGTCTATGATCCGATCTGTCGTCTCCATGCCGTCCTTGCCACCGGCGTAGGACAGGGACAAGAGATATGAATCATCGTCGAATGACGGCTGCTGGCTCGGTGCTGGCTCTGGCTTGAACTCGTCTGGTTGCAGAGGCATCTCCGAGGTAGGGACATAGGGCGGATTGAAGATGAGCACGTCGATCTCGTGGTCCCGTACGGACGTGGTAAGATCGCCCATGCTCGAGCCCAGATACATCCCATGTGTAGACGGGTTGTCTCTCTCTGCCCGCCTCGCGGTTTCGACCGTGGCCCTGCACGCATAAGCGTTCATGTCCACGCCCGCTGTCAGGATCCGTCTGGTGCCAAAGAGTGTTTGCGCGTGAGCATTGACGAAGCCTAGGACAACGCCAGAGCCCGTGCCGATTTCAACGACGAGTGGAACATTCTCTGAAAATCTTTCTCGAAGAAATGTTCGTTCTGTGTCAAGAGAAAAGGTGTCGAGGAGTAGGAATGAGTCTTCAGCTGGTTCATAGACCCGCTCATATGGTACATGGGAGGTGTTTGGCGTAGGTAGATCCATGTCGGGGCAAGGTCCAGAACTTCGGCAGGGCGGCCAGACAGAATCTCTCTTGTCTTTCCTGGTGGTATCGTGAGATTTGTGTCGCAATTCGGGGGTTCTGTCACTGGTGAGACGCTGTTGATGAAAATGAAAGGTTTCCTGGTGAGAAGTGGGTTGATCGCTTTGGTGGTCCGACTCCAAAGCTCGAACTTGGAACCATCAACTATCACAGCACAACACAGCCGTCTCCAAACTTGACCTCGCACCCAAGATCATCCTTTTCCGGTCCGGTGCCCCATTTGATGCCTCCTCCGTAGCTCTCCACCACTCTCATCATGTACGGATCGAACGTCCAAGGCCTGCATTTCGGGCATGGCCGACTCTTCGTCTTGAACAGTTTTGCGGCCGGGTGGAGGTGACTACCGCCTGTGCTAAAGGTGTCGCAGGACGTGAATGTCATTCCCGGCCCGCATGGCTCGGTGATGACAGTCCAGGTGTGCTTGCAGACGGTGTGCGTGAAGAGAGTGGTAATGCACATGGCGAAGGATGGTGACCCAGTCCTCGGGAGTACGGTTCTAGACTAGGGCTGTTTGTTATAGCATCGGGTGCCAACTTTGGTCTGCGCAGTCTCAAGGTCATCAGTGTATGTCTTGTATACCTCTGCGTGAATCACAGTGGCTTATGGTCACCTGTCGCTCAGAACCGTATCAAACGGACCTGACTTGCCACACTACGCGACAGTCACGCATGTATTAGGGACGATGATGGCAACACAACCCATGATGGTATGGTGTCTTTTGATTTCTAGCGTGATTGCTGCTCTTCAATTCGTCACGAATCAACCTCCCCGGTCTGTGTGACACCCTTGAACGAGTCTTCCACCGAGAACCCTGCTGTATCCCTCAGGGTACTGCTACCCTCCCCCGTTGAATCGTCGTCGTGATCATCAGACGCAACCTCACCTGGCGGGAGCATCTTGGTTATCAGCGCCTCCATCCGAGCGATGGACTTCTCCATGCCGTCCAAGCGAGTGGCAACCCCGTCGAAGTCTTCCGTCTCCGCAAACGAGCCCCGAAGCTTTCTTCGTATCCCCGGGAATGTCGAATCTCGTCTAGAAGGGGTCTGCCCCTTTGGAACGTCATTGCTGTGCTCGCTCGTCGTTTGGCGGGTGAACTGTCGGCGGATGAGATGCCGCGTCATGTCGTCGTCCACAGCAATATCCTCAAACACATCCTCTGGCGGAGCGAGCTGAAAAACCGCCTTGAGACTCTCCTTGCCGGACAGGTTCCACACCTTGCGGAATATGGACTTGTCGGATGTCCCCCTTTTGCCTCGACTGGGCCACAGCAAACGCCGCTCCGCCACGGCAATGACGAGCAGCACCGGGAGGTTGATAGCCTTGACGGTAGCTACGTGGATCTTGTGGAACCAGCGCGGACTGACCACAAACTTGAGTGGCAGGAGAACGAAGACGGCCAGGATGTTGAAGGGCGGCTGGTACGCAAAGACGGCATCGGCCTTGACGCCTTCCAGGGTGAGGACAGCTTTGCGGAACTGCATCTCGGCCACGGCATTGGAGGATATGTTGCTGAACGTATTCGACAACATTGATACAAGAATGGTCAGGAAGAGGGTGTTGCCCAGGAAGGCAAAGGCCACCATGAGGCTCGGCCCCAAAATCTTGTGGAACTCAGACTATGCTTGTCAGTCTGGGTGTCTGGCTGTTTCGGAAACGGATGGCTTACAGAGCGCCGGATACCAGTGCCGTCCAACCCAAACCATATGTATATCATCCATTCCGATATCGTCCTAGACAGTCAGTATGGATCCGTACCATGCAGCACTCGAATATACGTACACCCAAGGATGTGCGCCCTCGCCCAGCCACAAGAGCGCGAGCAGGAAGCCAAAGAAGCACCAGGCACTCAGCGCGGTGAGGGCAAAGAAATCCGCCATCATCGACCGCAGTGACAGGAATATGAGGTTATCCGACAGCAGTGTGAAGGCGAGTCGTGGAATGACAACCGGCGCCGCCAGGGCTAGCACGTCAAATGCTTGTTCGGCCGGGCCAAGCTCGTCTATGCGCCACCCGTGGAAGCGCAGTATGATGTATACGACGTAGATGACGATGAACGCTACATCCAGGAAGGACCAAAGATTTTGCGTGTATACGTTCCTGTAATCCGTCAGTAATATTCCCAACCCTGTCCAAAACCTCAGTAGCATACCATCCATGTGCGAGGAGAGTCGCAAACTGATCCAGGCCCCAGCCGAAGGCGTACACAGCAAAGACAGACTCGAGGAGGGTGATCTCGTACTTGTCCCGAGCTACCATGACACCAACATACAACCCCAGGAGGATCGCAAACTGCGTCGCCTCGAGGATATTCCGCGTGCGAGGCACGATGAGTCTGTACTGGTTAAGGAGGGGCGAGTCCCGCGGTTCATACAGCGAGATGGGCTTGAGCTTGTAGTGATCGGGGATGATGTCCCAGATCGTCGACGGTGTGTACACGATCCGGCCCTCGTAGATGGCGTTGACGACCTTTTGGCACGTGGTCGAGCTGAGAAAGTGCTTGCTCTCCGTCAGGATCGCCACCTCGAGAGACGGCAGCGTCCTCTGGTGCGTCCAGGCCGTCTTGCGCTCGGCCTCCTCGCGCACGGACGGCGGTGCGCCCTGAAAGGGTTCGAATCCAGCCACGAGGATGTGCGCCAGGAGCAAAAGGCCCTCGCTCCCCTCGTGGTCTTCGTTAAAGCGTCGGAGAATGCGGGTGGCGATGAGCTCGCACAGGGTGGCGCGCGTCCAGCTCACATTCTGCCTGTTGGTGAGATGCGCCTGCTCGTCGAGAAAGTTGGCCCTGTTGACCAGCAGGCAGTACACGATGGAGATGTCGTCCAGCTCGTAGAACTTATCCACGAGGGGCCTCACCACGGTCACGTTGATCCTGACGTCGGTGAGCTGCTTCAGACTGATGTAGTCCTCGACGACGCTGATAATGTCGCGTCGTATCCGGTGAATCGTCGTGTAGACGGGCAGGTGGCTATGAGGGTCCGTCCTGCAGCTGTATATGGGGTCGCCATTCTCGCCGTGATCCGTGTACAGCCTGCTCAGCAAGGGGCGGCGCTCGTCTGTCGGTGCAGCTAGCACGACGCGCCTCTGGCGGCCGGACATGCGGCCAGAATCCTACTCTGAGCCGATTGGCCTTCAAGTGGTGGATGCGAGATGATGTGAATGTCTGGGAGACTATCTATGATCTGACGCGAGTGTGACTGGCGATGTCGCAAACTTGAGGTGGCAGGTAAAGCAGACTGGACTATATGAAGTCACACCGTGGAAAAAGTGCAGAGCGTCTCACTAGTCGCTATGAGACAGTTCAAGATAACGCCAGGCCTAGTAAATCAAGGCGGGCACACCCTAGGCCCTAGGCTAGGGGCCAGCCAGGCATTGTAGCGGCCGAGGCCACTGAAACTCCTCCCTAGGTATCTTAGCCATCAGTGATGTCAGGTGGGGCACATAAAGCTGGCTGATGATGGGGCTGCTACTACGTAGTACCGCCGGCCAAGTTTCGTGGAATCACCCACACACGTGAATGTGTGCTTGAAGACGATTCTGGAGCGTGTTGCAAGCTGAGAAACCCATGGATTACTGTTGAAGCAAATTGACATTCCATTGGCACTGTAAAAGGCACCGGTGACAACTGGAGTTGAAATCAACTACAGTTAGTGACTTGACATCTAGCACAATCAGATCCCAGGGCCATGCTAAGTCAAGCGCTACACTGCGCTACAACATCATGAACCCATATTTGTGGTCTAAAGTCACATCTATAACCTCGCACTCTCCCCCTTCCTGGACTTCTGCGCCAGCTCCCAGGCAAACTTGGCCAAGGGCGTCCTCGTCGCGGCGTGGTGCTTGGCCTGCTCACTGCTCGCCTGCCGCGCCGCGTACCGCGCCGCGATGCCCTGGCAGACACCCGCGAGCTTCCAGATATTGAACGCCATGCCCCAGCCCAGCTCGTCGGGTGTCGGGTCCCAGCGCTCGCCCGTGCCGGCCGCCTGCGCGGCTTCCTCGCGGTACCACGCGACGATCTGGTCCGGCTGGGGGAGGCCAGGCGTGCGCCCGGGAAGGAAACCCGAGGCGTCGTGGGTGGAGGCGCCAGAGTACTGCGCGGAGTAAAAGTTGGTCATAAAGTTGCACAGGTCGGAGAGCGGGTGACCGACGGTGGACATTTCCCAGCTGCGGTGGGTTAGCATCTTTGTATGTTCTGTGAACGGCGGTGCTGCGTCCAGATACGCCAGACGAGAGGGATACGTACTCCAAGATGCCAATCACGCGCGGCTCCGTCTTGTGAAAGACCAGGTTGTCAATCTTGTAGTCTCCATGGACGAGGGTGGCTCGATCCCGCGGCTGCAGCTTCTCGTTCTTGAAGAACCGCACCAGCTCCTCAAAGTGCGGTAGCTGCCCGACGGGCTCCTTGGTCTCAATGTCGACCGCCTTGGCTTGATTCGAGCAAATGGTCGTCCACGTCTCGATCTGTCGGTTGTAGAACCCCACGGGCTTGCCAAACTTCTCCAGGCCGACCTTTTTGTAGTCCACGGCGTGGAAGCGCGCCAGCGTGCGGACAGCCTCCCGCCAGAGCTGGGACCTCTCCTCGGCGCTGACGCCCGGCATGGTAAAGTCCTCAAAGATGCGCCCGTCCAGAAACTCCATGACGTAAAAGGGCGTCCCGATCACGCTGTCGTCCTCGCAGAGACAGTATGTCTTGGGCACGGCCACGTCCGTGTTCTCGAGAGCGTGGAGCACGCGGTACTCGCGCTCGACCTTGTGGGCGGTCTTGGAGATGAGCTTGCCGGGGGGCTTCTTGCGCATGACGAATTTCTGGCCATCGGCGGCGATGACTTGGTATGTCGGGTTGGACTGGCCAAAGCCAAACTACAAGGGCCCGTGTCAGCAGTCAGTCGAGGGTCGACAGCAGCAGCAGCAGCAGGAGGGGGGGGGGTAAGGGCATTTCGACGACGAACCTGCTTCAGCTCAATTGGCGTCTTGACAGCGGGGACATTGTCGACGAGGTACTTTTCAAAAGCCCGTTGATCGATGGGCTGGCGCACGCGTCCGGCCATGACGTCTTTTCCTTGTTGGTAGGAGGGAGGGAGGAGCAAGGGAGGCTTCAGTGGTCGTGGACGGAATGGTACAGCGTAAGCAGGTCGGGCAAGTTGCAGCGACCAGGGAAAGAATGTCGACCGGGGAGATCAATGTAATCAACGTCAGTCACCGTGTGCCTGGAGATCGGCAGGTGTTCCCCATGTTGCCGTGCCGTGGTACGGAATGTCGAGGAGGATGATCTGCTCGGCCTGGCTGTGGCCTTCAGCCGAGGTCCAGGGCGCCAGTCGTGGAATTAACCCCGGATCATCAAACCCGACCACCAGTTCAGAACAACCCACCTCCGCAGTTTGCCATGCACGGCAGCGGCAGCAGCACGGCTTTATTTTGTTAGCCTGTGTGCGCGCCCCCCCTTCGTGGCATGCGTCGAGCGCAATGCATTTCATGTAAGCTGATAGGCGAGGCTCTTCAGGGTTCTTGCGAAAAGAAAAGACGTTTCACTGTATTGGCACGAAAAGGCAGCATACCAGCAGTCCAGACGCGTGGGATCAGCCATAATTCTGCCTTGGGAGTGTCAGGATTCCAGTATCTTTACTTAAGAACATGAATCACTTTGTCGAGCACACGCTTGTCAATGTAGGTGAATACACGGCCTCCAGTCTCTGCTACTCAACACTCGAAACACTCCTTCAACGACCGGTGACCAGACCTGGTTGCGCCTACGAAAGATGACGGCCACCCAAAAAAGCGCAGAGAAAAAGTAACAAGATCAGCCCAATGAATGAACATGACACAAAGAATTGTTCCGTAGCAACCAACAGCAACAACAACAAGTAGTTTCGATAATATAAATGTCCGGGGGGGTATCCATCGTCGCATTTCGTCCGTCGTCCACACAATCTGTTCCTCCTCCACTGCATTTCATGTGCGTGTGTGCGTATTCTGTTTTGTGTATCTGTGTTTCTGGGGCTACTGCCTACCACGACAGGCGGAGGCTTCGCCATGCTGTTGCCAGACCTGATGCTGTAATATAAGGCGTAATGGAATGTAAGGGACACAAAAAGTAAAGGGCAAAAAGGAAAAACCATCAAGGACGCGCTTCGCCAGCCCAACACCAATCAACGCCACAGCGTGGCCCCATACACGCAGCCGCGTGCTTTGTCGCCCTATCTCCCGTCATGACATTCGTAAGAAGCAATCTGCCTGGTCATGTCATCCGTGTCGTTCGCTCAGGGTGGGCGGTTGCGGCGAGGGTCACTCTTGGTTCTCCTCCCCATTCTCCTGGTCCGTTTTCGCTTTCTTGTTCGACCCGCCCGATCCCGCCTGCGATTTGCGCTTGTTGCCCGTGGCCGCCGTCTCCTCCTTGGGCTCGTCCTCCTTGCCCTCTTTGCCCTCCTCCTTCTCCATCGCCGCGACCTCGTCGGCTGTCAGGAACCGACCGCCCGGCCCGCGAGGCCTGCGCATAGCGTGGTTGTGTCGCGACTCGTGCAGATATGGTTTGCGGCCCTTTGAGGTCAATCGCAACTGCTCCTCCAGTTTCTGGCGCGCCACTCTCCGCTTGAGGATCCTGTGGAACTGCTTCGCATTCACGTACAGCGGTGATTCTTCCACGGCGCCAGAGGGCAACTCGGGCGATTGGGGGTGTTGCATTTGCGCTTGGGGCATCTGGGGCGGCCCGACGCCAGGTCTCGGTCCTCCATGGCCCATCATGGAGCCGCCAGGCACACCAGGGCTGGTGACTTGGCTCATCCGCCGGTCCATCGAAGACATATTGCCCATCCTCGGCGACGGCCTGCCCTCCTTCTTAGGGTTGGCGCCGCCCATCCGTGGTGAGGTGTGTGCCATGGCCGGATCTTGGTGCATGTAGGGGTAGTTAGACCCAGAGGCCGCAGCGGTGGCGGCCATGGCAGCTGCTTGAATCCCCGGCATGCCATATGGCACCTGCTGCATCCCCTGCTGGGGAACACCATATTGTGCTTGATACATGTTGTGCGGTTGAGGCTGGCCCGTGGACTGTTGCTGTGATCCAATGACGGGCGACGCTTGTAGGCCTTGCTGGTTATTCTGCTGTGGAGGATACTGCGCGTAGTCCATAATACTGAGGTGAGTGCTTGTCGTTGCGAGCTGTCGCGGTCCGTCGCGTCTCTGGTCGGTAGGCTCGAGTTGGAGTACTCAAGACGCGTTTGGAGGGGCGAGTGAAGAGCGTGGCGAATAGATGTGCCCGATTTGTCCCCTCAGCGAGCTTAAGGGTTTAAAATGCAATGGCAGCAAGGGTAGTGGTTGGGCACAATGAGCCAAGCGTTGTCACTTTGGGCCGGCGCGCTGATGCTCGGGTGTCAGGCACAGGGTGTCTCCGACTTGATTGGTTATGCAGCGTGTGCTGGCAAGATCCGTGGCCTGGGGCTTGCTCGCTGCACAACTACTCACTAGAGCTAGCGAGAATGAGGTGCAGTGCCGACTGTAGGGCACTGGTAGCAGCAGTTTGGTACTTGTTGACCAAATCACAGCTGGAGATCTTGTCAGCCCTTGTCTACTACTCGTCCCTTGTATCAAAGCCATGGAATCGAAAGAGAGAAAAAGTGAGAGGGGGATGGGGATGAACTGGGCAGGATAGTGGGCTTGGACGACTTGCAATGCGCTGGCGCGCCAAGCACACATTCCGTCATGCAGTCCGGTCTCTGGTTGCAACGGCAGCGCAACACACTCGACAGAGTGTTGAAGGAGGTGTAGAATTCTGTGTCCGAAATGGGTAGAGTGCTGGAGCCATCAGGCTAAACCATGCAGCTACCCACGACGGAGCATCAGAACAAAGACGGGCAAGAATAGATGACATCGAACTGCATGAGATACATACCTCAGTAGCAAGAATCTCTCGTGTGTGAGAGATCTCGGGTGGTGTCAATAGTCGTGGTCTGCTTGATGTTGCTGTCAGCGCGTTCTGGAGATGTAAACATGCGATAATTTACGCGACAAGATATAGCTAACAGTCGGTGTAGATGACCGGGGCCGAAGCAGAACTGGCTATCCAGGCTGGCTGGCTGGCAGGGCCCCTAGAAAGCGCAGCAGAGCCAAAATCTGAAGCATGGAGGAATACGACGATGCAAAAGAAAGCTTGGCCGGCTTGCGCAGTAGTCGCCCGTGTCCTGGACCAGGCAGGATGAGAAGCAGATAGCCGTGAATACACGGATGTGTACTGCGAGTAGGGCAATACCGACGGACTTGAGGTCGCAATGCCGATGGGACATGGAATGACGCGAGTAAGGAGATTGATCCAGCAGTACATACCTTGTGCGACACTGCTTGATGGTGGTTCAGGGCCAGAGCCTCAAACAGAGGCTGTCGATGCTCCAACTAAGCACGCGACAGGACAAGAACGTCGCTGATTGCTCGCGACGTGTTGGTCTCTGGGGTTTCAAAAGATACCGCAGACGTGTCTTATCACCTGATGATTAGCTTAATCCAATAAGATCATGTAGACTGAGGCCTTTGACGATGATAGGCCTCTGTATTGTCGCGAATCGTTCGGAGGATGACAGCGGCGACGCGCGAAAAAGAGAGCTGATTTGCTGGCGTGGTGGGCGAGGGACTGATATGGGCAGCAAATGGGCGGGCTGGGACGCGGAGCCACGACAGTGGGGGCCGATGCCCGCGAGGCGCAAGCCACACTCATTGCCTGAAAGTACCTGGGACTGGGCTGGGCTGGGCTGGGCTGGGCTCTCGGGAACTGGTCTCATGTCTTCACCGCAACTGTGCACTGCATTCTTGCGGTCCCGGCCAGGCTGACTGACGTCGAGGTCGGCCGCTAGGCCTGTTTGCGAAGGAGTATAGGTGAGACTTCACCTTTGGGCTTGGGCATGATGGAGATGATGTAAGGTATCCGGACAGACAACTTGGCAGTGTGATGAGTGAGGCAGGTCGATGAGAGATGTTTCTTACCGCGCGTGGGGTGACAGTCTCAACTCAAGCTGTCTTTGTCCCGGCTTGCTCCCAGAGAAATCGCGCGTATTGCGACGCGTTGCAGTGTCTGCGTAGGCGGTCAGCTTCTGAAGAGCATTGCTTGCCGTGCGTTTTCCCCATCTTGTCGAAAGGGTGTATTGTGACTGGATGGGCGAGCGGCGCTGTGCACACTTCAGCGTGTAACGGCTCGAGCTCAATCTGGGTGAGACTCTGCATCCGTCCGCTCCAGTCCAAGTAGGTTTGTCTAGTCGGACTCACTACTATAGAAAAAGTTGGTCTTACACCGCGACGAATCGTTGTTTCGCGATGGCGCTTGACGAATGAGAGTTGCTGGCGCGATGACGGCAGAGGCTGTGAATGGCCAGTCCGGACAGGCTCTTTTGGATCAATCAAGAGGTTTCGATGCTCTGGGTGCACTGCGCTGGAGCGGATGGAGAAAGTGAGATTGATTGGCCGTGCGAGAAGGAGACGGACGGAGAACTTGAAAGATGATTTGGCCTTGAGGGGGAGTGCCGACCCAGTACCTTTAACACTCGTGACTGGCTGACACAGCCCTAGCAAGTGGGACTGCCCGTCCCTCGCTCTAAAGACTCAGGCACCCAATTAAGGCAGACATTGACTCCGCTTTAATCTTGGCTTCAGCCACTCACATGTCTCGGCTTCCGGAAGATCACTAGGCCGTGACGAGCTCGGGATTGTTATCACGTTCAATCAATCACATCCTCACTCATCACCCATCACATATTAATAAACCAGTCGGACTTCCCAGCAAGCGTTTGTTGTTGTATTATCGCAATTTCCACCATCTTCAGGAACACGGGCCCAGCTCTGAAAATGCACGCGGGTGAGTGACGCAATCGGATCAGGCTCTCGGCGCATCTCCACACCTCGGAGAGATCGACTACGCTGGGGCCGGAGATGATGGTGTGCCACAGTTGATGAGTTGGCAAATTCGCCGTTCAATTCATTGCCCGCCTCGCACTTTGCGGCTAAAATTAGGACTGTCATTGTGGTAGCCCGTCATCCTCTTCCCCAGCACACGCGGATATGAAGCCATGAAGGGTAAACACATCATCGATTGCGTTTGATAGCCGGGCACCGCCCAGCAGAGCTCTAACACTACGTTGTGGTTGTGGCACGGCTCACTCAAGAGTTACCACGAGGTGATTTTAGGAATAATATTCCTTCACAACGTGTTCAGCAGATTGCGAGACCGTCGTATTTCAACCACACCAACTGGACCCCTCAATCCTGATACCTAGTCATGCGCGTGTCGGCCAGCAGTCTACGTGTCTCACCTTCATGAGAGGTTGGGCTCGACTCTTGTAGGCATCGCAATGACAGCATTTCACCCCATGGACGTGATGGTGGAAAGGCAGTCTCGCCTGGATTGATGGCTTGATGCAGACTCGATGCGCGCTGGGCGATTCGTAGGCGCAGTTTGCTGCAAATGTCGGTGTGAGGACGCGGTTGACAAGCCACAGCAATAACAATTATCCTGAGTGCCTCCGCAGAGCCCCAGTCTCACAATGTTATGGCTCTTCTCTCCGGCTGTACGACCTCTGCCTGCATTGCTGTGCCACCCACACATCATAAATAGAACTGCGTGTGGCAGCGTTGGGCTTTCGACACGAATTTGTAACTATTATTACGGCCTGAATGTGATCACCCTTCTGCGCTAGAATTGAGACGATGCAGGGTCGCATCACCATTGTGAGGTTGACATGCTCTGGTCTCTTATACAGCAGACTTACCCTGTAGCCTTGTCAATTTTGGTGGACACCGCCTACTGCTCTTCATTATTAGGCGTCTAACACATTTTTTGCGTGAAATACTAGAGTTTCGGTATAATACATGTGTGTTTGAGTATGGGAGATGCAGTTGTCCGTACGCATTCTACCGGCTTGGTGGACTTCTGGTGTCTAATGTCTATACACAGTACACCAGTCCAGCCACAGGCACCCTGTTATTCTGGGTCCCAACTAGACCAAGAAACATAAACGCACAATTTCAAGTCTAACACATCAATTCAACGGCTAAGCTCAAAGGCTATCCTACGACGGTGGGAAAGGCAGTCGACTAGTGTCTCGAAGCCCACACATGAGTAAACACGGGGAGCATTTCAGTCTATAGCTACGTAGCTGTATCAAAGGGGCCGGTGCTGAGCAAATGCAGGTCCGCAGTTTAAAAAGCTTCACTGTTCGTTAAGACAAAGCCTAGAAGTCCAACAGAGAACCCTGGGTACTATACCAGCAGGTAGTTTCGATCCAGGCGTTGATTCAGAAACAACCGGAAAGCCAAGTTGAAGGACGAGCCGACGGTGATACAAGCCGTGAGCCACAGCTCCCAAGCGCTTGGATCATTCAATGATTTGACCATTCACCAGCAGCCGAGGGGTGCTCAGTTGGCTGTCTCGCAACAGTAAGACAGCATGCTGCCCTAAGATCACGCACCAGCTTGCTAGGGCAGGCTCATCAGAGTTGATAATACCACGTCTACGCCTAATCGGACAAACTTCCCAGACATTCGAGACATTCGGAAAGCGACCAACCATATGACCTCGGTATGGCCACCGGCCAACACTGTCCGACTCGAAGTAAGCGCGATAGGCGCAGCCCAACAAGCATGCGTCCCTGGGTTAAGCGCGAAGGCGTTGCCTAGAGCTGACAACGGATGACTCCCAGCCTAACAAACAGCACCTCGAAGTCTGGGTTGACTGATAAGCGCGCCTTGGCAGCATCCGACCAGGCGGGTTGCTGCATCCCACGGAGAGAATGTGGTCAGCAAGGGGGTATGAGTAAAGGTGCAGTGGGTTTGCGCGCCCTTAAGCGCGACGGATGCTTGCTCCTCCAGTACACAATGTGCCAGCGCAGGCGGGAGCGAGACCCAGTCTGGCACTTGCCATCCAGCGCTGGGGCAGTCTCCAGCAATGCCGTACACTCGGCGCTGGACACTGTTGTGCCTCTATACAATTTGGCGCGGATGCTCTGCTGTGATATGCCAACGGTGTTGGCCGTGAGGTCGCCATAGGAGAGGCATCATGCTCAACGGAGCACAGCATAGCATATTGAATCCAAGTTTCTGCAGGGGAAGGAGGCGGCGCTTGCTGTGCCCTCGAGGTTGGTGGGCAGCTGGGCGCTTAGAAACCAAATGCTGCATGGTTCCGCTCCGGCGCGAATATCAATCCAAATTTCCTCGCTCCCCTGGAGCAGGCGCGCGCTCAATTCATTCCACGGCTGCTCGAGGAAGCATCGTGAGCCAGGCCATAGCGCTTCCGTGAGCGAGATGTGGGAGGTTTCCGGAGAGACCATGTGCCACATGCTTCACGTGGCGCGCGCCTTGTCAAGTAGCGGCTCCCGCATATGAATCAGGAACGAGGCCTTGCCTTTGCGATTCATCCTCAGCCACACGTTCTGTTCTGCATGCTTGGAGTTTTGAGCAGGAGCGCCTTTGATAGCTGGAGCCGCGCGCTGAATGAAGCAAACTGGAGTCTCCAAAGGTCGTCAAGCAGGCCAGATGAAGTCTGGACGTACCACGCAAAGTCCAAGGTCTATCGCCGCGATGTTGTTGTTGTTGTTGTTGTTGTTGTAGTGAAACAAGCAGCGGCGACATGTTTTGGCAGCGTGAAGGATAAGAACTCGTGACGCCGTCGCCCAGGACACAAGAACAAACCACATCAGCCTGCCCACCATCGTCCCACCATCATTCTTGTCTGGTTATTGAGTCCGGTCCTGTCACGTCACATTCCGTCAACTGAGCACGCACCTATCGGACCTCCTCCTTTCCTCGGGCCACGCGACGAACCCCAGAGTTGATGCCGAAGACAGAGGTCGAAGGAGGCACTTTCATTCGCTGCGACAACGAAACCTTAACGAGGCTGTGACGAAGAAGTTGAAGAGAATACGCACGACATCAGCTCCAGCTTGCATTCCCGTTGGCGCTCAAAAACCTGGGCCCACTAGAGCGCAAAGCCAATCAGAGCGCGTAGCTGACCATTTGCGATCGGAATCGCCCATCTCGGCGCCTGCCTCAAGTTTTCGGAGAGAACAAGCAAAGCAAGAGCGACACTGCTTACAATACCATCTCCTTTTTGCCATCCTCGCCAGAACAAGCTGAAAACCTGGACTTTTCATCCTCCAAATTTCTTTTTCTCGCCTTCGTTCTTGTCGACCTCCTCAATCATATCCAGTCGCTTCTTCGGCCAACTTCGAGCAGCACCTATCTGAGACACTGAGGATTGCCGGTACAGGACATACAGGACCCTCAATCCCACGCCGCTTTAAGCCAGTGGACCCCACAACGCTGTATTAGCGACATCCTAACCAAACATTCGGGTCCTGGACTGTTGGTGATTTTCATCAGCTATAGCCTATTCGTTCCCATCCTCAAAAGAATCCCCTACGACACGGAACTGTCGCAAGACTCAGCTCGCGCCAGGTGTGATTCCTGCTCCTCGGTAACGGCGCCAAGCAGCAAGTTCGCCGTCTGAATTTCGCTGGTCAAGAGACAGCACGACGAACAGACTCGTCTTCTCCGGCCCTTACTCTTCTTCAGGAAGACGGTCGAGATTGACTCACCTTGTCAACAGAACAAACGAGACCTTCACACCCCCAGAGACGCTTGCCGCCAGCGCTGGCAAGTCCCGGCACGCCTGACAGGCATTGCACCAACAGCGACAGGCCTGTTGCCGACGCCCACCTGCACGCACTTACACACTCCCTCCCTGTCCACACCCTCCCCAAAGCGGAACCCCGGCGCCAAACGCCAGCAGCTCCTGAGCCTCCCACCGCTCGTGAGTCCCATCGTCGTGTGTGTTACAATATAACAAGCTCCGCTGCTGCTACTGCACACTTTCCACCTTCTCTCGCTCACCCGTCCGCGTTTTCCTCGCACGGCCAAGGGCTTGTCTGCCAGCTCTGCTTTCTCTGACCACCGTGTCACTGTCCAGGACCAAAGACAACGATACGAGCCATTCATTTGGCTTCGACGCTTCCTTCGCCTGGCACATCTCACTGTCACTCAATCACTCGCTTTCTAGCTCAACGGCAACTCAACCACATACACATCATGCCCGGACAACGACCAAAGCTCGGTAAGCTGGCAACGCCAGTCTCGGCCACGTTCCCATCCGAGATCACCTCTGCTGCCACGGCTACACCCATCTCTGCTGTGGCCTTCCCCGTCAAGCCGGATCCCGACTACATCAAGACTCCCATCAGTCCCCCTATGGCCTATACCGACTTTCTATCCAAAGCCATTTCTCTCAACTCACCACTTCCGCCTACTGGTGACTCCACACCAGAGTCTGCATCCATGCCGGGGACGGCGAGCAGCGAGCAGTCGTCGTGCTCATGCAAGGTGGAAGAGTCATCACCCCCAACCAGCGTCGACGGTGACAAGCCGTCCCCTCCTGCCACTGCTCCCATTGTGCCGCCGAGTCCCTTTTGCCCCTCAGCGGCACCAATGTCGGCCCCTCCTACGGGACCTGCCACCTTCCCTAGCCTGCGAGTCCCCCAAAGTCCTTCAGTTGCCAACCTGGACTCGCCAGTCCGTTCGCCCTATAGCGCACGGTCAATTCACTCCGCGTTTGACTGGGACGCGGCTCTCAAGGCCCGCACGCAGTCTCTGAAGAAGCAGCCCTCCCGGACCAGTGTACGGCACATTAGGGAGGTAGTGACCAGGACCGTCACCTACACTCCACGAATGGATCCGGCACCCAAAGGCAAGAGGCGCAAGGTCGAATGAGTCCGTTCAGGAAACAGAAATTCGACCTCACCCTCATTAATGAACATTGCATTGGACCTCCTTTCACAACCGACACTCACTTCCATTGGACCAAACTGTCACTTCTCTCACATTGACAGTTCGAATTTTTTTTTTTCTACATGTCAGCATCACCATGATGCTCCCCAAGATAAATCATGTATCTATTCCTGGGAACACTTTACGACTTCATGCACAGTTGGCCATCACTCGGGCCACACATAACGGCGCACCATCAGGAGGGGCTTGACACTTCAGATATATATATATACCTTGGTGCCAAAAAGGGAACTGGCGAGGAGGATCTCAGGCGGCAAAGATTTGGTTAACGGAGTACACTGGCGTTTCCTTGGAGACTTTCAAAGCCTTTCGCTTTTGTTTTTATTGCCTGGTACCCAACCATCAATACCATCGACAAGGCGGCTAGGGTGAAGCTCCTTCGAAGTGAAGGAGGCTTCTTGGGTAGCATATCGAGCACTAGTGCATCAAAATGCAGAAAAGACATATTCACTCTGAAGACCCAAGTGCGCTGCGGCAATCGTCCATCCGGTCCTCCTTGTTGACCGCGCTCAGAGCCTAGATCGCGTGTCACATTCATTATGTTTACTCATGACAGCGTGTATCATGCAAGGCGCGGGTCTCCCGATGGGCCGCTTGTGCTGTGTGCTCCTCCTTCCCCCCATTACCCGCCCACAAGTGCGACCGCCATCTGGCCTATCCGCTCACCATACCTTAGACACGCGTGCTGGAGGTGCGGGAGCATCTCCGATGTGACGCCCACAAACGAGAGACACGAGCGATCTCTCCGAGATAGCCCATGTTTCAACGGACGTGACACTGATCACGCGGTATTTTGATTGCATCTCATCCTGCCCGAGTGTCTCCCTCCCGATGGTCATAACATAACCACCGCATCTGACCGGCGTCTCGAGGCCGCATCCGTGGTCGCACAGCAACTCCACGCACCCGCTCGCGTGCGGTAGGTGCAGATGACGCTGCAGCACTCACTGCGAACCAGCACGGGGACAACAACAAGGCAGCGAGGCAGGCAGGCATGCTTTGCTTTGCTTTGCTGTGTTTCCCCTCTCATTCCACACCCAGCAACTGTGATGACTGTGACTGTCATCATGAGGAGTAAATACTACCAGACGTCACTTGGGTTTGTCACGCACCCTCATCCATGTCCGGCCCCTTCCATCAAGTCAACACTGCCCAGTGCAATCTCAAAAGCGGCGGCCCCCTTCTCACGTTCGCTCCCCCAGAACCAGCAGGGATCTAAGCGCCGTGTCGAAGGACGGCTCGACGGCTGATTGGCTGTGTGACCGGACATGCCCCCCATCACCCAGCAGAGCGGGCCGCGGCTCATGATTGGCGGCCGGGGTCGATGGAGCGACTGTTAAGCGCCCATATCGACAAAGGCCATGCATGTCCTTGCTGTTCTGCCTACTGCAGTCCAGTCTGCAGTGCTGTCTACCCTTGCCGCAGTAGCTTCGTTCCGCGTGAGAGCGAGCGAGGGGAGCTTGCTTGCGCGCGGTCTGGCACCGACTCGTGCCTCAAAAGCCAAGGCGTGCCATGCTACGCAGCTACTGCCGGCCTACTCGACACACCAGTCAGTTCCCATTGGCAAAACGAAGAGCTTGAGCCTTGGAAGCTTTCGCCAGTTGTCAACACTTGCAAGACGGATCCACCAGCAGCAGGTCTTTCGTGCGAGGAGTAATAAGAATTACCATATTGCTGGAAGACAGACGGCTGTAGCCTGTCGTCCTGCCATTAGGCTTAACTTTCAGCCAGCCGACTGGGGTGCCGGTTGGACATCCCATGGCAAGCGTGACGCCGTCTTGATACCGGTACAAAATTCTCGACTTGATCACGCTTGCTTCCATCGTCCATCCACGGTGTCAGCCAGCATACCTATGATCCCGACCTGACTGGGACATGACCGAATGCGCCTGTGCCACTTGACCGTGTTTCATTACCGTCGTTCCATGGTCGTATTGCCAATCTCGTAGAGATCCTTCCATGCCTGTGGTATCCCTACTACTATAGCTCTCGGTGATGTGATAGGAGAGGCCCCGGTGACTACACCCCTCTCTGGGGACGACGCGATTGGCTGTTCACCTGGGAGCTCGTGGAAACAAAAACGAGAAACAGTGAGACGACTGGATCAGGGGCTTCCGTGAAACTGCGTTTCACCTGCTTCTGGTTCCATGAGGGTCGCTGCTATATTTGGTAGTCGGAAGGCCGATGCTGACAGCGCACATGTGTTATTTGTTCGCATAGACGGGCTTTACGTTCAATCAACCTCCCTCACTTCCGCAGCCACTGCGTTGCAAAGCGCAACCCTGACGCCAGCGCCCGTGAGGACATGGATCCAGAGCCGCTGCGTGTCGCTCAACCGGTCATTGGCACTCTTGACCTCTGCAAACATGACCTCGCCGTTCGCAGTACCAGGCCCACCGCCGGATCGAGATGGGCGCTCGTCTTCTCCAAATGGGCGCCACAATATCAGATCTGGGATGCCACCCCCGCGCTGCCTGTATTCCTGGGCCATCACCTTGCACACGGCTGCCAGCGCACTGCCCTCAAAGCAGGACACCAACTGTGCGATATCCTCAATGTCGAAATCCCACTTCAAGCCGATGACGCAAGTCCGCCGGTCATGGTGATTCTCCCACACTTCTCGCACAATGCGCTCGCCTTGCCCATTGGCTATGTCGACAAGTCGGTGATTGATCTCGGAAGCCCTCACAGGGAAGAATGCATCGGTGTGCAGATCCAGAGGACATGTTTGGAAGGCTGTCTGAAACACGTTGGGTATGTAGACGAAAAGAACATCGTAGAAAAGGTAGGCGAAAAGCGTACGGATGATGCCTCCCTCAGCATGATATCCCTTCCAGCCATCCTGGCGGAACTTGCTCAGACACATCTCCTCGACGCTACACTCGCCGCCCGAGTCGAGTTCATCGAGCCAAATGGTCTTGGTCGAGGCTGCCTGCCGTCCCGCCTTGACAGGCATGTCCCTCTTCAGTTGGGTACCCTCGACAGTGATATCCTCGGCATCTGCCAGCCGTACATGACCAAAGTCATGCTGTTCGCGCTTGGGTATCCTGAGCTTCTTCTCCAGCTTGGTGAGCCGCTTCTGCAGATCGTAGTGATAGATCAAGTGACAGTCAGGGTCACGAAGGCCTGCCTCGCAGGTAGCCACGGCGATTTTCCTCCAATGCTTCATCTGCTTTTCCTCGGTGTCGGAAATAGGATTCTCGTCCAAGGCGTACATGTAATGCTCCTCCAGCAGGGCTTTGCGCTGATACCAGGCTCCGCGTCTTGCCATGTGGAAGAGCCTCTGACCAAGCAGTTCACTCAGAAGACCATGCTCCCTGGCATGTTCTTTCCATCTAGCAAAGACAGGCAAGGCTTTGTGGATGATGCGAGTGTACGAATGGGCAGGCGTGAAGCGCCGTAAGTAGGCGCCTTCGCCCATTTCATACACGCGCTGCTCTTTGTCCTCCTCTTCGATGATGAGTGCTTTCCATCGTGGGTAGATGGCCTCGAATATCTCAAAGATCCTCTGGAAACCAGCCTCACCTGGTACCTCGCTGAACTCTGTGATCCTATCGACTTCTGCCTCGAGGCGAATGCCGGACTCGAATTCCAGCAGATGTGCTCTCGATGCGAAAATTGTGGACGTACGACATACCAGATACTCTGGGAAATTGCGCTTCGCGATTTTAGCCAAGATGATTGTCGTCAATGACTTTTCCGTCCATTCGGTGGAGCGATAAAAGACCAAGTGCACGCGTTCGAATAGCTTGAACGGAACAGGGGATAGCCGTACGCATGGTCCCAGAATCTCGAGTATCTTCGTAAGAAAATGCTGCTCCCGGTTAGAATCTTCTCGCCGCAGTTTGACCCTGGACTTGGGCGCTGGGCTCTCGGAACCCTCTGAGGCGACAGATCCTTCACGGCTGTTGTGCCTGCTTAGGCCCAGCGACATCAGACCAGCTTGTCTCTGCGTCATACGACATAGTGCCTTGACAAGGTCGGCTTTGTTCTTGCCTTGCACCCTGGCTTCCTTAGCGACAGATTTGAGCTCATCCAGGCTCAACAGAGGAGCCGCTTGCGCAACAGACTTGATGTGGTCTTCTGACTTGTCCGCAAAGGTAAAGGTATCTTCTAGCACAATACCCGGACTATCGACCGTGGATGCATGTGTGTCAGATGAAGGACTATCTGGGAGCGTACGCAGCTCCTGCAGCGTTTCTATAGCTTTCTCGGGATCCGACACGTCCGAGTGATAATTCAGTCGGGCCGAGCGATGCCAGGCATCGGTTTTGCGAAGGAAAAGCCTGACATACCTGCCAAATATGAGCACCTCCATGGACGTTGGCCTAGGCAGAGTGAAGCCTACATAAACTGGGCCTCATAGTGAAGCTCCCTCCATTGTCGAAAAACCTCCTTCTCTTTTGCATCAAAGAGATGTGACTCTTCTTCCAGTACTGTGTCGAGAGCCAAGTTGAATGCATCGACATAGATTGAGCTCCTCCCTCGCACCGAAGTCGTCTTGACCTGCTCTGCACTTTCACTCCCCGCATTTGCCTCTGCTTCTTGTGACAGCTTGAAGTTTTCGTACTCTTTAATTGCTTTCTCGTCATCTTGAGAGTCGGGAAGAGCATTTTCAAAGTCTGTGAGCTGCTGTGCGCCTTTCTCGTGCAGGACATGAGGCGTGAACTCATCGTCATCATCCCCGAGCTCCTCTTCCGAATCGTCTTCAGAATCTGGTATGACAACCTGCTTTTGCCTTTTCTGCGGCCTAGGAGACTCAGCTAGGTCGCCATCTGCTGGCGCTGGACTTTTGGAAGGTTGGATGACGTCGGGCTTGGGAAGCCGCTTGACAAACGCATCCATAACGGTTATTGCAGATGTTCCATAAAAGCCGCCATGATTCAGCAGGACGCGGCTGCTCCAGCAATAAGGAGAGGATAATTCTGATTTGAGACCTCGCTGTGGCGAATGTTAGGGTAGGCGAGGAACGCGACGGCGTGAGTCGCAGAACTGAAGCACGTCGGCAACGCGAAGTCACCTGACCAGTTTAGACCCTTTGCCATCCCATCCCAAGCTCGATCATTTAGAAACGGTACCCGACGATCATCCGGCGCATTGACGAATATACGGTACTCACGGAAAGCTCCAAGCTCCTTTGCAACTTTCTGAACACCCCAGCAGTCATCATGGCGGACGAGAACGCGCGAGACGAATCTGTCACCGACCCGCCAGTGCCCGCGACATCGGCCGAAGAACCCATTGCCGATGGCACGCCGCTCAAAGATACGTTGATGACGGATGCGACCTTTGAACAACCAGGTGTATGTTCTAATGGGCCCTTACAAGGCAAAAGAGATGTAGCTAAACTCCGTAGTCATCTCCAGCACCCGCAGTGCGTGGCGCGAGTCCAGCTCCCGCGCGGACAGGGACACCCGCGTCAGGCTCTAGAGCTGCCTCTGTACATCCCGACCCTGGCCTTTCGATACCCGCGGAAGCACCTCCCCACGGCGACGTGACGCGTCGGTATCTGAATACAAAGGTCACAGGTGTCCTGCTGGATGGGGTGAAACAGATTGCAAAAGACAAGTACGGCACTCTCGCGGAAGTACAGGATTAATTACTAAAGAGTGATAGGCCAGAGGAACCGTTGCGCGTTCTGGGGGAGTATTTGCTGCAAAAGTCGAAAGAATTGGAAGGCACATCATGACACGACGGATCGAGCTCTCGGTCTTGGGCATAAGGCTAGGCGCTCGGTGGACAGGTACGGGAGGACACTGGGTTTCTTGACACATTGGTGATACCACAGGGATATTGGCATGGATTTGGTTCGGTAGTCGACGCTTGAATTTAATTTTCAACCGTAGAGCTACCGTGTTGGTCTAAGACCGGACGCGCATTGCATCATGGCTCTAAATGCATATTGTTTTTTCCGTTAAAAGTTCATCATCCCGAACTCCTTGACCACAGAGAATCCATTGGCTTCCAACCCTTTGCCTCCTATTGTCCACCGGCGGAGGCCGACCACCTACGCTTATGCGACCATGGTGCTGGCGGTGGCGGACTCGTACTTCCAGTTGGGGGGCAGGACACCGACGGTCCTGTAGTAGCGGGCGAGACGGTGGATGCGGGACTCGATCAGAATGAGGCGGAACTTGGAGTCCTTGTCCTTGCGGTTACGCTCGAGGTGCTTGCGGACGGAGACGGCCTGTTTCCCACACGCGTCAGTATGTCCACCTCTTATCGCCAACCACCGCGATCCCGTTTGCCGGTTCAACTTTATGTACGCACCTTCTTGACGAGCATGTAAAGGTCCTCGGGAATCTCAGGAGCGAGGCCTATGCAAATCTCTCTGTCAGTCTAAACCGTACAGAGGCATTAAGAGATATGGAATCTCAGATGAATGTCGTTTGATCGTCCATGCATCATTCAATTCGTTCAGGTGAGGTTCGTACCCTGAGCCTTGAGGATGCGCAGAATGCGGTTACCTGGGAATCCGAGTTAGCCAGCCGCTCCCTTCGTTTCCAATTGGATCCAAATCCGTACCGGTGACAATCTTGACCTGGGCAACGCCGTGGGAGTCACGGAGGATGACGCCAATCTGCGAAGGGGTGGCACCCTTCCTGGCGAGCTTGCTGATCTGCTCGACGACCTGCTCAGGAGTGGTCTTGAGCCAGGCGGGGGGAGTGCGCGAGTAGGGCAGCGCAGAGGCGGAGATACCCTTTCCCTTGGAGTGAAGACGACCCATATTGGCGGTTGTGGTGGTGGCAGGTGGTGATGCTGCGAAGGGGTTAGGAGGTTTGTCGTCGGGGGTCGGTTGAGGTCGCGGATCGTGAAGTCTCGAGACGCAGAGCAATTCCAGAGGGCTTGTGTGGAGCTGGAAATTTTTCGCCCGTTTCCTTAGGGTGGTGCGTTGTGGGCGGGACAAGGCACGTGACGGCAGAGCCGCCTGAGCTGGTCAGTGCTCTCAAGTCGCTCCAATCGCGGCCCCATATAATTTCTTTTGAGCTTTTCTTCAACATCTTCTTTCGCATCTTTTGCTGCTGAATGGAACGCGATACGTGTCTGCCTGCGCATGCGTCGCAGGCTTCAATTGCGCGTTAATACTTGGTAAGTTCTTACACCCCGTTCTTACACTCCGTGAAGCAAGTCGCCTGGTCTTCAACAATCGTTGCATGATGATAGAACACTTTACTTTTTCTGGTACCTCTTATGTTAGAGTCTCTTCACGAGGCTCAATGAATGAACTGGACTTCTGATCGATCAACGAAGGCCACGACTGCTTGCCCCTTCCACACGTGTACGCTTTTGCTAACTGTGTGCAAAAGCACATAAGTCTAGATTTCCCGCGTGCCGAGTCATTCAAGCGACTTTTAATTCCAGATACCAAATCAGATAGATGTTACAATCGCAGTGCGACCAGTTGTACTTGAACCGAAACAATCCTTCCATAAACGCCACGGCACTGCTCATCTGCGACTGCTGTACACTGGAGATCCGACGAGGTGCGAAATGATCAATATGATGTCTTGTCCGAAACCTGTTCCCCAAAATTCGGATTCCTCAAATTCCAGCCATATCGTACAGCCCAGAGACTGTGATGGCACTATGCCATACGATGCCTGCTTACCACGCTCCAACGTCGAAGTTTTCCTGCGTCTAGATTAGCACTGCATTGTGAGATGCCCAATAGGGATGGTACTAACCTCGGGGAAGTACGTCGCGACGACAGTTCTGTCGGCAAATTTGCGACCAGCCAAGGCTTGAAGCGCCTTCGTTGTCGACTCCGGGGTGTCGAACTTGACAAAAATCTTGCCAACTCCAGCGATCTGCCTGCTGCCGCCGGCTGGACGGGGCACCTTAATGTCGAGAACAGTGCCAAACTTGGAACATTCTTCCTTGACATCTTCGCGGATTTCTAGTGCATCAAGTCAGTCGTCCATCCCTAAAAGCAAATGGCATCGATGCGCCTTACCTTCGTACTCGTCGTTATCCATCAGTTCCTCAGGCGTCACCATGTTGAGTAGTTGTAGGATACGAGTGTGATCAGCGTCGTTGCCAGCTTGCGCCGCGAGTCCGCTGATCGCCGCAACACCAGTATCAAAGTTGGCAATCTGGGTTGGACCAATGCTGGCCTTGGACACCTTCAGGTTCTGCTCGCCGAACGTCATTCCGTTCAGAGTTTCCAGTGCGGGCTGGTTGGCCTCAGCGGGATTGACGTACTCAAGGAATGCGATACCCTGGACTCGTTAGACAAAACTCGAATAGTGAATGAAGCATACGTACCCTTGATTCTTCAGTGGCTTTGTCCTTGACGAGGACAAAGGCCTTTGGTCGGCCAAACGAAGCAACCAACTCGCTGACCTGCTCTTCTGTGAGATAGGCAGGGATGTTGGTGATGCTCAGCTTGTTGGCGCTGTCAGGCACGACGCTCGACACAACGTCAGAGTCCTGAGGAGTCGCATCCGACACTGCGGGAACGACATAGTCCTTGGGGCGGCGAATCTGCAGGCCGCTGGCTGATCCATTAGCCTCGCCGTTGGCCGCAGCGCCTCCAGTCATGGAAATGCCATCCAACGCAAATGCCAAAGTGGCATCTGCAGCGGTCTTGAACTCCACGACGGCAAAAGAGCGATCGTTGGAGAACTGGCAGAGTGTACAGGGATCGTTGCTCTCCACAACGTTCAAGCCGTTCATCTGAAGATTGAAGAATCCAATCAGACTGTCTTCGACTGTGCCCGCTGGAACATTGGATACGATGAGGCGTTTGGCCTGGCGCGAGTTGCTGGCCATGAGGTTGTCACTCGAGACCTCTCCACTCTGTTGGGTGAACGCCTGCAACTTTGAGGGATCCATGGGCTGCTGTCGCGGCGCGCCAGGAAGAGGGAACATGCCAGAAAGCTTAGCCTGCTCGGCAGTGACATGTTCGTATCCCGGGGGTTTGATGTCCCATTGTGTCAAACGACGCTTGCGCTCCAGAATTGGGACCACGTCGGTAAGATCCGGTGTAGGCTCGCGTTTCTTGGGTGGTGGCGAAGCTTCCCTACGTTGCTCTTGCCTTCCGGGCCCATGACCATGACCAAAACCATCATCCCTTCGGTTGTCTCTTCCTCCGCGACGGCGGTCGTCGTAGGGGTCTCTGTCTCGGCGTCCGAAGCGATCGTCGTCGTCACGTCGGGCATCGCGGCGGGACGAACCACGGTCGCGATCCCATTCTCGCTCTGGTCTGCGGTCGCGACCCGAGTAGCGATCCTCGCGCTCGCGGTCTCTATGGTTTCGGCTCGAGGAGTAAGCGTTGTCGTCGCCCTCGGCCCTGCGATGGCGATGGTCTGGCGACCTGGAGCGTCTACGGTCGCGGTCACCACGGTCTCGGTGGCGCTCGCGGCGCTCGTCGCGGTCACCGCCCCGAGGCTTCGACATGTCAGCATGCATACTTGAGTGAATTTGGCAAGGTGCTCTGCTCACTGGATAGTCTCGTCCCCTTCGATCTATAGGAGCGTCGAGGTTAGTGCCTGTACACGAATCACATCTTCGGAATTGGTTCTTACCTCGCGATGAGTAGCTATCACCGTTCATGGTAGGCAATCGCAACTTCTCAAGGTAAGTCTTGAAGCGGCAATCGGTGTATGAATGGCGAGTGGCACCGAAAGACGATAGCTTACGGATGACCAAGGTTGACTGTTCGCAAACTCCAAAACCATTCAGTACAACGCGTGAGGCTGGAGCTTTTCATCGAAATTGCGCTAGCTGGATCAGGTCAAGCGCATCCAATAGCGACCTGCGGCGGCTCTCGAGACTTTTGCGGGTCCATGTCGCCTCTGAGTCTGGGACCCCTTAGTGAGGCCTCTGTCAGGGACTCTGTCAGGTAGAACCCAAGGGGCGATGCCAATGCAGCCGTCTTTCGCATGCTCGTATCTCTTCCTCCGGATTGATCAGATAAATCATACACCATGACTGTCAAAGTGCCGCAAATTTGGCACAAGCTCCCTGTCAGTCTTACTGAGCTCTGCATAGACACTACCCTACGTTGTGGACAGTCCTTCAGGTGGCGTAAATACGGAGATGAATGGTTAGTTCTCTGTTGACCTCATGTCCGAACACAGTACTGACGAAAAAGGCGTTGCACCCTTCATGGCCGTATTTTGTCATTGAGACAAGATCCTGAATGTGTACGGTACAAAGCCACATGGCCCGCGTATCGACCAGAGGCAAACAGGCAGTCTCAAGATGATGACACTGAAGCCTTGCTACACCATTACCTCAACTTGGATGTCGATCTGGGGAGCCTCTATAAGCAGTGGTCAGACGTTGACCCCAACTTCCGAGAGAAGGCACCCACATTTACTGGAGTTCGCATATTGAATCAAGATGCTTGGGAGGCCCTGGTGGCTTTCATCTGCAGTAGTAACAACAATATTTCGAGAATTTCGCAAATGGTCGGTTCGACAATTGTAAATGATGGGTACTGAAGCTGAAAGGAACTTAGGTCCACAAGCTCTGCATCCATTACGGTCCTCTGATCGACCACATTGATACAGAAGCCTTCCATGACTTTCCTCAACCAGCAGCGTTAACGGGAAAAGGCGTCGAGGCACACCTAAGAGAGCTAGGATTTGGATATCGGGCAAAGTACATCGCGGATACAGCGCGAATGGTTGCCCACGACAAGCCCAGTGGTTGGCTAGAATCACTGCGCAATCCTGAGTCGCCAGCATTTGGCGGCGCCAGTGGTGACCAAGAACTTCAGGCAGCATACAAACAGGCACATGACGAATTACTTACGCTCAAGGGCGTAGGGCCCAAGGTGGCAGACTGCGTTTGCTTGATGGGGTTGGGCTGGGGAGAGTCCGTTCCCGTCGACACTCACGTCTGGCAAATCGCGCAAAGGGATTACAAGTTTGGCAAGAAGTCAAAGACCTTCAACAAAGTAGCGTACGACGCCGTGGGCGACCATTTCAGGGTACTGTGGGGGAAGTATGCTGGCTGGGCGCATTCAGTCCTGTTCACAGCAGACCTCAAGCAGTTCGCTGAACAGGCGGCTGTCAAGGGCGAAGATGCGACCGCTGTGCAAGTGAAGGAGGAAACCACAGAGTCGCATGGGGTGACCACCAAGAGGAAAAGAGTCACAACTGTCAAGACCGAGGTGAAGACTGAGGTGAAGATAGAAGACGTTGAGGATCCAGAAGGCTTTGCATTGGCGCTTCCGAGAAAGAGACGGCGAACACGTCAAACGAGGAGCGGCAGCTAGAAGCTTGGTTTGTAATCTGCCAACCCAGATGGCATGTATTAATGTGCAACTCATTTTTATCGGTGCCTTTTCTCCAAAATGTTAATTACCTGGTAGACGGACCGCAGAGCATGTCAAGTGTCGACGGAAAAAGGTTATTCCGGAGAAAGCCAGTCGCGGGTCCGTCGCCTTTTGCCGCCAGCTGCAAAGCTTCTCATATGCCTGGGGTTTCAGTTTTACCTTCTCCCGTATCACCACCCGTCAACTCCTTCCATGCGCACCACCACCTCGGAGACGGCTACTTGTGATTTGGACGCGGGATGAAGCCCGGAAACTGCCACTAATTGAGCCAAGATGTCGGACGCCGAATTTGAGACGATCAGGAGGCTCCAGCAGGAGCGTAACGCGGCCGCCGCAGCCAAGAAGGGTTCGCGGACGTTTGACGATACGAATCAGCGAACCGACGCGACGAAACAGAAGCTCACGGACAGCGCCGACAATGAGTTGTACGAGCGCGATGGAGGCGACAAATTTGCCGGATATCACACGTCGCTGCCCATGGGCGACGAGGACGACGACATGCTAGAAGGCGACAAAACACATCGGCTTGTCGGCCAATACACCGCTTCACGCGACATAATTGATGAATTTTCCCGAGGAAATGGCGTCGAGGAGGAAGACATGCTGTCAGGGAGGGGAGAAAAGAGCGGCCGCATCACCGACCGCGAGACGGATTACCAGAAACGACGCTTCAATCGTGTCCTGACGCCCACCCGAGCCGATCCCTTTGCAGAGAATCGCCAAGCCGGCGCCGCTGAAAATGGAGCAGGCTACCGCGACATTATGGAGTCCCGTGACCTCGAGCGCGAGGAGGAGCGTGTGCGCCGGGCGATTGAAGCCAGACAGAACGGGCAACAAGACAATGGCGATGATGCAAAGCCCATGCTGGAGAATGGAGATAAGGAAAATGGCGATGCAGGCTCGACCGAGGCCGCCGCCGCAGGCCGAAAGCGCAAGAAGCGCTGGGATGTCGCTACCACTGACGATGCACCCACACCCGACGCTGAGGGAGACGCCAAGCCGAAACGCTCGCGATGGGACCAGACACCTGCCGTCGGTGGAGAGGTTGCGAAGAAGCGATCGCGTTGGGACCAGGCGCCTTCCGCTACACCCATGGGCAACCAAGGCTTAGCCACGCCAGCACCACAAGCAGCACCCGTGTCCATGTCGTTTGGTACGGACGTGGGGCGCAACATGCCATTGAGCGACGAGGAGCTGGATGAGCTTCTCCCAGGCGAAAACGAAGGATACAAGATCCTTGAGCCACCGCCAGGGTATGCCCCTATCTCGGCCCCAGCCAAGAAGCTCATGGCCACACCGGCGCCCCAGTCAGGCTTCATGATGCAAGATCCCGAGCAAACTCGTTTGGGAGGAAAGCCGTTGCCGGCTGAGATCCCTGGAGTTGGCGATTTGCAGTTCTTCAAGCCCGAGGATATGGCATATTTCGGCAAGCTTACGGACAATTCCGACGAAAACGTGCTCACTGTGGACGAGTTGAAGGAGAGAAAGATCATGAGACTCTTGCTCAAGATCAAGAACGGCACGCCACCAATGCGAAAGACTGCCCTGCGCCAAATTACGGACAACGCACGGCAGTTTGGTGCTGGCCCCTTGTTCGACCAGATCCTCCCACTCCTCATGGAAAAGACGCTCGAAGATCAGGAACGACATTTGCTGGTCAAGGTCATTGACCGCATCCTTTACAAGCTCGATGATCTCGTGCGGCCATACGTGCACAAAATTCTGGTCGTTATCGAGCCCTTGCTCATTGATCAGGACTACTACGCCCGCGTTGAAGGTCGTGAGATCATTTCGAATCTCAGCAAAGCCGCTGGCCTCGCTACGATGATCAGCACCATGAGACCAGACATCGACCACGTCGACGAATACGTGCGAAACACAACGGCCAGAGCGTTCGCCGTCGTTGCATCAGCCCTGGGTATCCCGGCGCTGCTGCCTTTCTTGCGAGCTGTGTGCCGAAGCAAGAAGTCATGGCAGGCCCGCCACACCGGTGTCAAGATTGTGCAGCAGATCCCCATTCTGATGGGCTGCGCAGTCTTGCCGCACCTCAAGGGCCTCGTGGAATGCATTGGGCCCAACCTCAACGACGAGCAGACCAAAGTTCGAACAGTCACAAGTTTGTCGATCGCCGCCCTGGCCGAAGCCTCCAACCCCTACGGTATCGAGAGTTTCGACGAGATCCTCAACCCACTGTGGACTGGTGCACGGAAGCAGCGAGGCAAGGGTTTGGCCGGCTTCCTCAAGGCTGTCGGTTTCATCATTCCTCTCATGGACGAGGAGTATGCCAACTACTACACCAGTCAAATCATGGAAATTTTACTTCGAGAGTTTTCTTCACCCGATGAGGAAATGAAAAAGGTTGTTTTGAAGGTGGTGTCACAGTGTGCTGGAACGGAGGGAGTCACGGCGGGTTATCTTAAGGAGCATGTGCTCGGCGACTTCTTTAAGAGTTTCTGGGTGCGGAGAATGGCCCTGGACAAGCGCAACTACCGTCAAGTGGTCGAGACGACTGTCGACCTTGGCCAGAAGGTTGGTGTCAGCGAGATTGTGAAGCGCATCGTCAACAATTTGAAGGACGAGAGCGAGGCTTATCGCAAGATGACAGTCGAGACGATTGAGAAGATGGTGGCCAGTCTGGGCGCGGCCGACATTGACCAGAACCTCGAGGAACGTCTAGTGGACGGGATGTTGCATGCGTTCCAGGAGCAGAGTGTCGAAGACGTGGTCATGCTGAATGGGTTCGGCTCCGTGGTCAACGCCCTGGGTGTGCGCTGTAAGCCCTACCTCCCCCAAATCGCCAGTACCATCCTCTGGCGGCTGAACCACAAGTCCCCGACGGTGCGCCAGCAGGCAGCCGACCTGGTGTCGCGGATTGCCATGGTCATGAAGCAATGCGACGAGGACGCGTTGATGGGCAAGGTCAGCATCGTGCTGTACGAGTATCTGGGCGAAGAGTACCCCGAAGTGCTCGGCTCCATCCTTGGCGGTCTCCGTTCGATCGTCACGGTTGTCGGCATCACCCAGATGCAACCTCCTATTCGCGACCTGCTGCCCAGGTTGACCCCTATCCTTCGCAACCGCCACGAGAAGGTACAGGAAAACACCATTGACCTGGTCGGGCGTATCGCCGATCGGGGACCGGAGAGTGTCAACGCCCGAGAGTGGATGCGTATCTGCTTCGAGCTTCTTGACATGCTCAAGGCGCACAAGAAGGGTATCCGACGAGCCGCCAACAACACGTTTGGTTTCATCGCCAAGGCCATTGGTCCCCAGGACGTGCTGGCGACCCTCCTCAACAACTTGCGTGTCCAGGAGCGACAGTCGCGTGTCAACACAGCCGTCGCCATTGGGATCGTGGCCGAGACGTGCGCGCCCTTCACCGTGCTGCCGGCGCTCATGAACGAGTACCGCGTGCCGGAGCTGAATGTGCAGAACGGCGTGCTCAAGTCTCTCTCCTTCCTGTTTGAGTACATTGGCGAGATGGCCAAGGACTACGTCTACGCCGTCACGCCGCTGCTGGAGGATGCGCTGATTGACCGCGACCAGGTGCATCGTCAGACCGCCGCGTCCGTCGTCAAGCATATCGCACTCGGCGTCGTGGGCCTCGGCTGCGAGGACGCCATGATCCATCTGCTGAACCTCCTCTACCCCAACCTCTTTGAGACGAGTCCCCACGTCATCGACCGCATCGTCGAGGCGATTGAAGCCATCCGCGTGGCCGTCGGCCCCGGCGTGGTGATGAACTACGTGTGGGCAGGCCTGTTCCATCCGGCGCGCAAGGTGCGCATCCCCTACTGGAGGCTCTACAACGATGCTTATGTCCAGGGAGCTGATGCCATGGTGCCTTACTATCCGAACCTCGACGAGGACAAGCCAGACAGGCCAGAGCTGGCCATTATCCTGTAAGAGTGGGACGTCTGTCATGTACAAGCTGTACTTTGTTTTCTGTTATGTCTTGGTTTTCATCACGGGAAGGGGGCGCGCGCCTGGGTTAGACGGGCGGTAAAGCATGTTACATGGCGTTTATAGCTTAATACCACCGAATGTCTACGTTCATCACTGCTCTCGTCTGGGCCGTTCATCTCGTGGGAGACGGTCCAACGTTTAGCAGCTTGCGGCAAGTCCCCAATGTCCAGCCGCAGCCCTGAGCGGGTGTCGCTACGTGGATGTACACAGAGCTTAGCTAGGCCCAGCCGTCCTTGATGCACATCACTGACTCGAGGCCAGCGCTCCGTCGCATAGGCCGCGATTCCATGTGAAGCTACGCGATTCGGACCTTGCCCAAATTCACCGGCGTCAAGCTCTCAGCTGGGCTTGGTCTAGCAGACACCCTTTCCGTGACGGCCCAGTGGCCACGTCCTGACATCATCTGCCCTCGACGCATCGCGGTGACCTGCCCAAGCCAAGCCAGGCGCATGTCATTTCGGACTCATTCATCCCAATGGCACTTTTGGCCGAAGCGTAGTGCGTGATACGTGGAGGTACACACTTTAGCCGCTGTAGCTCATCGAGGTCCGTGCAAGAGGATTGTGATGAGAATGCCGACTCTCGCCATGTATGGGGCAGGGTTACCCAGGCGACTTCCGACCGGCACTGTGAGCGGGGGGCCTACGAAGAGGTGGGGAAATCGAGTAATCTACCTCCCTGCTGAACATCGTCGTAGAGAACATCGTCGTGGAGGTTGGCGAAGCGCCCTGCTCTGCGTTGGCGGCGGGGGCGGTGGCAACTTTACTCGCGTCCCATGCGAACGGTCGAACCAAACAAGGAGACGGGATCGCCTGGCAAGACAAGATGACTGGCACACAATTCTGCCCGCCGCCAACAGAGTGTTGTCAGTGCTGGGAGCTTTCCAGCGGAGGTGGCACACGGAGGAGTTGTAAGCAATGCGAGCCTCCCCCTTCTCCAGCAACACAGCGGCCGTGGTACGCCAGGTCGACGTAAGCACTTGCTTCGCGGCCAGAAGAGCTCTAGAAGCTGGTGAAGAAGGAAACGGGATTGCTCACTGGGGCAGTGGTGGCCATTCCGCCGAGCGGCGTCAATGTCCACGACAGTGTCAGCCGAAGCTGGGTGGCACTACGTGTACGTTTAAGCCACAGCCGTGACCGGAGCTCCTCCACACAATAAAGGGACTTTTTGTTCGTCCCTTGTCGTAGCGGGTCATCGATCAATGTCCCCAGTCAGTGTTCGTGAGGCGTTGGTGGTCGACCACTCAGCTGCCAACACTGTGCCGGTAGGCTCAGGGATACCTGCAAGAGCTTGAGGGCTCACAAACAGCTTGCACACCGCAATTATCGCGTGCTCAGTGGCTGGTGCTATTGGAGTGCCGGCACGTGGTAAAGTTCTTGACTCGACATGGATCTCCTAATAGTCCTCCAAGACCAAGAGTCCAGACACGACGAGAGCCGGTTGACGGCCGGGCGACAATGCAGCCCGCTGCCTGCGCCAAGCGATGTGATTCTGCACTTCCAATATTCTGCACTTCCAATATCGTAATGTGATGCTGTGTGCACGTAGCAGAGCAAGCAGTTCATGGCGGAATCAGAGAGGGTGTCAGTTCTCCGTGCTTTATTTGGTTCGGCACTAATTAATGTGATGGAACTGGAGTTTGGGCAACAGGGATGACTACGGGCACGCCCCTCCGAATCTCACCCACAGACTGGAGCCACCAGGGGAGCACAAGCCCATGACGTTGAGGGAACCTCCGGCCGGGGCCTTGAAGACCCGTAGCTCTTGACGTCATCCAAGTACACTGCGAACGTCCTCTGGGCTCTAGCGCGCTGCACGCTGCACTCGCCTTTTTTCAATTCCCGCCCTGTCAATCCCCTTGACCCTGGTCTGTCCCCCGTGCGTCTGACCTTGATTGGGATAGTGGGCATTGAGGGACCTTTCTAAACAAGCGAGGATGCTGTGTGCCCCTGTTGCGGTGGCCAAATCTAACCGCTGCGCTGCACAGGATCAGCACTTGCCTGCCTGCCTTGGGGAACTAATCATCGGCAAGTGGTAGAATCTGTCAATGTCGTAGAAGTTACAGCATCAATACAGTTCGACCACGGAAGCACCAGAAGATGTGAGGAAACAAACTAACAGAGCGCCACCCACGAACCGCGTTGTATTATGAGTCCCGTAAAGGCTCCATACGTTCTCGCAAAGTACTGCACAGTCTGGTTGGTGTCTTTCTGGGTCGGCTCCAGTCTGCTCCCAGCACACACCCCTCCCCGCAGGCAGTCTAGACATGGAGCCAATGGAAGACGCCCGCGACTTGCGCGCTCCAGTCGGCCACCCTCATACAGTGCAGCGCTTCACACCATTCCCATTTCCAGCAAGACCCTGAAAATCCAGGGGGAGTTGGTGATGATAGGTGCCCTTTGCACTGTGCGGTCGAAACGATCGGCCGGTCACGCGCGAACGCATACTGGCTGGATATATCGTTGCGTTCGCATCCCTATTTACGCGATGGACGAACTGAGGGATGCCCCCCCTTGTTGCACATGCGACTGCAGTCCGATTCTACTTGTTCTGTCGCTTGTGATTGCCGACTATAGCCTGCCCCCCATTGCCGCAGCTACCACGTCGAGACGTCGTTGCACTCCAGTCCTTTGCCACGTAGGGGCGGTCCAACAGGCAAAATGTCGCGACGCGCCTCTTCGTCTAGTGGTGCTGGATGGGCTTTGTGCAGCTTCCAGAAGTTCTAGTGGCGTCCAGTCCTCCCCTCGCAAGACTAGATGCTGTGGTTCCGAGGCGGAGTTTCCCTGCCGCGTCAATGCCAGTGCATGGCGCTAATAAAGAAGCTACGTAGCACTGCAATTAATTCCCTTAGGCCGTCGCAGCTCCATGTCCCTCCCTTACCAGTACTGGTGGTGGTGCAACCAGGCCAGCCAAAATCCAGGAGCTCATTAGATGCCATTCCTCCTTAAAAAGAAAATTGGAACAGGAATCGAGGACGCGCATGCAGTCTACATTGGGAAATATAGGATGACGACAAAGTCTCGCGAAATCAGGACTGCGTCATCGTGTGTAGTAGTACTGTAGTATCGCCTTGGCTCTGGGTTCGGCGCCAAGAGCGCTCACCCGTCCGTTGCAGGTTGTCAAACTTACAGCGTGCTCTCGCCAAGAGGTAGATCGATCTCGACTCGACGATCTGGAGATTGTCGACAACGTTTATTTCGACCGCAAGCCAAGAATGACGATCTCCCGTCCAGTACCTCCCAAATTATATATATATAACATGCTCGTCTTCTTCTTCATTGCAAGTCCGCCCATGCCAGGCACATGTTTGCTGATGACCACTCGTGAGACGCGACACTTCTGCCTGGAACCTTGGGCGCACGCAGAGTACTCCGCACCTTGATCAATTTTTTTATTTTACGGATAATTTTTTTTTTTTTAAATTGGCCACCCGCCTGCGCAAGCCCGCGCCACTGGAGTGTACGCAGAGAACGGGTGCAAATCAATCAATCTGAATCGTCTGCGCCTCTCAGGAAGGGAACGCTCTCCAGCCTGTCGAGCCTTGCGCTCCCTTCCATGTTTCTTCTTCGGCCAGCTTCCTCTTTCTGGACACAAGCAACAAATTAAAGTACCTGCTAGGTCGCGGGTGCTGGTACGTAAGTGTGAGACTTGTTGTTGTTGCTGCTGAGCCTGGTGGTGATCAGCATATCATCGAGGGAGGACTGTCACAGCTCGTGCTTTGCTACCCAGACACCAACGATCATACCAGCAATCGTTTGCGACAGCAAGGTACTTGAGCTAGACTCACTGCCTCCTCACTGTAGATAGGTTTATTGCTTACCTAGTTGATCAATCGCTATCTGCGCACTCCTTACCATCTCCAGTTGCAAGAGGGGCCTCAATCTCATCCGACAGTCCGCGAATTCAGCAAAGTGATGATGCGGTGCGCCCCTCCCCTCCAGTCCCTCTCCTCCCCCCTTAGGGCGCGCCCCCCACCCACCCCCTGGCGCCTCCACAAAGCTTGTCCAGTCTTGACAACGGGCCTAATGGTAATTGAATCCCCGTGCGGAAATGATGGGCAATTTCTGAAACAACCCCGTTCTTGGGCGAAGGATCGGCGTCCCAATCCTGTCTTTCCTCCTAAACGTCCTCCGTCCGGCGTCTGATCGCCTCCATCACCATCCATCCATGATCCATCTGGGTGTCCCCCTTGTATGGGAACTTTCGCCAGTGCCAATCGGCGCTGCTGTGGCGTGCTGCAATCTGCTGGAGCCGGGCTTGCGTGGCCTTGCCTCGTGTTTCCTTTCGGCCAGAAGGCAAAACATCAAGATCAGTGTGCTGCTTGCTGCTGGCTGACAGGAAATGGCGGTGGACGCAAGCATCCGCGTCTGCGTCAGCCCTCAAGGAGGCTCAAAGATTGAAGGGGGTGGGAGGGGGGGAGGGCAACCGGGGTGCCATGGCGTGAATACGTAGTTGTTGGTAGCCCTGTCATGCAAGAGGCAGATGTTGCGGGCCGCAATGGGCGCATGGGACAGCCGAATTGCCGTCTTTCCCCTTCAAAGTTCCTTTGTGGACATCGTCGCACGAATATCGAGCGCATACTCAGGACACCAATTGAACCATGGATGCAAGTCAGATGCCCATCAAAGTACAGGTATGAGTGGTAGTGCTGAATTCGGTCTTCAGCATTGGGTATCGTGACTGTCGTCAAACTCAAAAGTAGGTAATACTCGTACAGCAAAAACGCCTCATCAGTCCCGTCTACCCACGCGCGACTCGGTGATGCAAATTCCCTCCGTATACCTTCCCCGAGCCACAAATTACCTTACTCGGTATGGAATTCCCAAACGCCTGCCTTGCAAGGATATATCGCCATGTCCGCAGAGGCTGTTTCTGGCAAAAGACCTCCCCCCAAGGTGCCATTCTCCACCGTCCCGGTAATGTGCTGTAGCACAGGGCCCACGTACGAGGCCTCTAACGGTCATGGGCTCATAGTAAGTGCCAAAAAAAAAAAAAAAAAAAAAAAAAAAAAATTCAAGACAATCCGACCGTGGCGCTGCAGTTGCCTGCTCTATGCGCGTTGTACAAGGTTTTGTCAAGATCCAGCCGTTGTGTGTGCGGCCATGGTAGCGGCGAGAAATCCTGCCGCCGAAAGAAGGACCAGTACGAACCGGGTCAGTGAATCCAGCACTGACCAAGAAACCAGTGGATGCACGGTTGCCATCATCTCGTCCCAGCGAGCATGTCCTACACTGGTGCTGAATGTGTAGATCCGTGGCTCTTGGGACCCTCACTCTGAGTGGTGATCCTCGGATCCGACCTCGGACTGAGCCTCACCCCGATGAACCTTGCGGTGACGGCGCAGGTTTGAAACAACGGAGAAGTGACGTCCACAACCCTCAACCTCGCAGGCAAATGCTGCACATGTTAGCGCCAATGCCCTGCGTTCTGTATTCGTGTGAGTATGCTTACGCTTCTCGCCGGTGTGGCTGTACATGTGTGTCTGCAGCGAGCTAGGCCTCGTGAAACGCTTCTCGCAGACCTTGCACTTGTGCTTCTTCTGCGTGCCCGACGATACTTTGGAGCTGAACTGGCCCATCATGGATTGCGGAGCGGGTGGCATTCCCGTACCCATCAACCCCTGAGGACGAGGTAGTGTCCGCGACCCCATCGACGACTCCATGTCGGAACCCGCAGTTGAGTAGTCGGACACTGAGTCACCGCCGTAATAGGAACTGAAGTTGCCACTGGAAGAGATGGAAGAGCTGGTCGAGTGTGTGGATGGAAAGCCATACGAGTCAACGGACGAGCGGTCGCTCCGAGCGGGACCGTAGATGTTTCTCGGTGTCTCTTGGCTCATGGCAAGCATGCCGTGGCTGGCATCGAGAGCATCGGCGAAGCCACGACGCTCATGATCGTGCTGCTGTTGAAGGCTTCTGGTTGCACATTAGTACGGCAGCCGCACAGGGCTCGAACATGCCACTCACGTGCTGGGATATTTGCGATCCGCCTCGCCTACCATGCCAAAGGAGGAACGCACACCGGTGGGGGTGTATCCCATGGCCTCGTACTGAGCAGCCGTCGGCGTGAAATGGCTGCCATGCACTGGGGAGGCTGAAGAGGCATAGCTGGTTTCCGTGCCATAGTGAGTTGAGGTGGGTGGCAATCGGTTCATGCTCATCATGTCGGCGGAGGAGCCAACAGGTAGGGAGCCATATGTGGTTGGCCGAGGCGCTGGAGGCTTGCCGGCCATCATGTTTGGGTTGAGAGGTGGTGGTTGCTGCTGGCTACCAACGAATGGGCTGCTGCTGCTCGGTGGTGGGTGAGAGGCGGAGATGGAGGAAGACCACGGATTCGAGAAAGCCGGCGCATGGCTGTGGTGATGTGCGTAGTCGAGGTTCATCGTGGGCCCGAACCTTTGCTGTGCCGAGTCCAGGGTCATGGTCATGTTTTGTGTGATGTGCGGGGAGGACGTTGGCCAAGACCTTGTGCCCAGGGATGTGCTGTGTAATTAAGACGTTGTATGAGTGAGTTGCTGCTTGTCTGGTTTGCTGATAAAGTCAAGTTGAGCCCAGGGCGTGCGTTGCAACGAGGCCAAGACAAGAGAGTAGGTTGATTAATAGCCTGTGCAAGAGCGTTGATCAATGCGAGATGTCAATCAATGGGAAAAGCCAAGAGTTGGAAAGATGAGAATGCGGAACCATGAGTCTGGAGATAGAATGGAGAGTCTTGATCAAGACCAGGTGGGATCAGCGAAGTCTTAAGTGCCCAGCCTTTTGGGGGCCCGTGGATTGACATACTTGGGGCGAGTTTGAGAGGCAGATTGCGCTGCGACAGGCGGCCCAGTGGGTGGCCTGCGGGTGGCCAGTGGGTGCAGGCGCGCTGGAGCCCTGGGTGGCAGCATCTCCAGGGGGTGGAATAGCAATGACAAGATGGCGTGCCGACATGAGCGTGGGCTAGGTGATCGGCAAGCTGGTGTCCTGTTTGCGAAGGCCGCAGCGACAAGGGTCTGGAGCGATGAGGTATGTAGTGGTTGGTCGGAGCCCAGCTACGTGCGTGCGCATACTGTACAGACGGTAGGTATGGACATATGTCCTAGCTCCACCTCGCGCGCACCCCACGCACGCCGTCCAGTCAACTTGCTTGACTAATGAGCGCCTGCTCGAATCCAGGGGCAAAATGGAAAGCCTCAAAGTGATGAATTAGCGTCAGAGCTGCTCGGTCTCCAAAGGACACCCAGCCCATGGTTGACGCCCGGTGACGAACCAACAGCGTTGCGTGCAAAAGGAACGCCATCAGAAGCGCAACCTGTGGACGTGGACGTCAATTCCGCGTGTCTACTCTCCCGATCCAAAGTCTCGAGTTCAACCATCGAGTCTTAGCCCCGTGTAGCTCGGGTGTCATTCTCAGTCCCAATGTTATATGGAAATTGAGACATACGAGACGCAAAGTGCCAGCATTACAGGGACCCGCGCTATGATGATGTCGACAGGTATCCGTACTTGGGTCCAGTCGAGTACAGTAGCACTGATCCAAACAGTGTGGGGCGTCAAGGTGTCAACCCCAGGGGTGTGGGAGTAGCGTCCGGGATGGAAAACTGGGCAGGGACAGGGCTTCCAGAAGGGCACATCAACATTCACCTCTCAGTTGCTAGAGGTTTGACTTCGAGTCGACTCGTTGACTGCGATCGGCGCTATAGCTGCCCCTGCCTCTGCCAGCTAGGTCGCAAGAGTACTTATATGATTGGTATGGCGAAGAGTGAATGGATGTAGGCTAGGAGTGGAGGACTTGAGTTGATGCAAGACCAGCGAGGTCGGATGTAATTCTTGTGCCGTAAATTAAAGTACGTAGTGATCGGGCTCGTGATCACCCGGCAGTTGAGCGTGGCTGAAATAGGATCGAGTGCTTGGCTTGCGGTGGACGTCCTCAGGGCTGCTGCCTGCAGGGTCTGCGTGAAGGCGCTCCAACAAGTCCTGTCTTGTCGTCCGTGCCGCCGCCACTTTGTTGAGCAACATGCTAATGATCACGCCGCCGCCACTGAGGCTTTGCTCGAATTTGAATCGGCGTTAGGAACAGATGTACAAGAGAGTTCTCCGCATTGTGAAGAAGTATCGGTGTCGATTTTCCCGTTGCAACGAGGCAATTGTTGGATATTTGGACTCGATCCTCCATGTCGATTCGCTAGTAGACGAACGCTGCGGCAAACAGGTCGACTCAACGTACGTACTACACTCTCGTGAAGCAACCAGATAATCAGCAACTCGATGGTAGAACACGGATAGTGAGGCTCAACCGCCGGTCGCTGTCGTGCTTCGAGGAAGGATCCGAGGCCTTGTGAGGACCCTTATTGTCGGGTGTAATTGATGTTACACCCCAGTCGGTTGCGGGTGAAACTGACGTCGGTGGTGGTGGCCTTGGGACGCCGGCGCAACGGACTTTACCGCGAAACAGCGCTCCCCAGAAAAGCCAAGATTGCGGGCTGCAAGGGTGCCGGTCGAAAGCATCGGGTTCGTGCGAGGGGATGAAGATAGCCGCGAAAGAATCGACAAGGACAAAATACAGTCACGGTCAGGCTATGAAGGAAGGTAGTAAGTATTACTTGCCGAGTAAATCGCAGTACTGGCCTCCCAAGGTAGGTGCGACTGTCTATCCACGACCAGTCTTTCCTCTGAGGTCTACGGGTACTCATAGAGCTGGGTAGCATACTAGTCAGCTTTTCAGCTCAAGGAAGACCGGATCCGACAGTGCTTCATTCATTTGTTATTAGTCGCCATATCTGCGACCCGTTATCAACAAGCAAAATCCGTCCAATTGCACGTGTGAATCTGGTGTTGTTCAGTCCTTTTCTTCCCAAATTGCACTAATATTATTGGGAGGAGCCAGTGCGAATGTCTAAGCGCAGTTTAGCGTCCTGACCCGCAGCCGCGACAAGATCCCTTGTCCAGTCGCTCATTCCCTCAAACTGTGCGGGCGAGGTCGGTGTTAACGTGTCCCACTGTTCTTCTCCCTCGCCCTTTGCGAAGTCGATGTCGGTCCTTTCTTCTCCATGAGAGTCACGCGATGTACAAAAGGAGATGTGTTGATTACGATCTTAATTCAGAACAATCCACCACATGCCCCATGGCCCCTCAAAACGTCGCCAGGCCTCTGCGACGGCTTCAATGTCGAGCGTGGCAAATCGGATACTTGTACGCTACCAGGCTCCCAGGACCCAGCGAGCACCCAGGTTGTTGCTGACGCGGCATTGCTCTTCGGGCGTGCGATTCGGCCATCATCGCATTCAACCGCTCTTTGCTGTGCTAGCGGATGTCTTTCAAAGCATTGTCGATTCATCCCATCTCCAATATCACAGTTCTCAATACTGTGCCCAGAGCATGGGCAGACCTGCCAAAACGTCAAAAAAGAGTGGCTCAATCTCATCGCGCATCAGTCTAAGCAGTTCGGGATTAGCTGCCCTCACCTAGGACTGGCGCCGGCAGACGTGATTTGACCCTGCCTCCGAAAGGGGACATCTCTGCAGCTGGGAGCCTGGGGTGTTGACACTGTTGAGGGCCTTGTTGGAGGCCGACCTCTTCGGGTGATAACTTGACAGAGAACAAGGTTCATATGATTTATACGCAGGTTGTTGTGACATTATTGGCAGATGGCTGATGCGGAACAGATGCACTTTGCAGCAACGTCCAGCCGTCTGGTACTCCATACAAACGCTCTACATGTACGTACAAGCCCAAAAATTCGGTCATATAGATGCACACGTTGGTCATGGAACGAGTACCAGTAGCTCTAGGTCCGAGCGCATGCGTGTGCTGCCGCAAGGACACCTGACTTGACATGAATCTTGCGTGACGGCCCTTTGTCAAGAAGCTACAATACCTGATATGCATTTCCACTTACACACTGCTGTTCATGGCTATGATCGTCATCACCATGTTTATTCCCCACATGCCCGCGCAATTTTGAAGAATCATTAGATGAAACGACGAAGCATGTCGATCACTTGTTGCAGGTGCCAGCAGAATCGCGTTCTATCGCGGCCAACGACGGCATCACCGCCTGTTGCCTACCCGGCGTCACCGTCAGGCTTCGACGAAAGTCAGTTGTCGTCACTGCCTCCTCTTTTGACAGCATGTGTGGACCTCTGGCATGCAAGGCTTACTATCCGCAGCAAAAGTCCTGTCATTCCGTCGTCAGCGCTGCAGCGTGGAAATGCAAAGACAGCTGCAACAAAGAGGCCGGCGTCAACACCTGAAGCTCATCAAGTAATTAATCCACACATGATGGCTCTTGAAATTGCAATGGATGGATGCCTCGCATGTTTAGTAACCCAAGGCTCTTGGATGCTGCGCCAACAAACTACCGGAACATTTGTCCCATAATTTACAGTCACGGGCGAGCCTAGCAGCATCATAGTCCTGCCGCCATGCAAACCACCCACAACATCAAGGAGCCTATTGGCACGCGTGAAAGGGTGTCTTGGTCGTGCTGCCACGCGGTATCACCACTTGTTGACTGCTAGGGTCGCGAAGCTTTGGCTCTGATCAGCAACTCATGGATGGCCTTTAACAGTAGTACCCGCATGCCCTGCTCATGCAGAGTCGAATTTAACCTCCAATTAAGAGGCAGCCCGGAAAGGCTGGCTCAGAAAGCTCCAGTTCACTATTCGATCACACGTCAGCCACCGTGAAACCTGGGTGACGTCGAAGGACAACATTGACCGACTCACACATCCATGTCCACAACTCACACACAGACGCATGCGAGGAATATGTCGCAGACACACATGGCCTCGGTGCTTTACAAGAAAGAACCTTTGCTTACTGAGCAGCCGCGACTTGCAGTGTATGAGATGAACACTCAGTGTCCCTGCCGCTCCATGTCAACAGTACGAAATTATCAGAGAGCCTAGAGGTGAAGAAGGCGCGCACATCCGTGGCATGGGTATATGTCGTTCTTCTCAGCATCAATGTTGCTAGCTGGAAGTATCGACTTGTTCTGCTCGTCAAGATGCCCTCAACCCAAGACATCATACCGAGCGGCAAGCATGCGGCGCGGAAGCCACTACCGCAGACACGCCGAGACATGGTAGATGATCCCGTCTCACGCCCGACATTGTGTCACAAAGATGCGTGCTCATGCTTAGCATGTTACTATGTCCCATACTTCTCCTGCTCCAAAACACACTTGCCGTCCTCGTCTGGCAACTTGTCACTGTTGTTCTGATCCTCCAGGCGGTGGGTGACGTTTTCGTCTGAGAGAATTGCAGCTTTGTCTTGTCGAACCCATACACGCGATCTGTGGACTAAACTCCCGGTGCTAACGTCGCTCCACGCGAACTGATCGAATCTCACTCTGTTAGCCGCCGCGGCCGACGCCTTTCCCGTCCGTTCATTCCACTGCCGCTCGACTGGCATGTACTACGGCGAGGGGACTTTTGGTAGCCTGTCTCAGCAAGTGTGGGTGACGAGACGTCCCGCGAAGTGGCGTCAAGCTTTCCTACACTGACAATGTGGCATCCACGCGCCCATGGCTCCAGTTGGATCCGGCAGCTTGGAGCTAACACTGTCCGAGGTCGTAGAGGTGTGAGTATCAAATCACTGGAATTCGGACTAAGTACACATCTGTCAGGTAAATAGTGTTGAGCTACCATAGTTGAGCTACATGTAGGCTTGAGATGCAGTAAAAACATTGATGATCCCATACGCCCACGTTCGCTCCCAATTTGCATCTCGTCAGTCAGTCCATGGGAGACTACGAGGCCTTAAAACGAAGGACAAGTAGGAAAAACATTGGAAACGAGAGTTCACCGCTGCACACAAAAAGGTGCACGGAGTTAATGTGTTAGACATTACTGACAATGGTTGCCTGTAGCCTTGTAAATCAAACGAAGAAAATCAAGGTGATCGGGTATGTAGCGGTCCTGAAATCCAGAGTCGCTTTTTGAGGCTTTCTTCCGAACCTCCTGGGTTCAGGAAAGTGATTCCGTAACGCCATCCTTTCCAAACGCCAAACGCAATGCACATAAGTAGCCGTAACAGTCGTCGAGGGATTATACCTGGGGTGCGCCGGAACGGCCTCTCCCGAGGGATTGGAAGAGCTCCCCCGGCGGGACCCGTATGATGCCACTGCCTCGATCATACATCGAGGTCGGTGCGGGAGTATAGCCCTCACGACGCTTGCGTAAGCGGTCAAGAACGATGCCGGCCACCACAATGAGCAGAATGATACCGAGTGAGATGGCCAAACCAATCAGCACGACGAAGCCCAGAGCCATGTGATTATTCCCGCTGGAAGAGAAGAAATTGTCCTTCTGGGAGAAAATCTTGGCAATCATGCTTGGGTCGCCGTTGGAGCTGGTGGTGATGGCATAAGGCTGAAAGTCCGTACCGTTGTAGATAGCTGCTGATGCCATGCCGAAATCCGGGAGTTGGAGAGAGCCGGTGAGCATCAGTACTTCCTTGTCGTTCAGGAGGTCGTTCTTATCGTGCCCTTCTGTTGTTGAAAAGACTTGCAGGCTGCGGATCACGGTTTCAGACCCTAGTGAGTGCTCGGCGGTTTGCCATGCGTCGCCATCGTATTTCATCAGAAACAGTGAGCTGTCCTCAGTGCTGACACCAGCGACCCAGATTTGATCACTGTCGCTTGAGCCTGGTGTCATCACTTGGACAGGGCCGGGCACAGAGTCAGCGGAAGGAAACGGCTCCCAGGCTTCGTCATCAGGCTTGTACACTGCCAAGGGAACGCGCCCGGTGGTGTTCTGCAAGTCCCCTCCGACGATCAAAGTCTTCTTGTCAGACCACATCAGGCTGTACACATCTCCACCCACGTTACTACCAGGGCGGATCCACTGAGACGACTCGACGTTGTAAAGACAGATTCCCGGGCAGTCCAGAGCACCTGCTCTGGTGAAGGACCCTCCGACGAAGATTTCAGAGTCTTGATCGGGCCGTGCACTTATGGCAGCAACTGTCGCATTTGCCCCAGTTATCAAGGGCGGTTGCACGCCGAAAGCTTTCGACTCGAGGTTGTAGGCAACGATGCCGCCGATTTCGTTGTTGTCGACAGTGCCGCTGACTCGACCGCCGGCGTACAATGTCTTCCCGCTGACTTCGACCGTGATGAAACTTGAATCGGCAGAGATGTCGCTGCCAAGGCCGGAGATCGAATCCTCGTCGTTGGCGTCAATAATGACGAGATTGTTGATGGTCTCGCCTTCCGATGGTTGGACAGTAAAGTGACCAGCTAGGATCGTCAGGTTGAAGTCGTCGTCGTCGTCAAAGAATGTTCCAGTGAGGACACCGGCCGCGGAGTCCTTGGAGAAGAGATCCCGACGTCTGTTTTGTGATGAAGACGATGCAGCGGGATATCCGAGTATCAGCGGAAACTGGCCTAAACCATTGTCGTTGAGCGTCACTGCACCGTTGGCCCCAACTTGAGCAGAAGATATTGAACCCGCATACAGAGGGTCAGCATCTGGGATGTCCAGGAGGCTTGCCGCGAGCTTGCCACTGTAAATCGGGGCTGATCCTCCGACGTTTTGGAGCCAGTTCTTTTCCGATGGCACCCAGATGGCAAGCCCATTCACCGTCATGGAATTGTGGTCTCCGAAGCTGTTGATCTCCGTGAAAGACCCGGTGAAAGCGATCGCATTTTCAGTTTTGTCATCCGTGAGGTTGACTTGGAAAGGTACAACGTGCTGGACCCTGCCGTTTACACCACCACCGAGTGGGCTCCAGCTGTCGTCCTCAACATTGTAGACGGCAACATGCTCCAGGCTTTTGCTGCCATCATCTTGAGACTCTGTAAAATCACCCCCAGCATACAGTTGACCATCGTTGCTGTACATGCTGAGCACCTGACCGTTCAGTCCGCCGTTGAGATTGCGTACTTCGTCGTCACTTGTGATAGCGACGATGTTCTCATGGTCGGCTGAAGTAAAGTTGCCACCAACGAACATCATGTCGTCGTGGGCTACAAGAGTCTTGACGCCTGTCTTCTCGTCGAAAGAGGCCCCAAGCTCGTTGACGGGGGAGTCCGCGAAATCGGATGGATCCACCTCCGCATTGCTGGGGTCATAGTCGAAAAGGCCATTAAGCCCACCAGTCGAATTGATCAACAGGAACCCGACCCTCTGGGCAACGATGATCTGGTCATCGATATCCTCCCCTTCGAAAGGCGACAGTGTGACAGTGGGCTTGAAGCTCTCAGAGGTCTTCTCAATGTAGCCGAAATAGATCTGGTCGTACTTGTCGTAGTTGTTGGTCTGGTACAGAACGCTACTGAAATCTGCGTCGTCCCGACTTGAGGACATGGTCCCGGTCACATTGACACGGCCTCTGCGATCACAGGTTTCGTCGGGGGCGCAGCCGGGAGTGTACATGTTGACAGAGTAGTTACCGGATTCAATGATATTCGGAACGAAGACGACCTTGGCCGAATCGGAAGCGGCATCGCCGAGTTCTGCTGTGAGATATTTCGAGCTGCTCTGGAGTGACGGTGACTCACGCCAGGGACCGGTATTTGTCGCATTAGCTGGATGCTCGATCCCACCGCAAGATGGTTCGTTAAAGTCATTGACAGCGTATGCAAAAACATCATCCTGGAAAAGCTCGAGGCCGGCGAGGCCGGCGCCAGACCCGTACCACTCCGATATGGCGATCTGAAACCTGTTCATCCCGACCTTGTTGACAAAGTGAAAGTCCTGGTACTCGACATCAGCATCGTCGCTGAGAGGGCATTGGCTGGTGCAGGTCCTATTTTCCCCGGAAGCAGGATCGATGTATGTAAGGTTCATGATCCCGTTGATGGGGAAGGCGAGGAAACGAAAGGTCTTGGTACCACGGCCGTCCTGACGCGCGTTCCACAGCCTGAGCTTCGTAGGCTCGAAGCCGAAACCGAAGTCTGCCTCCCAGAACCCAGGCGTGTTGTCCTGGACTAGCCAGGTTCCTGCATCTTCCGAGCCTCCCGCACAAACAATGTCCCGTGGGTTGCCGTTATCCGAAGCGCTATTGATAGCGGTAATATTTGCAGTTGACAGATTAATCGCTTGGCCGTCCGGTTCGCGAGGCGTACTTGCATTGCCCAAGCCTGTGAAGCTGCCCCCGAAGATGATGTGGCCACTCGAGGACTTGGAGATGGCTTCGACAGGTCCGTTGAATCCGGCGAAGGGCAGGTTGGTCCAACCTTGGTCGGCGTACCAGGCAATCGCATTTCTCGAGGCGGCTCCACTGAAGCTTCCCCCGACATAGACCGTGTCTCGGTCATTATCACAATAGAGAGCGTTGACTTCGCCTTTGAGCCCGTCAAGTGGGCTGATGCTCCCTGTCTCGGGGTTGTAGAGCGCAGCGGCAGTCGACTCGATGCCGTCCAGGCTCGTAAAGTTTCCGCCTATAACTACACCCTGCAGTTCTCCGGTACTGAGCGTGAACGTGCACATTGCGCGTATCGAAGCATCCGCCGATACTATGGATGTGAGCGCGCCATTTGGGAGCATGCCAAGTAGGGACTCGCTCCCATTGCGGCTGGGAGGCCTGCCGTTCTGGCCTTCGTACTCGTACAAGGAGATGCCATTGAAATCACCCGCGACACCAATTCGTCCGAGATCTGAAAGGTCGAGATTTGCTGATGGTGCAGGTTCGAAGGTGAGAGAGTTTGCTGCCAGAGGTGCCCAGGCGGCGAAGGCAGTTAGTCCAAGCCCAAGGCGCTTCGCCGCATAGCGCGGTCCTCGTTGTATTCGCATCGTTGTCGCGTCTAATTCTTGATGAAGTAATGACTGCGTTGCTCGAAGCTGGCCGCCTGTCAAAGCAGGTGTCGAATGGGGCTCCAAGCGTCACAAAGCTGTCGAATGGCGTCCGGTCGTTCAGCAGAGGACCATGGCAACGGCAGGAATTTGACAACGGGGGGTGAGGAATTCTGGATCAACGTGAGACCGTAGGGGCGGCGGTCTCGAGAATCAATAGTATTGAGAAAAGAGCGTGTCGAAAGTCAGTCGGTGAAAAGGATGAAAGGAGTGTGTGGTGCTACGTGACACGCAATCGACTAATTACCGCGAGCTCAGTCAGTCCTGGGAGCGTCGTCGGGATCGCGTCGATGGGCTTCGCGTGGTTGAAGGCGACGGGGAAAGAAACGAATGGCGTCAAGCTCAGCAGAGGCTGGAAGTTGGGTGAGGATGGGCTCAGGCTAGACAACGAGCGACTGGAGCGAGAGTCGTGCACTGCCTGCCGGAGATTGGTGGAGCCAAGAATTGAGGGAAATTGGCTTTGACGTCGGGAGGTGAAAATGGGCCACTAATCCACAACAAGTTAGTCGCGCTAATCTTTCAAGATCTCAAAGTCTATCGTGGTCCTTGGTGTATTAGCTTCGAGATTGGTTGTAAGCTAAAAGTCTGTTGATGCGAAAGGGTTGAATCATTCAAGTTCAAGCAGCAAGACCGGTGACAAGTCATTCATTCGATTTGGCGAGGGGGGCTGGCGTAGCACAAGCTCGGGACAGGGACCTGCGAAGTCGCTAGCGAAAGCATAGCGACAGTGCGAGTTCTCGATTTCATTCTCCGTAAAGTACTGGACCGAGTGATAGTGAACATCGTATGTTAATGAATAATACACCATACCTAAGTTTTTATCAGTCGCAGAAGCTTATGGCGCAGCTTGAGCTGCAGCTGGGGGCTTGCGAAGGAATGAATGCTTGGTGGGAAGGAAACGAGAGTGAGACTGAGCGACTGGGATAGCGAGAGAATCATCCGCAGCGGATTGATGAGTATTATCCGTACTCCGTAGAGGGACGAGCAAACTCAAACAGCAAACGTCGGACAGACGAGGGATGGCCTTCCTCTGATGCTTGAACCCATCGTTGTTCAGCAGCTGGTTGTACGGATGGATACCAGCCCCTGCATTGGTATTGTATGCCAGGGGTCAGACTTCCAGTCTTGGCCCGGCTCTTGGGATCCAATGATCAGCCCCCAACCAGCTTTGCGCGCATGTGCAGCAAAAGTCATCATCGCATCCAGTACCCAGACGCAACGACGATAAACCCTACAGGTGTCTGCGGGTACGACTTTATCCCCTTGCCTCCCATCCTGTCAAGCTGTTGGAAACTCCTGGTTAACTTTATGCTAGGGATTATCGCGCCTTTGACCATTGGCCACAGCCAGCTACCAAGTACAACTGGCCAACTTGCCACCCTGCCTAATCTCACGCTTGGTGGCCTGACAAGAGCTTGATCTTGGATCTTGATCATTGCCAACTCGCGGGCTGGGACTTCGTTCTATGAACTATCACTTGCTTATTTGCCCTGCCACTTGGTCTTGTAGTCGCGAGGGCTTTCAAAGTCCTTCTTCGTAACCGACCACATGCCTAGCTTCTTCTTCTTCGCCCTTGCCTCCGCCTTTTCCAGTGCAGCTTTGTTACCGCCATATTCACCGCCCGACTTCGCCTCGTATGTCGTCGCAAGTCCTGCCTTGACCATTTCCAGCCCCACGTTTCGTCGTAGGAGCCATCGCCTAACGAACACCGAGGCAACGATCCGGTCGTAGTGGTCTTTCTTGTAGACATAGGCCCGCACGTTGCGATGCAGAATGTAGCCTCGCAACCATTCTAAGGCTTCGGACGAGTAGGGTTGGGCTGGACGGCCGAAATGGGCGCATTCGGGTGCATCGATGCCAGCGATTCGCACAGAGATCTGAGTAAGCTGTCAGCGACACAGATCGCCCAACTTGTCCATTCAATGCTTACAGTCCGATCTTTGAGGTCTTTCCTACCCTCAGGGACCTTTCTCAGCCATCCCCATCCAACAGCTCTGCCTCCAGGCGTGTGGAACAAGTGAAAGTTGTCGCCATCACCCACACTGGTGACCCGGCCGTAGATGCTCCGCTTGTGGAAGTAGTCGGGGCGTACGTAGCCGGCGCCCGGGATGCGACGAAGAAAGTTGACGTAAAGCTGGAGTGCACCAAGACTGGCCAGCGAAAAGAGCACGACGGGTGCCCATTCCTTAGCAGCCTGGAACTGATTTTGGTCGTTCACGGACTCAACCCATGTGACCGGCTTTCGCTCTGCCGACTCGGCATCCTTTGGAGTCTTCGTCGAATCGAAAGGCCATACCATGGTCTTGATCGACCATGCGGGCGCAGTGCCGTTGACTTCTTACGGTGTGATGCAGAGAGCGGTGGGCAGACCACACTTTTTTACGTAGCGCGACGGGTGCGCGTTGGAGTTTCCCCAGATCGATCTGCTTTCTCCACAATTCACTCACTGGTGACTGCACTGGCAGTCAAGCTGGTCCCGCTTGCGCCATGCTTGTGATCTCGCACAACAGGTACTAATTGGTAGGATGGCCTCACCGGAGTAGGGAATCAATTGTGTATTTATACGCTTAAATTTATGTGTATACCAGGCGGCTCCACCGATAGCCCTGGGCCTACGCCCAAACCGAGCGCGCCTGTCGCAGCTGTAGCAAAAACTGGCAATCAAATCCCCTGGACCTTGAATGTTCTTCCACTGGCTGTCTTCCTTTCCTTCTCTTCGTTCTCGGGTCGAGCGCGGCGCAACACTACACTTGTCAGCAATCCATTCTTTTGTTTGTAATCGTATTCCAAGGCACATGCCTTGAAGAAAGTCGGCTGTGCGCTTGCGCATTCGGGAGTGGATGTAAGCTTTCGAGGCCTTGATGTGGTAATGGAAGTAATCGCGGAACGTCTGAATGTGCGAGATTACATCTTCCATACGCTGAGGCGTCAAATGGCGAGGGAAGAGCACTAGTGTCATTAGCACAGGCCCTGTCAGTGCGGCGGGACGGCGTACCAAATGTGACGTAGCCAACCTTCTCTCCGTCTGTCGTCTTGATCCCAGGCACACCTTGTAGTTCCAGAGGCGGGTCGTTTCTGAACATCACCTGAGGCGCATTCTGGATAGCCCTCCGCCTTGCGTCCACGAACTCTTGGATGAAGACTTTTCCAAATACTCTGTCAGTTTCCTCGCGGAAGATGGTGCTGAACATCACCGTGACTCTGTCGTGGCTCGCCTTGACGTAGATGGCTTCCTCCTCACGGTAGTGGATCGCCTTGACCTGCCCTCCTTCCAGAACGCCCTTGGGAGCCTCCTCGGAAGAGAATTTTGAAGCCTCCTCCTTGAGCTGGTAGTGTTCCTCGTACGCAGCCTCGAACGGCGCAGCCATAGCATTGCGCTTCAGCAGGGCAAACTTGAGTGCCAATGCATCGCGTTCCTCTGGTTGGATGTCAGCACATCTCTTCCTGAGAACGACCGCCAGACCAAGCCCTACCCTTCTCGCCCGTGACCCCTTCCACATCAATCAGAACGGAGAAATCATAGCCTGGTTCGGTGCTGGTTACGTAGTCGCCGTATTCGCGCTGGAGGACTTGTTCAGCGCCGTGCTGGACCAAGTCTCGGAAGCATCTTATTTGAATTGACAACAGAATCTTTGTCTTCGTTTCGGGAGTCGAGATGTGGAAAGTTACGCCATCGAAGTCGGAAACTGTCTGGTCAATGGAAGCGGGAGGGGCATCTCTGGGAGAAGATGTTAGCTTGAGGGCTGCGGTATGTGACGCTGGGGTGTGGCATTGTACTTTGCGAATCGTTCCTTGAGAACAGACTGAATTAGAACGTTCTGATAGTCAAGCAAGAGCATTGTGACGGCTGTCGTTGTCACTCGTTGGGCCCGTTGCGAGATGTCCCTGGAGGTTGGAGCTGTCTGACGATGGAGGTGGGGCCGAAACGGTGGCTCAGCTGTCGAGGAGGACGTCAGAGGAGTGCATCCACGTGACTGCGAAATGAGGCGCGTCGCAGCCGAAGCGACAGTGGGTCCGGTCCGTCTGGAAGAGCGGCGATTATCGATAAGAGGGAAAAAAATATCCCACCTTTGAGCCAGGCGTGTCGCAAAGTTGGGCTCGTATACCTGGTTGAGTTGATTGGGATTGCATAATACCTGACTTGGAGGGCAATATGGTCAAGTCATACCTGTAAGTATCGCCAATTTATCTCAAGGAGTTTTCTGGACTAATTGCCTGCAGAAAGTACGAGCACGCCAAATCCTTTGGTGTTGTCGCCTCGGCCACCTCCAATCTCGTCTGGCACTCCAAGGATCGCAATGGCGCCAGCGCCGGCCAGGTAGTGGTGGCTGCGAACGAAGAGGTGTTGTGCTGGGATATCAAGAAAGGCGAACTACTGAGCCGCTGGAAAGACCCACGTTGCACCGATCCCGTTACCGCGATAGCCCAAAGCCGAACCGATCCCGACATTTTCGCCGTTGGATACGAAGATGGAAGCATCCGCCTGTGGGACAGCAAGATTGCGACAGTGATAGTCAACTTTAATGGCCATAAGTCTGCCGTGACGAAGTTGGCCTTTGACAAGTCCGGCGTGAGGCTGGCAAGCGGTTCGAAAGACACGGATGTCATCCTTTGGGACCTGGTGGCAGAAGTAGGGCAGTTCAAGCTGCGAGGGCACAAGGATCAAGTCACCGGCCTGGCCTTTGTTGAGCCAGAACCCGAAGTGCAGGATGAAGACGGAACGCAGGCGATGGTGGTTGATGGCGAGAGCGCCCACGAAGGGTTCCTCATCACCACGGGAAAGGACTCCCTTCTAAAGCTCTGGGATCTTTCGTCACGACACTGCATCGAAACGCATATTTCCCAGACCAATGGCGAGTGTTGGGCGCTGGGAATATCTCCGGATCTGAGCGGGTGCATCACAGCTGGCAACGATGGCGAGATGAAGGTATGGTCGCTGGATTCCGCCGGGTTGGCCGCGACCGCGCGCCAGGTCGAGACGGCCACGATACATTTTCTACGAGATCGAGGAACCCTCCATCGCCTGGGCAAAGATCGCACGACCGAAATTATCTTCCACCCCAAGCGTGACTACTTTGTAGTGCACGGCTCAGAGAAGGCCGCCGAGATCTGGCGGATGAGATCAGATGCAGAGGTTAAGAAAGGACTTGCAAGGAAAAGGAGGCGTCGTCGTGAGAAAGCAAAGGACGCAAAGCAGGAGGATGAGGCCATGGAGAATGGCGATGAGCAAGATGGCGACATCTCCACAGCCGACATCAGTGACATTTTCGTGCTATATGTCACGGTCAGGACCGGCGGCAAGGTTCGATCCACAGGCTGGGCGCACAGCAGCGGGCACAAGAATCTCAATCTAGTCGTTGGGACCACGAACAACCAGATCGAATACTACACGGCCCCCGTCAAGGAGAAGAGCGATCGCAAGAGCAAAGACGACGCTCCAGATTACACCCGAGCTCTCTCAGTGGAACTGCCAGGTCACAGAACAGACATACGCGCTCTGTCACTGAGCTCCGACGACAAGATGCTGGCATCCGCATCCAATGGCACACTTAAAATTTGGAACGTCAAGACGCAGAGTTGCATCAGGACGTTTGACTGCGGCTATGCCCTCTGCTGCTCCTTCCTGCCCGGCGACAAGGTTGTCGTCGTTGGTACCAAGAGCGGAGAGTTGCAGCTGTTCGATGTTGCGTCAGCATCCCTACTGGACAGTGTCCAGGCACACGACGGGGCCATTTGGGCACTTGCTCTTCACCCAGATGGGCGCTCGGTGGTGTCTGGGAGTGCAGACAAGTCAGCCAAATTCTGGAACTTTAAGATTGTGCAGGAAGAGGTCCTTGGAACCACACGAACCACACCAAAACTCAAGCTGGTGCAGGCCAAGATCCTGAAGGTGTCAGACGATGTCCTGAGCTTGAAGTTCTCTCCGGATGCGAAGATTATAGCAGTGGCGCTATTGGACAACACAGTCAAGGTGTTCTTCGTGGACACGCTCAAGCTATATCTCAACCTTTACGGTCACAAGCTACCTGTGCTGAGCATGGACATATCTTACGACAGCAAGCTCATTGTCACCAGCTCGGCAGACAAGAACATTCGAGTATGGGGTCTCGACTTTGGCGACTGCCACAAGGCACTGTTCGGTCACAAGGACAGTATTCTTCAGGTCGCTTTCGTGCCGCATAATTCCGACGGCAATGGCCACCATTTCTTCAGCAGCAGTAAGGACAAGACAATCCGCTACTGGGACGCGGACAAGTTTGAGCAGATCCAACGTCTCGACGGGCATCACGGCGAAGTTTGGTCCATTGCGATCAGCCACAGTGGGAACTTTCTCGTGAGTGCGGGCCACGACAAGAGTATCCGGGTCTGGGACGAGACGGACGAGCAGATCTTCCTCGAGGAAGAGCGCGAGAAGGAGATTGAGGAGCTGTACGAGAGCACGCTCACGCAGTCCCTGGAGAAGGACCAGGACGTCGCCGACGACGACGAGATCGGTGCCGCCAGCAAGCAAACCACCGAGACTCTCATGGCAGGAGAGCGCATCGCCGAGGCCCTCGAGCTTGGCATCACTGACCTCAACATTATGAAAGAGTACGAACAGGCCAAGCTCACGGACCCACATGCGCCCTACCCTCAACGCAACCCCATTTTCCTAGCTCTGGGCAACATCAGCGCAGAGCAACATGTGTTGTCCGTGCTTCAGCGCATCAAGGCTGCTGCTCTGCACGATGCCTTGCTCGTCCTGCCCTTCTCGACTGTCCCCATGCTCTTCACATTCCTCAACATTTTCGCGATGCGCTCCATGAACATCCCTCTCACCTGTCGCATCTTGTTCTTCATGCTCAAGACGCACCATCGACAGGTTGTCGCCAGCCGCACGATGAGGGTCATGTTGGATGGTATCCGGATGAATCTGCGCGCGTCGTTGAAGAGGCAAAAGGACGAAATGGGCGTGAACATTGCAGCCCTCAAAATCGTAGGTATGCAGGTTCGGGAGGCGAGCGTCAAGGACTATGTCGATGAGAACTGGACAGAGGAGAATGATGAGAGGGGCCCAAAGAAGAGGACGTTTGTTGATGTAGCATAGAAGGCGCGGGCACAGGCGTTCAGGATATCACTAGCACAGTCACAATTAGACGCAATGGATACAACAGTAGGAATAGCACGGATGAAATAATATGTGTAAGGATTGTGTTCATTTCATTGACATGATGTAAACACCAATGAAGCCTTGATGAGATGAGTGTATCTGAGCTGCATTTGGTATCACGTGACATGTGCTACTGCTCAGACTCGGGCGCCACACCATGACCATGAAGCTGCCCATCATCCATCGCGCCATCATCAGTCCCCCAAGCACGAGACAGTACACTTTTCAGTCCATTTGGTTGAAAATTTTGACGGTCGAGAACCTGTTCCAAAAGCTGCGACGGCGCCCCTGTCCATTTCGACCACCGCTGTTCAAACTCAACTCATCAACGATGCTATTCTTCAGGTGCGTCAACTAATGCCCGACCGCAACCCTCATCGCAGCTGGTGGTCTGTGCATGTGCTTACAGTTTTTCAGTTTCTTCAAGACTCTCATCGATCATGAGGTGACCGTCGAGCTCAAGAACGACATTCAGCTTCGCGGGACCCTCAAAAGCGTAGACCAGTATCTCAACATCAAGCTCGATGATATATCGGTGGTGGAGGAACTCAAATATCCTCACCTCGTACGTTTTGCCGCCCTCAACTTTCGAAGCAGAGATGGGAACTGACATGCCACAGAGCTCGGTCAAGAACGTCTTTATCCGCGGATCCGTGGTGAGATATGTTCACCTGCCCGCGGGGTCTGTGGACACACAACTGCTCGAGGATGCGACACGGAGAGGTTCGTTCGACGATACGTGGAAACTAGTTGCGGACACCGCTGACACATTCACAGAGGCAGCCGCGCAGCAATCAAAGGCAAAATAAGGGATGGGATTTCTTTCTTGGGAAATGAACAGCAAAGGCCGCGCCTTGAGCCACTCCATGCCGAGGTCGCACACATCACGGGAAGATTCTGGCATGCATTTGAGGCGTTGGAATAGGTCATACAGGCGGCACCGAGCGCTATGCAGGTTATGATACAATGAGATCTACCACAAGACTCGGCCACCTTTGCCCGGTTTGGCATCCCACATTTCACCCTGGATTATGTCTGGATCCCTTCCCTCGACTACTGGGTTGACCAATCCACACCGTCTACGCTCCGATATCCAACGATCTATCCAAGCCTTCATCCTTGTCCGTGACTGCTCGCTGCCAACGTTGACTGTGGGAATGACCTTCTCGATCCCCAAGCTCATGACAAACAAGGCGAGTTCGCGGAAACTACTATGCTCGGAGTATGGCACGCCAAAGCACATGGCCTCACTTGTGCTACCTCTTTGAGCGACGAAATCCTTGTATCCGAACCTGGTGCGCCACCCTGTACTATGAAGGATCTGTTCGGAAGGTATCGTGCTAGGAGGCGTGTTTGCGCCAATAGCCTTCGAATTGGTTGGTCGGAAATTCCAGCCGCTTGGTCGGAATCCGACAATCCGACTGAAGTGTGGTTTGTACCCATTGAGATACTCTTGCAAGGTCTCGGCACGAATCTCCATGAGCATCTGCATGTGGACTTGCGCCTCGATCGGGTCCGAAGTGAGTCGTTCTGTGAGCTCAGGGATATCCAAGTGCTTGCAGATTTTCATTTTGACTGGTGACACGAATATCTTGGAATCGAGTGCCTGGGCAATAGCAAGACATATTCGTTCTTTTCCAATCGAGTATGTACCGCATATAACCAGCAGACGCTGCTTTGGTGGGTTTTTTTCTTGTTCCTCTGTTTTGGCGTTGACGGTGTTGAAATATTTGCTCACAGCAGGCGTGCCCAGGGCTTTGGCGGATCTCTCCCACACGTCGTCCTTGCACTTGGGATCAGCAGACATGTTGGCGCATAGATCGGCGCAAGCCTGGATGACATCGTCTTGCGGTGGGAAGGAGTATCGTGGATTGAGATATGTCGTGTCGAGATAGCATATATCTATCTTCTGCTGCCTCACTTTGCCCGAGACAGCATCGGTGAGTTCCGGTCGTAATAGGGGATGCTCAACGTGCGCAGGACATGCTCGGAAATCCCCGCAATGCAGTATGCGCTTCATACGACTATTACTGCCAATAGCCATCTTCTTCTCAAACAAGAAAAGAGAGCTGCCTGGGCAGTGGTTTGCTGGAATCATGGTTACGGTCGCTCCATCGGTTCCCGGTATCTCGTAGGACCGGTCAAAGTCAATCGCGACCACCCACTTGCCAGCAGTGCCAAGCTGCTTACGGACCAGGCTTCCTGTGACCTTGCTACAGTATATTGGGCCATGGGTCCACCTTGCCGTGAGGCCAATGTAATGATCGCTGTGGAAATGGCTCAGGAAATAGGCCTGGCACCCCTCGATGGCACCGTAGCGGAACGCATCGACACAGATCGAGAAGCCTGGCATGATCTTATAAAAGGGACAAGTGCGCTCGTACGCGGGGCGGCCTCGACTTGCTTTCTCCGTTGCTGCCGCCGCTGCCCATGCTGTGTCCTCGGCGTTGTTGGACATGAGCTTGGAGAAAGCTGACCTAGGGGCGCCGTTTGATGACGAACTGCCCTCCAGAGGGTTTGTCTGCGCAGGCCTGGGCACGGCTGATTTTGAGAACCTCTTGCTGATGTCCACCGAGTCAACACGAGGAGCTGGCGGAATGGCATCGGACGGGTCTGGCTTGACGCGCATCGCGGAGGTTGCTACAACAGCGGCACTCAATGGCTCATCTTTGATCAAAGGCGGCGCGTTGCCATCAATGCACAGATTGACGTGACGGGACGCTTCATCGGACGAGAGACCGACAATGCTCCCGTGGCACATTGGGCAGCATTGGTCTGCAGTCCCATCGTCAATAAAATCTTCCATGACCTCCTCGCCATCAAAAGCGCCAGCCGCTTCAAGTTCAGCAGCTTCCAGGAGAGCCTGCTCTCGCATGAAGCGCATTTCACGTAGCTCTTCACCAGCAAAACCGTGAAGATCAGCATCATCGAATTCATGGGTCTCCCCAAAGTCATTGTCGTCTGCGTTTGGCACGCAAGAGGACTCTTCATGTTTGAGTGGTGGAGGATCGTTCGGTGCCGTCTTGGTCGAAGACTCGGAATCGGGAAGTTCCTTTTTGACGGGGGTCGATGACGAAGACGTTGGGCCAGCTTCAGCCGTCGCGTGCCCAATTTGGCTTTGGGCACCGTCTCCGGTGGGATTTATGGTGCTTGCGTCCTCTTCGTCTTTGACTTCGTCCTCGTCCTCGTCACCTTCGGAATCAGAATCCATGATGAAGGGGCCTTTAGGTCGCACTTTGCGTTTGCTCACAGCAACGTTGCTTGCCACCGTTGCATCCGATTCTTCATCTTTACAATTTGCTTTCTTTGTGTCTTCGCAATTGTCCACACGGATCCTCCTCCTCTTCACTGGTGACGAGACCTCATTAAAGCGGCTCTCTTCATCTACTCCATAAAGATCGTCTTCGGGTTCTCCATTTGCGCCGTTTGCCGTCCCGGCTTCCCCAATGAACAGGGAATCCTCGGGCTTTTCTGTTTTCTTGAAGAAGCTGAGTATGCTCGTGTTCGTTTTGACTGGTTTGACTGGTTTGGCATTCGCTGTGAAGCTGGCTGCGCTGAGTTTGGTTTGTTTCTTCGGGGTCTGCGTGCGACGTGCTTTGGCAGATGCTGGCATGGTGAAGAAGATATTTGGGTGGGAACAGTCGAGGCCGTGGATGGGTTCAACTGGGAGTATCTGTCCATCACATTGTACTTGTGACCGTTGGTTGCCAAGGACGGAAGTACAGGGTCTCAAAAGTTGACGTTGAGGGGAGAACCCGCCAACACGACCCGCGTTAATGACCCGTATAACCACCACGGGGGCCAAACGCGAAGTCATGTGACTGCAAGTGGGCGTTGGGAATTGCTCCGTCACCAAGTCCATTGACAGTTGGCTACCCTGGAGATCCATCCACTCGATTTGTCGCTGCCATCGTGTTCGATTGCTGCCCATGCAATCAGATTTGAGTATAATAATGTTACTATTAGACACGAATTTGACCAGACTCAATCTAAAAGGTGAATCGATCGTCAGATCATGCATGTGATTTGTCGTTGAGGCTGGTGCAGCTCCTCCCAAGTTACCCCAATTTTTGACACGGGTGGACGTGCCAGCCCAAATGCAAACAATCACCAGCTCGCTCAACCATCGTTTGGTGATTGTGTCGACACTTGAAATGCAATCTTGCCATGTCATGTGAGATACTAATGTATATGAAAGAGACCGCGTTGCGCCATGCTGATAACTAATATAGCTATGCTGAACACGACTGCGGCTTTGCAGCACAGAACCGTGCTGCCAGCGTCGGCCAGCCCTGAAACGCTCATACATCTGCTTCAGAAACACACATTTTTCATCCAGTGTGATCCTCACATGGTTTCCTACGACAAGGTCTCAACGTCTTCACCAGCACCTGCCATCCCATCGGAGCGCAAAGTTGCTGCTCTGCCAGGGCGGGAACCCGAGTGCTACAAGGTGACAGATCGCGTACACGCTCTGCCGGCTGGTCTCTGGGACAAAGACGTGGAGAGCATATACGAGTTTGTTGATATCGAGAAAGGGACCTTTGTGAGAATCAGAAGTCCCCTGGGGGTGACCATGGAGACGGTCTGGGAAGTCCATGGGGGAGATCGAGGCCATGAGCTCGTCGAGGACGTTGTAATCAAGTGCTCCAGATTATTGATCGGCACAGTCCGAGGAACCTGTGAAGTCGGGTGGGAAGGCATCCATGCGAAGATGGTAGACCGTTTACTGGACACGCGCGAGGGAGTGACTAAAACCGCCTAAGCTGTCTGCGGGCCGGACCAAGCATTCATCATGTCAATTACAAGATTTTGGCTCCGAGCTTCATCAGTAGCGTCGCCCACAGCGAGCTTCGGCGCGCTTCTCGATCTCTAGCCTTGGACGTCGATGGCAGCATAAGTGTCTTAAAGAGCCTTTCGATATAGAGCCTTTCATTCGCCTTTCAACGAACATTAATTACCCCTTTACCATAGGCGAGGACTTGCAGATACAGTGCAGCGTTAGACTATTCTACCAGGTAGGTCAGGTACACGTATATCCACGCGGGACGGGGCATCATTCTGCCGACTGGAGCCTTCCACCTTGTGGCTGAAAGGGGGTTAGCGCCTAAACCCCTAAGTCAACCTTCAAGCTCCAGCAACTCGCGTTCAGGTCAAGTGTCCATGTAATGAACGATTGACTCTGATATCAATTCTTTTCCACGTCCTGGTGGCGCATAATTCTCTCACGCATATCGAAAGGCCTGGGGCCTGGAGCAGCCGGGTTGGTTCCATGATGTGAGAGCGTATGGCTTCGCCCATTCATTGGACTCCTGAACGTCTCAACCTCAACCACCGGACTCACGCGACAGCGTGAGCGGAATCCTTATCAATAATGGCATCCCTTCAAGTGCGCTGGCCGGAGACTTCGGTTACCAAGCAAAAGGCCATTGACGATGCGGTCAAGATGCAGAAGAGAGTTGTGGAAGACTGCAACAAGGGAGGCAAAGAGCCGCCACCTTATCAACTGTCGGAACTCATCGGCAAGGGCAGTTTTGGCCGAGTCTACAAAGCAACTGCACTGAAGACGAAGCAGCTCGTTGCGGTCAAGATCATCGACATTGATCAGAGTGACACAATGGACCCACGACTCGCAGATACTTACAGTGACCTTCTGAAAGAGATCAACGCGCTTCAGATGCTGGGACGGACAGGAGCCAAGAACGTCAACCTGGTCATTGAAGCCCTTCCTGTGGCCCAGTCGATGTGGATGATCACCGAGTATTGCGCCGGAGGCAGCGTGTCGACCCTCATGCAGCCCACGGCACCTGGAGGATTGCAAGAGAAATGGGTCATCCCGATCTTGCGTGAGACAGCCGAAGCAATATTCTGGGTCCACGGCCAAGGCATCATCCATCGAGATATCAAATGCGCCAATGTCCTGGTCACCGAGCCGGGCGACGTCCAGCTTTGTGACTTTGGCGTGGCAGGAGTCATCGAGACCAAATTCGACAAGAGGACCACAGTGATCGGTACACCGCACTGGATGGCGCCGGAACTGTTTGATGATTCAGCCTCATATGGAACTGAGGTCGACATCTGGGCCTTTGGTGCCATGGTGTACGAAATCGCATCGGGACTCCCTCCCAATGTCCATGCAGGCATGGACTTCTCCAAGCTAGGCAACTACCTGAAGAATAACACCCCTAGGCTTGAGGGCGACCAGTATTCCCCGGGACTGAAGGATCTGATTTCGTACTGTCTGCAGCATGATCCGGCGAAGAGACCCAACATCAACCAGATTCAGCGTCACGGATATATCCACAACACCAGTGAAGCGTATCCGACAAACACATTGTCCCACCTCGTCAAGGGCTTCAAGCTGTGGGAATCACAGGGAGGTGCACGCAGGTCTCTGTTCGGCCTAGGTGGTGCGCAGGCGCCCGATGACCTCGATTTGGCCGCGATGCCTAACGACGAATGGAACTTTAGCACCACCGCAGACTTCGACCGGCAAGTGTTCAAAGACGGTAACGCCCAAGACGTCTTCGACGCGTACGGCAACAATGTCGACTACAGCCAGGAAAAGTCGTTCGAGGCGACGGCGCGGCCACAGCAACAAAAGGTCAAGGGACGTAGACGTCCGCCCCCACAGCTACCCTCGATCAAGGCGCCTCTAGAAAAGATCTTTGACCCGAACACAATGTCCAATTATGAGGACAATTCAAGAACATACTATGGCAGGCTGGGCCCCTTCCCAGAGAATGAAATGTACCCCCCGCCAACCTCAGATCTACCCCTACGAAATGACTCAGCACCAGCCCCCGATGTGCGCGAATCCCTCATTGACCTAGACGCGTCGCTAGATGGAGGTGACTTGGCAAGCTTTGTCGATCTGAACACAATACGGGCAGGCGGTTCACGTACGTCTCTGGACTACAACGACTATGGCGGTCCGCACAATTACGACGACGCACCGCTCAGTGATCCCGTCGACGGCGGGAAAGGAGACCGGCGGACGCAAGACTGGAAGTTTCCTTCTGCGGCGCCGCAGCCACCCGCCTCAGCAAACCCCGAGGTATTCAGATTCCCGGCGACCGATGCCCCCGCGAACCCGGCGGCCTTCAAGTTCCCCATGACCGACGACCCGGTCCCCAGCGCGGGCCGACCATCACTGCTCCATCGCCCCACGGAGCCCATTCCCGCGTCGGCGACGTTCAACGACCTGGCGCCGTCTCAACCGCACCACATGGACAACCGCGCCTCCGTGGGCAGCCTCATTGACCTGGACATGGGCCTCGTAGCCCCCATACCCCATTTCTCGCGTCCCTCCAACGACTGGACGAGGCCTTCAACGTCTCACTCGGAGGCAGGATCCGTCAGCGGCTCTGAATTCGGCAGCGCCAACCCCTTTGAGCTCGAGAAGCACACTTCGGTCTATGCCACACCATCGACGTATCGCGAGCCGTCGATATACGTCTCCGACGACTCGGAGTTTGCCAACGCCGTCGCAGATATACCATCCTTCCAGGATCCCCATGCTCAGGATCACGACCTGACCAAGATACCGGTCACCGAGCAAGCACGGCCGTATTCGTTAAGTCAATTCGCCGACATGGACCCCGAGGATATGGATGGCCCCACGCCTCAGGCGGGAGGACCGCAAGACTTAGCTTATTTCCCGCCATCGCTGTCGCAGCAGCACCTGCAGCAACAGATGGACCAGCCTCTGCAGAACAACGGGCCCATGTTGCCCCTACTGCCCATGGCGCCCTCACCGCAGGTGTTGCAGGGTCAGGCTTCGAATCACGAGGTCAAGGAGGAGCTTCGACGGATGGCCATGTGTCTCGAGGATCACCTCCATCATCTGAACGTCTACCTAGATGGGCTGCCGGTGAGGAACACTGGCTCAACTAGATCCGAGTCAGGAAGCGAGGCTATTTGAGATTCTTCTTACTAACATGGGTTGGTTCGGTGTTGCCACACGTATATAAAGACAAGTGCAAGGGGTTCTGGGTATCTTCAGGGAAACATAGATAGGCGTTGGGCACGCGAGAGCTGGGCACCCGACATTGTGTACTTGCTCAGAATAAAGATTCAAAATCCGATCATATCCCCCATGAGTAGCGCCTGGTACTTCTCCATCGCCTCCCCCAGTCTGATTAACACACCAGCAGCCAGCATCTTCACCTCATTCTCCTCGCCGCCGTCATCGCCCCGAGTCCTCTCAAACACGCCGCTCACCCATTCCCGCGTCTCGACTACTTGGCGACCTTGTGACTGGCACAGGCCCCGCATGTCGCCCTCGTTGACGGCTATCAAGGACGACATGGCCACGTGCCAGCCCTTGAGTGAACTCAGCGCTCCAAGGACATGCTGCCGTACACTCAACAGAAGATCCCACAGCTCGGACGTCAGTTGCGGCAGCGACAGTGTCGATGGCCCAGCCGCGTGGATAATGACCCCAAGAGTCTGAAGGTAGACGCCAAGCAGGACCTGGTTGAGTACGACAGGCTTGGCGGATCGAAGGGCGACTTGGAAGTGTGCTGTCAATGGCGAGAAGAAGGACCCGGCGAGCACGGCCGCTGTGGTGTTGGGTATGGCGCGAACACGGGGTTTCTTCCCTGCGGATGACTTATAGCGTTTGGTGAAGGTCTGTAGCTTCAGAGCGTCGGGCCCCAGTGACGTGTCGGCTGCTTCTGCTGCGAGGGGCTCGAGGAATGTTGATGTCAGGGACCTTGTGACGTTGTCTAGCGCCGTCGGAGGTAAGGTTTTGAGACTTGATCCAGGTACTGTGCTGCTGCGCGTCTGGTCGCTTAGATAAAGCCTCTCTATATTCTCTGGTAGTCGCTTGGACGCGAAAGCATCGACCTGGCGCTTGGACTCGCCGTATCCGGCCAGCTCCCGTGCAGCGAGACCGAGAGTGACGAGGATCGTCGTGCGCTGGGACAGGGAGTAGTCTCCCTGAAAAAAGGTCCGCGCAAACCACGGACCCATGGTCTTTGGCTGAGAAACCACCAAAGCAACGAGGGACTGCAACTTCAGTTCGTCAAAGTCCTCCATCTCGAACTTGTCCTGGACAGCCACCATCAAGTTTGCAAGCTCATCGGCATGCGCGCTGACTTCAGTACCGTAATTGGCTTTCCTCCGAAGCAGCGACGGCGCTGTCTGCAGGGCTAGCTTCTGCTTCTCGTAGCTCTCCGAGTCCCGGAAATAGTTTATGAGATCACGTACGTATACCGGCGGCCTGAGCTTGTTCCTCTGGACGAGTGTCGCATCGTCATCCGAGTCCTCGGGATCCGAGCCTTTGGCATACGGCACCAAGTCGTCATCCTCCTCCTCTTCATCCGAGTCATCGACTATCTCGATGATAGTACGAGGCTTGACAGATGTTATTGGCTCTAGAGCCGGTTTCGGCTTCTTCTTTGGCGGCTTCGATTGTTGAGGTGTGGTTTGCACCTTGTGCACGACCGGTAGGTCTTGGCTCAGCAAGGCTTCGGAAGACCCAACGACGTCCTTCACTTGGGCCAGGGCTTTGAGGCGAGCTGCATCCTCCGTATCGAGCTCCTCCATCTTGAAATCAAGCTTCTGGCCCTTGCTGTCCACCAGCGAGGAGAGAACCTCGCCCACCACCATGCCGAGGAAGCGTGCCCGAACCTGCGTGGCTGCAATTCGATTTGAGATACTGCCGAGGTAGGCACTTGAGCGAAGAAGCATGGCTAGCTTGACGGGCGAGGCTCGTGACACATAACCTGCGCTCAAAAGCAGGATCTCGGCGTGCACTACCAAGGCATCAGTGATAGGGGTATTCCGCGAGGGCAACAGACTTACCGTCCTGCTGAAGAATAGCGGCGTGTCGTATATAAAGCCCATCTCCAAACTGCGCGAGGCTCTTCTCCAGAACATCCGTGGTGACATCTCTATCCTGCGCGAGCACTGCGATGACGGATCTACGCAGAGCAGTGGCATGTCCGAGACCTGCTCCGGAAGCAGAGGTGCACCATCGCACCAACTCCTGCACGCGACTGTCGTGACCCTTTGTGACAGAGTGTATGAGGCCAGCGACAGCTGCGATGGTCGGGTCAGAGCCATCTTGCTGGAGCGCTAGGCTGTCCAAGAACCTGGCTGAGAGATGTTGCAGTAAAGTTGCTAGGACCTTTCGTGTTTGTGATGGCGAACTGAGGCACACGTTGCCAAACAGCTCTGGGTCACCGTCTTGGTGGAGAAGCAGGTCGTTGGTTAGAGTCTCGATCAAATTGTCTACCACGAGTCAGCCAGAACACATTGTGGATGTATGTGACTCACCTGCGTAACCAAGAGAGAGTCCTCTATGAAACAGGCTAGAGCAGAATAGAAGCGGCGGCTCTTGATGCTGGCTCCTGACACAAGCTACAATATTACTACCAAGCCAGCGACTGAAGTCAGGTCCATCTGCAAGCCACCGACAGTCCTGCTTCACGCCATCATGACCAATGACGGAAACAGCCTCCGCAGCTACAGAGAGCAACTTGCCACTCGTCAATATCGACAGCAGCGACTGGCTCTGTGCGGTTCTAAGAGCCTCGCTGTGGAGTCCGGTGGTCGAGGCAAACCACACACGCCTGATAGCTGTGTTGCCGTGAAGCACGGTTGCTAGCAGCTCAATGAATATCGAGATGTGCAGCTTCGAGTCTGGTCTCTTTGAATCCCTAGCCGACAGTTTGATCTCCTGCAGCAGCGCTTTCACATTGGCCACCAGGGCATTGATGCCAGCCACGCTGCGCAAGCAGTCGACGAAAAGCTCCAGGTCATGCACACCTGCATCGTCCTCATTGGAATGATCCTGGAGAACGATCCAGTAATTGGGCGCAATTTCAGTCACCAGGGTGTGAATGATTGCAGCGCTCGTCGGACTTGGCGTGTGAAGGCTGAACGGACTGGTGGCTCCCGGGGAACGACAAAGGCACTCCAAAATCGATATGAGCTGGTCATAGTCCGGTTGGGCTTTCAGGCCATCCAATGCCGCGTCTGGGGTCGTTATCTGGACGGGCTGAGCTTGAGCATGTGCATGCCCTGATGGCTTCGATTCCGTGAAGAGAGTTTCGTCATCTCGGTCCTTAGCTGCCTTGAGATAGGTCGTGCTTATTGGCGTAAACAACTCGTCCATGATACTGAGCCAGCCCCTGGGTGGCAGACTACGGGCAGGTCATTGTCAGAGAGGATTGATTGCTGGATTGGCTTACTGAGATGAGAAAGCAAGCTTCTCACCGAACGCAGCTTCATCATCTGTCGTAGACGCGGTGGATGTCTGCCCCACCTTCACCGAACTTCACCGACCCTCACCGAATATATCCATCCCAACACCCGCGAGCACTCACTCACATCACCTAATCACGCGGCGGCACACTGTTTCCTACTGTGTAATAGTTCTCAAGTCAAGTTCCTCTTAAGGCTCACGATGAGTGCGACAACACAGGCGCCGGCGAGCGCTGCATCGCCCGTCGACGAAGATGCGAGATGGTGAGATACGTCGCTCGTAACTAAAGTCGGCGCTCACTTGTCCTGACGGCCATTAGGAAGTATCTCAACCATATTCGCCAGACGCCTGGGCCCTTTACCGACCCGGCATCGCAAGACGAGGTCGCCATGCGAATGTTTGACAACTTCAAAGTCCTGTATGTCGGATGATCGATTCCTCCCGCGTTTTCGCCGCCTCTCGTTCGTGTCGTGACGTGCTGACCCCTACGACAGAGTCATGTCAGTATCTCCCTGGGCCCTGTATCGCTGGAACATGTCCTGACAATGGAAACCTGCAGTGGCGCGGGTGGCCTAGGCTGCGAGATCCTCAAGAACCTCGCCATGTCCCGCTTCAGGGATATCCACGTGATAGACATGGGTGCGTCCGCCGGTGTCATCCTTGGATCGACTCGGAGTGAGGACGTGCGTGCTCACATGCCTAGATACCATTGACATATCGAACCTCAACCGCCAGTTCCTCTTTCGCAAGGCAGACGTCGGCAGCTACAAGGCGGAGGTTGCCGCGCGATTCGTCATGAACCGCGTCACAGGCGTCTCCATTACAGCACACAACAAGACGATTCAAGAATTCGACCTCGACTTCTACCGCCAATTCCAGCTTGTCATCTGCGGACTGGACAGTATCGAGGCCCGGCGGTGGATCAACAGCACTCTCGTCACCATTGCCGAAGAGGGCGATCCCGACTCCATCAAGCCACTCATCGATGGCGGGACCGAGGGGTTCAAAGGCCAAGCGCGCGTGGTGCTGCCCTCGTTCACATCGTGCATCGAGTGCCAGCTGGACATGCACGCGCCACGCGCCGCTGTGCCGTTGTGCACCATTGCCTCCATCCCTCGCCAGCCGGAGCACTGCATCGAGTGGGCGCACGTCATTGCCTGGGACCAGGAAAAGCCCTTCCCCAAGCTGGACAAGGACGACCCGGAGCACGTCACCTGGCTGTTCAACAAGGCGGCGAAGCGTGCCGACGAGTTTGGCATTCCCGGCGTCACCTACTCGCTCACCCAGGGCACCATCAAGAATATCATCCCAGCCATTGCCTCGACAAACGCCATCATCGCCGCCGCCTGCTGTAACGAGGCCTTCAAGCTCGCGACGAGCTCGGTGCAGTGCCTCGGCTTCGAGAACAACTACATGATGTACTCGGGCAACGACAGCATCTACACCTACACGTTCAACCACCAGAAGAAGCCAGACTGTCCCGTGTGCAGCGACCAGAGTCGTCCCTTGGACGTCGACCCCAAGTCCACGCTGCAGGAGCTCCTCGACTCGCTCGCCATACGCCCAGAGGCACAGCTCAGGACGCCCTCGATACGCGCCGAGGGCAAGTCGCTGTACATGCGAGCGCCGCCCCAGCTGGAGGAGCAGACGAGGCCGAACCTGACAAAGACCCTGCTAGAGCTGGGCCTGGCGGATGGGCAGTACGTGAATGTGACGGACAAGGCGTTCAACACGCAGTTTGACTTTACGCTGGTCTTTAAATGACATGGACGTGTAGAGAGGCAAGTACAGAAGTCAAGGTGTTATCATGGTATCATTTTATTGCCCTCTCTAGTACCCAGAAACCAAAGCGCATGGCTGAGACAAAAATACAAGACGTAAAAAACTCCGGCCAGTGTTGTACAGCAGATTGTATAGTGCACGCATTTATTTTAGGCTGGCTAGCCTCACCGCACCATGTCCATGACCTGCTGCTCCAGCTTCTTGCACTTGAGCTTCATGTGCTTGACCGACTCCATAAACAGCTCGTCGCTGTCCCACTGGCCCGAGCTCTCAATGGAGAAGATGAAGTGATCCCGGCGCCGCCCGAGCTTGACCTTGCCCTCAAACTCGGCGTGCCGAAGACACTCCCTGCTGACTGTGTCGCGCATGGGGTCGGCGACGACGGCCTTGATCTCGCCGGCGTGGCCCTCGTAGCCGCTGCCCTGCTGGGCGGCCTCCGTCGTGGAGACCTTGTCGAGCGCAATGACGCCATCGGGGAAGCACTTTTGGAACTTTTCGGCATCGGCGCCCAGGATGGGGCGGGTGATCTTGATGATGGGCATGAGGCGGTAGGAGGCGGTGGCGACGGGGGAGAACTTGGCGTGGTCGGCGCCGATGCCCTTGTGCATGTGCATGGTCAGGCTGATCTGCTGGCCGGGCCGCATCTTGGCGATGAGAATGTCCGGGTGGACGGGGGCGATGGCGTCGTCGCCTGCAAAGTACTGGTCCTGAGCGCCGGTGGGGTGGAAGACAATGTCGCGGGCGTAGACGTGGGCGTTGTGGTAGGCCTTGCGGGGGTCGTCCTCGCGCGGGTCGGCGTCCTCGTTGAGGGTGCACTTGACGTCGAGCTCGAGCGAGACAGTGTTCCAGTCGAACGAGTTTGTGTACGGGTCCTCCCCGGGCTCGGGCTTCTTGTGCCACTTGAGGAAGTTGTGCAGCCCTTCCTTGCCGCCCTTGAAGGGGATCAGGCCCAGGCGGTGGGCGAGGACCTCGTCCTGGACGACAGAGGTGTTGTTCTCGATGAAGACGTTCTCGACGGCGAGCGTGGGAATCTCGGAGATGAGAACGCGGCGGAAGGCGTTGGAGAGGGAGGCGTCGATGCCCATGAGCGAGAAGGAGGCGTGGAAGGGGTCGTTCTGGTGGAAGTCGACGCTGAAGCCATCGCGGAACCGATTGAGAGAGAAGGCCTCATCCTCGCCAGGGACGTGGCCTGGGAAGTCGACCGACGTGTTGTGCGTCACGGTCTCCTTGTGGATGCCCACGGTCTGTCCTGGGTCAGCAGCCATTGACGGCGATCGCAGCGCCTCGGGGGAAGGGGAATCTAACATTGCGCTTCTCCAGCTCCTCGGCGTCTGGCGCGTTCGTCCAGCTGGCCTTCTTTGACGGCGCCATGATGCGTGTTGAGCTGGGTGATGATCAATGTGTTGGAAGGGGTCGGGAAATTTTTCGATGCCCCTCCAAATCCGGTCGGACAAGCGGCAACTTTTTTGGAGGCCGGTCAGTCGGGGGGTCCATCTCCGTCTCACCGAGAAGTTGGAATCCACCCTCAGACTCTCCAACAACGTGTGTTTGTCAAGGTAGTTACTGTCGCAGAGTAGTCGCTTGAGACGGTGACAGAGTTAATCGCACGAATAGCCGCTTTGGCCAGATACACAGTAATACCTACACACATCTCGACTACACAATCCGCTATCCATATTCCCATCCCCTGCTCGAGACCTTCCTAATCAATGTCCTCCGTGTTCCAGACCTGCACGCCTTTCTTCTCCACGTGGTCCTTCAGCATACCCAACACGGCCTGCCTCTTGGCCCGCTTATCCATCAGCGCCTTCTTCTCCTCCGCGCTGAACCCGCTGAGCTTCTTGCGCGGCGTCGACGACCGAGCCGGGCTGCCCCCCATCGAGCCAACGCTGGCAGAGAAGCTGTGCCGGAAGCTTCGTGACGGCGTCACCGGATCCGGCGAGAACATGACGCTCTTCCTAGGCTGCGGCGTCGCCGTCGGTGTCGCATCGCGCCCCGCGGACGACAGACGCATCTTGCGCAGCTGCGTCTCCAGTACATCCACGTCGCCGCTGCGTCTCTCCGCCATGGCCGTCATCTTCGCAATCGTCCGCATGACCGCCTCCACCGTGGGCATGTTGCCAGTCCGTTTTCCTGACGCGCCAGAAGCGGACGCCAGCCGTGTCCTCAAGATCGACAGAGCACTCTCGGCTTCAGCCAACAGCTTGGAGAACTCCTTCAGAATCCGTCGAAGCTCGTTCTGCTGTGCGGCTTGCTCGGCCGTGAGCGGCAAGGCCAGTGTGGCCTCGGTCTCGTCAGCGCTCGTTCTGGCCGCCTTGATCTTATCGAGATCGGCGCATTTCGCCTTGACCCGATGGATTTCCCGTGCGAGATGCTGGCACGCTTCCAGCTTGGCATCCAGTCCAGTCACGCGGCCTTGTTGCAGATCATGACGCATATCATTGTCCAAGATCCGGCCGAGCTCGTCCACCTCACAGAGTACCCAGTCTTCAGCAATCTCAAGGTCCTCCTTGTTGCGCCCGTTCTCAAGCCGGTTGTCCACGTGTCCCTTGATGAATTCCTTGACCGAACGCGAGTTCAGCCCGACTGTGTCGATCATCGAGTTGATGTCGCGGTATACGGCTTCCACCTGGGCTGGTATACTATCCTGTGCCGGTGGCGCCGTGTTGACATGGGCCACAAACTCGTCCAGAACTAGCTTGCCCTGTAGCTCGGATGACAGTAGTGCCTTGACCTGCTCATCGTCTTCGTCAACCAGCGGCTGGGCTTCTTCTTTCTCACGTCGCTCTCTGGCCAGCCTGTGCCTCCTGGCAACAGGGTCCTCCATTGGTTGCTCGCGCTCGCCACCAGTCGCCTGTTGGTGCGCAGGTTGTGCACCTCTGGGCTTGATCATTTGCGAGGCCATCCCCGGTGCACTCACCGATCGGTTCTGCTCAGGGCGCAGCAAGCGGTTTGGTACTGCCGCCCGCACGGGGCTGGGCGACCTGGGGCTACTCTCTTGGGGCCGAGGGAAAATCGGCGTGTTTTGACCAAGCTGGCCAAATAAGGATGCCTTGGGACGCTGTTGACTGGGCTGGGCAGTCGCTGGGGTGGTAGACCCCACATCCTCCTGGAACGAGCCTTGAGGGGTGTAGGTTGCATGAAGCCCACTGCTCTCGGGGCTCAGATCCTTCGCAACATCGACTCCGCTGCCTTCAGACGTGATGTTGTCATCTTCTCCCTCACCCTCAGCGTCTTCATCCGTTACCTCACCTGTCTCATCCTCGCCCTCCTCTTCGCCCTCCTCTTCGCCCTCCTCTTCGCCCTCTTCCTCATCTCCCACTTCTCCATTCTCGTCTTCTTCTTCTTCGTCCCCATCGCCGCCATCGTCGTCCGAGCCATCATCGTCCAGGTTGCTCTCCTCTTCGTCCGAATCCGGCCCATCCACGGGTGCTTGCAAGTACTTTGCAAAGGGGTTGTTGGGATCCGAGGCGTTGCTCGCCTTCCCTTGATCGAAGACGGAGACAGGCGTCTTTGCTGCCTTGGGCGCCTCGAAAGGGTTTACCGGTTTGGTGAAATCCGGTGGTAGAGGAGCGTCATCGAGCCTGCTCTGACTCTGTCTCTCCTTTCGTGCCTCGCCCTCCGACTTTGGCTGGCTTTTCGGCTTAGATGGCGCAAAGTCGGGTGGCAGTGGCGCATGTTCCGCCTTAGCAGTCTCATTGCTGGGCTCAGCGCTGGTCTTTGCTGCAGTCGATGCTGCCGAGGACGCCGAGGAGTCTCCCACTGGATAGTTTGGTTTGCTCGTAGGGTCTGGTGGCAATGGAGGCTCGGCCTCTTGAGGCCGAGGCGCTGTCTTCTGTGGGCTGAATGGGTTTAGTCTAGACGATTGCGAGGGACCACTCTTAGTCCCGAAGAGGCTCTTGCCAGTATCGGGGGCCGGTGTAGGTTGGCCGAACAAGGAAGACCCAGGGGCTGGCGAGCTTCCAGCGGTCCCCGAGCCACCTAGTCGAAAGGCTCCTGGTGTGTTCTGCGGTGTGGTCGACTCGGGGCTTTGCTGCGAGCCAAGTACATTCTGGCGAGAAGTGGGCTGCGGGGTTTGCTCTTCCGATGGCTCGTCGTCCATCTCACTGTCCTTGGCCGGTGTCGCTGGGGTCTTGCTCGCCGAGTCAAGAGCCGCCCCAAATCCGTTGCCAAACATGCTTCCACCAGAGTCTGTGCTTGGCTTGTGCGTCTCGTTTTCGGCTGACGCATCTGGCTTGAAGGAGCTCTTCAGTTCGAATTTTTGCGAGCCGAAAGGTGACTTAGTTGAATCAACAGACGGGGCAAATGGATTGGGCTTTGTTGAGCTTCCGGTCCCAAAGACGCTCGGTTGCTGGCTGGCCCCTGCTGACCCGAATGGGCTCGCATTGGCGCCACTTCCAAAATTACTCGACTTGGGTTGGCTCGGTGCACCAAAAACACTTGGCTTGTTTTCGGTGCTTGTTGAACCAAAAGGACTGCCGCTGGACTGAGCAGGCACACCAAAGGCACTCGGCTGGGAACTGCCACCTAGCACGCTAGAGCCTCCGGTGTTCGCTGCCAAAGAGCCAAAGCCACCTTTGCTCGCGAATCCGGAGAAACCCCCGGATTCCTGTTGGGTTGACGAGCCTCCCGCGGCGGCAGCGAAAGGGCTACCCCCTGGGCTTTTCGACCCGAGGCTAGAGAAACCGGTCTGGCCAAAGGCAGGTGCAGCGCTACTGCCATTCGCCCAAGGTGAGCTTCTGATGCCAACCTGCGACGACTGGCCAAATGTACTCGGCTTGCCGAAAGCAGGCCCCGAGGGAGATGTAGCACCGCCGAATCCTGACTGGCCAAAGGCTGCGCCGCCTGTCTGGGGAGAGGCGCCTGAAGTCCCGGCACTACCCCATAATGATGGCTTTGCGCCTAGCTGCGACGAAGAACCAAAGGATGGAGCGGCTGGGGCTGATGGTTGCCCGAAGGCAGAGCCTCCTGCGCTTCCGAGAGGAGCACTAGTTGTCGTGGAGGTTGGAGCTGCGTTGAGGGCCATTCCACTTGCTGCACTATCTGCCGCTGCCAAATGGGGGTATTCGATGCCCTTTTTCACAGCGTCGTTGTAGACGCACCACCATGAGCACAGCAGACCTTCGTGTGTGAGAGCCCAAAGACCAGGGAGAGGAGTAGCAGATTCGTTCAACTCCTCGTCTGCAGGAATTGGGCGGTAGACCTTTTCCTTGCTTGACAAATCCAGCGCGATACCAACAGGAACGGAGTCATCCATCGAGTCAGTCATCGGCAACGTGGGCCTTGAGGTGTCCTCGAGCATTTCGGTGGTTGTGAAGACACCCGTGATAGTATCAGCGGGTTGATCTGAGGCAAGTGGCTTTTTTGATCTGCTGAGAACCCCAATGTCGGGGTTGGCTGTGGATGCAATAACGAGAAGATCTTGTAGATCGGGGGGGAAGTCGCGCAAGCGCAAGAGCGCGTGGTGAGGTGGCTTCTCCGCGTTGAATGGCTCTACAGGATCCGAGATTCTCTGGAAGCCAAATTTGGACGGAGGTTCGCGGGTGATGATGTTGTACACCGAGTTCGGGGAGGTACCGTTGCTGGAATATATAGCAAGCCACAAGTGGTTCTCCAACCAGAAAAGCGAGGACACTGCAATAGTTAGCCGGCCATTGGCTTGGTACTTTGATGATAGAAATTACCGTAATGGTTGTCTGCGTTAGGCGGCCTGGGGATCTCAGCCTTGCTCTCCCCTTCTGGAGTTAACTGGCGAATGGTCCCGTCTGAGAGTCCGGCACAGAGTTGTTTGCCCTTCGCGCTCCATCCCGCACAGCTGACTTGGGACAGCAAAGGATTGCTTAACGCGCGCTCTTTCAGGTTCGCCATGCACAGGTTGCCATTCGTTGTCACCGCCGCACATAGCTCTGCCTTCTCAGCTGTAGGGTTGGGTATTAGGCCGCGCAGCGACTCCCCGTTTGTCGGAAGTTCGAATGCCGAACTTGTGTTTCCAGACAAGAGACTTTGCACCTCGTATACTGCAAGACCGCCCCCGGCCTCTGCGGAGAGGATCAGGTAGTTCTCGTCGGCCGTAAACGCGAGATGCGAGACACGCATGGGCATCTGAAGCTTGAGCTCGGGCTCGAAGCTGCGCACTTCAAAGTCACCATCCTTGGGACTATCGAACGCCTTGCGGACCTTGTCGGTTGTCGCTATCGTGATGTAATCTGGGCCAGCGGCGGCTACGAGGCCCCTTCCGGATGCAACACTGAGGAGGCTAGCAGTCGGCTCGGGCAGCTTCGTCCACGCTGAGGTCAGGCGAACCTTGGCTTCACCGTTGATGGATCTGAAGCCAATTTCCTACAGCGTCCATGTCAGTGGCCACGTGCCGTAGCATCTTAAAGGTGAAACTCACATCTGTCTGTATGGTTTGCAAGTCAGGTCCAACGGCCTGCGACCCAGCGGCAGCGCCCACACCGAACCCAGCAGAGGCCATGTTACGCGCCTTTATCGAAGTAGCATATGGGGTTGCTGTATATCGATTCTGATTTTGCTATTGTGCCTTTGACTTTCGGATCTCGGGTGCGCTGGGTCGTCGGGCGCGTCTACCGAAGCTTGTCCAGGCCTGCGTTTCGTGCAGGCGGGAGATGTAGGTTGGGCAAGACAGTCAATTCTCGTCGCAATGCGCTGGTGAGGGAGCGGGTCGGCTGGATGACTGTGCTTTCTTGTGTTGATGAGGCAGGCTGATAGTTGCAAGTTGTTGCCTGTATCGAGGTCCAGCCACTCGTCTTGGCGGCAGCTGCAGGTGCGATTGAACTTTTTTGAACCTGGAGCTTGGAGCCTTCGAGCGATCGCGCCTACCCGCAGGGAACGTGTATCTTGACTAACCTATTGTTGACCCAGTCACGCACGGGCTCCACCACTTGTCATCATCATTGAACTGGAAGAACGTAGCAACAGCCTACAGGTGGTACATTGGCTGGCCAAACATATATGATAATCTCACGAGCCGTGGAATCAAACTATTACCTTCTAAGTCTACAAAACTTCCCTTCAATCACGCTCTCTTGCCATTCAGGTCTATCCAGTGGCAGTAGGCGCATTCCCTGAATCCGAAGATCTGCCGGCTAGACGACCGGACGGCCTGCAACGGCAAGTCGAGGTCCCCTGGCGACAGGGGTTTGTGTCTCCAAGCTGGTGTCCAGCCGACAGGGTCTCCGTTTCTGCGACGGTGGCCTCAACTTCGACAGCTTTCCTTTTCTTTGTTGTCTCCGTTCATTTCCGTGTGGCTGCTCTTCCGCGACTTTGCAGGAGGCAGTTGACAACAACACATCCATTCCAATTGACAATTGCCAATTGCCCTGCTTTCTCGTGACGACTAAGCGCGCGCAGTTCAGGCAACTCGCCCGGTCCTTGGTCTCGCGGCCCCAGCGTACTCCAACATGCCTCCCCGATCCAGATTCACAAGGCTTGATGCCTTCACCAAGACGGTCGATGAAGCTCGCGTGCGAACCACTAGCGGAGGTATAGTGACAATTGTGTCACTGCTGGTGGTGTTGATACTGGCGTGGGGCGAATGGGCAGACTACAGGAAGACGGTGATACATCCCGAGCTGATCGTGGACAAGGGCAGAGGTAAGAATTAGCCCCTGGCCGACATGGCCCGACTTGAGCCTCACTGATGACTTGCAAGGCGAACGAATGGAGATCCATCTCAACATGACATTTCCCAAGATGCCATGCGAACTGCTGACCTTGGACGTGATGGATGTGTCGGGCGAACAACAACATGGCGTCAGGCATGGAATCAACAAAGTCCGCCTCCAACCTCTGTCAAAGGGCGGGAAGGTCATCGACGTCAAGACCCTCAATCTTCACGATGATTCGGCTCTTCATCTGGATCCCGAGTACTGTGGCGACTGCTACGGAGCACCTAGCCCCTCGAACGCCATCAAGCCAGGCTGCTGCAACACTTGCGACGAGGTTAGGGAGGCCTACGCGCAGGCTTCATGGGCTTTTGGTCGGGGCGAGAATGTCGAGCAGTGCGAGCGTGAACATTATTCTGAGAAGCTGGACGAACAGCGTGCTGAAGGCTGCCGTATCGAGGGTAGTCTTCAGGTGAACAAGGTCGTTGGTAACTTCCACCTGGCCCCGGGCCGTAGTTTCAGCAACGGCAACACGCACGTGCACGATCTCAAAAACTACGTCGAAACGCCCAAGGGTCAATCGCACGATTTCACCCACATCATTCACTCACTGCGTTTCGGGCCCCAGCTGCCCGAATCCATTGCCCAGAAGATTGGCGGCAAGGACGTCTTTGGAAACAACCATCACACCAACCCGCTTGACGGCACTCGACAGGACACTAGGGATCCAAACTACAACTTCATGTATTTCCTGAAGATCGTTCCGACGTCCTTCCTACCTCTGGGCTGGGAAAGGAAGGTCCAGAAGATGACGAGCTATCTCAGTCAGAACGCTGAACTTGGCATGCTGGGCACTGCTGCAGACGGCAGCCTTGAGACCCATCAGTATTCTGTGACTAGCCATAAGAGGAGCTTGTCTGGTGGCGATGACTCTGCGGAAGGCCACGCCGAACGCCTGCACTCGCGAGGCGGCATTCCGGGCGTCTTCTTTTCATATGTGAGTGAATTTCACACCGCACATGGGTGGCCATTGCTAATACTGTCAGGATATCTCACCCATGAAAGTCATCAACCGCGAGGAGCAGAACAAGACCTTCCTCGGGTTTCTTGCAGGACTTTGCGCTATCGTCGGCGGCACCTTGACTGTAGCTGCGGCCGTGGACCGCGGTCTTTTTGAAGGAGCGACGAGACTCAAGAAGATGAGGTCGAAGGACTTGTAAATACCAGTCTGGGTATGGGGAGCTATCCAGGGGTGTATCTACTGTGTGTATGGCTTGAGGATTTACTATTGACTTGGTGCATGGTTTCAGGCGTTAGGTATAAAACCGGGCATGGGCATTTGGGGAGCGAAGAAGATGAAAACAGCAAGATCTCGACATACTCGTTCGGGAGTGACACTGACGAAACACTGTGCAAGTTGCCTCCATTTCCTGTAGGATTCTTTGCGTTGGCCACGAATACTATGTCTCGTTCGCGGATCACCTCACTTGTTGCACAAGGGGCGAGCTGTTATCTCAACCTCACATGAACCTTATGCGTGTCTCTCAGCTTTGGGTTCTGCTGACGACCTCGGCCATAGCCTGTCCATGCCAACAGGCCCATTGGACTTGCAAATAGTATTCTTACTAGGCAAGAAAATGACCCGGGTGGTTGGCGTCTGATATCATCCAGCTGTTGCGTACGCCGTACAACGATCCAGTGCCGGTAGTGCTTACCCCTGAATAAGGCAACGATTGATACCCCGCCAGCGGTTGACGTCTCGCCGTTATGCCCGGTCAATCACAAGCTGTAGCGAGGTAATTGCAACGCGCGAGTATTTACTCACTACAAGTACCTGATCCCACGATTCTAGACTCCGGTGGCTATTGGTTATTATTAATAACCGTAAGTATGCTTCATGCTGAAATTAAGCCACCGTTCGGTACTTTATCCGTATAATTGTGGCGGCCAGACAGACCCGCTACGAGCAAGCCTCCGCTAGCTTGCAGGTCAGCTGCTCGTGTTGAAAATGACCCCACGGTCACTAGGCACCCAAGAGCGACTTGCGAGAAGTGCTCATTTGCAGGAAATATGCTTTGCTTTTAATGAGGATGCATGGTGCAAGGATACAGTATGTAATGACCAAGATTGGTTCAGTACGACTGGCTGTAGGCGATTTCCTTTGCTGGTGTGACTGGCCCCATGCACCCCAGACAAAAGGCTGACGCTGTCAGTGACGAGCGAAAAGTCCCTGAAGGCGTCGACTGGCTGATAAGGGTGTAGAGCGCAAAATAAGCGAGCTGATAAGCCCGCTGATTGCAGCGACCTGTTGCACTCTAATATAGTCATCACTGCGCCACAGTAGCCGGAACCGCCACTAACGCACGGGGCTGGGTCTGGATCAAACACCGTCGCAAGTCCGTGACTGACGGCTAGCCAGCGGTTCGCGAGGGCTATTCCATTTCAACAACGACGCCCGACCTTCCCTCTAAAGTGATTGAGTATTCGTTACCCGTATATCGCCTCACACGATCGCCAACCGACCCCTCGACACTCTTTTCGTGAGCAAATACGACGTCAGGACCTTCGGTCCTTGCTCGACCTAGCGCCAGATCAGAACAGTCCTTCTGGTCTCTGTTGGCTTGGAGACTGCGCCTCTCCTGCGGAAGTCTATCTATAGCCTGCGCCCCACGCTACATGGTGATTGCTTAGACGAGAAGACAACGGACCAGATCTTGAGGGGATCGAACGAACGGACGACTTCCCAGCGACCAAGAAAAACAGGAGCAGCCGCCAGAGCCTGGTGAACATCGTTTGGCCGTCTGCCACGTGAGGTCCTAGGATCGAGCGAAGACTGGTACACGGCTCAATAGATATATGGCCGAGACTCGTCCAACTCTGAACATCACCCACGCCTCCGCACATCATGTCGCAACCTCACCGTCCTAACCTCCTCGACCTACGTTCGAACTCGCACATATCCAATGCGTCGTCCAGTTCAAAACCGCTGCGCTCGCCGCGCATGCACATCGCTGGCGAAGCACCGCCCGAGCTCTCGCCCCTAGATGCTTTCGCTATGCAAAGTCGCATGCTGGCTAAGCAACTCAAGGCTAGCGAAAAAGAGGGCAACAGGATGAGTCGACTACCGCCATTGACCATGGAGAGTCCTGTGATTGTGCAAGGAAGATCCGATTATTTCCGCTCCTTGTCAAATGAGCCCGAATCCGAGAATGGTCTGTCGCCTGGAGAACTGCACCCCGGCCTGGGCTTGAGGACTGAATACGAGGAAGCCTTTGAAGAAGCGGAAAGACCAAAGTCCATGCATCCGCGTATGAGTCGCGTCCCTCCCACTCCAGACGATGAAACGCCACCGCTACCACAGCAGCACATTCGGAACGCGTCAAGAGGACGGCAGCTTGGTCAGATTGATGAAGACCCCGGTTTCTTTGGTGCACGAAGGGACAGGTCACCATCGCCAATCCAGAGCGATGCGCAGTCGCTCCGTGAGAGGCCATTCGAGCCTCCCCGTCCTCGGAAGGACAGCTCGCTACCACCACCTTCTCCTTTGCAGAATGAGTCCCGACCGGACTCGGAAGAAAGACCGAAGCCAGGGTCCATGGACGAACTTGGCCTGGCACCGCCACGAACTCTGTTTCCCCAGAGGACATCAAGTATCGTGTCGTCGCCCCTTTTACCGCCCGAGGATGAGGTGGCCAGCAACATGTGGGCGTCCACTCACTCTCTCCCACTCCGCAAACTGTCCTCGGGCAGTGCTGCATTCGCGAACACAATGGCATCGCCTGCCCTGGGTCATTTTAAAAGATCGCCATCTGTTGGCTCGGAGTCATCAATTCTGCCTCGCCCATCATTCAACTTCTCGAGACCAATAAGCCGGGCTGACACGCCTAGCTTTGATATACCCTCGCGACAAGCATCTTCTGATAGCCAGCCTTCTTTCATCTTGGCGGACGAATCCGTGCAGACTCCGACCAGCATGCACAGCGAGGCCTTCCTTCAACAGCCCCCGGAAACACCCGGACCTGGCGCCCCTTCGTACATATACTCCAAATTTACGCTCCCTCGAGGAAAGATGGTACAGAGAGATGATGAATCAGAAGACCAGATGGACCACCCAACACAGCAGGGTGTTGTAACGACAGCACCGCCCTCACCTCCTTTACGACCTACCGGTTCATCGGGTCCAGTCGCAGATGACGCCGCAAGCCAGCTCAGCAGCGTGATGAGGCCTTCCATGGACACTAGCCGCGGCAGCAGGAGCATGGAAAATCCTAGACTGCCTGCAGATTACCCGCCTGTCCCACGTAGCCAGCCGTCGCAGGAACTAGCTCGCGTGTCAGAAGATTCGCCCAGAGGTCGGTCCCGCACGTCAGAACTACATGAGCCTTTCCGCGGTCGTGGCGTGACACCCTCATCGCATACTGGAACGAACGACTCGGCCAGTACTGTGCGCCCGCCGCCGACGGCTAGGTCGAACGCGCCGACTGCATCCGAAATGTCTGCCGAGGAGCACCTTGCCAAAGGTGTCGAATGTCACGAGAATGGGTCTTTGCAAGAGTCGACATACCACCTGCGCTATGCTGCCCGCCAGAATAATCCCACAGCAATGTTGCTCTATGCTTTGGCATGTCGACATGGCTGGGGTATGCGTGCAAACCAGAAGGAAGGTGTTTCGTGGCTCCGCAAGGCCGCCGACTACGCCCAAATAGAGATTGCCGACGATGAGGACCAGGCCAAGGGGGGAAAGCACGTTGATGCTGTGGAGAGGAGGACGCGCAAGGCGCAGTTTGCGTTGAGCATATACGAGCTTGGTGTCAGCCACATGAATGGCTGGGGTATCGAACAAGACAAGGCCTTGGGCCTTAGATGTTTCGAGATTGCTGGCAGTGAGTACTACCCTGTATCCCAGCGCTGTCTGCGTAGCTAACACTGCTAAGCGTGGGGTGACGTGGATGCATTGGCAGAAGCTGGCTTCTGCTACGCACAAGGTATTGGTTGCAAAAAGGATCTGAAGAAGAGCGCAAAATTCTACCGCATGGCTGAAGCCAAGGGCATGAGCATGGTCGGGAATAGCTGGTGAGACTCCAACGCTGCTTCTACCAAGCATACGCTTACCTCTGAAACAGGATCCACAAACCCAAGTACATGGAAGATGATTCAAGCAGCACCGCCAAATCACCGAAGAGGGACAAGAAGAAGTCGCGCAGTAAGTCCCGCACTAGGGCAATGTTTGGCTTGAAGTCGTAAGGCTCTGGCGGTTGGTTCTCTGTCAGTGCTGTCCACTTGGAACGCACCTCGAAAAGGCGTTATTGGTGGCCTATACTTCTGCATGGTTATTCGTAGCATCGAGCGTGCGATCTTGCTTCCAAATCTACTTCCCCGTCCCCACGCTATGGGAGCTGGGAACCTAGCCGGTTGGCTCTCTGTTTAGAGATGGCATTTGAGATTTTACTTCCTGCACTGAGTTGCCGCGAAAGGGTATACTCACAATTCAAATGATACCTCCTTTGTCAATAATGTGGCGATTGTCAGGTGGTTTGCATGTCTAGGTCAAATTGGGGCACCGTGATATACCCAGCGTGTGCATAACGTGTGTCGTCAAAGTGGTTTCATTTCATAGTCGCCCGGTCTATGATTACGGAACTGACGTCTTCACCATCACATGCCCGTCGCGATGTCGATGATCACTCATCAAGCGTCTACCTCCATCGTATCCCCTCCCTCGACAGGCACCTCCTGCACGGAAACGTACCGCCCAATATCATCCTTCTTAATGATCTTCTCGTTGAGCACCGCCGTCGTGCCCTTGGGGAAGCGGTAGCTCTGCAACTTGGCGCTCTTCTCGTTGGGCGTGATGTAATTCCTCTTCAGGGTGGTCTTGTCTTTTGTAATAACCGCTACGTCGACGTTTGAACCGGATCCCAGATCGTTCCACACACCTGCCAGAATGGCGTTGCTCGCCAGCTTGATAGCCTCCTCCTCGTTGAGCTCCGGCTTCCACTGGCTCTCAAAGACACTCATGGCTGCCAAGCTACCCGAACCCATTGTGACGTAGGGCAGCTTATCGGTGCTGCCGTGGGCATGGACTGTGAAGAGATGGGTGCCGGTGGGATCGCACCCTGCGACGACGAGGTAGGCGCCGATGTGACCCTGGTAGCGGAACAGGTGCTGCTTGAGCATGGTCATGCAAGTGACGACGCGGGGCTTGCGGCCGGTCGATAGGGCGTGCAGCTCTAGCTGGGAGGAAATGAGGGCAGTCGTGAACTCGGTGTCGGCGGCGGTACCGGCACCCGCGCACCAAATCTGGGGCGCAATGTAATGCAGCTTCTCGCAGTTCTTGTCGGCCACGATGGGACCGGAGGTAGCTCTCGTGTCGGCGGCGATCTGAGACTTGTCAGGCGTCATGGCTCCCTACAAGCACACAATGTTCTTACCACCACACCCCCATCATAGATACATCCCACAATGGTTGTGCCTGTGCTGGTAGCCTTGGGGAGAGGGACTCCCTGGGCGTGGAGCGCAAGGTTCCGGTTGTAGTTAGAGAAGTCGAAGCCGGGCATGGTGGGCTATTGAGGTATCCCACAAGCTTCGAGAATGGGGCCGATCGTCTGGAGGGTTACTTCTCGATATTAATAGTTGGGGAGAATCTCTTCAATGAGGAAGTTATTCCAAGTTGCAGCGTTTGTTCGTGCGGTATGCCAAAGGCGATATGAGGGACGAGCAAGGTGGGATGACGAGGCGAGAGCTGCCTTCCGCTACAAGCTTCCCACACGCTGGTGCGCCACAATTGAGAAGCTCATGCGCCACAAATCCGCCATTAGCCACACGTGATATGGCGCTTCCTGCCGCTAGCTGAACGTGCATCGGAATTGGGACGACGCCTGTCGCAAAGCTTCAACTTGAGAGTCGTCAGTATTTTTGACTCTGTTTTTAAGGTCTTTGTCTATCTACGCAATCCGCTGTGACTCACGTATACAATAACCAATATCTGAAGCTGCACGACGATATAACGCGATAACACCAAAAAAAAAAAAGAGCATCAGTAACTTTGCGATTCGTCAGTCTAAAGCGTCGTCGACAGACGGACGGACAACGCACTCAGCCAAGGCCATCCTTCTGGTGGCCATCGAGGCTTTGAGGGTCACTTCTGCGCCTTCCTGACACCCTGCCGATCAGACAAATAGCATCTCTTCACAATGTCGACACGACCGCCGTCAAGAGTCGTCTTCATTGGGAATATTCCCTACGGTTCGTCCCTCCGCAGCGGACGACGTGATCACGTCAAGCTAACAAAGCGACCGCGCAGGCCTTTCCGAGGAGCAGATCATCGAAATCTTCAAAACAGCAGGACCTGTAGAGAGGTTTCGTTTAGTCTATGATCAGGAGACGGGCAAACCCAAGGGGTTTGGCTTCTTGGACTACCCAGACACAGGTAAGCATTGGCATGCATGGTCGCTCTGGCTGCACGTTGGGCTTTCGTTCCTGCGCTGACTGACCTGTCCAGACCATGCTTCCTCAGCAGTACGAAATTTGAACGACTACGAAATCATGGGGCGCCGACTTCGAGTGGATTTTAGCAACGAGCAAAAGGCAGGCGATGACGATAGGGACCAAGCATCGTTCGGCAATGCTGCGAGTGGGAACAATGCGGCTTCGTACGCAATTCAGACGGGTAGCATACCACCATTGCCTGCGGGCAAGGAGCTTCTACCGGGCGTCAAATGTACCGATGCCATCTCGCAGACTCTCAACACCCTGCCTCCGGCGCAAGTGCTCGATGTCATCTCCCAGATGAAGGCGCTGGCCACCAACGAGCCGCAACGGGCCATTGAGCTTCTGCAACAAGCACCCCAGCTCGCTGCGACCGTCTTCCAGGCGCTACTTCTCATGGGTCTCGTGTCTCCAGAGGCGATTTCCTCCGTCGTGGACGCCGGCGCGCCCCCAGCTGCCCCGGCCCCCAACCCTGTCTACCCAGGGTATCCTCCTCCGCAAGCGACACAGACACCACCTGTCGCGGGTATGCCTTACCCGCCGCCACCGCACCAAGGCTACGGCGCGACACCTGTCCCCGCGCCTGCGCCGGCAGCTGCACCTCCCGCGGCCGCTCTTCCTAATCAAGATGAGCTGATGCGGCAAGTCATGGCGCTGCCTGACGACCAGATCGCGCTTCTCTCTGAGACGGACAGGCAGCAGATCCTGGCGTTGAGAGCGCAATTTGCTGGGGTTGGCCGCTAATGAATCGCCACACAGGGAGCGATGTGGGAAGGGTGATGCAAGGGCTATGATAATAGGAGAACACACGCTGAATTGGCCAAACCAAGGATCGATCCATGCAAAGACGCGATAGCCCGCGTACATTGACCACTACGTTGATGCTTCGAAAAGGCACACGCCAAAGTAAGCTAGCAAGTTCGAGGTCAGGCGTTTGGGCGCATCATCGGATAAATCATAACATAGGGACCAGTGGTCACCGCAAGATACTCACTGAATAATTTAAAAGCAGTCACAAAGCCACCAATGATATTTCCGCTTGTGTTGATGTGTGGTCCCATTGCATTATTACTTTTTCTTCGCTGAATCCAAAGTAAAGCGCTGTAGGAGATGAGTGTGAAAGCATAGATCCAAGCGCGCCGTGTCTAGCTTCTGTTCCGTTGTACCGTATATGCGTAGAGAGTAAATATCCATCCTGAAGTGCGAGGTGACCTATCCTCTATACAATCTTATACACCCGCTTGGCTATCATATAGCAAGCTAGACCAAAAAGAATGAGGCCTGCTGTGATACAGACGAACCATGTAAGATCACCTTCGTATTCCTGGCCAGGCACCCATACGTTCATGCCCCACAGACCGGTGATGATGTTCATGGGCAGCACAATGGTACCCAAGACGGTCAGCTTGCCGAGGACGTCGGCTGTCTGTTCTTGGCGCTCGTTCATGCGGATGTTAATCTGCGCGAGGTAGTTGCCGTGCGAACGAGCGAGGATTCTGCATCATCGTTAGCGTGCCATCTTCGAAATGGACAGAAAGGTCTTAACTTACTTCTCATAGTGGCCCAGATTGGATGTCATGGTGACGATATGATCCTGGATGTCGCCCAGATACAGCCCAATCTCGGAACGAGGGGCGACCTCCCAACGCTCGTTGCAGCGCTTGGCGAAGCCCTTGATGACATCCGCCTTGTTGCCCAGCAAGCGATACAAGCTCATGACCCTCTTTCTGCAATCACCCACGCGCCTCAGCATATCTCCCGTCGACTCGGCTACGGTCGTCATTTCGTCGTTGGTTTTCGAGGGATTTGCGTCCTTCATCCTCCTCTCTGCCACTGAGTGGAGGCGCAGGATCCCGTCATCGATCTCGTCTACTTCATCTTCGATATTCTGTATCAGGGGCTGGAAGACGTCGGTGATGTCGTCAATAATGGCGTACGAAATCCAATCAGACGACAAGATGAGGTAGTCGCGTAGCTGCCGGATGCGTCGTCTGACGTTGGCTGGGTGTGGTGTCACCGAGAAATGAAAGCTCAGGACACCCTCCCGGAACACGACAACGTACATGTTGACAGGCTCCAGGTAGTTCTGGCTGTTGAGATCCTGGTCAAAGGTGCGATAGTTGACAAAGTAATAATTGCGGAAGAGCTCAACCTTCTCGCGTGCTTCTTGCAACATGATATCCTCGGCCGTCAGGGGATGTATACCGAATGCTTTGGCAATGACTTTCATCTCAGCCTCCGTGGGGCAAAGGATGTCGAGCCACCAAATCGGGCGGTCCCCATAGCGGACATTCTTGGCTCTAGGTTTGCTCCCGTTGGATGGTACTGGTTTAGGTATGCCGGTTTCTGGGACTTTAGGGCCCGTGGGGGTTTGTTCACCCGAGCTCTTCCCCGTGACCGTTTCTTGAGGCTGCTGCTTTGGTGATAAAGTCCCCTCGCGTTTCGACTCGGCGAAGGACGCTGTACGAGTCGACCCCTTATTTTCGCTGTCGGTACCAGCCGCCGGCCTGTACGCTCGTGCAGGAACCTCGTCGCCACTTTCGCTCTCGTCATCACTAAGGACTCTGGGTTCTGGGATGAATAGTTCCGCAAAGCTTCCGCCAGGCTGCACTAGTTCAGAGATGGTCTGGCTGTGAATCGTGCTCTGGAACTCCTCATTGAAGTAGGTGAACCTGAATGGGACGTCCTCTTCTGTTTCGAACCACCCCTTTCTGACAGGACGGAGCCGTCCGTTGATGAGCTGCGGTTCCGTGATTGTTTTGACCCGTCGTTCCTCGCTGCGGTCCTCTTTTTCCATGTGCTTCCACTCCTCCAAGATCGAGAGGTCTGGCCACTGACCGCGCCTCCTTCGAGGTCTCTGCGCTTGTTCCTCGGCGGTGTCTTGCCTTTCGTCGCCCATCTCAGACATATCCGGTCCTGGGTAGCACACATCATCCTTCCCAAGTCGCTGATCCGGCCTATTGTCGCGCACAGCACCGCCGAGCACGGACAATTCATCGTCTTCGTCTTCGTCCTCGTCATCGACTTTGCCTCCCCGTGGCGCGCGGGAGTGTCGTGGACTGGCATCGCGCAGATCGAGCTCGTCCCTGATCATGACGTCGCCCAATGTCATCTCCATCCGGTCCACGCCGCTGAAAGTTGGCGACCCAGGCACGGACGGCGGGTTATTGATGTCATATCTCTCCTTCGCCCCGAACGCTGTCGCCGCACGTCGCGTATTGGATGATACACTCGAGTTGCCGTGGCTCTTGGGTCTACCGCCTCTCGATTCGCCAGCTCCATAGCTTGAAGGACCCGTTTGTGATCTGGCAGACTGGCTGAGCAGTGGCGCGCGCTCATCGTTGGAGAAATAGTCACCGGTCTCCTCGCCTGCCCCTGCAGCCTGCGACGTTCGAAGTCGAGTACCCGGCGCGTTCGCAGTGAATGGTGACAGCAAGGGCCCAGAGGCACCGCCAATTGTGGAGCTTCGTCGCGCACGCATCGGCTGGTGTTCTCTGCGCATCTGATTAGACACTAACTGGGAAAGCTGAAGAAACAGGTCGCGTACCTATGATCTAAGAGAGCTTCACTATCAAAGCTTGCATCGCTGAGGGTGGCGGATGGTATCTTGTAGAGTGGCTGCCGTGAGGGACCACTCGCCTCGCTCTGGTTCTCGTCATCGTCTATGATGGCGAAGCTCTTCCTGCGCTGCCGCTTCTTTTTGCCCCCACGATGGTTCTTTCGTTTTTTCGGAGGCTTAGCCTGTGTGTCTTGCGATGCCTGACCTGCTGTGTTTGGAGCTGATGCTGGCTGCTGCGGCGCATGTGATTGCGCCTGCGATGCACCAGACCTCTCCGCGACGAGCGACTTGGCGAGCCCACTGAGTGGATTGAACCGATTGGGACCCTCGTTGCCAGCCATTGTAGATGTAATACGGTTGACCGTCTTCAATGACAAAGGGACAAAAAAAAAGAAATGCTCTATGATGGGTGACCAAGTGAGGATGGACCCAGACGGGACCGCTATGGCTGAGCCTTTCCTGGTAGAGCCGGACTGCGCCTTTGGGTGCAAGATTTATCAGAGGCTCGCTGGTTTCAGTGATGTCACTCATTAACAATCGCGTGGGATAAGCCAACACGCACTAACCACAACTTAATACCTGATATTGTCATCTCAAACTTTGCTCGCTATTTTGCCTTTACCATGTCGAATCAATTGACGGATGATCAAGTTGTCTCACCAAGGGATCATTACACACAGGTTGCTCATGTTTTTCGTTTCGTCTGGCTTGGTGCCTGCCAATCCAGAGTACGTATGCGTACTCATCTCGATATCTCGATGCAAACCGTGGGCACTGGTCCATCCTCCACTAGCGCTATCAGATCGGGTCGAGAGTCGAGACATGGTGTCTTAGCTGATCTATATCCCCCCCCTGTAGGGTAACATGCGAATAACGTACGCGTAATTGTCCAGGCATGTACTCTTTGTATATGACGGGAACTCTACTGGCTTTCCCCATGACAATTGAACGTGACTATTTGTCTGAAGTAGTTCTGCTAGCATTGCCTAAGCACTTACTTACATAGTTGCCCACCGCCAACGACCAAGCTCGCGTGACCCTTTTCCTCTTTAGGCCTTGCCCGCCCCGAGTACTACGTAGTAGGTACTTATGCTGTACGTACATGTATGGCATTCACTCAACAGCACACTTTACTCGCGCTGGTGATCCCATGAGCGATGCTGAGGTGGACAGTTATGGATTCCATCTACCTAGCTGCACTCAACGTATCTTGCTGTTGCGTAATGTCAAGCGAACACGGCCTCATAGGCTGAGGATGTAGCAAATGCGAGAACGCTGCGAGCCTAAGTTTAAGCCGCCTGTAGGATTAGGGTATATGAGTCTATGAAAAGTCCCACAACTTCGCAACCAGGCTATTAGGGTTGACTGCCGGCTCATCCTGAGGAAGAAACACTCGTTTGGGGATGTGGAACTCGACCGCGGGTGTTTTCCTCAATTCCTTGCTTAATTCGGCGTCGAGGAGCTGTTACATGTCAGTACAAGAGTATCAAGACGCCTGAGGAAATTCTCGCGAGACTTACAGTAGCATAAGAATGGTCGAGGAAGTCCTCAATGTTGTAACTTTGCTTAGTGAATTGCTCCGACAAAATCTTCGCAATCGTCGACACGTTGGGGTGGTAGTGGGACTGCAGTTGCGTGACCTCCCAGAGCGAGCTCTCGATTGCATCTGTTTGCATCGGGTCCGTCTCGTTGGGGTCAAAGGGGTCGTCCATACCATTCTGCCGCAGGTCCTTCTTCACGTCCGGATCCCTGATTTCCCGGTGAAGCATGGCAGTGCAAGTCGGGTGCTCCCGCATCTGATTGTAGATCCAGGGTATGACAAAAACGATGGCTGATGGAGGCGCATTGAGCGAGAGTCGACAAAGTCGCTTGATGAAGCTCGCAACCAACGCTGCTGGCAGATGGGTCGATAAGAGGAAGGTGTTGAGTAGGCGGAAAAAGGGGGCTCGATGTTTCGAGTGTAGAATCTCGTTGTCAAGAAGTGAGTAAAGCTTGTGATAGAACAACGGGTAATCCAAGTTTCGTTCTTGGATGAGGTAAAAGACACCAGACAGCGCTAGCAGCGACATGGAACCTCCGGCATCATACGAGTTGGTGAGAAAATCGGCTAGAAGCTCTGGCTTGGTGAACCAGGGCGCGATGATGGTGGACACAAGCTTCAGCAGTCTCTTGCGCTGCTCCTTGGTCTCCACGATGCTCATCAAGGCAAGCCAGGCCTCTTGCCCTCGTCGCTTGTGCTGCTGGACTGAACGTATGTTATGCGTCTTCTTCTTTGGGCGTGCGATGTACCAATCTTCCAGTTCTTCAGCCGACTCTGGGACACCATCCAGCGCTGAGAGGATTGGGAGGACTGCATCGAACATGTCGGCCTTGTCTTCCTCTCCCACATCCTGGAGGATGGCAGTAATGGAGCTGAAGGTGTGGTATCGAATGTCGTCAAACTGCTCCAGGTACTCCTCTGTGTAAGCCTTGGCGACGTCTTCGTCCTCGCTCTGGAGCACTGTGTGCACAATTTGTCGCAGAAACTCAGTTGGGAAACTGTATTCATCCTTCTCAACCTGCCCTTCCGCTTGTAGCACTCTCATGCACAGTGTAAGAGCCGTCACACCGAGTTCTTCATCATCGAGCAGTGACAGCAACAACGTCTTGAATGACTTGAACTGCTCTCGTAGCCAGTTGACCACGGCGAGCTGCTTGTCAGACAGCGTCCGTTTCGGCACCAGCGCCCCCTGTCCCAAGAGGCGCATAAACACCCGCGAAAGTGCCACAGTAGCCAGCATACTCTCTGGGTTGCCACTCTCATAGTCGCCCATGATACCCAAGAGAACAACAATATCGTTATAGTTCTTCTTAGTTTCGAGAATACCTTTCTCCATGAGCAAGATCTTGGCGTTGAGGTCCTCAGGTCCATCAGTGGCGTCACTTTCTTCCTCAAGTGAAGGGCGACGCTTCTTCTTTGGTGGCTCGCCTGTTGCAGGCTTCGCCTTGGAGGGCCGCTTGGGCCTAGAGTCGATGCCCTCGGACATGCTTCGTTTATCGTCAAGAGCGCTGACGAAAGAATAATATGAGATCGTCCAACGATGGATATATGCTCAAAGACTTTCAAAGATAGTATGAGAGCAGGACTATTGCATTTATGAACGGTCAAGTTTAAGCCCCAATGTCAGGAAATCTTCATCGACATTGAATTCTGAGCCAATCAGGTCGCACCTGCCCAGAGCGACCCTTTTGGCCTCGCTCGCCCCAAGGGCGGTAATAACTCGGCTGCCAGCCACGTGACCCTGCGAACATACCGATCTAGCGCGATAAAACCTCATCCTCAATCACAGCTCCTAAGGCAACGTCAAGCCCGCGATACCCCCATCAAATCTCATCTCACAATGGCCTCTCGATTGGCGCGAAGCGCTGCTGGTACGTCGCCCTCGGTCGCCGCAAGTTTTGCGCGCGCCATTGGCCGCTTCGCCGGTCTGCGGGAGGGACAAAGGACACAACTGACTTTCTCAAAACAGGTGCAGCTCCCCTCCTCCGCCCGACGGTCGCCCGCCAGGCTCTGCCTGCTCTCTCGTCCGCCGCCGCTGCCCAGGCCCGCTATGCCAGCGGCGTCCCTACCGAGGAGCCCAAGAAGAAGGCCCAGTCCATCATCGACTCCCTCCCCGGCAACAGCCTCATCTCCAAGTCGGCCATCCTGTCCTCGCTCGCCGGCATCAGCGCCTACGCCATTAGCAACGAGTACTATGTCATGAACGAGGAGACCATCATCGCCTTCTGCCTCATCTCCGTCTGGGGTGGTCTGATCAAGTACGGCGGTCCCGGCTACAAGGCCTGGGCCGAGTCGCAGAACGAGAAGATAAAGAATATCCTCAACAGCGCGCGTGCCGACCACACCGAGGCCGTCAAGACCCGCATCGAGGACGTCAAGCAGATGGGCGGTGTTGTCGACATCACCAAGTCCCTCTTTGAGGTTTCCAAGGAGACCGCCAAGCTCGAGAACCAGGCCTACGAGCTGGAGCAGAAGACTGCCATTGCCGCCGAGGCCAAGTCTGTCCTCGACTCATGGGTCCGCTATGAGGGCCAGGTCAAGGCCCGCCAGCAGAAGGAGCTCGCTCAGTCTGTCATTGCCAAGGTCCAGAAGGAGCTGGAGAACCCCAAGGTTCTGCAGCAGATCCTCCAGCAGAGTGTTGCCGATGTCGAGAGTAAGTTTTCACTGGACATTTGGTTTTTCGAACTGTGCTAACTATTTACTCTTCCAGAGATCGTTTCTTCCAAGGCCCAATAAACATCCAACCTCTTGTTAGAAGCTAGATCACCTATACCAGACCTTCCCTTTGTTACACCATCCGTCTTGTAATAAAGACCTGTGCCATAGCTCAAACAGCCAAATGATTTTCAATACCCCTTTCTCGCATGTGTGATATTTGTGACCTGCTGCATCTACCCATATATACAAGAGACTCAATTGCGAGTTGCGCGAGCAAGCCTCGCCGTGAGCCTGAGACGACAGCCAAGGCCGATGTCAGGTTCTGACTTAGAGTAACTGGCCTACACGTAGATCAGGAAATGAGCCGTGACATACATTCGTCCATTCCTTGATCATATAACTGTAGACCATGAAAGCCCTCCACCCACACAGAGCATCCCAGCCACGCCCTCTCCTTTGACGCCAGATCCAAAAGTCGTCGACTAATTAAAAGGCACGAGATTGCCCAAGAAGCATGTATAGTGAGAGAACAGGACAGACAAAAGAAAACGAAGTGTAATGAACAGCGAAACACATACACGGCCTAGTAGATAGGCCTTGACTCTTGCCACTTCTTCGAGTCTACAGAGTCAGCCACCGACCCTGGCGTCACTGGATTGGAGTTGGGCAGCAAGGACTGTCGCCCGCTACGCCTTCTCCGAGCACCCTCAATCCCGAGAGGCCCTATCCATTCCCACGCACGGCCAAACTCGCCATTTGCACCCTCGCGTTGACTGGTGCGGACATTGCTGTTCATCTCGACGACAGCCTTCACCTTTTGCCAGATGTGCTCTCGCTCGCGCAAGGAGTGAACAGAGCGAAGCACATCGTCGCGCAGGTTGGGCAAAAACAGCCAGGGATCCTCCTCGTCATCCTCGGCACCAACTTCCTTCTGGCTCAACAGCTTGGTCAAGACGGTCTCGACTAACGCAGGAACCTGCCTGGAAGTTATGACGTGCTTTCTGTATTTTGCTCGCGCGGCCAATGCACCGATGAAGGCCATGACTAAAAGTCCAGCTGCGAGTCGATATCGCTCCACCCCGCGTCGGATGGCCCGCCGGACGGAGCAGCGGAGTGAAACGCGAGCGAGAGAGGTTGACGAGAGCTGGCGGTTTGGAAAGCCGGTGGAATTGGAGGTTCTGCATGGTAGACAGTCGATCTGATTAGTCTCCAGTCAGAAACGGTTAAGTTAAGAGTGGCATGTCTCGGATAGCTGATACAAGACATGATGACGAGAGAATGTACTTACTCGATAGCCTTGGCGGAAACCTCCTCGCGAGCTGTGATCTCACCAATGGCTGCTATCCACAGGTCCTCGAATTCGGCGCTGTTGAGCTTCTTGTTACGCTTGGCGCTCACCGTCTCCTTGAGTTCCTCCTCGTCAATAGACGGCGAGTCTTGCTGGTGCCCGGCGGTATCAACGAGCTCACCGCACTCGAACTTGGCCCGGCGGTCACGCAGTTCCTCAATGGCCTTGTCGGCAACAGCCTTCACACGGCGTGCCTTCTCACCGTCAGGCTCGCACGACGGAGGCAGAGGTACCAGACCGCCGAACGACAGCGGGTGCAGACGCAGAATGAAATCTTGCTCGCAGCGCGTCTCGAAGTTCTCGTAGCAATAGGCGTGCGGCGGGCATTGCTCGCATTGAGGCTCCAGGAAAGGCACTACAGAGTCGGGAATCGGCCAATCCGCGGGTACGATGAACTGTGGCGACCGTCCAAGGTTGCAATAACCCACAGCAATTTTCTCTTGGCGCCACCAGCCGGCGTACACAGATAACAAGGTCACGAGAAGAACGGCTAGGGGCGTTTTTCGGCTGCTTTTTCGAGCCGCACTTCTCGAAGTCTTGCGCGGTGGCATCACTTCACCTTGGCTGGCAGCTGCCTCGAGCTCGAGTTGTGCGTCAGGCGTGAACTCCTCGCCAGGCTCCATGTCGTCGCTATCGTCCTCGGTGTCGTCGAACTCTGGCTGAGGTGTCTGCTGCTGTCTTCTAGTCTTGGACACCGACAGCCCAGCTTGATGGCCTGTGCTGTGGCGCGCTGACTGCGCACTCTTTGCCACCTCAATCGCACTCAAGCGCCGCCTGTAGTTGTTGCGAGGTGTTTTCTGAACGGTGCCAGTGGGAGAAACACCACTCTGGAAGGGGTTATCATCAGAGAAGGGGTTATCGTTGTCGTCCCCTGATTCATCTTTGATAGAGGGTGTTACTGTCCGGCGGCTCATGCGACGGCTGGCTGTAGATTTCGGGGCTTCGTAGTCGTCGGCGTGTGATTGTGCGCGACTGACAGAACGCGAGGCACGCGACTGCCGGGATGTCACTCGGGGCGTCGCCATGTGTGCTTCGTCATATTCTTCGCTCTTGACGCGTGTCGACGACTTCCGGGGTGACTTGCCTCTCCTAACAGACGCGGGAGGCTCGATGACCGAGTCGTCCCAGTCCCCAACGTCTTCGGCGCTGCCAGCATTCACGATGCCCATGCTCGACCGTTTGGCGCGAAGCTTTTGTGCGCGCAACTTGGAAACTTGTGGCATGACCTGTTCGTTCACAAGCTGCACAAGCTGCGCCTTTTTGGCTGTGGCGGGAAACCCAATGTCGTGGGTGACAAGTATCGATCGCAAGCGAGGCATGGTGACCTTGCTGGGGTCGAAGTCCGACTGGAGGTAGTCTTCCATGTCGGCCATCTTTGCGGTTATCGCTTTTTCCCAGTAACGCTGTAAGTCTTCTTGACTTGACCGCTGAGCGCAATGGGTGTTCGCTGAGTAAAGAACCAAGAGACAGTTGTTGAAGGAAACGTGTCAAGTGCTGAGGTAAGGTAGGTGTGCAACCACGATTTGCCAGATGCGGCAATGACGTCGCGCGCGCTACCCGTCAACACGGTATGCACAAAGGTCGCAGGTGTAGCGGCCGGCAGCTTGCGTCTGGGGAAGAATGAGGCGCGATTATGTGCAAAGGGGGGAGATGGAGGGGCCAGGAATGATGCGGAAGTAAGAATTCGCTAATGAGCGACTTGAACAACGGCACGAAAGATATTCATCAGAGCAAACAATGACCAGACCCTTGCTGTTGTTTCTGTGGCAACTTGGGCATTCGGCAGCGCTAGGTTCGCAAGACCCCTGTTGCTGTCTGGGTCCGAGCTGCACAGCCACATAGTTCAGCCGCATGCCAAACGCCACACCTTGCTGATATCGTGATGGCTTCACATGGTGTAAACCGCACTTCCGTCCATACGCCAACTTTCTGGACATTTTTCTCAATGGCTGCAACTCGGGCTCTAGGATCCACGCCCTCCATATGTCGAGCATGTACTCGTCTGTCCAAACCAATGGCCCGCCGTGGATATGCCACCATGACAAACGATATCTATGATGTAGTGTGCGTGGGTGGTGGCCCAGCAGGCCTTTCGCTACTCGCAGCACTCCGTAAGTCGGACAGGACAGTATCAATGATGTTTTACTAAGAACAAAGCACAGGTACCAATCCAGTGACTTCGAACCTCCGCGTGGCCCTCATCGAAGCCCAAGATCTGACCAAATCTTCCGTCCTCTCACTCCCGCCGTCCAAATTCTCCAACCGTTGCTCCTCGCTTACACCCTCTTCCGCGCAATTTCTCAACAGCATTGGCGCGTGGTCGCATTTGCAACGCGACAGGATACAAGCTTATCATGAGATGCAGGTCTGGGATGGCGTCACTGGGGCGAGGATCGAGTTCGACTGGCCCACGCAGGGGACCGAGAAGACAATCGCATACATGACGGAGAATCTCAACCTGACGAGTGGACTTCTGGGGCGGATACGTGAGTTAGGCGGCGTGGATATTTTCGAAAGCTCAAAGGTCGAGCAGATCCAGCTGGGCGAGGAAACGGAAGAGATGGATCTAAGGTCGTGGCCTGTGGTACAGCTCTCCAACGGCAAGACCTTGGCAGCCCGACTTCTCGTGGGTGCAGACGGAGCAAACAGCCCCGTGCGATCTTTTGCTGGGATCGAGAGCCGGGGATGGGACTATGGCCGCCATGGCGTCGTGGCGACGCTGGCACTGGAAGGGGAGGGATGGGGAGGAGAATACAGCAAGACGGCCTACCAGCGCTTCCTTCCGACAGGTCCCGTCGCCATGCTGCCGATGCCTGGGAACTTTGCGACCTTGGTTTGGTCGACGACACCGGCCAATGCCGCGCTGCTGAAGCGGCTTGCACCAAAAGACTTTATCGCCGCTGTCAACGCGGCTTTCCGGTTGAGTCCCGTCGACCTTGCGTACATGCACAGCCAGAACGAAGGCCAGGATGAGGAGTACCAATGGAGGATGCAGCACACGCAGACGAACCCCCGGATGCTTCCTCAGGCCGTGGTCGGCGTCCAGGAGGGCACAGTCGCCTCGTTCCCTCTCAAGTTCCGCCATGCGGACACGTACATTGGCGAGCGTGTGGCTCTGGTTGGTGACGCAGCGCACACCATCCACCCACTGGCTGGTCAGGGCCTGAACCAAGGCCAGGCTGATGTGCAGAGCCTAGTGGGAGCCATCGAGTACGCTGTCTCGCACGGCCAGGATCTGGGCACCCAGATGTGGCTCGAGTCCTACAACTCGGAGCGGTATGCCGCGAATCATGTTCTGATGGGTGTTTGTGACAAACTGCACAAGCTCTACTCTGTGGAAAGCGGTCCCCTTGTTCCCCTGAGATCAATGGGGCTCAAGGCTGTGAATGCATTGGGACCCCTGAAAGGCTTTCTCATGGCGCAGGCGTCTGGGTCGGGAGCCAAGGTCATCTAGGATGGCCGTGCGCTCATTCTGTATCACTTTGTATCAATCTGTATCAACGTTGTGTACAACACAGGATGGAAGAGGGAAGCATATTTGAACAACCGTAAATTTGGTCACAACTACCACTGAGGAAAGGTATATACTCTGGTTTGATCCTCCTGTCAGCTATGGTTACAAAACAAAGAAAACCCATTCTAGTTATCTGTGCATGCCGCCTCTACCGATCAACCTCACCTGTGTCTTGTTAGCCAGAGGTACACTGAGCATGATATGAAGGGGAGAGCTTACCGAACACCAGATCCATAGTACCAATGACCGCAACAGCGTCAGCCAACAAATGACCCTTTGAGACGTGGTCGAAACCACCCAAGTGCGCAAATCCAGGAGCACGGATGTGACACCTGTATGGGCGCTCACTGCCATCGCTGACAACGTAGACACCCATCTCGCCCTTGGGTGCCTCGATCGCCGAGTATGTGTCACCGGGGGGCACGGAATAACCCTTGGTGTAGAGAAGGAAGTGGTGGATGAGTGCCTCCATGTTCTCCTTCATGGCGGCACGCGGGGGAGGGGCGACCTTGTAGTCCTCCACACGCACGGGACCAGCAGGCATCTTGTTGAGGCACTGGTGAATAATGCGGAGAGACTGGCGGAACTCCTCCATGCGGATAAGGTAGCGGTCGTAGCAGTCGCCGTTTGTGCCGACGGGGACATCAAACTCGACCTGATCGTAGGCGTCGTAAGGCTGGCTCTTGCGAATGTCCCATGGCACACCAGAGCCGCGGAGCATAGGGCCGGTGAAGGACAGGTTCAGGGCGTCAGCAGCAGTGACGACACCGATACCACGGAGACGCTCAATCCAGATACGGTTATCCGTCAGCATCTCCTCGGTCTCGTCGATACGGTCACCGAACTGGGTGGCCCACTGGTAGATATCGTCCAGCAGACCAGCGGGGATATCCTGGTGGACGCCACCCGGACGAACGTAGGCGGCGTGCAGACGGGCACCCGACACACGCTCGTAGAACTCCATGAGTTTCTCACGCTCCTCAAAGCCCCAGAGGAAAGGCGTCAAAGCACCGACATCCATGGCGTGAGAGAGGACGGACATGAGATGGTTCAGGATGCGGGTGAGCTCACCAAACAGGGTGCGGATGAACTTGGCACGCTCGGGAATCTCGACATTCAGCAGCTTCTCAACGGCCAGTGCGAAGCACTGCTCGTTGGTCATCATCGAGACATAGTCCAGACGGTCAAAGTAGGGCAAAGCCTGCAGGTAGGTCTTGTACTCGATCAACTTCTCGGTACCGCGGTGGAGGAGACCGACGTGGGGATCCGCACGGATGATCTCTTCACCGTTGAGCTCGAGGATGAGACGCAACACACCGTGGGCGGCGGGATGCTGGGGACCAAAGTTGACGGTGTAGTGCCTGACCTTGCGGTCCTCGACCGAGTTGTCGCGCGACTTCTGCGTGAGGCCCTCCTGGAGGGTGTGGGCGCCATACGGATCATTCGGGTTCTTGAAGTCTTCGTCGACGGGAATGAGGCGAGCACTGAGGTCGGGCGTAGGCGTCGCGTACTTGCGGTGGCATGTGGTGGCGAAGGGTCGTGAGGTGGTCGGTATCGAAGCCGGACGGAGACAGAGTCGGCTGGCGCTTCGGCCAGCAAACGCTCGTAGGGGCGAAGCCATTGTGACACGGTGGAGAGGAGAGAAGAGGACTGGGATCGAGTTTGAGGGTCCTCCGTATGCGCCTCGTGCGCGTCGATATCAATGGCCGAGAGAGAGTTGAGTCGTGCTCGTCATGCGGCAATGAGCTGGTCTGGTCGTCAACGAATCTGGAAGACTGGAGCTTTCGCCCGTGGAACGGTGGGTGCGGAGGAACATTGATGCGGCCATTGGCCAATGGACGGCCTTGGATTATCATGCGCCTTCAGGTCGGCACTTGCCCCACGCTGGCGCCGCTTGAGCCTTGAGCGGCTTGACGCCTATCGCGCGCCTTGGAATTTCAAGTGTTGATATTTCAATCCATCTTCCCGTGGTGCAATGGCTCTCCTGGTTGCACGCCAACTTTGAGGCGTCAATTGGCATGGAAAGTACTCGTCAGAATCATGGAGGACACCAGAAATGCTCGTCGCCCAAGCACCAGTTGCACATGCTGAAACAGGCAGCCATCGCCCGCATCACGCCCAGCATACCTCGTGTCGTAGTACAACAAGGCGCAGCCCAGGTATCATGAGAGTAATACACTGCTCAATAAAGGATTTTCCGTCGGCTATGCACCAAGCTCTCATTTCCTCCTACCAACATGGGCAAATATGTCGGTCGTATCCTGGCTAGTGCACAAGACGGACTCAAGGCAGACTGCCTAGACTGGCAGGGTGCGTTGGGACACTGCTACCAACAAGGTCGCTGATATTAAAACAAAAGCCAACCCGCACCCTCAACTACCAGCCTTAATCTTGCAGCAGAATTCACGTGGAGATGTCGAATCCCAGCGACCGCGTCGAGCTCACCATCGGCGGACGCACCTTCACCACGACCAGGACCACCCTCCAGGAATCGCGTCGCCTAAGCAATCTGCTCCACCTCGCGGAAGGCCCTACTACGTGGACGTAGTCCCATCACTATTCGAGCACATCCTCCGCTACCTTAGGACGAGCCTGTACCCAATTTCGCACGACGCACAAACCGGCCACGACGAAGTCTTCTACCACCACTTGCTCAACCAAGCCCACTTCTACCAGATTGACAAGCTGGAGACCTGGCTCAGGGGAAAAGAGTATCACAACGCAGTCCGTCAGGCACCCTGCCACATCTCCCTCACCCTATACGGCCGGGACCAAATCGAGCATCTCCACGAGTTTGTGCCCGGCCGCAATGGCAGCGTCAACATTGTCAGCGGTGAGCACTCGCAAAAGGAATGCCATCTCCGCCCCAACAAAGAGTGGCGCCACGACGGCAGGAAGACGGACTGCCTGAACTCGGGCTGTTTGACGGTGAAACAGTCCAGATTCTCACACTCCAAGATGATGGAAGTGGTCAAGGTGGAGTGCATCGTGACGAGAGTCGTGCTGGACGAGAAGCGACTGATGCGCAGCCAGCAGAATGAGGTCCTGCCGCCGCCGTATCACGAGACCTCGTGAATTGGAATCTAGGTATCTGCATTTCTTGTACATACTCGGAAAATCTTTATGCATCTCGCCAATCTATGGGCTCACATGGCCTCTGGTGCCCCGAGCATCTCTTCCCTCAATATGCCATACCACACTTCCCCTGTCATGACTCCGTTCTTCATCGCCGAGCGCCGTCTCATTCCCTCCCTGGCGTATCCGCACTTGAGCAGGACGCGCCCACTCGCCTCGTTGAACTCGTACGTCGAAGCCTGCATCCTCTGTAGATCCGGCCACGTCTCAAAGCACCATCTCGTGAACGCCCCAACGGCCTCTGTGCCGTAGCCTTGGCCCCAGTACTCGGGCGAGAAGAAGTAGCCCAGCTCCCACATGATATAGTTGATGTCTGTACCGATTTTGGCGCCCATTGTGCCCAGCAGCCGCGACGGGTCGTCCTTGAGAAAGATGGCGACAGTGGTCGGGTACTCGGCTGGTGTGTCCTTGGGGACCAGTTTCTCGTGCACAAAGTCATCGGCGTCCTCGATGGTATAGGGTGACGGAAAGCGGTCTGTCATGAAGGCGGCGGTTTCCTTGTGGTTTGCCGCGGCGACGAGCAAGGGTGCATCGCTGGGAAGCGGACGCCGGAGGACCAGGCGTTCCGTCTCAAGGAGGATGGTGCCTGGCTCTGTCGAGGGCGGGTTAGGGGACGGGAGATGTCTTGATGGGACAATTGGAGGTGGCATTGTGAGATGTATTTTACCGATGGGTTGAGTGAAATCGAAGCTCAAGGTGATGTGGCCAAAGGTGAGTCTGAACCATGTAAGGTGCCTGGTTTGTGTCACAGCGTTGGTATAGTCGCCTTCAGTGACATCCACACTGGTGTGACTCATGCAATCAACTCATCGTCTTACAACCGCCCTTTCCGGGAGAGATTGTTGACCGTATCCTGGAGTCTCGTCTGTCCAAGCCAACCCGGTATGCTCCGAGATCGGAGTGCTGAGTGATTCGCAGCATCGCGGCAAGCGACGGCTGAGAGAAGCATCACCGACGCCCCAATGCTTCTCAAATAAGCGCCTCTGCCACGGTACCAAACTGCGATCACCAAATGGCGTTGCCAATGCTGCATTTACTGCGCAGCTTGCGGCACATTGGCCTTGGTATTGATATGCAGCCTCTGCGCAATGTCACACAATCGGCGCGCGACATTAGTCGTCCCGCCATTGATCTGTGTATGCCCCGTAATGAACCGTGCAGCGACCACGACTTTGTCTCTCGGATTGTCTTCCGCAGCATGGTAGGCGGTTAGGTGGGAGCTGTCTGCATTGGCAGGATACTTGAGACCATGCTCTCGCAAGACGGCGGTGGAGTACAGCACGTCTCGGTTCTCGCGCCCGTCGAGGTGATTGCGCATTTTCTGCAAAGACTCTGTCCTCCGGTCTGCCTCCTTTAGCTCGTCTGCTCCAGGCACGCCCGACCGGAGAAACTCGGCAAGTTGATACCAAAATTCAAACTCGCGTACGCGGTGATGCTGCGCGTCTTGCAAGGGAGGCGCCAAGGGATTCCACGGAAGAACAGTACCGCTCAGCAAAGCATCAACGACGTGGAACCGGTGTTGCGCCTCGACTGGATTCGCTTCGCTCGGCAGAATGGTCGCTCGACGATTGTCGGCATTGGGGGGCGCCGCCGTAGCTGCTGTCTTTGCCAGCTCCCAGACGACTTTCATCTCCAGACAGGCCATGTATGCCATCTTCTCCTGGCTGCCGGCATCGGGCTGCGCTGCCGCTGTCAGGAAGGAGGCCATGAGCTGCAGTAGCGAGGGCTGGCGAGGAAAGGCCATTTTCCCCTTTTCCATAAAGTAGTACCACTTCGACTCGAAAAAAGCATGCAACGCGCTGGCGTATATCTCGTGGTACACCGCGACGATATCCTGGTACCATGCATCATCGTATACATTGGCGGGTGAGTCGGGCATCACGCACACCTGGGACAGGAGTTGGTCCACCCTCATTTCTTCGTGCGGTTAATGCCCGTGGGGAGGCTGTGGCAGGGAGCTGTACACAGATTCCAGAACAGCCTGCTGGGTGCCCGTGGGGTAGTCGGCCAACGCCACTGGTGCCGGCAATGGCGAGGTCAATGAGGCGACACTGGGCGATTGAGAGGATGCAAGATGGTTCGGTGAGGGTGGGTTGCTGGATGTGGCAGAGGCGGCCCTGGCGAGAGGGTTGACGCCGTTGTGTTCTCGGAACAGTACCTCGTAGCCCAGGCACTCCCGCTTGGCCTTGGTGCAGTTGTTACAGGCAGGTCGCTGCTCGTCGCACTGGGAAATTATGTGGTCAGCAGCGCAGCTTGTAGAATTTATGATATTGGAAATGAGTAAGAAGAAAATGTGTCAGTGTTGTGAGAGCTTAGTCAAGACCTCAAACGACATGGACGGTGGCATGTGGAAGTGCAGTCGGAGCGTGTGGAGAGTTGGTTGTCATGTTCCCATCGGTTCGGGTACGCTGGGGGCCGTAAGTGCAGGCTAACGCAGGGGGTACTTTCAGGGTACATAAGTCCCGGCCAAAGCTGGGCCAAGGGGCCTGGGACTCGTTGTCCTCAATAAGTACCCGCCGTAGGATGCGGTGGGGCGTTCAGGCTCCAGCGCCCTGGGCCAGGTTGCCGGGTCGGTCTAGTACGTAGTGTTGGTAACGGGGACTTTTGTCTACTCACTTTGACTCTCCTCTTTCGACAAGTGAGACATCCAGTCTTTGTCCTCCGCTGGATCTTCCTGGCCGTGCTCTTCTCCCGCGTTCGCGGCGCGGTGTCCACCTCGTCGGCTAATGCGACGGGCAGCGTCTCCGCCGCGCGACTGCCCTCAGTGCCGACTGATGTGTCTGAGCGCGCAGCCGGGGCCAGGGCCATCTGGGCCATCTCCCGTGGATCGAGCCCCCTGTTGGTCCCGAGCATCTGGTTGGGACGCTCACCGGGCCATCTCTCCAGAGGTGGTCTGAGTGGAAACTGACCAGCATCCCAGAGAGGCGGTGCCGCAGGCGACGGCTGTCTGCTGGAGAAGTGACGCTGGGACCCGCCATGGCCAGTTGGATGGTTGCTATGATAGACGCTTGTGTACGGATGGGGCAGCTCGACTGGTAGTGATGAGTGAGTATTGATCAGAGCCGGGTGCTGCTCTGGCCATCTCAAATGAGGAGACTCGTTCCGCCTTTCCATGTCGTGTTGAGGTAGGGCGGTGTGAAGAAGGTCTTGCCCGGACCCTGACGGCCTTCTCGACTGGGGATGGTCTGGAGAGCCAGCAACTGTTATGGCTGGCTCCCTTTGGCGTCGGGCTCGGTCCATGACTCCATGCGATGATTACCGTGTTGACTTGATCGCCGGTCGGATTACGATTCCAGTTCCCTACCCGAACCATTGACATACGGCTAGCGGCCCACGCTAGAGAAAGGTGAGAAGATGAAGAATGAAGACACGGCCCTAGTGAGTGGAGGTGATGAGTCCAGTATGCAAAGTTCTGCAACGCGGCCGACGTTTCACGGTTAGGCGCTGATGTAAGGCAGGTAGGTACCTACTCTCGAGGCGTGTCTGGAGATTCTTCCTTGAGCTCTCGCTAGCTTCCGCGTTTTCCAGGGGTCCCGTTCGACTAGACGCGCTAGGCTAGATCAGGTGCCTATTCGTATTGTACTACGTACCTTTCTTTATTAGTCTACGTACGTCGATGGACATGGAGGTCGGCGACTCGGCCGTAAGCGCAGAACGAGCGGTTCCCTGCCTACCCTAAAGCCCGGAAAGACTCTGTCCCGGCTTATCATGAAGTACAAAATAAGCACGATAATACTTGACACGGATAGTCTTTGCTGTGATTGTTTCAGTATATTGATTTATGAAGTATATGCCTTGTGGCTATGTCTGTATTCTAGCCACTCCTGTCGGTAGTGCCAGAGGCCTTGACATCCATTGATCACCACGGCCCATTCTAGCGAACGAGCCACACGATATATTTGTCTGATACTAATATACTACAAAGCCACACCTTTCCTGATGCTTCGCGCCTGTTAGCACTTACCGTGCTGTAACGCGGGCAAGATCCCTCGTCCATACAAGTCTAACCCAAACAGAACGCCGCCCTATGCAACCCCGAAGAGAGAATTGGAATGAACCATCAAAGCTTACTTGTCCCTCTCTCCTTCTTTTTCTTCCTTCCCGCCATGTTGCCTCCCCTCAAAAGTCCTTGTCCAGCTCATAGAAGAGCAGATACACCTCCCTCTGCATGCCGAGGACTTCGCTAGTCTTGCTCTGCTTCACCTTCTCGTCGCTCACGCGCCACCACTTGTCGGCCGCGGGCTTCTTCTGCTTGGATGGTTTGCCTGCCGCCGACACTGGCGGGGCCGGGCCAGGGGAGCCTGACCGGCTGCCCCTATTCGACTTTGGTGAGGTCAGCCGCGAGAGGGCTGACTTTGTCGACGCAGCCACGGAGCGCAGACTGCCGCTGTCGCTATCCTTGATCTTGCCGTTGACCTGGTGGTCCTCTGGGACGCTGCGAGGGGGAGGCAGCGGCAAGTCCACCGAGATGGATGATGTGCCCGACGATGCAGAGAGCAGATCAGGTGTCGAGACAGCGGGGCTAGCGACGTGGCGTGCACTTAGATCTGGCGTGGAAATAGGGGTTGGCGTCTTGCTGTAGGCCTCAGACGCCTGGAAGGTGTTTAGGTTGGCAAATGGCGGCTTGGGAATGTTCTGCCGTCGAAAGGCTTCGTAGTGACCACTGTTATGGCCGCCGCGATGTGTCACAACGCCCAGCAGCTTGTACTTGCGCTGGTCCACCAGACCACCCAGCGGTAGGTTCTCAGGGAACGAGACCTTGGCCGAGTTCTTTTGTGTGACATGCCCGACGCCGTAGATGGATCTGGACAGATGGATGGCCAGGATCTTCGGGAAGATGGTCATCCGGGTCGTCTTGGCAATCCTGCGCTTGGGCGCGTATTTGATGTCGCCAAGGTCGACGCCCTCGGGGGGTTCCTCGGGGTTCGTCTCAATGGCCACGCGCAGCTTCACAATGCTCTCCTCGGCTGTCTTTCGAAACGTGTCGGATGTCGACTTGGCCAGCTCTGCTTCCAGTTTTTCCTTGGCCTGCACTAGACGACAGTTCTCGCACTTGAAGTCATCAATGTACTCTGTCTTGAAGATCCCGTCGAAGCAGCTGGTCAGCGACGTCGAAGAGACCTGTGGCACGGCCAGCGTCAATGTGCAAAAGGCCTCCTCGCGGGGACGGGTCTTGTACCGGCAGGTCGTGCATTGCAGTTGTGACTCGTATCGCCCCTCCATGGGAAAGGCCTCCTCGTTCTCGTTGGGCATGCGCTTCCTACTGATTTTGGGTGTCGGGTCGGATGTGGACGCCTCGGCAGTCGAGGTTTCTGTATCAGATGCTTCGGCCCCGTTGTTCCTAGCACCCTCATTTCCTGTCTCTGTCTCTGTCCCTGCCTCCGTATCTGTCTCGGCCCCTTTGCTGTCGCCATTCTCGACGTAGGGAGGCGTGATCCCGTGTGTCCTAGCGTGGTCTCTCGCCCGTCTTCCGGCATGGTACTCGTCCTTCAGCCTCTCGGCCACGATCTGCAGGAACTCCTGCGCGTCCTGCTGCTGGCGGCTGATGCGCTGCCTAAACGCCGTCTCGAGCACGCGGACGAGCTGAAAGGGCGAAATGGCCTTTTTGTATATGGGTCGCTCGTTAAGCGCATCCAGCATATCCTTCAGCCCGTACGTCACCAGCCCGTCCTGCAGCCCGTGGAGTTTCCACGCCGGCAGCGGACCGGCGCTATCGGTCGGCTGCACGAGATGGGAGTAGACGGCGGGATCCTCGATGCGGCGCCGGTGTGTCTCGCGGATGAGGTAGATGCGCAGGTCGTCGAGCCCGGCGAGGACTTGGAGGACGGAGTTGATGAAGCAGTCGTTGGCGCCGTTGCGCAGGCCAACAATCGTCTTTTTCCGACCGGATGGCGCGGCTTCGTTGTCGAGGGCAAAGGTCGGGCCAAAGACGTAGATGAGAGCGGCGGCGGCAAGTGAAGCGCCTGCGGCGTACGAGGCGACCGTCGCAGGCTTGCTGCCCGCCATGGTGCCTCTTGGGGATCCGGTCGACGGCTCTGTTTCGGGTACGCGGCGCGGCGAGCGAGACACGGGTAGCGCTCGTTAGTTGCGACTGCAGCCTAATAAAGGAGCACGGATTTCTGGGGAGGGGGAGAGAGAGAGAGAGATGTGGTCGAGAGTATCGCTCATGGAGTCGGGTTCGCCATGTCTCGAGGGCTCTCGAGGGCTCTTTTGCATCCGGGGACAGATGCAGTGAGTAGGTGCTTTTGGTACCTAGGCACTGATGCTTGATATGTGGTGGGCTCAGTGCTGGATTTGTAACGTTGTGCCGCGCTGCGCGTCGTCTGGTCGCATCGCAGACGTAGTCAAGTGCGATTGATGATCTTCCGCTCAGTTTCAAGAGGTGGTTGACAAGCAACAGGAAACTGAATCGCTGTACGCAGGGAGGAGAATCAATCAGTCGGTGAGGTGTTTGGTCTGACTCCGAATCTCCAAGTTGGTCCAACGTGGATGTGGGTGCTTCCTGCCTCTTTTCTTGCTCCAGTTCTTGCTCCATTTTCTGGGGCCCCTGAGATGCCGAGCTAATTACGTATCACCATGTACCCACCTAGTGTCAACAGCTTACTGTTACTACTACGCACCTCCTAGTAAACTGGTAGTACTCAATTGTAATAACATCAACTGAAGCATGCGCAATGCTAGGGGAATTGGAAATCATCTGAAGAAAGACACTCGGTAGAATCAAAGTATGTCCTGTATCCGTATTGGTCGGCATTATTGTGTCACGATCTTGGTCGAATGCTCCATCAGACCATCACGACTCAAATGAGCCATGGTTTCCATGCTCGTGTCATAGGCCCATGGCCACATTTTCCACCTACGCAAATTGCCCCTTCCTCTTCGCCGGCCCGAGCCTCTCCCCCTTGGACTTCCACAGCGTCCCGTCCAATGCCCCACGCCTGATCCAGCCGGTCACCAGCTCATTCGGCGTCTCATCCCCATAGAACGGCATGGGCACCTCGTACCTCTCCACCGTCATCCTCTCCTCGGGGTCAATCTCGTTCCACCGTGCCGTGTCCACCGTCTCGGTGGGAATCTCATACGCCACGCCGTACAGCACGATGCGAATCTGCCGCTTCAGCTCTGGGCAGTCGCGTGGCAGCTTGTGAAAGTACTCGTCCTTGATGTTGGTCCCCGCGAGATGTGTGGGCTTGGCCAGAACAACGTGCTCCAGCCGTGACAGTGTGGCCACGTTCCACCACAACCAGTGGTTGTCGACGGGCACCTCAAAGAGGACCAGTCGCTTGAGTTCTGGCCAGAGGCGCCAGACGTCGGTACTGGCCTTGGTCGTGCTCAAGGCCGGATACTCGCCCAGACAGACGAATTCCTCCAGGTGGACCAACTGCTCGAATCCTTCGCGTAGAATGGGTCGCACGTTGAGGTGGTCGTCCGGCAGGTCTAGACTGCGAAAGGGCATATGCACGACGAGGCGGCGCAGCGTCTGCGAGACCTCGTGGAATAATTCCCGAACCCAGATGGCCGTGGGCTGGTCATCGAGCGTCGTCTCAAACGGCGCGAGGTAGAGTGATGTGATGTTGCGCAGCGACAGCAACGGGGTCGGCAGCGAAGGCACGAGCCTGTCCATGCACAGCAGCACCTTGCTCAGCCTGCGACTCGTCTCAATGTACATGCATCGCTGGCGTAGGAGCTTGGACGCCAAGCTGTAGGTGACGCGCGAGACTTTTGTCAGCGCGAGAAGCGTCCTGACCGCGCTATGAGACGTCGGGAGCAAGGCGCGGGTGTTGGGTGGCAGGACGCTCTCCACGATAAGCTGGAGAATCTCGGGGGGCAGCCGCGGGAGCTCCCGCCGCGAGGCGAGGGATCTACTAGTACTGGCTGTCATTGCGCGCGCTGTGTCAATGTCGCATCGCATCACGACCGTGACGTGAGAAGAGCCAAAGACATCTTGGGAGCGAGAGACGTCTTGGCCAGATTCGGCTCTCAATGATGAACAATAGGATTGTCTTGCGGATTGAATCAGGTAGGTGAAAGGGGGGCGGGCGGCTGTGGACGGACGTACGTGGGGCACCTCGATATGCCTAATAAAGTCCAGATTGCCGCTTATCACCGCCACCTGCATCGCGGGGAGATAAGCCCAACGTGTGTGCCCCATGATCCCCAGTGATCAGCACCGTGCACTGGATTCGTACTCATAAGTGTAACAAGTAGAGGCCTTCGATAGACTGATTGCTCATCAGAGCAGACGACGTTTCTGCGGATAATGACCCCCCCTACCAGTCCATGTTCGATGTGTAGCCCATAACGCCCTCCATCACGCATGGCCGCGCTGGTTCTCCCTGTAGATATGAAATGTCTATTAAAATCCTCGTCATAATTGCTTCTATCCACAGAGCGCGTTCCTGATAAAAAGTCATGATCTGAGAGAATGCCCACCAAAGCTCCGAAATGCACGCCTCGCAAGCCTTGTAGCAATATTCGCTCGCATGATTCCGGGGTATCATTTCCTAGTCGGACTCTCATATGTGTACTCAACACTCCACAGCGGATCCCACACCACGGATCTCTTGGTGGGACTCCCTGTCGACTCCTGTCGCTGAAGCCGTCTACGCCGCCCCTGCCCGTGACGCCCACCATCAGCATCTTGACTCAGGGCCCAAAGAGCGTATCGACTTGGCGTACCTCTGACGGTTTGGCGCTGTCATTGTCAGCGGGGACTGCCGCCTTCCCCTTCGCCCTGCTAGGCCCTGCTAGGTCCCTGTCCGTCGCCGGCGGGCGTGCGCTGAGGGGGCTGCCGGGCTGTGTGGGACTGGTCGCAGACGGCGTTTCTGGTGCAGCGGCTCGGAGAGAGTTCGTCTCACTGACTACGACCCCGGGCTTGAGGAGTGCTTGCGCGCCAGCGCTGGTAAGAGGGACAGCCCTCTTGGAGCTCGAGCTGCTTCTGCGGCTTTCCAAGCTCTTTGACAACGTCTTCTCGAGGCCCGCCGCACTGTCCTTCGGTTTGCCTTTGCTGATGACCGCGTGGGTATGGATGTTTGCCGTGGCCTCGACGGTGTTAGCGGCGACTGTCGACTTGCCCATACCCGGCGTGGACGGCGCACCGGGCTTGTCCTCCTGCGCGTCAATGAGGTACCAGCGCAGTCCGTCGGACAGCTGAAACGGATTCTCGTTCTCGTCGTTGATCGACTCTTCGTCGTTCCCCGACTGCATGCTCCTGGACAGGTCGACCACCCGCTCTTGTATGCGCGTGATCCGCGCCACGAGCCACTCGCGATGACGCAGGCGGTGCGCGTCCTGCTCTCGCAGAAAGTAGTGAGGTGCGCCGACGTTGAATGCAGCCCATGCCCCGGCTTGCTGATTCCTGGTTGGCAGGAAGAGCGCCAGGTCGCCCTCCTTGAAGCTCTTAAAGGCCAGCTTGTTGTGGGCGTCCTTGTGCTCGGCGTGCGCGCGATCTCGGTACGACTTGGCCTCCTTCTGCCATTTACGTGCCTTGTGCTCCACCTCCTTGATCTTCTGGTAGACAGTGTCCGAGAACTGATCCACGTCAAAGTCCCCAAGCTTGCTCACAAACACCTTGTACCTTTCGTCCTCACCATCGAGATCGTGACTGTTGGCCCAGTTGAGAAGATCGAGGTCGGCACTGTCATGCAGGGCCTTGGCACCAAGCATGCCCGGCTTGAACACACTTGACTTTCGCAGGGACGATCCTGGGTCAGAGGAGTCATTCGGGTTTTGCGTGGCCCGCTCCGCACGGGGAACCTTCGTAATCGTGATGGACCCGTCGCTGCGAGAGACGGCATAGCCTAGGCGCTCGAGGAGGTGACACATGCGGTCATTCTGCGAATACAGCCGTTGTGTGAGGTCCTTTGACCGTTCGTCGCGGCTTTCGAAGCGTCGCTGGAGTTCGGACAGCTTGCCTTGCGAGTCTTCCGCCTTCTCCTTGTACATGCGCGCTTCTTCCTCTAGGCTACCGACCCGCGACTGGCGCGCCGCAAGCTGCTCGGTCAGGTTGACGACCTTCTTCTCTTCGTCTTCCAGCTGCTTCTGTAGTGTTCCCGAGCCACTCTCGCCATCGTCCAAACGCGCTCGCAGCTTGCGCAGTTCTTCCATGACGCCTGCGAGTTCCGTCTCAAGGGCCTCCACCTTGGCGGACTCCTCGGCGACTTCGTTGCGCGCCTTGAGTGAGGCCGCCTCCTCTGAAGCGAGCCTCTGCTCAGTGGCAGTCAGCTCGTCACGGAGGGTCTTTCCAGCGCTGCGAGTTTCCTCGAGGTCGTTGCGCACGATGTCCGTATCACTCTGCAAACCTTCCAGCCTAGAAAGCAACTTGGTGGCTGCTTCTTGCAGCACATCGCCCAGGTCAGCGTCCTCGGGCATTGAGTCCTGAGGGCCGATGTAATCGTGGAGGGTCTTGAGGCTCCCCAGGTAGCCATCAGCTACTACTCCGAGCGCCTCAAGCTGTTTCGCAACGTGTCTGCCAGTCTCCCTGACACTTTCGAGCTCGCGCTCTTGTGTCTCACGCTGGTCATGCAGCATTCGAGCGTCGTTCCGGAGAAACTTCACCTGACCTTGCGCCTTTTGCGACTCATCGCGATGCTGCTCGCTCAGACGCTCCAGCTCTGCTTGCAGCTGCTCGATCTTAGTCTCGTGCGAAGTTCGGGCTCTCTCTTTCGAGTCACCCAAGTGCTCCATCTCGTCCTCGGTGTTCTCTAGACGCGCGTGAAGGTCTCGAATCTCATCTTCCAGAGACTTTCTCTCCTCAAGAAACTCGCGTTTGAATGCCTCCATGTTCTCTAGTAGGTCCTTCTTTGTCGTATTTGCCTCGGTGAACTGATCCTTCATGTTGCCATATTGGACCGCATTGGCTGCAAGTTCCGTCTGCATGCGCGCCGAATTCTGCTTTTCCTCCTTCAATTCATTTTCGAGCTCAGCAATACGCCGGACCATTGCATCTGTCCCGTCCGTCACGGCTTGCTGGCCATCGGGCCGGGATGATTTGATAGAAGATATGGAACCGTTTCTCTCGTGGCCAGGTTGGAACAAATTCCCCGGTCGGCTCGCCTGAGACTGCCTGTGGAGAAGATCCTCCAGGCGACGGACCCTGCTTTCTGCCGTTTTGAGCTTGCTGTCCAATTTCATCTTATCCTCCTGAAGCGTGCGGAGCAGATCATCATCCCCTCGAATCATGAGGCCGCTGCGGCCAAGGGCAGCTTCGAAAACGCTGCCATTCTTGAAAGCCTTGACTCGCTTGGACTGCTGTTTTGTGGGACTGCTGATCTCCTGGATCAGCTGGGCTATGTCTTCCAAAATGGCCTCTTCGGTTGCCAGCCCGCGCAGGGTATCGTAATACGAGTCCAGCTCTTGTTTGCTCATTGGTGGCCACGAGGTGTCGTCGCCCATTACGCTAACCTCGAGTCCCATCACGTTGGTGTCCAGCCCGGGCCCATAGGTGCTACCGACCATCTTCTGCCACCGGCGCCGGCGTTTCGATTCCTCGTCCTGGAACAGCGCCATTTCGTTGGCAAGTGTTGTTGAATCGGCTTTGACCTTGTCATTCCATTCGTGACGCCGCACCGCTTCTGCCACGAACGACGCATACATGTATGGCAATTGCTGTATCAGTCGGAGGTAATCAAAGGTTGTCAGGTCGTCTTCGGACTGATTCAGCAAGTTAATCTGGTCTTTCACGTTTCCTCGAAGAGACGTGACTTCTGTAATGGCCCTCATAAAGCTCACTGCATCTGCGGCGATGGCATTCCGGGCTTCTGTCGCATACCGCATTAGCTCCGCCATCTCTTGAGCCCTCTTCTGCAAATTGGGGACCAAACGCTCCGTGTGGATGGAAGCTGTTTTTGAGGCCTGGGCCACGTCCTTCTGAGCGTCGCTGTAGGTCAAGACTGTCTTGTAATCCGCGTCGAGCTGTTTCGAGACAGGCTCAATATCCTGAACGATTTGCGACGACTCGTCATGGCGTGCCAACACGGAGCGGTTTGTGAGGGCATCAAATTCTCCGATCAACTGCTGCAAGTCCTCGTACATTCTGTTCGTGGTCCTGTCTAACTCTGTAGCCTTCTCGCTGAATCTGCGATTGGCCGTCGCGGCAAGTTTACCCGCTTTCTTAGCTGTTTCAGGCTCAATGAGGTCCTCGAGCGTGTGTGCACCCTTGGTAACCGCGCCTCTCGTCATGAACTTGACCATGGCGGGTGCGACAGGGACGTTGCTCGCAAGCTCCAGGTACTGCTGCCATGACGACGCCAGGCGAGAGTGTTCCTCTAGCGCAGGCGCTACCCATTTCTTCAGTTCGGTGTGCTTGGGTTCGATTTGTTTGACGCTGATCTCGAGATTGATAATGGCTGCATCAAGACACTTGATCATCACGTCGATCTCATCAAACCGCGCGCGAACGGTGCTGTCCATCTGGCCGCAATCGTCTGCCACTCTCAGAGCCCAAGTCCGCCGACTCTCGCAAAGCTTCTGCCATGATCCGATGGCTTTCACATCTTCTATCATGTTGGGGGCGGCTGGAATCGCTGGCGGTTTCGGAGAGGGTAATTTAGATACTATGGTCGGCGACCCCTGCGACTGGCGCTGAGTCGTGCGCGCATCGTACACAAATATGTCTTTCTAGTTATGGTCAGTACGGCATACCTCAGAATCGTAGACGTTCGTACCTCGTTCCACAAGCCCGTAGGCTTGATGGCTCGGCCCTGTGGCGTCAAGGCGACAAAGTGTTGGGTAGGGACTGCGCCATGCTTGCTGACCCAGGCTTTGAATTCGTCTAGACTTACGAACCCATTAGAACGAGACGGAAGCCATGGCTTCGCACGTAACGCTTACTTGGAGAACTGCGCCGTGTCTACTTCAAGGCGCCGGCCCGTGTGGGCGATCAAGACTTGAGTAGCCATCCCAAGACATTGCCTGGACGCGCAGAGCGATAGCTCCTCTCAAGGCGGAGGCTGGAGTAACAGGTAACAACAAGTGAAGGGGAGGACAAGACCGGCGGAATATGCTGCGGCGCTGTTCAAAGTGACCTCCCGGCCACGAGGCTCGCGTGACTGATCGGGTGTTCTTCCACAGCGGATGGTGTTGCTCAGATGGTCAAGTCACCAGCACAGATAATGTGCGTGTGCCTGGACACGCCGGGCAAGCGAGTGGCCGTCATTTGTGGCGTAAACCGTCATGCCCGTGGCTGGAGACCACCAGCCCCACCAGCATACACATTTAAACCGATCAGGGGCCCCGCCGGCCCGGACCCGGCTACATATACGTAGGTAGTATTTGGGCATGAGTCACTCTGAGCAAGTGCTCCAGACGTACGGATACGTGTCTGCCAGTACCACGCATAGCCGTGGAGATGGCGTACACCAACGTAATTTGTCCAAGCCATGTTGAGCTTGAGTATTTATAGGGACAAGGTACCCATCTCAATCGATTAAGAGTGTTACAAGGCGCGGTATGTCAGATCGACAACACAACCTCGGACGCAACAATGGTCAATCTGGATTATCCAATGCCAAAAGGGCTCTACAAGATCCCCGACGATCAACTTGACCTCCGTCCAGATGCTCAGGTCGATCAAGACTTGATGCATCCAAAACCAGTATCAAGTCTGAAGAATGTCTGGTTCTTCTGGCATTCGGGGTTCTTGAACATGCATCCATATACGCAGCGCAACGTGCGGGCTTGGCATCGTCGTTTTTCGAAGCACGGCTGGACTGTTCGTGTGCTCGATCGCGAAGAAGACTCCCCTCTCAACATCGCCAAGTACCTGGATGTGAAGGACCCCAGTGTGTTTCCCAAATCATTCATTGAGGGTGCTATTGGAGGGAGCTATGGCCTGCAACACACCTCCGATCTGGTTCGATGGCCGCTCCTGAACAAGTACGGCGGTGTTTACGCCGACGCTGGCATGATGCAGATAGGCGATCTCGATAGGCTCTGGAACAAGACTTTGGGAGATCCTGAGTCACCTTATGAGGTCCTCAGCTACAATGGAGGGGAGAAGGACGGTAGGAGTTTGATGAACTATTTCCTGTGCTCCCGACCCAACAATCCGCTCTTCACGCGCTGTCACAAGCTGCTTCTGAGACTCTGGAACGAAGACGGTGGGAGGACGTCCACGGATGGCATGCATGCCAATACCCTGCTCAAGGAGATCCCGCACTTGGACTACGCTGGAGATGTTTCCATTGAGCTTGACGGTGTGACGCATGGTCCTGAAGAAGTGGCCAAGATGCTCACGGACTACATTATTCAGGGCCAGGTGATCAGGCAGGTCATGGGTCTGCAAGACGATGAGGATGGCTGGAACGGCCCCGAGTACTGCGCGAAGCATGTTTACGCCCTCGAATTTATGGCTGGGTCGCAACTCATCAACGAGTTCACAAAGTGGAACGGCGTCTGTGCTTTCGAGCTCATGTCGCTCTCGCTGCCCAAAGATACGGAAGAGGAGACGCCAGACCAGAAGCGCGCGAGAGAAATCGTCGAAGGATGCTTGACCAGGAGTTGGGGGTTCAAATTGGCACATGGTCTCATTCTCACGGTCTTTGGGCCGACCCTCGGATCGCTCTGGCGGCAGCATCCTGGATCTGATATCGTACCGGGCACGTACGCCGACTGGCTGCGCAAGGGAATGGTGTATTGGAATCAGAAGGGGGATCCGGAGGCGATACCCTTCAAGGAGATGCCGCCTACGAAGATAGGACCTCTTCTGCGAGAGTCCTGATTCAATTGGAGCAACTTAGGCAGAAGTTCTGTAGCTTGTTCTCGACTAGTTGGCGCAAAGAATTTAGGTCGTCTTTTTTGTTCGCGCACCTCTGGTTGCTTCAAGAACTTGCGCATCCAAAAATTTGTGAATTTCACCATGTGAGCCACCTCCACGCCAGCAGATGCGCACTGTAACCAAATCTCATCAACACCCGAGCCGCAGATCGCCCGATCAATCAAGCATGGACGCATCTCAAGATCAACCGATGCAGGAAGCGCCCGAAGAAGTTTCCTCTACATTACCCGTGTCCGTCGATGAGCAACGCGCTCTGGACCTCTACGACAAGCTACAAGAACTTCGTCTGGAAATTGCCATCATCAACGCGCAAAAGTCGCTACAAGGATGTAGGGCACGCGTTCTCAATGATTGAATTGACTTACTGAGTGACGATCAGCGGTAGACGAGGGTGTTTCTACAGAGGAGGCTGCCGCGACCGCGCGCAATGAGCTCTCAGACACGCGCGCCCGCTACGTGCTGCGCAACCAGATTGTTGATTCTGTGTTATCCACAAACCCGATCCTGAAGGCCGTACACAATGGCACAGAAGCCTCACCCGTTGAGAGGTCAGCTTCTATGTACTTGTTCACTACTGCGAATGAAAGCCCCTAACAAACTTGACAGGGATCTTCTGCCGTACGTACAGCAGCGTGACGAGGTGGCCATCGCGGTGGCTAGTCTGGCCACCTTCCGAGGCAAGACGCGAGAGGAGACTACAGCACTACAAACAGAAGAGCTTCGGGCTTCAAAACAGAACGTGGCACTCGCTGCACAGGTGCTGCAACTCGCCGCCAACCTGGAGCAGAAACGTTCGGCCTACTTGGAGGACGACGGCGCACAACAGGCCATACGTGAACTTGGCAATGGCCTTAAGGAAAGCCGACAACGCTGGAGAATGATCAAAGGAGTTACAGCAGGCGTAGTTGCTGGCAGTGGCGTAGATTGGGCGCGAGATGAGGCACTTGGTGAGCTAGTCTTGGACCCAGAAGACAATATGTGAGCGTCGAGCTTCTCAATATTCAGCTCGCGCCATTAGGAACCTTTCTACTACAGTATCCAAGACGGACATGCGGATGAGTTGCGTGTTCCCCTTCGCGTCGATGGATAAAGCGGGTTTGCTCCACCACCGATGCCTTCCTTCGTTCGACAGTGAGGTGTAGCTGACCAGTAACTCTTGCTGTGAATAGAAAAAGACTGTGAAATGTCCACCTTATTGCTGCCGACGAGCAAGGTCGCTATTGTCAGCCTTGGGTGCCCATGATCGGAGCAAGCGAAACGGTTTTAGGGTCTAATAAGTTCACAACCGTGATTGAACATGGAGCTTCTAAGCTAAGGTGGTGATTCAAGAATTATGGGAGGCTAGAATGACTTTCGGTGTTGATTTATATCGACGCTGTCAACGGCGAGACGTTCGTCATGCTTACAATATTGTCTCTCTTGGAGTGTGTTATAATTAATTAATAACGTCCACACGCAGGAGATAAGGCAAGGGGGCGCCATGGCCATGTACACGAGGGCAAGTACCAGTACGTACTGAGAAGTATATGACGGTACACGTCGTCATGTGCTGGGTGAGGTACCCCGCTTCTGGGCGACTGGAGCGGATCACCAGCCGATGACAGTAGTTCGGCGCATCCGACCTGGAGGCTTGAGCGTCTGGGTAAATGATACAGGGGTTCACAAACAATGCTCCAAGCAGTTCATCAGAGGTTTGATATTCTTGGTGGTTGAAATGAGATGCCGTCCAAGGAATCATTACGGCAAGAGCCTGGTGGCATTTGCAAATGTACGTCAGGCGTATGTTGGTTTGAATTCAAACCAACTTGTTCATAGATGAGTTCATCCAAATAGTATACGCTAGTAATTAAGTACTTTCTTGTGTATTGACGTGATCTTCGCCATGTCAATTCCACGCGATCCAGTGCTCAGGAAGAATTCAACCAACAATCAATGCGATGAATATTGTGTTCGTCGAGGTACGTACGTGTAACGGACTAGACCGGCGTTAAACAATAAACCAAGCGTAGATTGCGCCCAGCTTGGTCGCGTTATTATTATTAGTCTCACCGCGGATCAGCAAGAAATGCGACCTCTAGAGCGGCGCCCATGAAGCACCAACTCGGGCATTGGCGCGAAACATAGGCGCAATGCGCTGCAACCTGGTGAAGCTTCGGTCGCTTTAGCGAGCGAGCGACGCACTCTCTGTGGTCGCTGGGCTCGAAATAACATGTCCCCGCTAGCAGTCTTACTGAGATAATGAATCCTGTGCGAAGCCATTTGAAACTCCTTTACGCAGGTGAACAAATCTCCGCAAGGGAGGCCACGACAGGTATGAGCGAACCAGCCGCTGATGTCGAGGCTTGCTGGACGGATAACGACATGCAAGTATACAGTGCGCCAATTGATACCGGCCAGCCCAGTACAACAAGAGCGAGTTGGTGTGATGGCCCCTCCTTCACAGGGCGGTATGCGCACTAGTACAGTGTTGATTGATGCCCAGGTTTTGAGCAGGCGAAGCAGCGCGCGCGCGTGTGAAGATGGCATGGTCGGTGAAAGTCGCGAGTGCACTTTCTAGTTTCCGTACTCCGGCTGTCACTGGCAAGATGTGCCTGGATAAGACCTTGCGGCTCAACGAGGACTGCGAGGCACTTGCGGTATGATAAAGGATAAAGCATGGATAGGACCAAAAGAGTGTATGGTCAAGCTCAATATGTTCATGATTACCTGAGTAGTACTTTGTACTTAGGTATCTTGATAAAGTGATCTGCTCATTCATCACAGAAAGGGAGAAAGTACGGATACCAATAGCCCAGTTTCCGCCCTGTTGCGGCAGGCGCAGAGCAGCGTCGCTCTTGTTCGGCGCGGACAGTGCAAGCAGTACACGACACAACGAGAAGAATAACAACCAACTAAACAAGTCCAGTCCCGTTGATCTCAATCCAACATTGGCTGTCGCGCCTGCTGGGCGGAATTCGGTCCCAGAGCCAATGGGAAGGCTCAGATGCTGGACAGCTAGGTAGAAGAGCAAGTACTGTAGGGGGCACTGAGCAGCACTACAGGGAGCCCACGCGCTGTAGAGGTCCCAGGCTGGCTGGGCTGGCTCTCGGGTGTCTGGAAATGGAGTGGGTGGAAGCGCGTTCCTTCTCTTTGAGTCCACCTGAGCCACATGGTCTGGTGCGGACTCTCAGCTTGAACCAGCGCTGCTCTCACAATCACTCGACCCCACAGTAAAAAGGCTGCTTGGCCGCCTCCCCCCAAGTGCCCGCCTCTCTCTCTGCCTCCCTCTCTCCCTCTCTCTTCGACTCCCATACAATCGCGTCTCTCACAACACTGAGCTTCACCCGCAAACAGGTGAGTACCTCTGTTTTGCTGCGCATCACCACCAAACATAAGTCACTTTCATCAACTATCGTCGGCTGGCTTTTTTACAACTCTCGCGATTCTTCCAATACCTTTTTTGCGTCAAACATCCCTCTGCAGCTTATTTTGGGAGCTGCCGGGTGCGATTGCAACACGCGAACGTCAACCATCGTCCCCTCCTTCGTCGTTCATCTCAGGCGCATCTTGTTCTGATACGCGCATCTGGACGCCGTAGAGCTAACACGACTGCGCCTAGCTACAATAGCTCAAAGACGACAACACCACACCAATTCCCAAACTCAAATCTCTTCAAGGTATGGACACCCATTCAATCCGCGGTTTCCCAACATAGCGCGAACTGCATTGGCCCTGTAACACGCGCAATGGCATTGCGCCGCGACTTGGCCAGGAGCTTCACGGAGCTCCATCGCAACGACTTCAACCGCCACTTTACCAGCGCTCCACATTAACGTGCCCGTCGAGTCTACGTCCTATACGCGCCAGCGTGTGCGCCTGTCGTGACACTTCCAACACTACTATTGCCACCATTCAATTCAATTCCCTGCGCATCACTGCACTCGCCGGCATATTCAATCTATATACAATGCGCTAACATGCGATACAGAATCCATCATCATGCCTAAGGCTGCTGCTTCTCGCTCTGGCAAGCCGATCAAGCGCCGCACCAAGAAGGGTAAGGACCAAAATATCAGCTGGTGCTTGAACGTCAGCTAATTTCTCAAAGACCCCAACGCTCCCAAACGCGGCCTCTCCGCCTACATGTTCTTCGCCAACGAGCAGCGCGAGAATGTTCGCGAGGAGAACCCCGGCATCACCTTCGGTCAGGTCGGCAAGCTCCTCGGTGAGCGCTGGAAGGCCCTGAACGAAAAGCAGCGTGCGCCCTACGAGTCCAAGGCCGCTGCGGACAAGAAGCGCTACGAGGACGAGAAGGCTGCTTATAACGTACGTACCGCCGTTGCGCCTCTGGCTTTGCTTGAAACTTACACATCACTAGGCCCAGGAGGAGGAAGAGTCTTCCTAAGCTACCAATAGGCGAGGCGTTCGAAAGGTGGCGGCTGTACGACGCGAAGGGCATGGCCTCTTCCGTATCGGATCCTGTGAATGGGTCATTTCTTTGTATTTTGGGCAAGGCGTGATGTATGATGGCAAAGGATAGGATGCAAGCCTTTCATTATTTTTTCGGTTTGCAGGCTACATCAATGACTACAGGATCATGAATACTCAAACGGAAATCAAGTGGCTTGAGCAGCAAGTGTGGCTTGGGACGCTTTCGGGCTTCAGGCTAGCAATTGACAAACGACAATGGCGACATGTCCGGTCTCAATTTCATGAGAGACCTATCAATATGTGCCGGGTGGCTTGAGATGCGTCCGTGGCGGAGATCGTGCATGAGGCTCATGAGGATGCTAACTTGGAAGTCAAGCTGCACCAGCATCGCAGATCATGTGATTGGTCAATGCCTTGAGGTACGTGCTTTCCGATTAGTGACCCCTGGAAACGGCAGACCATAATCGACCAGATCTTCTTACACCATTTTCCCCAGACTCAATTCTATCTCCACTTAACATGACCCGGCCGCGGGCCAACTTGCCCCAGGTCAGGCTGCTGGGGTGCGAGGAAGCCCATCTGCCACGCAAACCCGCTCATCTGCTGCCACGATGGCCTGCTGGCCATCTCATGTCGGGGTTATGGGACTCTGCATGAGCCCGGCATGCAAGTCAATCACAGCAAGCCTATCAATGGCTTCTGCCTCCAGCGAAGGAAAAGCGGAGGGGTCATGAGGTGCTCTGCTCTGGATGCCATGCTCGTCCGCCACTCTATCTCACCTCCTCTTGGTGAGGTCACCGACGGGAGATATTTGTAGTGCCACCCTGCATGGTGAACTGGTGTGCTAGCTATGGTTGTTTGCCTTCATGCCTCCCACACGAGTCTTTGCGACATTATCTTGGGCGGACGCAGCTGACAAGCACTGCAGACGAGTTTGCTTGCTTCTACCTCCTGTCCCCCCATTGCACCCATCGGTGCCCAACCTACATGTGCTGGGCGCTGCTCCCACTTTCACTCTATTTTTGCTTTGCAGTGGTTGTTGGATGGATTGAGCTCGCCAGCACCCGCTGGCCCTCGTGACTGACTGGTGATTACACGAAAGCCCCCCATCTCTAAGGAACACTTGCACCTACCGCCACCACATTCGCTTGCTATAACTCATTGCCTGCTCGCTAGCTCTTCTGCTGTCCCTTTTGGTGTTTGACAGCAACATCGCTATCTGAACACAGGATAACGCACTGGTGCTTCCCTCCTGACCATGCCGCTGACGCCAGGCAGTTCGCTCGGGTGCCCGCGCTGCTTGTGAGGGGCTTGTAAGCGATTCGCACATGATTCCGCCAGCAGTTTACTCGCCCTCTATTCGCTCTGCCTCGGTCCTTGCGAGGGACAAAGAATCAGACAAACTCGTTGCTTGTGCTTGACACACAGCAGCACCAATACAGTCTGCGTCAAGCATAAAGTAGGCCATACTTGCTCGGCTATGAGGCCGCAAGGTCTCCCTTCATGATGGAACTCATCCCTAGACCCTCAATGGAGATTGTCGGTCCGATCGAGCATCACCTGTTCGGTGGCTGTTGTCTGGAAGCCCATCGATGCGACGCGGTGGCGCTACAGCTCGAAGGTCTCCGTGGCTATCTTCTCGACGCAAGCGCTGGGCACCTCAGTATCATCATCGACGACATTCGACTCACAGCATGCAGTCTGCGGGAGCTGGCGGACCTGTCTCAGGTTCATCAGGACAGGATCCCCGTCGTCTTGAATCATCTCAACATCTTACTTCCGTGTCTGTCGCGGACGCTGAGGGATATAACCAGTTACTACGAGGATACCACCATATCCAAGATCAACCGATGGAGGAACATGTACCATTGCATGAAGGACGAGGGAGACGGCATGACCCTCGGCGGGCGACTCATGCTTTACAACTACTTCCTGGGGTCTCTCCGTGACGTGCTGCTAAGGTAGGATGACTGATCCAGCTCATCGGAGTGCAACTGACATGCTGTAGGTCTCCCAACTTTGACCTCAATGGCCTCGAGACGGCGCGCGTCAAAGTCATGCAACTTCGAGAGAATAGAAACATCCGTAGGCATCCTACGTCGAGATGATCCATCCGCATTCCACTAACAACTTCAGCTCCACCGCCCGCCCAGGTCGGCCCACGCATGCGCTCTACAATCTTCGCCTTTGAGAACGACCCAGTAAGTCTGCTTAGCGCGATTTCCTCCCTCCTCTCAGCTAACAGCGAAGGATATCCATTGGGCACAGCAGATATTCTCCATGCCACTACCATCGCGTACTGCATTGAAGAATCAGATTCAGTGGGTGAACAAACACTTTACCGCTGTCTACCAGCTGACACGAGACAAGATCCATTGCAACAGGTCCGCATCAGAAATGGGGTCATCTCAAAATCCCTGAAGAGTCGCGGATACTCTATCGGCGGTGGGTCGATACTGTGAAACCCTGGGGTTTCAGCGGCTGACATCGTGTAGCCCCTTTAACGACGACAAAATCTGTCTCATCGCCTACGAGAACGGCCATGACTTGTGCCCGTACGTCCTTCTCCGTGTGATCAATCCCGAAACAGGGGCAGCTTGGTTCTCTTTACGTGGGACTCAGGAATTGTGCATCGACAGAGACGGCTGTGTCCTGCGGTTCAAGCGTTGGAGCTCAATGTCGGCGTGCTCTAAGCTCTGGGCTGCCCTCAGCTTCCAGACGTGGGAAGGTCAGTCACAAGGACAACGTGAATCATTCCTCATGCTAATATATGTCTTTACCAGAGCTCGTCTTGATGTACTCTTCCTTCCTCGCCCTGAAGGCGCGGAACAGAAAAGTTGTCAAAGTGGCGCCTGATGAATATTTGCCAAAGGGGGAACGAAAGCTCTTCCAAGCGTGGGTGTTCTGCTTTCCTGTATCTCGGGAGATTGACTGATCGTAACAAGGAGAATTTCCGACGATGGCTTCTGGCACTCCCTCGCCGTCTACAAAGACATTACAACCGGGGGTATCCGGCTCCTTGCATCGGCTTGCGAGGGGCCACTCAAGCAATGTCCAATATGGACGGCTTTCGGTCAGTCGTGTTCTGGCCACGTACTCGGTATATGCATACTGATATCGCTATTTACAGTCACCCAACAGTCCGCCTCCACGACGTGGATCAAGCGCGTATCAAACTCAAAACACAGGATCCGTCTCATGGATGTTCAGCTGTACGTGTTCTGCCAAGATTACCGACAGAACAGGCAGCGGAAAGGAAAATCGGGAGCCTTCGAGATCAGCTTTCACCAAGCGGAAGGGTGCGACCGCTTCATTGACCTCTTCCCAGTCCTACCGAAACGAGCAAAGACGCCACAGCTCGCAGGACCATAGACGGGGTCATTCCCATGACCGCTTCTATGTACAGGGGAACCGATGAATACTTTCGCCAAGCAGAGGGCCTAATTTGACGACTTGACGACTTCCTGATGAATGACTTTTATGACTTTACGTTTACTTGACTGGCCAAAATGGACGCGACTACTCGACGAGGGATACCCCCGCTATTGGGAATCAGGGGGGGTTACGAATGAACGACACGGATGAACGAATATTGTAATTTTGTACAATATTTTTCGGATTGTTTTGAACCACTGAATCAAGAACGCTTATCATGTTTGTTATCGCAATCTGTTCCCCGTCATGTCTCCTTCATTAACATCAATCGTAACTTATGTCTTGACATCAGGCTCGTCACGACCAACATGCTCCTTGAACTTGAGCAACTCGATCGCAAACTTGACCTCGGCCTTGAGGAAGTCCTGCGCATCCTGCTCGTAGGTCGCGGGGTCACTGCTGTGCTGCTCAATGTACAACCGAATAGTAGCGCCTGATGAGCCGGTGCCGGAGAGGCGGACAACGATACGGCTGCCCGAGGAGAAACGCGCGTACAAGCCCTGGTTGGAGGCGACGGAACCGTCGAGATCGGTGTAGGAAAAGTTGCCAGCGTCCGTGACAGTGCGTTCGCCGATCTTGCTGCCAACAAAGTTGGAGTCGGCAACGCGGTCCTGGAGTTCACTGACAACCTTGTTGGCACCATCCGAGTCCACGTTCTCGTAATCGTAGCGTGTGAAGAAGGTGCGGCCATACTTGGTCCAGAATTCCTTCTGGATCTCCTTAATGGAGGGTGTTACACCGGGCTTCTCGACACCGATACCGGCAATGATGTTGAGCCAGGCAATGACAGCCCAGAGACCATCCTTCTCACGGATGTGGTCGCTGCCAGTACCGAAACTCTCTTCGCCACAGATGGAGAGCTTCTTGGCATCAAACAGGGCGCAGAAGAACTTCCAGCCAGTGGGGACCTCGTAGACGTCCAGTCCCTGGGCCTTTCCGACAAGGTCGACAGCGCCAGAAGTGGGCATAGAACGCGCAAGACCGTTGACACCATTCTTCTTGAAATAGGGGATCAGGTGGGCGTAGTGGGCAATGATCGCCAGTGAATCACCGGGCGAGACAAAGGCATTGGCGCCGTAAATCATGTTGCGGTCGCCATCGCCATCCGAAGCAGCACCGAAGGGGATGTTGTTCTTGTCCACGACCTCGACAAGCGAGTGAGCGTAGACGAGGTTGGGATCGGGGTGGCCGCCGTTGAAGTCGGGGCTGGGCTCGCAGTTCTGGGTAGCTCCAGTGAGTCCGAGCTCCTTGTCAAAGATGGCTTTGCCGTAAGGGCCAGTCACGCCGTGCAGACCATCGAAGAGGACCTTGAAGTCGGGGTGAGTGGAAAAGAACTTCTTGATCAGGTCGAAGTCGAAAATATCCTTGAGCATATCAATGTAATCGGCGGTGCTGTCGATGATTTCGACCTCGAGATCACCGTAGGTTTGAGTACCAATGGTGGAGATGTCGATCTCGGGGATAGAGGCGATCTTGTACGAAGTGAGGGTCTTGGAGGTTTCGTAGATCTTGCTGGTGACCGACTCGGGGGCGGGACCACCGTTGGCCAGGTTGTACTTGATGCCAAAGTCTTCCTTGGGGCCTGTCATTGATCTTAGCATAATGGCCATTGCAACATAAACAGTGTCATTCCATACCTCCAGGGTTGTGGCTGGCGGTCAGCAGGATACCACCAGTGGCTTTGCGAAGACGGATGACATGCGAAGCGGCCGGGGTCGAGAGAATGCCATTCTGGCCGACGAGAAGTTTCTTGACGCCATATGCAGCGCCAATCTTGGCAATCAGCTGGACGACCTCGGGGTTCCAGTATCGACCATCGCCTCCAATGACAAGGAAGGAGTCTGTTCACGTTTATTTAGCCTTGTACTCCTGCAGAATCCGTACTTGCATACCCTTAACACCCTCGGGAATCGAAAGCAGAATGCTTGCCACAAAGGCCTCGCTATAGTTCGGCTGCTGGAAGACTGTGACCTTCTTGCGAAGACCCGACCTGTAGTTGCCCGCATTAGCACCCTGATTCTCGTTCTCGTTCTGAAGGGGGTCATGAAGATGGCGTGGTGTAGAACGTACGTGCCGGGCTTCTGGTCCTGGAAAGGCTTGAATTCTACGGTCTTGATCTCAGCCATGGCTTCGTTGCTCAAAATGTCAAGGAATGGAGTTTTGTTGACCGTGGGGCAAGACGATGGGAGGAAATTGGTTATAAGGGGCGACGAAGATTGGCACAATATGACGTGAGGGGCAAGGCGAAGGAGGGAAGGTCAACAAGGGGAGCTCCAGTCCCCAAGGTTCAAGTCGGGTGGGGGGAGGGGTAACAGTGCACGGCACGATACACACTGTACAATTCGCCAGTGTTCTCGCCTCCAACACAGTGCTAATAAGGTCATGGCGAGACTTGGCAGCTGCAGTCTAAGCCAACGGCTTGATGATCTTGCTGCACATGGGACAATATTTTCTATGGCGCCCAATGAATGCTTGCCAGAGTTTTCTGTTGTTCTCTGCCTTGATACCGCTGCCACTTAGTCCAAGGTACGCCCGAAAATGACATTGCGGTAGTATTTCGCCTCTTCGATGCTCTCGAGGATGTCGTCTCTAGCTTTGTGCGTGCCCTTCTTGCTGGGGACCTTCTTGGAGATCTTGGGCGCCGCCCACCGCCGTGCCGCCTCCTTGATGGTTGTTACGTCAAGCAACCGATAGTGCAGGTGGTCCAACGCCTTGTCATACGGTGCCTTGCGCAGAAAAGTGCGATCCGCGTGGATGCTGTTCCCGGCGAGGAGACCCTTGCGTTTGTCCGGGATATACTTGGTAATGTACTCGTACAGTCCATCGGCAGCCTGCTGTGGTGTTGTTGTCGAGTTCAGCACTGCTTCAGTGAGGCCCGAGTTTCCGTGAGTTTTCGTGCACCACTCATCCATCTGGTCGAGGCGCGATTTGGGAAAGTGCACAATTGCATGATACCCTTCTTCATCCAGGAGCTCGAGGTTGCCTGTCGTGATCAAGCAATAAATTTCAATGATCTCCTCGGTATCGGGGTTCAACCCAGTCATCTAAGAATCCAAATCAATATACCAATCGTGTAATCTCGAACCTAATGTACGGGCTTACCTCACAATCAATCCAAACAAGCGGATCGTCTGTCACGCCGCGTTTGGACTGGTCCGGGTTTTTCGTGTCTTGAGAGGCCATGCTTAGACTTGCACAGGATATTTTTCGTCAAGTGATGAAGCTGGACTTATTGGCGAGAGCGCAGAAAAGCTGGTGATTTTGGTTGACACGGGTAGGCAACTACGTTTGTTATTGTCGGCATCTGCTTTCGTGCAACACACTAACAGGTCGCTCGATGGTTAATCGCCAACCCCTGATTGGTGCAGCGACAACAACTCATTAACGGCACTTCAGCACTGAGAGTCTAAGACAACGTGAACGAAGGCCGAACACCTGCTGCCAATGTGTCTGTGTCACCACCCGTCTCTGATTCATCCTACGCCCTTCCATCTTCTTTTATGTCGACGTGTATTGCTCCACTGTAGTCGCTCCTCGTGCATCGTTCACCTCTTCAAAGGTGCAGGTCCACTCCCCTTTCCACGCTTCTTGCAACATTGCGCATTCTTTGTCCCCATCAAGCCCCTCATGCCACCGCAGTAGCTAATGATGGCACTCAATCAAGCCATGTCTTCGTCAGACGACAAAGCCACATCAGCAAGATCTCCAAGCCCCCCCAGATTCATCATCATTGGAGCCGGGTCCCGAGGGCAGAAGTACGCGGACGCAACCTGTTCAGCCACCGGCGGAGTCATCAGCGCCGTAGCAGAGCCTATTGAATCGAAAAGGAACCGGCTGGGCCGCAAACATATCTGGGAAGCTGAAGGCCCAGAAGAAGGCCAGGCTTTTTCCCACTGGAGAGAGTTCCGAGATTACGAAGTCAAAAGAAGGGAGCGCGAGGCTTCAGGAGAGAAGAATGTACCCAAGGGCGTTGATGGAGTCTTCATCTGTGTGTTGGACGAGCTGCACAAGGAGGTAGTCGTTGCGTTGGCACCGTTGGACCTGCACATCATGTGCGAGAAGCCCCTTGCTTGCTCCCTCGACGACTGCCTGGCCATGTATCGCGCGCTCAAAGGCCACGACAAGAAGATCTTTCACATCGGACACGTACTCAGATACAGCCCGCACAATGTGCTTCTACGTCGACTGCTACTAGAGGAGAGGGCCATCGGTGACATCAACAGCGTTGTACACACCGAGCCGGTGGGATGGTGGCATTACACGCACTCTTACGTTCGGGGCAACTGGCGTAACTCTGAGACGACTGGGCCATCGCTTCTCACCAAGAGTTGCCACGACATTGATCTGCTGCTTTGGCTGCTGTGTTCGCCAACAAAACCCGGCCAAGGCGAGAACCATCTCCCTTCATACGTCCAGTCCACCGGAGGTCTCCAGTACTTCAAAAAGAGCCGCAAACCCGCAAAGGCAGGCGATGCGACCAACTGCATGAAATGCCCCTTGGGGGACGAAGGCTGCAAGTATTCTGCCAAGAATGTGTACCTTAGCGATCGATACCAGGGGCTAGGAACTGGGAACCTGGAGTGGCCCGTCCACATTGTTGCCCACGACATCGAGGATTTTGGCACCCGCCAAGAGCAAGAGCATGCCCTAACGAGAGTCCTGGAAGAAGACTATGACGAGTCTACTCCCCGGAAGGTTGTCCAGTCGCGCAATTGGTTCGGCCGTTGCGTTTTCGAGTCGGACAACAACGTCTGTGACGACGAATTTGTGACGATCACCTGGGATGAAGAGGGAGACAAGCCCGCAAAACGCGTGGCCTTCCACATGGTGGCACAGACAGAGAAGCAGTGCGATCGCCATGCAACGTACTACGGCGAGCACGGCGAGATTCATGCCGATTCCAAGTGCATTACCGTGACTGACTTTGAGACCAAGAACGTCAAGTCGTACAACCCAAAGGTGGAGGACATTGGTCATGGAGGAGGGGATGTCGGCCTGACGAGGCAGTTCGTGCTCGCGTGTGATCGAGTCAAGAACGACGGCTGGCAGGCGTTGAGAGCGCAGCACGAGATCCTTGGCTGTACACTGGAAGACACGTTAAGATCACATGCGATGGTCTTTGCCGCCGAAGAAGCCAGGCTGCAGCGCAAGGTAGTTGACTGGGCAGATTTCTGGGAGCGTGAGGTACTTGAGGGGGTGAGCGCGTGAGATACATGGTCATAGCAACGGTGAGCCGCCACAAGTAATAGTAGATCTTCAGCTAACGCACTATTTTTCCCATAGTAGGGGGTTTGCTTATTCCCACATTTTCATTGCTGTATTGCTTTCTTTATTATTATCCCCCAACCAGCAAGTAAAACATTCCTTCCCCCTATGATTGTTGCCATCATGACCCTGATCACTTGCAAACCGTTCGTATTAGGTCTCGACATTAAGCCTCGGCCCTGTGAACAGACGGTGCTTAGCAATATGTGTCGAAAATGGGCTCAGGCAAGTCGAAACTCGGCCTCAAAAGAGCCATTGCCGCTTGTTGGTCTTGGTCATTGTCAAGAAGTCCGTAGCGCCGAAGGAAATCCACCGTCACCAGCCCACAGTTTGGCTTCCACATACCCTCAGCAAGGGAAGCCTTGATCTGCTGCACACTGAGCCAGCATATACCCTTGCTGGAGTTGTCCTCTGCGTTGGGCTCCGGTGTCACGTCATTGTCGAGCTTCAGGTCGAAGCAGAAGCGAATGCCCGGCTCAATGTGGCCAGTCTCGGCAGCGCCCGCTTCAGCGTTCTTCTTCGTGCAGAAGTATATTGTGCTGGTAAGGTCGACGGGTCCCAGCTCCTCGACAGGGATGAGATATCCCGCGCTGCCCTCGCCACGCCAGACAATCTTGCTGTTGCTCTGGCAGATGAACTTGGTTTCCTCTTCAGCCTCGTGGCGGAATGTAAACCACACGGATTGGAAATCCTCCGGATTCATCCCTCCTGCAATGATCTGATCGTACTTTCCACCAAAAGTCTTCCTCTTGAGACGTTCAGAGACCCACAGGCCGGTGACGGCCCCTTCATCGTCCGTCGTGTAAGCGTTGACATGGATGCCTGCGGTGAGTACACCGAGAATTCCTCGAATGGGGGACGGAACCTTCAACCCTTGTGGACCACACGGAGGCAGCATGATGGGGTGATAATCTGCCTTGAATCCCCTTTCTTTGCTTTCGAGCCACTTCGCCAACCCAGCGTTGAATCCATCTGTGTTTCTCATCAGAAAACAGAGATAATCAAGTTTCTGGTTGACTTGAGTTACTCTTTCAAACTCGCAAGGGCCAGGCTCTGCCTGCAAGCGCATGGTCTTGATTCCTTCATCCAAATCGAACACAGCCTCCCAGTTGCATCGATCCCGATTCAGATCAACAAAATTGCAAGGAATAAAGCCGACAGGTTGGGCATAGTCAAGAACCATGAGCTTCCAGCCTTGCTCCAGCTCCTCGGCGCTGAGGTTGTCCCATTGCTTGATGATTGGGGCTAGCGTGTCGCTCTGGTCTGCTGACATGATGTCTTCTACTTCTGGGTCTTCTCTGGAATTGTTGTTGGATAGCGTCGTCAGGCTTGGTGTGCTCAATAAAACACATTGATCTTGAACGGCATCGGGACGTCAGTGTGAACCCTCGCTCCAGATATACCTGGACTCGATCATTGACTCAAACGTCCATTGCTCAGGCTGTCCTGGTACCCCCTGTGTCTTTTCGGTGTATCGGTTTCAAGCCACGAGAATACTGAGTTCATTGATTCAAGTGCCATCCAGCAAAAGGCCTGTGAATCTGGATGATACCATTGCTGTATCGCCAGATTCAACTCGCAACAACCCAACGCAGCGTGTCTGGCCGGCGATGGAAGTTGGGGTTGAGCAACCCAATAATGATGAACGATGGTGGCAGCCACGATTCGCAGCCACGCAAGTTTTTGAAAGGAGCACAGCCAACGTTCAGTGCGGTGTCAAGGTTAGTGGCAAGGAACTGAGACATCTATACCTCACGTTGGGAGCCGTGACTTGAAGCCTTTGATCCCGCCAGAGCACGTCTGGCCTTCTGGGATTGGGGTTTAATATCCTGCCGCACGCACCATGCACGGTTGGCGTGTATCGGTGGGACAAGCAGCGTGATGAACTTGATCAAATTTGATTGATAATGTAAGTGCCGAGAGCTGCCTCGCAGTGATGTTTGAAGTAATGAATTTTTCCATGTCTACAGCTCTGCTTTCTCTCTGAAGCGTTCGCTGCACGAAAGATGCGAGTCTGGCGCAAACTAAAGCCAATGTCAATCACAACGCTCGCTGCATCGTCATCATGCAGTGTCCATGCTAATGAAAAGGTCCCGACCTTTGCTTCAGGGCGAACCCCCTCATGCAAGCTACCACCTTTACGGTGACTCCATGCGCCGTTTCCCATGAATAACAGTAGGCCCGCATGGATTCTCAGACCAGAATCCATGCGACGCTAGTACCTACAATAAGACGATCTCTTCTCAGCGGTCAGAGGCTGAAATGGCTTGGCGCGCTGCTGCTTGAGCTTTGCCTCCTTCTTTTATTGTCAAGAGCAAAGGGGCTGGGGAATGTTCCTCGATCAACGCCTTCCTGAGTCGACATCGTCGTCGGGTTCGAGTTCAAGTTCGGGGAACATGCAGTGGTGCATGATGAACATGTGAGCTCCAACGGTTCGGCACTGAGTCGATACGTCGGCGTCGTGCATATTCGTGAACAAGCGTCGAAAGCAATCACTGCCTCTCCCATCTTACAGCCGCAGACTGCACACACCTTCTCGGCCACAATTCGATGGCACATGGCGACGATAAACTGGTTGAGCGGGCCCTGGCAGCTTCACCAAGTACTGCGCTGCAAGAAAGCGGTGGCGGTAGGTGAATGAATACTGTGATAGCTTCCGACCGACGACTCGTGATTCGATTTGTCGATAAGTTCGGAGTCAGCAATTTAGGTCTTGGTCTGGGTTAGACAAATGCGGAACTCGCGAGCCTACCTGGTATATTATAGCTGGGGTTATGAAACCACTTCACCTTTCGCTACTCATAGCTGCCCAACTAGTTCAAGCCCCTGCCCAATCTTTGAAAGCCTGGAATAGCCGATGCGCCTCAATTGCGATGCTGTTATTCGCTGTCACCTGATCATTACGTGGCTTGTGACTCTTCACTGACGACATTTGCGGCCAACACCTGGTAGCGACTGGACCTACAGGTAGTTGACAGAATGACATGACATGAGCCAGAAGTGCATTTCAACAACTAGGAAAGCTCTGGAGCTCTGAAGAAGTGCCTGCCAGAACCCAGCTTCCCGTGCCGATTTGTGAGGACGTGTGGGTGGGACAATTGACTTCCCGAATACAAGGAACTCGTCCGTGGCCCAGCGGCGGCTTCCGGCTATCCGTGGGTTGGAAACACGATGCAACCTCGCCGAGGGTAAATGTGATTCGCCCTGCAGTCAGCAACATGGGTGTGGCGAGATGAGTGAGAGTGTGCGTGCTGAGTATGTATTGCGTCCGAGTGCACAAAGGGTCTGACTCTCGCATGTCAATCCAGTGCTGTGACCCACCGATCTATCGGGAGTCCCCAAGGGATGGAACGCATGATGCCTCTATATGGCAGCCCCTTTCGACATCATTACCGAATTGCAGCTATGCACTCACATCAGATGTGAAGTCAAACAAGCCAAGATCAAGCCTTTCACGTTCCCCGACAGCCAGCAGGAACCTGAATGAACTCACTTCCCATTAGCGCCAAGGCTTAAATCAGGTTGTGGAGAGCTTTCACTGCGAGCGAGGCGAGCTTCGATTCGTGGACAGCCTCGCCCCGTCAGTCGGCGGCTACCGTATGACAGATGTGCCACAGGAACGTATTGAGACGTTTGAGGTCATCGCTGTGCTATCATCGGCATGTGCATCTTTGTATGGCTGTTGAACTTGAGGCGGAAGGTCGGCAGGAACATAGTTCAAACTAACTAAAAGTCGTCTAAAGGACCAACGTAGGTCTCCTGTTATGCGATGGTCGTGGCTCCTGTTTCGAGGCCTTGGAAGTTGTGGAAAACAAGATAAAGAAGAATACTGTTACCTGATGACAAAGTTCACCAGCATTGGCTGAATCGCAGCCATCATGTCTTGCCAGCCTTTTGATGTGGCAGGGATAAGGAGCATTCAATGGTTATCTGGGCTGCGTTGCGCCAGTCCGCGCCTTTGGTGTATGCGGAGGGAACATAGCCGAGTCCCCCGCGTGAGGGTCTCGACCAAGAGTGAGGCTTGAAAACAAACTGCCTTCTAGTAAATTAAAAGGACTAGTGTCGATCGGGGGTTCCAGACTTCCAGGTCTATGCTTGCGTGGCAGTTGATGCACTGAAGTTAGCTTAGTACTTATATGCATGGACTTGAGACAGCTTTATTGGCTAAAGGGGGCTTACCTAATAAAGCGGGTCCAAACCAGCGACGACTGCACTGCATTGTCGACGGCCTTGCAACTGAGCATCTTAGACGACGAACAAGCCTCAATTGACGACCCAAGCCGCTCAACATGTTCGCCGCACGACAGAGGGCGAGCTGCTTGGCTCGTCGCTTGCCGCGAAGCACGCGCTCATATGCTAGCGATTCTCACCACAAGGCCGCCGAGGTCAACGAATCCTTCGGAGTACGCACGCACCCGACTCCCACCACGCTTTGATGATGACCGCAAGCAAGCCACTGACACGTGTGATTCACAGACAGGATCGATGTTGGCGGTCGGCTCCTTCTTCTTCGGTATTCTCGTCTACCAGATGACACCCCGGCAGGGCGAGGAGTCGAGCATCACCCGGATGATGAACAAGTACCTGTCGCGCAGCGAGGACTGGGAGGAGATCAATGCGACCCACGTCAAGGCTGCCCGGCAGGCTGGATTCGACCGCGCTCTCTTCGAGAACGAGGTTCCCAAGGAGCGCTGGGTCGATGTGTCATATCCTGAGTATGTGGACGACAGCTGATTCGGATCGAATAAGGAAACTAACGCTGCCCCAGGGCCCTTCAATCCCACGCTCAAAGGAACAACCGCGCTGGACATATGATCAACTTGGATTCGGTTGTGGAGCACTACAGGAAGGAACATGTCAAGGACCAGGAGCTCAAGATGAAGCGGTTCGAGAAGGAATGAGGAGTGTACAATACGCGACACGGATATTAGAGGTGCCAGCCAATAAATCCCGAGAGGAAAAATTCCCCATTTGCATCACCATTTTTCGGAGTATGTCTGGGTCTTCCATTTCGAATCGACTTAGCTGAGCCTCAGCCGGGTTTGTACTGAGTACATACGAAAGTCCCGCAAGGTAAAGTTGCCTCAATAGTTACACCAACGTGCGCGTTTTCTCGGTGGCTCACTTGCGGCCGCTGCTGCCATGTGCAAACCTCTGGGATCGGCAATAGTCAAGGGAAGGAGCTCGTGTGAGACAGGCTCGCGTTGTTGACCTATCAGGTGAGGCATCTTATGTAACTTTCTGAAGTCTCAACATTACCACAGAATTCACGTTCACCTTGTCATAAAATAAAAGCCTGTGACCATCGTATAAACACCCTGTTTTTGGTGCAAAGACATGGCTTCCCTGATCAGCAACCGCAACAATATCACAACTACTAATTGGCCCACCAAGCGTGGCTAAATGCCTCTCATCGGTTAATGAAGTCTGTAAGTAACCCTTGCTCTGTTACTGATACAGTAGCGTTTCGTCCGCTGTTGCGCCCTCTCATGCTGTTGAGAAGGGTTCCTTTGACTGTCACTTAGAGCACAGCTGAAACCTCCCAGTGAATTGCAACATTGGTGCTCTGCAATGTTTCCACAGTCCCGCCAGGAAATCGACAATTATTAGCAGGCCCTGGACAGCTCCGGTGGCTGCTCGCTTAGGTGCAGTAACGCTTCTCAACACGAATGCGCGGCGAGGAAGAGGAGTATTTTTAAACGAGGACTCTCCTCGACAACACCCAGTGTATCTCGAGAAACCTTGCATCTCTGCGGCCGTTCCGCAACTCCTCAGATGCCAAAATCACACGGTATGGCGAGCTTGGATTGCTCTCAGTCAACACCAGCTTGCTCAATTAAGAACCGTCTTTGCTCAGTGGCTCAAAGACGTGCCAGACAAGGTCGTGAAGAGCATAGATAGGAAGGGGTTGGATAAGTTCGTGGCTGAGTACGGGATCTTCGACAGGCAACCCACTCAACAATGTCCATGTTTTCTTCCTCACTCACATATCAAACACGCTTGCCTAGATTGTGCCAACTGCACCATTCCAATTGACTCGGCAGATCGGCATTTGGTCACTGTCAGGTTGTGCAGAGATGTTAGAGCAGGCCAGGAACTGTTCATTAGGTACAACAAGCAAGTGCCATACCCGTGTGCTACTTGTAAGTCGAGCATGTTGCAGATCTGGGATATACTCGCGCAGTACCATGCAAGCCGGCTGGGCAAAGCCTTGTTCATGCGTCGTTAGTCCATGCGCGGCCGCTGCGTAGAGGGCGGTCAGCACGCGCCTACATTGTTGCAGCAATCGTGCCGAGGCGGCATGTCAACGGGAACGTGCGGCCCAAGAAAGTGGTGCAGGCAGCACAGTAGGGCGAATATGATTTGATGAGGTTTTTTGATTGTACTCTCGTGGTAATCATTGTCATCACCATAAGGTAGAGCATTCTACCAGAACCAGCCCTTTTCGCCCTTGAAAGTCCATGAATGCAAACACCACCCAAGCCACCGCACCTTTCCTTACTTGAGAGGAATGAAACGAGAAGAGTTTGTAGCACCGATACCGGGACGGCCGTGCTTGACAGGCTTGCTGTGGTCTCGTTAGTACACGTGGCACAGGTGATTTCACGATAGAGTAAACGTACTATGAGATGGAGAACTCGGCGAGGTAGTGGCCAACCATCTCAGGCTTGATCTCGACCTGGTTGAACTCCTTGCCGGAGTAGATGGCAATGACGGAGCCAATCATCTCGGGGACGACAATCATATCACGGAGATGGGTCTTGACGGGGTCGGGCTTCTCGTTGGGCTTGGCCTCCTGCTTAGCCTTGCGGAGCTTCTTGATCAAGCCCATGGGCCTGCGCTTGAGACCGCGGTTAATCCTGCGGCGAGCACGGGCGTGGACGACATCACGGAGCTGGTCAGAGCTGAGGTCCAGAAGGCTGCGTGCGCGTTAGCAAAGGCTCTTGAGTCTTGTTTCGTTCGACGGGGCAGTGATGGTTCGGGCGGCTCGCTGGTCGTCGGGAGGGTGATCAACGTACTTGTCGAGGTCGATTCCACGGTAAGAGAACTTGCGGAATGCTCTTCTCTTCTTGATCTCGGCAGCCTTCTCGGCGTCCTGTAATATCGACAGTTAGTTAAGCGTGTCCCAATGGCCAAAATCACCACTGCGTGTGCTTGTCATCCAGAGCCTCGACATCATCGATTCGAACAGTCGTCGCATCGCTGTAGTCGGCAGGAATGGAGCGCAGGCGATGGAACTGCATAGTACGTACGTATTCGTCAGCCATGATTGCGGTGTTGTTGGTTGATGATCCGTCGCAAATCGATTCGCAGGGTGTCGATTCGCGAGACTTTTGGCCTTGCTGAACTCGTAGTAGGTCGTGCAACTCAGGCTGTATGGGGCCAAAATTTCGAGACTCTGTAGGGCTTCTGCCCTTCGCCCCTCACTTGTGTGGCCTAGCACCCGCGCACAGCGCGCCCCGACTATCCAGCCGGCGGAATAGCCGGCCCGAAACTGGCTGCTGACACATCACCCGCCAAGCCCTTTCTGACGTTTGGCCGCGCCAAGCAAAGAAATGGAAGCGAATTTCCGGGCATGATTCAACAATCTGGTGCCGAGGACCGGCCAAGTCTTTGCCCGGAAGATGAATCCCCAAGTTTCCTGAAGGTAAGATTCGAGGGCCAGCATGACTTCATAGAGCCTGCAGCCGGCAGTTGCTTCGCGAATGATGATGGACTGCGAGACATGGAGAAATCCGTGCTCGTCCACAATCCCTCGTTGACCGGCCTCAGAGCGCACTTCTGTCTGGCATCTCAAGCTACAAATGAACTCACCATCCACGCAGCTATGTCAGAACTACCCAACACTGGCTCATCATACTACTGAAGGCCAAGATATTCTCAAGGCATACGAAGGGCGATGCCAATGTTCTGCTAAGAGCTGTGGTGCACTGGCGCACTGGGCATGGCCACGCGGTCTCTCATTTCTCGTCTTGGCAGGCGGTGATAAGATCCGCCAAGACTGGCCCAAGAGAACAAAACGACCCTTTGCGGGCAAGGCAAGACGGGGGGTTGTAAACACCAAAGTAAAATGAACGACCCCTTCTACTGCTTCGCTTGTCATTGCCTGACCATCGAGATTTCTGACACTTATTTGTTATAACTTCTTTACGTCGCCCGTCCGCCGCAGCCTGCTCACCACAGCAAGGTGCATACCGACTTACATACGCTCCGACCCTCTCAGCGGGAAGCCTGCACGCGCCACTCCTGCGCTTGACCTGTTCCAACTTCCCCCCAGACTCTCGGTGCAGCGGTGGAGTTGATCGGCGATCAGCTCTCCTTTTAAGGGTTCTTCCGTCAAGTCTTCAAGGCCTCCGTTTTTGGATGCGCTTTCCATAATTAATAACTCGTGCACTGCGAGCGAGCACCTTTCACCATCCGACGACCGCGCCGGTCTGGTGTGTGGAACGACGCGAGATGGCGTCCCCATCAGAGTCAGACTTTGGTGGCGGTTCAGCAGAATCAAGCGTGCCGACGTTGACAGCTTCGCCAGCAACAGCCGTAGCGAGCTCCACGCCGATCATCACAAAGACGACCCACGACAAACGTCCAACCAGCTACCCACCGATGACAACGCACTGGAGCACACCCGACAGCTGCACCTGGACGTACGATATCAACCAAACCTTCAATATTGGAACCACCGGTGCCATTGCGTGGTTAGATCTGGAGCCCGATGTTGATGCGAGCACCGTGTCATGCTATCCCGATGGAATGTTCTACGGTGGACGTACGGGAACCTTCAGCCCCGGTACCTGCCCCAATGGCTGGACGACAGTGTCTGTACGGAAAAATACCAATGAGCCCAAGTCGCTGGCGACAACCACGGCCGTGTGCTGCTCCTCGTAAGTGGCCAACCTTGGAATGCGACGGCGCTGTGCTAACATTGCCGTTCCAGCGAGTACTCGCTTGACGGGAGCATTTGCAAGCGCGAAATACCCACCGCCCTTGCTGTGCCTATCGTGTATAATACGACAGATGGTACACACAATGTCCTGTCCAAGGAGACGTTGACCCTGACCAGCGCTACCTTGGCTGTCTGGACAATCAATGCGCTCTTCCAGGAAGTTGATAAGGACATACTGGGGCTGACCGACGAGGACGAAATTCGAATCATCGACCAATCTGATAAAGGGGGGCTGTCACTGGGCGCCAGGATTGGCATCGGCATTGGCGCGACCATCGGTGCGTTTCTAGCCCTTGGCGTGGCCCTTTGGATATTGTGCAGGAGGAGAAAGCGCTCAAGCAGGGAGCGATCTCAAGCAGCAATGGTTGAAGATGCTCGCCTGTCTGCCATTAGGCAAAGAGGTCAAGGATCTGAACCCTTTGCGCCTGCCGACGGGTTTAAGGAGAGGACATCCATTGAAGGAACAGGTGGCGGCAGGGACTCGGATGGGGAGATCGATGCGCTCAAGGCGCAACAGGAAGCGATTCAGCGCCGCATCGAGGAGCTGGAGAGGAGCGCCTAGGCCCCAACACAGCAGGGGCGCAACGAGCATGATTGCCTGGCCGGTAGCCCGTGGGGTTTTGCGCAGCGGTGCTTATTCGTACGATACCATTTTGTTTTTCTATCATAGCGGGCCGACAGGGAATGGCCGGAGCATTTGAGAGAGCAATGTGGCTCTAGTCTAGGGGTCATGTGATGAATTCATGAATGTTTCAACCTCCCCGCCGGCGGGCATCTTCTAAATGCGCGAGAACACATTGAGGCTCGACAGTGCCTTGCCCGGCCACGCAAACATGGTGTTGGAATTGCAGGAAGAACCTAAGGCTTGGTTGTCCACCCAAGCTGGCTCCCAGTAGAACAACCCAGCACCGCCGTTGACGCCAGCCACAACGTCAGCTACCTTCTTCACATACTCGCTCTGTCTTTCCGGTGTGAATGGGATGCTGGACACATCGCTTGGGGATGGATATTGCGGGGAAGGGCAAGAAGTTGGCCAGTTTGTTTCCACGACCAGAAGCTCCTTGCCAAATGTGCTGGCCATGTTCCCCAACGTCGACCCCAGGTTGCTCAGAGTCGCGTACTGGCCATAAAAGGGGTAGAATGAGACGTCCATCTGGTCAAAGTCACTCGACAGCAGCGGGCCCTGGCCGAGAACAGTGCTGTAGAACCATTCTTGGACGCCCCAGTCCCAGCCATTGTCGAGGTGAAGCATGATTTTTGGCGGCGGGCTGATGTTTGAGTCTCTGACGCCAGAGCATCCCGAATGCAGGAGTCGGGCGATGTTGTATGGGTTGTTATAGTGGCCAACAGGCCACAATAGGCCACCCCTGATCTCATTACCGACGGATATGATGGCTGGGTTGATACCGGCAGCTGCAAAAGTGTTTGATACCTCAAGAGTATAGTTGTACAGCTGCCACGACAGAGTGGTGATGTCGCTACTCCAGCCTGAGGGGATCGCCTGGTGAGCCGGGTCGGCCCAGGTGTCACTCAGGTGCACATCCACATAGATGTCGAATTCAGCAGTTTGAGCGCGCTTGGCGATTTCAAGGTTATAGACGAGGTTGTATTCGCCGTTGGAAGGGTTCACCCAGACGCGCTGGCGGACCGTGTTGACTCTAGCGTCGGCAAGGATATCCTCGAGTGGCTGAGAGGCGCCGGACGAAGAGGCGTAGGATATACCAGCAGCCTCTTCCACTAGGACGGATGACCAGTCTACACCAACGTACTGGAGTGCTGAAGAGGTGGCGGCTAGCGACAGCAGTATGGCTCGCGCTATTATAAACCATGGTGGCTGTTCTATGTAAGAGATGCCGAGATCGAAGCATTCTAGCGGCAAAACTTGTGAGCGCACCATTCCAATTTCCTCTTTATACGTGGTTTTTCCGTGACTGGCCGTGAATGTAGATTGGCGGAAACATTGCCGGCATTGTTTCAAGTCGGTCTTGAGTTCTGTGTGCTGAAGCTCTACGGTCCAAGATACCATACTCGGACACCACCTATGGTGATCCCATGAAATTAAAACAATCCCTGCTACTTGAACTGTCTAGCAAGTAGCAACTACAATGTTCAGAGCTTTGGGTAGACGAATACTTGAAACTTCCCCAAGCGGCACGCCTTGGAGATTTCTCTTCGTACCCTCAGCTTCCGCTTATTCGCATGATTAGAGCTAAATAATCCTGCCAGGATCGGCCAACTCCTGTGTAAATGCAGCCCACCAGTGTCGGCTTCAAGTAGCATTGCCGCAACTGGGATTGACAGTAGTATAGGGCATTGTCTGGTATGTATGTACCTTCAGTAGCCTATAGGTACTAGCCTGCACTAACGACCAGTAGCACCGCAAGTTCGAAGAAGAAGGATGTATGTATTTCACGGACAATCTCCGCGCTGATGGTGATGAGCCTGAGGTCTGATGTCGTTTGGATTTAGTTTCGGTAGCGTCCGTTACCCCGACTTGTACCTGGATCGTGTATTGGCCAGCTCTGTGGGGGAGGCAGGCTGCAAATGGATCGATGCATCGTGAGGTCCCATATATATTTGACTGAATATAGTAATGATTCAAAGCTGGCCTTGCAATTTGCCTTTGACGAGGAACGACATTAAATGCGGCGAAGTTATCACCATGAACTTCAACATGGTGGGGCTTGCTAGTAGTCGCGCTAAGTCGATGCCGCCAGCTCAGGGGTAAGACGAGGCAGGCAGTGTGAGCTTTCTTCTCCAACAAAGCCAGAAGAATTGGAAGTCGCCATCATGAGGTTCCTGCTGCGTTGATAGCTCAATGATATCCCACGCGAGTCTCGCAGCCTTCTTACATAGCATTGTAGGTGTTTCGATGTTGTTGCGCTATCAAAGACTGGACGCTTGGCTGGTAGACCGCGACAGATAGACTGGGGCCAACAGCTTGAAGCACTGCAAGCCATTTGGTGGCCCCTTGGGGTCTCCATCGTCAGGGGTTCGTCGGCAGATGTAGAGGAACCGGGTCTATAGTACAATATACTAGACAAAGAGTGTACCACTACTCTCACCGCTCACCGCTAGCTCCATCCAACCCCGCCAAGTGAGCCCACAACAGAATTCACGTCCACCTCAATCACTTCTCCTCTCCCTTCCTCTCCTGAACCTCCGACCTCCGTTGTCGCTCGCCATATCCTCTCGGCTTCTCCTCGAAAAGGTCTCGTGGTAAAATAAACCATCATGAAGGGCGAGGTATGTTCGCGACCTGCCTCTCTCCGAGTCTCGAGACTCGGGCTTGCTCCTGTGTTCTCTTGGCGCCACTCGCCCCTGAAAGACATCCGGAATGGAATATAGAAGGAAAACTCAGGACTAATGCTTTTGTTCGCAGATTCTTCACCTCCACGTCGGCCAGGCCGGTACCCAGCTGGGTAACTCTGCTTGGGAGCTGTACGTCTGATCTCAATTTCGCATCCCCCGGACCAACAACCAAGCGCTAACCAGCTGTTGACAGCTACCTCCTCGAGCATGGCCTTGGCGCTGATGGTCGTCCCGACCCCAACCTCCAGGATGTCGGCGACCCGGGTTCCTTCGAGACCTTCTTCACAGAGACGAACAACGGAAAGCATGTGCCCCGCGCTCTCTTCGTCGACTTGGACCCTTCGCCTATCGACGAGATCCGCACGGGCGACTACCGCCAGCTCTTCCACCCCGATATGTTGATGAGCGGCAAGGAGGATGCTGCCAACAATTACGCTCGTGGTCACTACACCATTGGCAAGGAGATGGTTGACAGCGTTGTCGACCGCATCCGCCGCATCGCCGGTCAGTAGCGCGTGTTGGTACCAAGGATGACCAGAGTCACTAATGTATCCACAGACAACTGCAGCTCCCTCCAGGGTTTCTTGATCTTTCAGTCTTTCGGTGGTGGTACTGGTTCTGGTTTCGGTGCCCTCCTCCTGGAGCGTCTGTCCACCGAGTACGGCAAGAAGACCAAGCTCGAGTTCTCCGTCTACCCTTCCCCCCGCGTCTCGACCGCCATTGTTGAGCCTTACAACGCTGTTCTCTCGACGCACAGCACCATCGAGAACTCCGACTGCACATTTCTCGTTGATAACGAGGCTGTCTACGACATCTGCCGCCGAAACCTCGACATCCCCCGCCCTTCATACGACCACCTTAACCGCCTGATCGCCCAGGTCGTTTCCTCCATCACCTCGTCCCTGCGCTTTGACGGTGCCCTCAACGTCGACCTGAACGAGTTCCAGACCAACTTGGTCCCCTACCCCCGTATCCACTACCCCCTCATCTCCTACGCCCCTGTGGTTTCCTCTGCCAAGAAGGAGCACGAAAGCTTCAAGGTCTCCGACCTCACCTTTCAGTGTAAGTACTGACACAACTACTTGACCGCGAGCCAGGCTGACACCTCCCAGGCTTCGAGCCCAACAACCAGATGGTCGTCTGCGATCCCCGCAACGGCAAGTACATGGCTGTCGCTCTGCTGTACCGCGGTGATGTCGTCACCCGCGACTGCAACTCCGCTATTGCTGCACTCAAGGCCAAGGCCTCCTTCAACCTAGTCGAGTGGTGCCCAACTGGCTTCAAGCTCGGCATCAACTACCAGAAGCCCATGGCCGTGCCCGCTCCTCCTGAGGATGGCGGCCTGGCCTCTGTCGACCGCTCCGTCTCCATGTTGTCCAACACCACCGCCATTGCCGAGGCATGGTCACGTCTGGACCGCAAGTTTGACCTCATGCACAGCAAGCGCGCCTTCGTGCACTGGTATGTTGGTGAGGGTATGGAGGAGGGTGAGTTCACTGAAGCCCGCGAGGACCTGGCTGCGCTCGAGAAGGATTACGAGGAGGTCGCTGCCGACAGTCTCGAGGCCGAGGAGGATACTGAGTATTAAGCGCGCACCCAGAAGTAATCCCGACACCGCCCAATACCTGTCTCGGAGCCCAGAGCTGTTTGACAGAGTTGGCAAGGGTAGGCTGCTTGGAATCTTCAGCGTTGCGGGCGGATATGGCATGGTAGATTCCATTTGTCGTTAACCCTCTGAACGAAAATCTGATTTGAGTAGGAGAGTCTTTGGCGCCCAGTGGAATAGATCGGACTGTCATCTTACTACTTATCCTCTTGTGTTTCTTTTCTTCAAGCAAGCAGCTTCAGATCAATGTTGATATCCATTTGATAATTCGAACATACTTTTGCAAGCGACCATTTATACGATGACCTTTGCAGTGCTGTTGACTACCTTAAAATGATGATGAATACATTTTAGTCTAGTTCAGGCAATACTTGGGTGATGTCTTTAGGCTTGCGAGACCCAATATGTACACTTATGCACCAGAACTAAGTACAGACTCAGTCCTTCTTCTTGCTCCTCCACTCAGCAGCCCTTCGCGTGCCTCGGCCCGCGGGCTTGTTATTCTTCGCCTTCTTCTTCTTTCCAAACCTTAAGTCCTTTGGTTTGCCAAACTTGACCGAAGCCCTGGTTCCTTCGAGGACGATCTGTTCCGGGGTCTTCATGCCGTCTGTGGCGTCGACCTGAGGGCGCGATGTGGCACGGTCTTTGCCAGATATCCGCCTCATCTCCTGCGCGGCACCGGAACGACCGAGCAGTTTGCCAGCGCGACCAGCCTGCGAAAGCTCCTCTGGCGTGAGCTTCTTCTTATACTTGGTATCCTTACCAGCGGACCGAATATTGCTGAACTTCTCGCGCTCACGTTCCTGGGCGAGCGCCGTCTTGCGAGGGTCCTTGGCTCTGGTGACTCGCAACAAACGAGGAAGCATGGGAGGAAACTTCTTGCCGTCGAGCAAAAGGGCCGACTCCACGCTGTTGCCATCCTGAAGAGGAGTGTTAGTTGGGGCATTTGCGCACAAGGAATGGTGAACAATACGTACGTAAAACTGGACGTAAGCGAATCCCTTACCTACACGGGTCTTGGGATCGCGCACGACACGGACATTCTCGACTCTGCCAGATTTGCTGAATGTCCGCCAAAGGCCTTCTTCGACATCCGCAGGCACCTTGTTGCGCTTCTTCTTGACCGTTTCACCGTCTTCAGTTGTGTTGAGGACCGACTCGTCATCCATGAAGCCCAGATTGCCCACGAACACGCAGCGTCGGTGCGCAGTAGGCGTAGGATGCGATACGCTATCCACACGGATGTGCCTGCCCAGTACTTCCGACCCGTTCAGCTGCTTGATCGCCTTGTTGGCCGCGGCGACACTTGAAAACACAGCATACGCATTGGTAGATTTCGTAGTGGCCTCCATCAGTTGCTTTGTAATAAAGGCAGCTCGTTTAGGCATGGATCCGGCGGAGAAGGCCGTCGAGCGGAATCGAATCGACTCGACCTTCTCGCCAGCATCGGCATCAAGAACCGAAGCCAAATGGGCAAGTAGTGTCTTCTTGTCCGCTTTCGAGTTGATGACAGCAGAGGCAACATTGGCGAGAAAGACCGTACGATCGGCCTTCTCAAGCTCAAATGATTTAGTATCCTTGGCCAAGGACTCGTGCTGGGGGATATTGTCCTCCCCATCGTCGGACTTGTCAACGACCTTGTGGCGTTTCTCGGCGGGCTGGTCGTCTTTCGTGAGTTTCGTCAGGTACTTGTCCTCTAGGTCGTCGTGCTCGTCCTTCCGCTTCCGTTTGCGCTCTTTGGAAGGGGCTTGAGCAGCATCGGCTGAGCTCGATGCAGGCTGTTCAGCGTCCTGCTCGGAATCTGACATCGCTGCCTCGTCTGCATCTTCCGTGCTTTCTTCGTCATCCTCCTCCTCCTCATCCTCTTCACCCTCGTCGTACTCTAGCTCGCCGCTGGCCTCAGATAAGTCTTCATCGTCGAGCATCCCCTCATCCTTCTCCTCATCCTGGTCCTGGTCCTTGCCTCGCGCGGCTCCAGTGGTCTTCTCGATATGGGCAAATTTCTCTTCTGTCCTCGGCTGACGGGTTTTCGACGGATCCTGTACCGGACCAGCCTGTACTTCTGTTAGCTATTGTCTCGTATTTCCTCCCTCTGGTAGCTTACGCTGCTTGCGAAAAGAGCGTCGAGTGTGGGGTCGATCGCCTTGGAGGAAGCTCCAAGCTTTCCTGTTCTGGGGCGCAATTGATTAGAATTGCTCAAAAACTTGATGGCAGGGTTGAATTACCTTTTACCCATTGTGCGAATTGCGTAGCGCAATGAGAAGCAGTGCTGAAGTTCGTTCACCCGTATCGCGCGGCTGTGCGTACTTGCTCGGTATCCAAGTTTGCATCGAGAAAAGACAAATTTAGGTGGAACTTATCGATAAGAAGATAAGCTCCGTCCTATTGGCTGAGAACGGTCACAGCGCCAAATCCCGTCCCCACTGAGGTCAGCGGCGGGTGTGGGCGGCAGAATGCGCAAATCGGTCTCCTCTGGCAAGGCAAAGGTCGTGTTCCGTGCCTCCAAGTCCGTTCCCCAAGCCAGTCAGTCAGTTCCTCGGTCACATCACCTGCCTACCTCCATTCCACCTCCCCCACCGCATCTTTCACCATACAGACAAGAAGCAGCGAAACGTCTATATTGCAGCAAACGATCTTTACAACATTTGGTCGCCAGGCCTCGCTGTCTTTCGCTCACCAACGACTAAGAACGTTGTCGCGAACGAAGCTCGCGCAGGCCCGAGCGCGGTGGCTCTCCAGCTCGGTCAGAGTGAACTCACAACTCTACGCCGCTTCTTTGTCTCCCCTCGGCCGATCATACAAAAGAAGAGAGCTAGTACAAACATCTTGTAATGGCGACGCCTGTCTCAGCGCCGCCCGTCCTGTCCCCTCCTAGAGGGGATGGAGTGGAGCCTGAGGATAGTAACATTTCGAGCCCTTTGAGCGACGTCGCAAACGATGAGGACATGGACACGCCAATGGCAGCTGGCGATGAGGATAGCGAAGACGCCGATTCCCTCTCGGGGGGAATGGCCGACGCAGCAATGGCGTCCGAAGACGAGAGCGCGCTCTCAGACGCTCAATCAGTCGGTCAGTCTGAGGGCAACGACACAGAGGCCGAGACGGAGCGGCTCTACGACACACCACAGCATCAGAGATCACGAGACGTGGTAGTCGACCAATTCAATGAAGACCATGTCTTTGAGCATACACCAAGCAAGCTGCGCCGCGAGGCTTTGGCCCAAGACGAGGAAGCGGCTGACGACCAATCCTCCGCAGAGGACGACGCGTATAGTGGGGGCGACAAGAGCGAGACCGAGGCCTCGCCTAGTAAAGTTGCGACGACGAAGGATACAAGCGTCGATGACGAACACCAGCACGACTCGCAAGAACGAAAAAGGAAGCGATCGTTGGCGACCGATGGATCCGATCCAGAGCAACCACTTCGAAAAAGAGCCGCTTCTGTCGTCCCCGCCAAAGACAAAGATGAGGATATACCGGAAGAGACAGCTGCTGTGGGCGAAGTTGAGGTGGACAATGAGCGCAGTGGTCCGCCTTCCGTCGCGGACGAGGTTCCGTCTCATGAGAAGACTGATCTTGGGGAGACCACAGCCGACCTAAAATCTAAGATAAGGAAGAAGACTACACGTAGCATCTCGCGGCGCAAAGACAGCGACGACGATGCTGGCGGCGCCGCTACCGCCCCGCAGGCAGAGCGGGACACGGAAGCTGAAGCAGAGGCAATACAAGAGCCAATGGATGCCGAGGCAGAGGAAGAAGCCGACATTGCTGCTAAAAACGCAGAAGAGGGTGAGTCAATGTCGACAACTGCCACGAACGGAGTACTGATTTGGCAGCAGCAGAGAGGAAGGCGGCAGCTTTCAGAGATTGGTCGAAGATAGAAGAAATGTTCGGTGTCTTCCGAGATAAGTCCGTCGAGCCATGGTCGAGATCAACAAGGCAAGCTGTTGACAAGTATTCAGAATCTACAAGACACGACTCCAAAAACTCGAGAACGAAGAGCAGTCTCTGCTGGCAGATGACCCGACACATCAAGATTTTATCGATATGAAGAAGTGCCTCGATGACCGGCTGGAGCAGAAGTTGAGAGAAATCGAAAAGGAGCACGAGTTCCGGATCAAAGCCAACGAGAGAAAGTTTGTTGCAATTCGCTCCCAGGTCTGGGGGCAATTCGTCCAGAGTGTCCGGGAAAGGCGAGAGTCAGCTCTAGAGTCGCTGAACAGGGATTGGTACGATGTCCAACTCGCTAGGCGCAACGCTCACAGCCTACCGGACTACGGCGTCATCTTCCCCAAAGATCCAACACAACGCCTCAGGAATGCGGTCGCCTACAATACCGAGGTGTCTACGCTTGCTGGCATTGCCAAGTACGAGGGATTTCCTGCGAGGCCAGACATCAGAGGCGCGTCAGTGTCAGAAATCCAAGATGATTTTGCTGCAATGGAGGTAAGCTATGTTCGACCTGGCAGTGTCCGTGTTCTCCGCTAATCGTGAAAGCAGGCCCGACGCTCGCGGCAGAGGACTGTATATGCTACGCGCGACGATTATCAGACTCCGTCGTTCAACCGTTTAGGTCCTGCTGGAGAGCAATTCTTAAAGGAGACACCTTGGGCCAACCCCAATCACTCCGCTCATAGAATGCAGCAGCAGCAGCCGCCGCAACAACAACCACAGCAACACCGATTGCAGTCGATTCAAGCGGATGGCAAAGCCGAACAGCAGACGCTCAACGCGGGTTCGCTATCTACCGCAGCCATCGCTGGTCATGATGCGCCTGTATCACAACAACGATCGCTCGCAAACTCAACGCGACCACAGGAGACACAGGAAACAAGCAGAACACCTCTGAAGACCTCCAACCCCATGAAACGCACAGCACTGCCGGGACCATCGCGAGAGTCGAAAACCGCGGCGGCTTGACCGGGTAGTCCAAACAATGACTAGCCACAGATGAATGGTATGTAGCGGTCAGTGGTTTCTTCTGCATACTAAACTTTTGATACCCGGCGAAAACTGGATGGTTTGACTTGACATCATTATAATGAGCATTCCGCATATTGGCAGGCGAATGGAACAGGCCTTGACGGACGACTTTTGGGCGCACTTGGGTTTTTGGAAGGCATACACAAGAGGCAGTAAGCGATGCATATGGTTCCGGCACCGCATTCGCTATTTGTACATTTCTCTTTTTCTATTCATACATCCCTCTGGTGGTTGCTTTCCATGCAGTGTACATCTGCAACGGGTTGTGCATCGGATGGCTGCTAGGAGCATCCGCGGGCAAGCTTAGTTCCTACATCAGCATGAGTAGAACTACTCGCTGACTACCCGACCGGCTCAATGGTATAATTAATCTCATCAATGTCGTCTCATTTGGGAGCAGCAGGTGCGCGGGGTGTGTCGGGAACCTTGACGTCCTCGAAGTCGTCTTGACCGACTTGCTTCAGTGTATATCCGTCTGTTACATGTTAGCCCGTACGTAGGTAGCCAAATGATCTCGAGACATACAAATTACCCCGACAACAGTCAACAATCCCAGGCCAACGACGGCATTCTTGACGATGTATGGCCTTCTCGCGCGCTGGAGCGCGGCTCCTTGGCGGAATTTACGGTCGTAGTACGTGGACTGAGGGCTGAGAACTGTGTAAGCGACGGGTTCGCCAGTTGAATCATAGAGAAACTTACACTGCCATTTCGCTGTTCGCTCAGTGCGGGCTGACGATGCGCCAGAAATCCGTTGTCTGATGCTGAATGGGATGACACTTAGTTCTTAGGCCGGATTTCAAAGCTGACTAAGAATGACAGACAGAAGTCACGCAGTGGCCCCGCTCTCTTTTTACGCTGGCGTGCAGTCGTTATATTTCTGTCACCCATTTGCTCCAAATGTGCAAGGGTAGCGCGCGTCTTCAATCGCAACTCAATCCTTGAAAGCTAGGACCCAGACCGAGCAATCTTTTATTGCAGCTCACCATTTAGCATCAGCAATTAACGAAGTTTCGAGTAATCGAGTGCGGCAAGGAATCGAAACGACGACACTCAACACCTGACGACTATCATAGAGTATGCGCGGGCGACGGAAACTTCTCTCACCCAGTCGCGTGCGCTGAGAAGCGCAACATATCCCCGAAAGAGGCATACAGCTACCACGAGCTAAACACGAACCTTGCTTCATCGATTCAGAGCTCAGCACGTGTGTTCGCCAGCTCCTGCGACGCAAACTATCGCCCACAATGTCCGCTACGGCGCTATCCATACCCGAGCAAATTCACCAGCTGAACGACGCGCGCAAGTTGGTCCTCAGCGATGTTAAGCACTACCCCAATGTGGTTCGCGGAATAGTACCAGTGATCAAAGGCACCTCAGCGCTCGAACTCCGACGATGGGGCGCCGACTTTCTGGCGGAGGCTTTCGCGACTCCGGCCCTTCCTACTGGCGAAAAGGAAACAATGCAGCCCTATGTCATGGAGTGGTTGGAATCGATACTAAACAACGAAAAGGAAGATATTCAAGTGTTGAGGAGCGTTATACAGACAGCCGCGAGTATTTACCCACTGGCGATGCGGTGGACGTAGGTGATTCTGGGCTTGGACGAATTGTTCCTCGTGCTAACTAGCGATGCAGGATCAATAACTCTTACGACAAAACTACGTGGGATAGGATGATGGCAATCAAACAACGTATACTACAGATTTGGGACACCTCCGGAGCCAGTGTCAAGATCTGCTGCATCAAGTTCGCGCAACGGGTGGTGTTGGCGCAAAGCGTCACTGCTGGCCATGAAGCACGGGTACGGCAACAATTGCAGAAACAGGCGCGACTTTTTACTAACAGTGTACAACAGTATGGCGGCACGCTTGATGTATCGCTTGACAAAGTGCCCTCTAATCATCAGCTCTTGAGCACCCCGAGCCTCGAAGCAGAAGGTATGGGTCTTTTAGACCGTATGCTTGGTGTATTACATGAAAGCAGGTAAGGAATACGGCCTAGGCATGGCGAATACGATACTAATGTAGTGAAGTGACGCCCTTGTCGTTGATGCGACAATCAACTGCTTATCCATCCTCATCCGCACGCGCCCTGGCACCTCCTCACGCATACTGAATGCCCTCTTGAGCTTTGATCCTTTGAGACTAGCTGATGGCCCCATGACATCGAAACAGAAGGTCATGGTCAGGTCAATGGAGAAGACAACTCGCATACTCCTCATCCATCTCAGCAAGCGCGACCCCCATAACCCAATGGTGCCACGTATACAGCAGCATGTTGAGCGTATGATGCGGGCCGTCGCCGACGCATTCGATGGGACGGGTAAGAAGAGGCAGCTCGAGGCCTCGGTTGAAGAGGCTCAAGGTGTGAAGAGACAACGGTTGGTACCGGCCGAGGTGACAATTCCTCCGCTCGGCTCAGGGCCGCACAGTCTCGCAGACGTCTATGCCCTCACAGATGCTGCCGGGCTCAGGTCCTTCGACATTTCACAAGTGCCTTCGCCATTAATAGCCAAGCTTGCCGTGAGCACGCTAGCCAGGATAGACCCTCAGCTACTGGACAAATCGATCGCTGCTGTGCGAGATCGTCTACAAGCATTGGCTACCGCCCCGGCCCCAGAAATCAACGCGAACACGGCGCCACTAGGCGTCGATGACGACGACGATGACTACGAACCCGACTTCTTCCAGGCAGAGGACACTGAGCAGATCCTCAACAAGCTCGATGGCGCTCCAGTTGGTTCGCACGAGCAGGCTGCCGTGGAGACTGCACTGGGCCTGAAGACATTCCATCTTCCACAGCCTCCTCAATTATCACCAGAGCTGGCCCTCACTTCGGGCAACGACATTGTAACTAGGGTTCTGGACATGACCAAGACAATGGACGAACCCGGGACGAAGAAGGGCAAAGCAGGGTTCGCTCGACTTGCGGCCAGTTCTGGAATCCGAGAGTCGTGGTTGACTATAGTCACGCGACTTGCCACGCGATCATCAGGGGGGCTAGAGCGCCCTTTGATCAAGGGCGAGGACGACCCAAGCCACACACAATCACTGAGCGAAAACATCCGGGATGTTTTATATAGTTACATCATGGAGGACTTTCGAAAACACATCGACATCTCAGTGTCCTGGCTCACAGAGGAATGGTACAACGACAAGATGCAGAGCAAAGCGGGTGGCGATCAGCCTATGCACTACGAAGAATGCGCACTTCGGCTCATCGATGGGTTTCTACCATTTGTCCACCCGCAAGACAAGGTCCTTACGCGTTTCCTGAGCGAGCTGCCCGAACTGAATGATAATATCCTAGCACGGGTCAAGTCACTCTGCAAGGACCCTAGCATCGTTCAGTTGGCCTTGACCAGTCTGTTGTATCTGGTCATGATGCGGCCACCTATCAAAGAATTGGCGTTGGACACCGTGCAAGACATCTGGACAGAATGTAAGTCGTCGAGGCTACTGTAGATTGACTCAGCTAATCATAAACCCAGACGAGGAAGCGCGACCGATCGCTACGAAGTACTTGACCAAATATAGACCAGATTTCATCCAGGCAGCGAACGAGGGAACGGATAATACGACGGCTGTTACGACTTAAAGCCCGGAATGAGTCACGTCATCCTCGACACCGACTCGCGCGGTTCAAGATTGGAGGTGTTAGTATTAGCTGTAGATTTTGTACCAGGCACTACCACGAGCATTGAGAGGCGTTGTTGGACCATTCAGGATCTGAGACCGTTTCAGGAGATCCTGGGGTCTTAAAACTACACTGCGAAAATGACTTCTTTGTTTGAATCGTACGGATACGCAGAACCGTAAAAGGATCCGGGTTTGTTTCCTTGGCCTGCCTTAGATACCCAGTAGGAAACACTGGTCAAGTCACCAAGAGGCGATCGACAGCCGTGGTAACTCAAGAGATCCTGTTCTCTGCGTCCCGATATAGTAGCTTGAGCGCCGTTAGGAGGCGGCATGTCTTAATTAAGCCCCTAATACTCAGGAACAGGGTTTCACTTGGCTTTCACTTGTCTGTGGCCGACCGATATCAGTGCTTGGGCCAATGTTCCCGAGCAGCATAGCCTCTATGAGCTCTTCATGTCTTTAATTGACAATATTGCCATCTTTCGCTGTAAAACATAGCCTCGTCTGGTTACAAATTGGTCGTCAGCCTACTGGCAAGCATCGCTGCGGTGCGTCGGCGGTTGCTGGGCCATTGAGCGGCGGGATGCGGTGCCAGGTACATGGATCTGCGTAAGGGTCGGTCGGCAACGGCAGGTTTTATTATACATGCGGCCCAGGACAAAAGCGTTGTTGACCTGCATTTGCTCTTTTTGCTACCTGGCATTCTTACCAATCTTTTGGAAAATAACGTTCTTGCTCGTCACGCAACCCTAAAAACCAGTGCCTTGTGACAGCTTCATCCGCCAACTTCGGAAACCTCCGTCTGTCTGCCCTGATCGCGATAAACAAACCACGTCACGAGTTGGACGTCACGAAAAAAGAAAAAGTACCAAGCCTTTTATCGGCTCCCCAAGGCCAAGGTGCGCGACACCACCAAGCCTCCGAACACACGTGTCTACACCTTTGTATCACGAGTATCCCAGGGCCGGCCTGAGCCGTCTCTGTGTAGCCCAATTGCCTGGACACAGTCATTCGTTCCGTCACGTTTTCTGGGACGAGATCCAGTCGCTACTCCTTCCGATACCCTCAGCCCCGACATGCGCCATAACCGTCTCTTTAGAAGGGCTTTCGACATACATCACGACGCTGCAGCGCAAAGTAAGTGTAGGACGAACGATCGATCGAAGTGATTGGGCCGATTGGTGCAGCTGCCTCGCTACAACTGTCCTGGGCCAAGCAGTCGCACGCCTTTTTGTATTAATAAGAATCATTGCTAATTAACCCTCGACGCAGGCGCAACCCACATCTCCGCCGATACTGGTTTGAATGAAACCACGCCGGGACCGCTCTCTAGTGCCTCCCCTGGCTCGGTCAATAGCATGAAGAGCCCTGTTACAACCGCTCCCAAAGCCGCGTCCGTTGCGCGGTCATCGACCATTCGTAGCGTTCAAAGTCGCGATTTCGATTCCAGCCCCCAAAGCAAAGAAAACGTTCTATCAAGTAGTGTTCAAAGTCACGGCACAGACGCGTCGGCGATGGCCGCTACACAAATAGGCAGATCATCGCCGAGCGTCAGGTTAAAACATGAGAGTTCCCCCGAGCCGGCTTCGAGGTGGAACAGCCACGCTGGCAACGTGAGGGTGGTCGATCCGCCGACACCAGGAGCAGGAGACTCATCCACGTTGCCAGAGGGAGGTGATGGAGGTGACGCTCAATGGGACTCGACTGTTGGCAAGGCCGGGTTAGGGAAGACAGGCCGGGTCATCAACAAGCTTGTTAGTGACAACGATGCGCTGAAGCGCGATATCAACATCGAGCGACTACGGGCGGAGGAGTCCAAGCAAGCAGCGAAACTTCTCGAGGACAAAATGGATCGGATGGTGCAGGATTATGAAAGTCGACTGCTGGAAGCCAATGTCACAAAGACTTTGTTAGCGCGCAAGGAACGACAAGTGGAAAGTTTACAGGCAGCTGTCGAGCTCGAGAAGAACAAGACACAGGCTGCACTAACGCGTGAGCGAGGCTGGCGGGACGAGCTGGAGAAGGTGCAGAAGGACTCGACGACGCAGGTTGAGGAGGCCACGACACATGCCGCCCTCATGGAAGGACGCTACAACGCCATTTCATCGCATTGGAGAGACCAGGGCGAGGAAGTCAAACGCGCAGTAAGCAAGCTCCGGGCTGAGATTAGCAGTCTGGTCAAGGAGCGGCAGGCCGACGACACCAAAATCCAAACTCTGCGTGACCTTTGCGAGCAGCAGGACAGCAACATCAACGAACTACGGCGAGAGAAGGAGCAGATTGCACGGAAGTTTGAAGAGTACAAGAAGACGCAAGACGATGACTTGAGGAGCATCAAGGCCAATGCGCGCGAAACAGAAGCAGAGCAACATAGGATATTGAATGAGGCGGGAGAGACACTGAATAAACTGCGGTGGGCTCTGAACGTCAAGAAGAATGTCATGGGTGCTCAATAAGTGGCGAAAGCGCCCCTTCACTGCTCGGCATCCTTGGTCGTTCAACTGATGGACCCTGATGTCGACATCTGTCTCGATCTGTCTTTCGTCAATACTGCTCGGCGAGGATTACACACTTCTCAACTTCTCCACGCATGGTGTCACTGACATCGTCTTCACTTTTTCTCATGGATATACGCACATACTCTCGGCGTTCGGCAAGGCTCCCAATTTTGATATGGACCTCTTTGCCATACCCTTTTTGTGGTGATGGCTCAGTGTAATGAATAGAATTATGGAACACAAAGACTGCCTCGCATAGCGGCGCTCAGCATCATTTGGACTTCGATAATGATAGCGCATGAACGAACTCATTTTGGTCTTTGGGAGATTACGAAGTATGCCCCTTTCCGTTCGCTTTATCTTCGGCGTTTGCCCGTCTGATAGATCACTCATCAGTTACACAAAACAACACATGTGCTATCAGTGTTTCCATTGCTCATATTTGGTTTGGTCTAAAGCCTCTTGTGTTTCTTTTGGATGTCTTGATTGTCTTGAGTGCTCCCCCAATGCAGGGTTGACTTGGAGGCTCCGATGCACCGGCACATCTGAAGAGTACCTTGGTGATTATCCTTGGACTTGGATCTCAGAGTTGTCCCTCCGCCGTACAGTCCTATCTTTCGTCTGGACTTTGAATGCGTGCCAACAAATTTGACCGACCTCCAGCCCCGTTACTAAGAAGCTGATTCCATGTGTTTCCTTGCTCCTGCCTTGTTCTTTCCCTTTCTCGTTCTCTCGGCCCTCTCCCCTTTCTGTCTCTCTTTCTCTCTCTTCATCCACCCGCAAACACGGCGAAGAATCCTAGGCCACATCAGCAATTTTAACGTCAGTGAGATCGCTTTCCCACCAGGAACTCCCTGGTCAGACTCTCGAACTCTCTTGACTGTTGGGAGTGCTTGATCCATTCCACATACTCGCCTTTCTCCACCCCTCTCCCCTTCAGCTTCTCGGGCTCATTATACTCTTTTCCACGTCTACTCCGCATTTTGAGTGTCTACTTTGAATCAGCTGTTCGTTTAGGCATCATGCCTGTCTCCAGCGACCCGGGTACGAGCCTTCAAGAGACGTTTGTGTATCTGAACCCGCCACTGTCGCCTTCTGGTGTACAGAGAGTAGTAGATTACACAAAGACCTTCGAGGTATACTCTCAATTAGTGCAGTGCTTTCCCTTGAATCTAATAATCTTCTTAGGACACCGTGGTAGATATTGTGTTCGAGCCAGCATCAAATTGCTTCAGGATACTTATCTACCAACGTGGTCTCCACAACATCCGCAGCCAGCTGGCTTTCTTCGTGGCAACCCTTCAGCAAGAAGCTGTCCCTGACCTGGATGACGACCTTGACAGTTCTTCAACCGGCACGAGCCCAGCGGCCTCTGAGACCACGACAGACCCCCATTTTCTCGAATGGAGCGCCTATCAGTCTCAAACTTGCCCTGCTCTTTACGGAGAAACATTATACCCAGATTGTCTTCACCAGTATAGCCACAAAGTCGTGTGGTACGGTGCGGAAAGATTAAGGACAACCGTCAGTCAATTACTTGAAGATGGTCGGGAGACTTGGCTTCGCCCTTATGTACCACAGTCGCTGGAGTCGCTGGGAAGCGAATGGAATTGCCAAGTGACATGGAACGTCCCTGAGACTATCCTATACCTAGGTGGAGAGAAAGACACAGTGACGCTGGCTATCCGAAAACTCGACCTCCTGGGCCAAGTAACTGCACGCACCCTCGCCGAACCTAATTTCATCGCTAACACTTCATAGCATCCATCGAACCCAATCCAGAGGCACTTAGTTGCTGCAAGGCAAACAGCTCATCTTGGGTACAAGAGCCTGAAACTGCTGTGTCTCGACCGGAAGACTATTGCCGTCGATGATTTGGGCCTTCCTTCCAAAAAGGTTCCCAGCGGGGCGTCATTGCGCCTGGCAGATCTCGACCGCCAGGAAAACTCGTGGATCACAGACACTACCAAGTACCAAGACTGCCACACAGGCTCAAAGGCTGTAGCAACACAGAAGCCGACTAGTCAAGACGCGACAGAAAGCCCACTTAGATATCTAGATGCTCTCAAGGCACGCTCGAGTGCTTTATTAGGCTTCTTGCATCAAGTACCGGGTCTTGTTCACCTCGAGCTGACATTTGGCCGAGTGTGGTTGACAAATGTTGCATCACAAGACCTTAGTTTGGAGGGTAGGGCAAACCCGACATGGACAGCAAAGCAAATGGAGCAGGATCTCAACGAACCGACCATGGGCTACAAGGATGATTTCTCGCATGTTTTAACCATTTGTCGAGATGACATTCGCTTGCTGCTGAATGCCACGGCTCGCGGCGAAGCACGGTGGCGAAGGGAGCCCGAGACTGCGACGACATATGTCATTCGGTGTGCCACCAATGGCGAAGATCCATTCCAAATTCATGTAAGCGAGGACAAGAAGTTTATCCGTTTTTTGTCGATGCAAAAAGAGCTGGCTGCCACCGCTGTTCACTGTCCTCAGACGGCGTGGGATATGAAGCTTCGAGCGATTCGACAAGAGCCACTGAGTATAGGCAAAAGCGGGTGTGCCCAGAAGATTGCCGACGGAATGGAGACACTGTAGGTTGGTCTGCTCCATGCTATGTTTCGGATTGCTAAACAATTGACAGCCAGCAAAAGGGAGGTGCGTTGACGATGACCTTTCCGAGAGCGCTGAGCTGGTGCGTTGAGTCCGTTTCTGTGGTCCACATGGAGTGTTATCACAGCAGAAAAAACAACAGCAGTCTTCTCAAGGTTAAAACCACTCGACCGTTGCGGCCTATATCTTCCAAGGATCGGAGTCAGTGGTGCAGCTCTGCTCTTGCACAGGTCTCAAATGTCTCTGCAGCGCCAACAGAGTGGATCGAGGCATCTATCACTTCCTCGATATTGGAGTGCTGTCTTGAGGAGAACGTTTCATTGGCGTTTGGCGAGGCGCCTGCGTGGTCCGTCGCGAGTTTAGAGGCAGCAGGGGCCTTTGATGACATCTGTCGTCCGGCTTTGGGCATGGTTGCCCTGATGGATTGTGTCGGCCAACGTAATGTTTATTCGGAGAGTGCTTCCAGAAGCTCTCTAGGCACGGCGAGTCACGAAGGCAATGCCGAACGGGAAGGCTATGTGTACTGGTGAGTGAAGTTGCTCATCAGCAAATGCAGCGGCATCATTGGGGATTTATTTCTATGGGTTCATGATTGCTGCGTCTTGGCGCTAGGTACGTCAGCAAATCGGATCGGACGACTGCTACGAGTAACTGGGCAACTAAACGCGAATGCAACAAAGGAACGGGTCAACGGGCTGGGCATGGTGTATTCATGTGGCCGAGGCAGTTCATATGCTCGTTCCCTGCGAGGGCCTTGGTCATGATGCATGGTTTGGGTTCGCTCGTAAACCAGATGGATGAACACTGGAGGCTTGCTACGACACAAGTGGGGATAGAGCAATAGAACCGACATATCATAACGCGTTGCTCATCTCAGTTGATGCAGTTCGCACCTACAATCAACACACGTCATGTGTGGCTGGTCATGGTGAAGAGGACTGTAGTGTCGAGCGGCCTAGTCCTAACGAGTTAGACAACACCGCCGCATGTTTGCGCGATGCAGTGCAGCCAGCATCTAAAATTATAGCGTTGACGCTCACAACTGCGAGATGTAGCACTGTTGAACCTCAGTCAGGGTTCGCATGCCCAATTTCATTGAGCTTACCACTGGTCCATTCATTACCTGCTGTTTGGCTGGCCAACGCGTGAAGAAAAAAGGGGCAAATGTTTGTTTACTTTCCCACCGCCAATAAGCTGGGCCTTTTGCCGCCACCAACCAACTAACCAACCACGTGAACGCAGCCGATAGGAAGCAGATGTCTTGAGCCTGCAGATACTGAACAACCAAGTTGATGGTGGTTATGATGGATAGACCGCTGCAAGCCATCGCACCTTCAAGCTCACGCACTGTGCTGATGGCTCAAGTCCATGTCGTTGATCATCAGTTGCCTGTGCTTAAAATATGCCACCCGCCGTCTTGACATTTTCGCCACAGCCAAGTGAGCAGGGAAAGCAACGGTCAACTACGTATGTACGTACATCTGCAAGATAATTAATTGTCAGAGATCGTCGGGATTGTCACTTTATGGAGACAATGTATTGCGCGGGGTGGATTTTCAGGGTCTTGTGAGGCATTAGTGATTGGCTGCAGGTTGAAGGGGATGCGAGGACGCGTCTATCCGCCGTTTGAGCCATTGCAGATCAGATCATCAGTCTGGCCGGTTCCGGAGCTCATGTTCGCCACTCAGCCATGTTATCCGAATTGAGGTCTACTGAGATGCTGTTACAGTACGTGCGTACTAGTCAGCGCAGACTGGATGCAAGTTGTCGGGTAGGCAGACGGAAGATGGATTTTCATGCTTGCTGCAGGGTCCGCTGCGATCGTGCTTTGTACGTTCGTAGCGCCGTGGCCCGACGCCGCTGCCACCTGACGCGTTCTAGCGGCGGCATCGCCAGTGCTAGCCTGGCGCTTCAGCGGATCTGGTCCCAGACTCCCAAAAGCTCCGTCAGGCCTGAAGTGGACACCGAGTGGGCGCGTGTCCCTAACAGGAAGATGAAACCCCATGCTATCGCTTACATATACGTAAGCACACAAGTGACAAATGGGCAGTTGGGCTTTGGCCATGCTCACCGAAGGAGTGGCGTGGCCATTCTGGTGACGAGGCCCAAAGTTGGATCCCTGCGCTGGTTTGCACGGTTGAAGCAGCGCGGGCAAAACGACGTTGCGCAGAATGTTGCGATAATTAATGCCTCGACTGGCATGCATACGTCTGCGCCTGAGTAATGTTGTTTGGTCACGGATACTGAGCGAGAGTCGAACAAACGTGTCCGAGTCAGGACCGGCGCTCCGTCACCCCGCACTAGTGTGCCGACTGGACTCTGCTCTGTCTGCAGCAGTGCAGCGCCCCCGCCCGCCCGATTCGTCGCCTGGACGTGGACGTGCCCTGAAAGGCGCACTTACAGGCCGCTGTCACTCTATCGATTTGCGCACAGAGTGCCTGACTAAATCTGGGGACACCCTCTTCAGCTTTCTACATTCCAGTTCTTCCAGTCTTCCCGGCGAGACTGAAACTTACAGGTGACTACGTAATTACTGACTTGGTGTGGCTTCAATTTGCACCCAAGCACGCGAATTCAACTAGAGCAGTGTCGGTCAGCCAGCGGGCTAAGAGGTTCGCTTGGTCGCCTGAAGCTTGGCGTTTATCTGAGTCCAGTCTGCTGATTCATTCGAGTCCAGTCAGCTTCCCGGCTCTATTGATCATTTCGTCCTGGTTTGTCGCGAGTCGTTCTAGACTTGGACTTTCCGTCAACCTTTGTATCGTTTCTTCCCTGTGTCGTCGCCCTCACGGACCACGTTCCCCGTCGTCTTGCGGCCTCGTGTTCCTCGAAACCATCCTCTTCGGACAATCTCGCCCCAGGTCCTCCCTCATCGCCTTTCTCCTCCGCTTTGCCGACCTAACTTACCTCACGGCTGTACTGAGACCTGGCAGCCGCAAAGCATCCTGGCAGTCCGAATCTCCTAGGGCGCGCTTCAGTCATCCTTCCCCAATCAACAGCCTCCGCTCAGACACCAGTTTTTTTACAGGCAAGAACCGTTTAACTCGGACTTCCACCGACGGTCACAGCGAGCCGCAATTTTGACGCACTACGCCCTAGGGCAGTTGATTCGACATCTCATCACCGAGTGGTGGTGGCTTCGCGTTATTGATTCTTTGACCGTCACAGTCACAGTCACACAGTCACACTTGGGGTTGCTACTGCGGGTGACGCTCGAATCGGGAAGCAAATCTCGGTCGCTTGGAGGGCCGGGCACTTGACAGCCCCAAACGTTCCAACAGGTCTTCAGTGGACCACTCCGACTCCATCACACCAACATCTTCGAACGCCCGGCGGACACCCCGCCATCCTTCAGACTTGGCTTTCGCTGATAGCACCCGACCACCACTCGTCAGATCAGGTGCCACTCTCACGCCGCCTGCGTCTGTGCGTTTGCGAAAAGCCTCAATCCCCTTCCCAAGTCACATGTCGCCTGGAGCGATTCAACATGGAGCCCGTTCCTGAGACGGAGCGCATGGAGGAGTTTAGGTCGTCTCCTGTGCCTTCGCTGCGGCTGAACCCTCCGAGCACCATTCCACGACTTGATCTCGACACTCCGTCACACGTGCAGTTACACCAGAAGCCGCCGAACTACCGTCGAAGCACCGACCCGAGTCCTACCTCGCCGAGCAACTCGAGCTGGTCAGCTGCGGCCGGTCTTCCCTATCGACCCCGAACAACATCGCCACTCTCTGGTGTACACACGCACTCTCGATCACGGTCGGTCGCTAGTCTCGCGCCGCCCATGTCGCGAACACAGTCTATGCCGGGCATTATCACAAGCAGTTCCGGCCAATTCCTGCTGTCACCCCAGATGCAGCGTCCGCAAAGCCCTGTAGGGTCTCCCAGCAGATCAAGGGCACCCCGCAAGCCGCTCGACGAAGCCTTCCCACCGTCTTCGCCCGTTCGAACCTCTGTGCTGGACTCGGGCCGTGGGCAAAGAGACAGGAGTAGCTCTCCTAGCCTTGGGTCGTCAGCCAACATTGGGAGTCGAATCCGAAGACCGGTTTCACCACTGCGAAGCTTCGGGCAGACTAGCGCGAACTCAGTACTGCCACCGACATCTACGTCTTCGTCCATGTCATCGTCTCCATCGCATCGCCCGTATGATTCTCTTACAAGCGGCTATGGAGGGAGTCTCTCTTCGATCCCATCGACCCCGACATCGGCGAGATCGCGCAGCCCGAGTATTTCCAGCCTCGAAACAATACCCGACTCACCAGACGCCGAAGAAGCAGCACTCGAAGCCGAGCGTGTGGCTCAGCTTAAGGCGGCCGCTGAAGCTGCGGAAGGCGGCGACTCTGCGGATGGCAAGAGCCGCGGTGCCCTTGACGTTCCAGCGAGAGGCCGCACCATGACATTTGGGTCCCGGGACAAGCGCAAGAGGTGGAGCGTCTGCGGCGCTGAGCGTCGCGGCGACATTGACTTGGAGACCATCTGGGAGGATTGAAACCACACCACACTGAACGATGCACACAGAACGGAGTTTGGAGGTTTTTCGCAGCCTTGGTTCATTTCTCTACCATCGCTTTTCCTCTTTTACGGCTACTTGCCTCAGCATCTCTTATACCAGGCATTGTGGCGTTATGTATCCTTGTTTTGATACCCTCTTTCTTTTACTATCCACCACGTATTGTGCCTCTAGGCGGGCAGGCACAGTAGAATCATTTGCATCGTACTTTATTCGACAGCGGAAACCATCATCTGCGGGTCTCACTCAATGGAACACGGGAAATTTTACGCAATGGTCATGAATTGTTCATCTTCGCATGTATCTGCCAAAGTATCTTTTTCCCGGTCGAGGGCGCGCTTACAGTGGGAGCCCTCATGTCAATGTCTCACTGCGCACCACAGCCCTTCAACGCAGTCCAATGCGCCTCTGTGTCTCAGGTTTATATGGTCGATATCCCTCAACTAATATATGCCCTTTGGGTTCCCTTTCTAGGAGCAAATATTGGACGCGACTGCCCAAGGGTAGACTTCGCCAGCACAACATGAATGACCTCGAGGATAGTATATATGAGAAGGCTTGTCGGCAGGTTGAGGGTTCCCAGCAAGCTCTCACATTCTCTCCAGCTGCAACCCGTCTACTCCATCCTCCTCTCGAATCTCTTCTTCTCTCCGTTGCTCGCCTCAGCTTTTCATCATGCGCTTGTCGACAACATTGTTCGCTGCAAGCTTCGCTGCTTCAGTAGTTAATGCCGCACCAGGGGCCAAAGGATTCAGCAAGGTATGACCGCCGCTGTTCCTCTCGAGCAGATGTACTGACCAAATGACAGTGGTGGCAACGGCAAGGCGCCAGCAAATCTCACGTTGAGCGCGAAGCCCTTCGCTACAATGAGCAGCGCAAAGAGCACGAGCTGCACCACCGCATGTGGAATGCCACCAATGCGACGACCAGCACCGAGGGGTCCAAAGAGTCGGCCACCACACCAGCGGTGATCACGGTACCTTACGATATCTCGTCAGTCAGTCACGAGGTCGTTACCATCGACTGCCCTCTGCCCCCTGTCGTCATCTCCGTCACGACGGTCGACGTTACCGTGACTGTCACTGCTGAGCCCAGCTTCAGACCACATGAGGCAGGCCCTGTTGCCAACAAGACGGTCATTGTGGATGAGTCGACCACGTACACAACCGAATGCGAGGAGGAAAATATGGCTCAAATGACGGACGAGGTGGTCGTCGACTCAACCAGATACACGCCCACGACAGTCCTTCTCACCACCACCACCCTCGACAAGAACATGTCCGCCACTACTATCATCATCACCGCTACTACGATTGTTCCTTGCGAGTCGGGGACAGAGACCTCAACGCCCGGCGAAAGCGGAGAGCTGACAACCCAGCGCACGGCCGTAACGCCCACCAACCCGATTCTGGACCTGACAACATCTGCCAACTCCACGTTTGTGGTCTCGTCGACGCCGACTCCTTTTGTCTCCTCAATTGTCTCGACTATCGCAAACTCGTCCAGCATCGAGTCTACCCCTGAACCATCGCTGACCGAGAGCACGATTGTGCTTTCCCCGTCTGCCACACCGTCGTCTTCCGTGATCACACTCTCGCTCACGTCAGCCACTACCACGCCCGTGACCTCGGAGCAACTGACCACGACAGAGCCTCCGCGTACGACAGGCTACCCGCTCGTCTGCATAGACACCTGGGTGAGCCCCGTGAGCACCGCCAAGATGTCCGTGACACCGGCTCCTCTGCCCGAGCCCACACGCACCGCCAGCGCCGACGACCACGACACTGGCGCGCCCGAGGAGGCTGTCCTCTACTGCGGCATCCGCGGTAAGCCTGCCGGCGTCTATTTCCTCGCCGAGTTCATCGAGGAGAAGTCTGGCGTTCCCGTCACGGAGGAAGGGTGCTTCCAGTTCTGCGACAGCGTGATGGAGGCCACAGAGGGCTGCCAGTCGTACCGTTTCTACCACAATGAGCTTGGTGCGCCCCGCTGCGCTCTGTACGGCATGCCTGTCGCTGCCGTCGTCGACGATCTCGACGAAAGCCAAGACGACGTGTGGTACGACTTGAAGTGTGGCTCGCCTACCGAGGAGGGCTGGCAAGACGAGGACGAGGCCCAGACGAGCGAGCCCGTGACGAGAAGCACAGCCAGTACCCCCGCGATTCCAGAATCGGTCAGTTCCAGTAATGTTGTCGAGCCCACCAAGGCTGCCAGTGACGAGACCGAGGCTACGACAACCGCCCTCGCCGAGATCAACCCTGCTACCACGAAGACTATGGCTTCCGAGACTACGTCGTCGATTGCTGCCGTGATGACCCCGACCATGGCCAACAGCACCGACGCTGGCAACGAGCCCAAAGACAACGCCAACAGCGGCGATGGCAATGCCAACTCGGGCAACGCAGGCAACAATGTGGTAGGGGGCAATAACTCGGGCAACAACCAGCAGGCCAGCCCGGGCGCGAACCTCATCGACATTGACATCAACAACACCAACGGGCTGCTGTGACCGGTGGGTAGCAAGCAAACTCGAGCGCGCATTTCTCAGATTTTGGTATAACTGAGTACATAACTTGGCATATAATAATAAGTAAGTAATGGGGTAGGAGGAACTTTCTTCATTCCGGGGATTTTTGGTCCCGGTATTTTATCATAGATAATGCTACAATAATACGTCTTCCATTGTTCCAAGCATATGCTTCGATAACCATTAGCAAACCTCCTCACAGGCCAGCCCCCTGAGCTCCCAATTCACCAGGCTGCGGTAGCTGGTCGGGACCAAAGGACAGGGGTAGAAGCTGCTCATGTCAGTTGATCTCCTCTCCTCCCCGCAGGGGACCAAGTGGGACGATACTCACCTGCTCCAGCTTGAGAACGACATAGTTCCCATCCTTGTCGAACATGAATATCGGACACTTGAGAGGCACAAACTCCCTCATGCTATACCGGTAGTCGGTCAGTCAAAACGATGAACATTTCTTTGTCTCGCCTCTTCTTCCCCTCGGAGGAAAGGGCTCACAACTGCCGGCACATGCCGCACGGACTCGCCGGCGGGCTGATGTCGGTACTCACGCCCACGGCCCGGAAGCCCTCTGTGTGTCCCTCGATGACGGCCTTGCCGAGGGCGACGCGCTCTGCGCACGTGCCGACGGGGTACGAGGCATTCTCCACGTTGGCGCCCTCGATGACTTCGTCGGTGGAGGTCAGGAGGGCGGCGCCGACGCGGAAGCGCGAGTAGGGGCAGTAGGCAAGCGCCTTGGCCTGGGTGGAGGCGGTGCGCAGCGTCGTGAACTCGGTGGGGGAGAGGCCAAAGTCGGAGGCGGGCGAGGAGTCATTGGACGGGTAGATCTTGGGCTGGGCCATTTTGGGTGGGCAGTGGTGTATAGAATTTTGATTATCACAAAGAAGAGAATGACACAGAGTATGTGGTTGAATGAAGATGGCTTATCGCGAGGTATGCATTTCATCACGAGATACTCACTTGACTTGACTTACCCTACGGCAGGCAGGCGGAACGCGGCGTCGCCCGTCTATGCGTCTGTCTATCCGACGCCGCCGACTGGGCTCACACACGTACCGGCTCCAGTGTAATCCGAATCCGTCCAATGTTCGTTCGTTGCTATTATTTGTATATATCTTCTCGCATCGTGTATCGTAATATACGGAGCGTCCGGTGCCATGCATGCAGGTAGGCATGTATTCTCATGACGCACGTTCCCAACGCCAACAAACTCCCGATATCAACGAACGCCATGCTGATGAATAATGTGGTGTGCAGGCCCTGGCAGAGACTACGCGCTACTGGTTGCTCCAGCCCAATGCTGCCAAAAAAGAAAAAGAAGACGAGAGACATACAGACACGGATGTTTGCTTCGTATATACCCCAATCATGATCATGGGGGAATCGGCTCATTCGGCTTTGTGTGCTGCTACGTCGGCGGCCTCAGCGGCCCGTAGGCTTGCCAGAAGCGACTGGCGGTATAGCGACCTCGTCCTCTAGTAGAAGCCGTCTTGGCCCGCGCTGCTCCTGCTCGACGACGTGATGGGCGTTGACTGCATCGAGCTGCCGCCATCGCTCGGCGTGGAGGGCTCGACGACCTGGTTGCGGATGGTCATGATCCACTCGTGCTGGAGCAGCTCCTTGGCGGACGACCGTCGCTTGGGATCCCGCGCGAAGCACCTCTTGAGGAAGTCGATACCTGACCAGCTGAGATGCTCCTGCGAGGGGAGCTGCGGCGGGTTGCCCTGCGCAATGTTGTACATGATGGCCCACTCGTTGTCGAGGTTGGCCCACGGTCGGCGTCCCGTCGCCATCTCCAGAATCACGCAGCCCAGAGACCAGATGTCGACAGCCCCGGCCCGCCCGGGGTTCTCGCCCTTGATCACCTCGGGTGACATGTACATGGGCGTGCCCGTCATCGACTTGTTGGGCTTCGTCGCCGTCACGTCGGCGGCAAGGGTGCGACCCTGCCGAGCAATCACCTTGGCAGCGCCAAAGTCCACGTACTTGATAATGCCGTTGTGGTCCAGCAGGATATCTAGCAGCAGTGTTAGCGACAAGTATGACACTCTCAATGGACACATCCTTGTGGGGAACTCACTCTCCGGCTTAATGTCTCGATGGGCAATGCCGCTCTCATGCAAATACACGAGACCTTCCAGGAGTTGCAGCGCATACACCATGATGACCTGCTCGTCCTCGATGCGGCCGTGCTCAAGCAAATTGGCCAGCGACCCGCCCGAGCAGAACTCCATAAAGATGTAGACGCGGTCGCGGTGCACCTCGATGCCGTAGTACGATACCACATTGGGATGGTCCAGCACTTCGAGGACACCCATTTCCTCGCGAATCTGCTCCGCCACGGTTGGGATGAGCTTGGGATCTTGCAGTCTGATCTCTTTGACTGCCATCAGATGGCCTGAGTCGAGGTTCATAGCCGCGTACACATTGCCAAATGTCCCCCCTCCCACAAAGTGGCCCTGCTGCCAGCGCATCGTAATGTTCGTTGCCGAGGACGACAGGTACGCCAGCGAGCGATCAGCCTCCGTGTTTGCCTCGAGCACCCGGCCCAGCGCCTGCCGCTCCGCCTCCTTCTCGCGCCGGAAGCTGTCCAGTCTCTCCAGCTCCTCGAGCCGCGCTTCGGTGATGCACCGGGACGCCTCCTCGTCGTCCAGCATCCTGTTCTTATCCAGCCGCCGGAACTGCCCGACGAGGGCCTCGATCCTGTCCTTCTCCGCCTGCGCCGCCAGGTTCGAGCGCGCCCCCATAATGTCAAAGTGCGAGATGAGAAGCGACATGCAGCCGGCCACGCGGTCACGTAGTAACGCGTACTCGGGGTCGCCGAGCGCGAGGATGTGCCGGCCGTGGGTCATGCCCATGGCAAACTCGAGCGCCTGCACGGCCCATCGAAAGGTCTTGCGGTCCGACGCGATGCAGTCGTCGCAGATGAAGCTGACCCAGTCGAGCGCCAGCTTGGTGAGCTTCAGATTGTTCATCTGCCGCCGGTTGCTGTCCATGGCCACCAGAGACCGACGCCCAAACTCGGTCGCAAACAGGAAGCACGTCTGCACCAGCTCCTGGCAGCCCTTGCCCTCCACCTGCCTGCGGATGGCCTCCACACTGTCCATGAACGTGTTGGACAGCCTGTACATGACCCTGCGGATCTCCATGAGCTTCGTGTGGACCTTGTGAATATTCGGCCTGGATTCTTGAACCAGGTCTACATGCATGTCCACGGCCTCGAGGAAGGCCTTGCGCGCGTTGGGCAGCGCCTTGGAGGAGACGGCGCAGAGGCGGGCCTGTCCGACCTTGATATCCAGGTTATGGTACTGCAGCGGCACGACCACCGTCTCGCTGAACCAGTTGAACGTGTCCTCTGGCCGTAGGATCAGGAGGTAGTGCTCCTCGAAGTCCTCGGGGAACCGCTCCATGTTCGTGACGGCCATCATCTCCTGTATGTCGTCCAGCCGGTCCCGCAGCTCGGGCGAGGCCACGACGTACAGGCCGTCCGCCTCAAAGAGGTTCGTGTTGACGTGGAAATGCCCCGTCGCCGCCAGCTGGTCATAGAACTTTCGCATGCGCTCGGGCGAGAAGGAGATGCTCCAGTCGGACGCATTCTCGTAATTGTTGCTCAGCGTCTTGGTGAACCGCTGCAGCATGCGCTGTCGGATGCGCACCGAGTCCAGGCACGCCTTGTAGCGCTTGCTCATCTCGGCCGGGCTCTCCTTGGGTTTGACCTGCAGCTCCTTCTCAAAAGTCTGGCTCAGACGGTTCAGCGCCTTGAAGGTCAGTGAACTAAACTGCTCCGCCACCTGGATGTTGCCCCGGTGCAGATGGTTGCCAATGTCGTTGGCAAAGTCCCACTCCTGGAACAGCAGCTCCGCTTCCTTGAACGTGTTTTTGTTGCCGCTCAGCTTCCAGTTCAGCATCTTGAAGTAGTACTTGAGTGCGTCCAGCACAACCTGGTCCAGCGACTCGTCGATGAACGGGGGCAGGTCCCATCCAGGCTCGGGCTGTGCGATCGCCAGAAATTCGCCCTTGATACGGATCGCGAACTTGAGGAGGAGCTGGAACTGCGCAATCATCTGCCCTTGCATCAACGGGTTCTGCTGGGCGGTCTCCTTCACCCGTCTCGCGTACGCCAGTCGTGTCTTGGTGATCTCCTCAATGAGGCGAGACGGAAAGCTGATCAGGGTCAAGAGGTCCTCCAGATACGGAGGCAGGTGGCGCTTCGAGAATGTGGCCGAGTTGCTGATAAGGGTCTCCTTGGCCTTTTGGATAATAGCCGAGATGGGTCGAAGCATGCCCTGCTGCGTGGAGCCTTCCGTGTCGTCGTAGAGCGACTGGAGGCCATCCTCCTTCATGAGCCTGTCGACGAACGAGGTCTCGTCGCTGCTGATGCCGTTCACCGCGGGCGAGCGCTGCTTGGTCAGGTGGAAATCGAGGTCGTCGTTGCCGACCCATTTCTTCAGGATCGCCAGTTCCGTGTTGATCATTTCGTTCGTGTTGTACCAAGCCAAGATGGTGTCGTATGCCTCGTGGAAGAGGGGCGAGTCGGCAGCCTTGTGACGGGTGGCGAGCAGTCGCCACGATGGGTAGAGGCTCTCGCACTTCTCAATCTTCTTGACAATGTCCTTGACCTGCTCGTGCGGGGGTTTCCCAACCTCGCTCTGCCCCTTGACCGAAAAATTGATAATCTCGTCAATGGTGCGGTCCAGGGCGGCGCGTGCCTCCTCCACCATGCGCCTCTGCACCGGCAGGTGACGCCCACACACCTTGGATCGGATGCCGAGCCACAACTCCCAGACCTGGGCGGTCTTGCTAGCCGCCTCGTCGGATGAGCTGTGGAGGCGCTTCTTCTCTTGCCGCACCACGTCGCCAGTCAACACAGCCTCCAGCATGCCGTGCCACTCTAAGCGCTCCCGTGACTCAGCATCTTGCAAATCCTCCTCAGAGGGTTGCAGATCCTCGTTTCCGTAGAACATGATGGTTTCTTGCTCGTAGGGGTCGTCGAACGGGCCCTCTGTCGAGGGCGTATCTCCCTCGGAATCCGAATCGTTGCCTGACGCCATGTTCTGGTAGGACGACGAGGTCGAGAAGTATTCCCCGCCATTGTCTTGCCTGAGCTTCTGCACATAGGCTCGCTCCTGCGCTCGGAATCGGCTCTCGCTCTGCCTGTGTCGGGTCTTTGATGCCGACCGCATCGTCTCGACAAAGGACGGTGTCGTCGGTGGCATCCCAGGCTTTCGGGACGTCGCGGGGTTGTATGTATTGGAAGGTGTCCTGGTCGGTCCCATTGGCCGCTGAGGACGAGCGGCATTGCCGTGAGACGAAGGAGCATCGTCGCCCCCACCGCTGCTGCGCTGACTCTTGCTTATGCCATTGACTATGGTGCCCGCCGGCAACGACGCCACCGGGCCGTTGCCTGGGTCCGAGTAGTAGCCCAGCTCTCCGAGCTCATCGTCGAGTTCACCGGCGTGGGGCTCCTCCCCGTTCTGCGAGTCGGGGGGTGAGTCTGCTGACTCTGTGGGCACCACCGCCGGCAGGTGGTTCTTAAGATCCTCTCCGTTCGGCTCAGCCTCGCCGTTAGAAAAGCGTACACCACGCGAAGAGAGATTCGACATGTCTGCCTGTCGTTGCGGCTCGGGATTGAATGTTCTTTCGGTCGGGCTGCCAGTCGTGGTCGTGGTGAAAGGCCCTCGCTGGCGGCGCGCGTCCGCGATTGGGCTCAAGAGAGTGAGGAGAATTATCTGGGACGGGTCATCGGTTCGATATGTTGGGGATGCTGCGCCGAGAGGTCGAGGGATGAACACTGTGTGCTCTTGCGCTTCTCGGTCTCCTAACTACAGATGAAGACTGCCCAGGAAGGGAAGGATCCCAGGTGTTTGCGAGGTGCCTGGCCGTGATGGACAGGACGAACGACGATGGGATGAGATGCCCGTGTGCCGCGTGTCAGCCACTTTTGCCTCTGATAGAATCAGGATTGATTGAGTTGGGACCTTGACAAGGTGTGGCTCAGCCGGCTCTCTGCATAGCTGTGGTTGGCCACTTTAGTTAGTCATCGCATCCGTGGCGCAACCTCCGCTGTTTGCGCCGTTGCAGTCTTTTTGCCAATTACCTAGAGCTCAAGTAGTCAAGCTTGATCCAAGCTTCAAGCCATCACAGATCTCGATCGCCCTTTTCTTTTCTTCGCCTAGCAGCTAACCACACGTTAAGTGCTCGTAGGTAACGTAGACACCTACGGAGTACTCGACTGCTCGCCGGAAATTCGCAGCCATCGATTCCGAGCTCACAATTGCCATCAGCCAACGAGCGAACCGAACGATTAGCTGCAGCTTTCCTTACTAACCAACCTTAGCCCAGCAGGGCAGGTCTAGCTTCATTCGCCAGCCGTAGCGCAACAGCAGCATGTGCTTGCAGCTTCGGCCTGTGATCTTCCCGAGATCACTCGCTGTACGACGGTGGGGCTTTTCGTGATGATCTGCGATTCAGTGTTACTTCTTCACCGCACTAGCTATTAGCTTGAGAGGTAGGTTAACGTGCAAGAGGCATAGGCTAAAGCATCGCTCGTCTAACAATTGGCACGCGCTGTTGCCATCCATCATCATCATCACCATTATCTTGGCTTCTCAACTCGGCCTACATTCTGAGCATCCATCCGGACCATTCACCTTCGTACATGTACTGTGGAATGTGTCCCCCAGAGAGGGGCAGCACGGTCCTCCGGGCGTATTTTGAGTTCCAGTCGCGGCGATCCTCCCCCCCACATGGTCTCTCCTTGCCGTGTGGTAGCGATGCTCGCTCCGATTCCTTTGTGTAAGACAGCAGTCCCTCGACCCTGGCTAGGGGCCGATCGGACCCGACGCCAACAAAAGCGCAAGGCAGGTAAGGTACATATGATAGTCCCCGATGGGCGCCCAACTACTCCCGAGCTACTGAGCCAGATGCATGCCTTAGTCGATGGCGTCTCAAGAGACAGAATGTATAAGTACCTTGCATATGGTTGCCACACACGTTTGGACCTGTCTGGTCTTCACTCATGATCCTCTCCTCTCTCTCAACCACGAGCCAAGAGACTCACCACCATCCTACCGTCTCCTCACACTCAGCAACACATCACAGTGTAGTGTGCACGCGTGCGCGAGCACCACAAATCACACAATGTGCAACAACGCCACCAACTACTATATCTACTCATACTGCTCAGATCCGAGCCTACACTACTTCAAGACCGACATTGACACAGACTACGTCAATGAGCCATGCACCGAGGCTCACGAGCGGTACATCATCGAGCTCATACCGTGCCCGCTGTGTGCGCTCGATCCCAACTCACCGCAAGAGGTTCCGTTGCTGTGAACAGAAAGACATGGACCAGCCGTTGAGCTGGCTCTGGTTGACGGACTGAATGACTGATGGATGGACACCTTGCGCATCTTCTGCAAGGCGTTGTTGCGTGATCTTTTGGGAAGGCAGGCGTCCGGTATGCGTCTGCGGTTGCTATTACTTCTCTTCCAACGATACCCTCATCACTCTCCACAGGGGTCTGAGTCTTATGAATGAAGCAAGCAAGGGTCTTTGCTAGGGACGCTATGAATGAAACCTCATCTGACGATCTGATCAAACAATCTGGTTCGCTTTGTCTCGGTTGTTCTCAGATGGCATGTGTCGGTCGGCTCATCCTACGTGCATCTGTGGCTTCGCCCCCAAATGTGTCAGCGCTCCCCCAACCGGTATGGCGCCCAACAAACGGTCTGAGTACCCAATATCCGCACCAGACTCCGGCGGTCTGCAAGACGAGACAAGACATGACCTTGCATTCTTGCTGTCGGCCCCAGAGGCCAGAGTCTGCTGTGGCTCGGTTGATATCTTGCTTGCCAGCAGCCAAATGGAAAATCCAATCTGCCCTGCTTTACTCTCTTCCGACAAAACGATACCCGTAGAGCCTGCATGGCTAACAAGTCTCGTGAAAAGGGGGGTCTGAGAGCTGTTTCCTACGGGTCGGGCCTTTGATCTGAGTCAAGCAAGCGGGTCATTGCCGACGCGTTTTGGGATCATTGGGTTTGCCTACCGAGATGGGAAGCCTGATTAGTGAGCTCTTGGGGGCTGGGGTGCATAATTCGTGTTCTTGGGCATGTCACCAACGAGTCAAGGCATGTCAGCTGCCGAATAGCGACTAAATAGGAGCGGCATGTAGAGAGAATTCCCGATGTCGTCCATGGCCACCAAGACACCAATCAGTTCGAGGGGCCACCGCAGTGTTAGTGTATCTGGTGTGTGGCCAGGCTTCTCACTAACAGCCCATCCCTCCTCGGACCCTTCACCGTCCGGCCCGGGCTGACGTTGGAGGCTTGGAGCAGGGCCCAGGGACCCACGCGAGACCGAGGCTCAACTCCAACGTAACAAACAACAGGTGTCTTGCCGACCATGAGAACTCGATTCCGCATCTGATCTCTTCCCTATTATTCCCAAAGTTGAAGTCTGTTGATTCCTAGCTCTGCACGCCAAAATGCCAATGAACGAGTCTGAATACCTGAGCCCCGTGTGGAGGGACGGCATTTTTAGTAAGCCTGCAGCCGCGGAACGTTGATGGTGTGGACATGATGCTAACTTGCTATCAGAGGGCCGAGTCGTCTTTGTGACCGGCGGTGCTGGTACCATCTGCAGTGTTCAAACAAGGGCGCTCGTTCGCTTGGGTGCTAATGCATGCATCTTGGGCCGCAATGTCGAGAAGACGGAGAAGGCCGCCGAGGACATTGCGACGGCTCGCCCAGGGGCCAAGGTGATTGGCATCGGAGGCTGCGATGTGCGCAAGGTGAGTCGCCAATGGCCTCTATAGCTTGTATGGTGGGTACTGACAATGTGTGCCAGCCCGAGGCTTTGCAAGCCGCCGCAGATCGCTGCGTGAAGGAGCTCGGTGGGATCGACTTTGTGATGTGAGTCCAGCCGCCAGTTCCCGCGTCCACGACTAACTGTCTCAGCGCTGGCGCAGCAGGCAACTTTATCGTGCCCATGTCGGGCATGAGCTCCAACGCCTTCAAGTCCGTCATGGACATTGATGTCCTCGGCACCTTCAACACCATCAAGGCTACGATGCCTCACCTGCTGCGTAGCTCATCCCCTCGCATCATCTATGTGTCTGCCACTTTCCACTACACCGGCGCCCCGCTCCAAGCCCACGTGTCAGCGGCCAAGGCAGCCATCGACTCTCTGGCCGCGTCGGTCGCCCTTGAATACGGACCTCTTGGCGTTCAGAGTAACGTCATTGCGCCAGGTGGCATCGAGGGCACCGAGGGTCTCGCGCGGTTGAGCAGCGATAGGCCTGAGGACATGGAGGCGTACAAGAAGCAAATCCCATCAGGCAGGATAGGGACTGTTCGCGACATTGCAGACGCGACCATCTTCTTGTTTAGCGACGCGGGCACCTACATCAACGGCCAGGTCATCCCCGTGGATGGCGCGGCATGGAGACGACAGGGTGGCGCGCAAATCGGTATTGATGGAACAATGCAATATCCCGACTTCCTGCTGACTGGGGAGGTTTCGAAAAATCTTAGGGATCCTAGGAAGGGCAAGTCGAAGCTGTGAGGGGAAGATGGTACCTTACGTGCTGCCTGGTGCAACCAGCGGCTGCGCCTGCTCACAATGTCATGTCTCCTGCCCTTTTTTGAGCTCACAGCTCTTAGTAGTACCTACCTCACTTACTGCCTTACCTATCTTATACAAGCATGTACGGAAAATAAATTCTTAAACCTGACGTATCTACCTGTACGCAAGCATCTGGTGCGTGTTTACGGACACTTGATATGCCTTATTCCTTTTACCGCAGCGTCCACTGGTCAATCTTGGCCATCTGCTTTATCACCAACTATCGACAACTCTCCTTCGAATCCTGTCCTCACTATTGGCTCTCCGCAAAATATCATCATCAATCCCAGCATCGCTAGTCGTTGACGCTTCCTTAGAGTCGGCTCATTGCGCGCGTCGCGAGCAGTCAATGCGTCTCGCTGCTTCTTTGGCCCTTTTGGCTATCATCGCCCCCGTCCTCTGCGAACATGTGCTCGCCTCATATATCTATCACACTCCGTGCGAAAGCATCCCGGAGCTCGTTGGCACACCTGCATTGACGTTCGCTGGCAGGATGGACTGCAGGCTCTCGGCTAAGTTCTACAGGGACCGATACATGACACCACGCTCGCCATACTATATCAAGGCTCTCGGCGACTCGCCGCCAATGCTGTCGCTTGGGGCGCCCGACGAAGAGGTTATGGTAGGCTCATTGAGTATAGTCAAGAACACGTTTTTGGCCAAGCTCAATCAAGCCAAATGGAAACGCGATAATGCACTGGGTCAAAGCGTCCCTGTCATCGATACTCAGTTGTAGGGCAATGAAACGCGCGCGAACGTCTCTGGAGACATCGGCTGGCTACAAGCTGGAGAGCTGTGTCACGCAGCATATCACACATCAAACAAGCCGGAGCAGAGAGCACGGGAGACGTGGCTCGAGAACTTGACGTGGAATCAGGTTGTGCAAGAAAAACTTTCCTACACCATGAGATGTATTATACCGCAGGCAAACCTGACATGGAACAGATCAACAGCTGGTAAGCATCCCAGAAATACCGTGGCGACACTTGTTGGGATTGCGCTGACACCCAGACAAAGCCCTCGACTTCGTGAACTATGCCGAACGAAACAACCCTGAATTGATCGATTCGTACTATCTTGACGACCACATGCGACATTTCCTCGAGTCTCTTGCCGGTATGTACGAGACAGAACGTGCGTATCGTTCCGAGTATCCTGTGCAGGCTGTCGAGGGGGCCGTTCTAGCCGGACATATCATTAACAGCCTCGATGAGATCGTCAACGCAACCATGACCAGGCGCGGTCTTGCTCCTCTGATCAGTGTATTCTTTGGCGAACGCGGTCCGCTCATCTCCCTGTTTGGCCTCTTGGGAAAATACACATCCTGGATTGACTACGAGCTAGTCCCACGACCGGGCGCATCAATGGCTATCGAATTGGTCAACCTGGGTGCCCCTAGCTTGCTCAGCAGCGAAAACCTGGCCGTGCGCCTTTATTATGCCCCCGGAAAGATCAACGTCGAATCGTTCAGGCCGCTGTCCACCTCAATGAGCACCAGCAGTCGCCTCCGCGCCTCTTCTGCGGGTAACCGACCCCGCCGAACCGAGAGCCCCTGGCGTTACGATGCCGTTCATTACAACGCTTTCAAAGGCAAGGTTAAGCGGTTCGCATACCAGAATCGCGAGACCATGGAGGCCATTTGCAAGCGTTCTGGCTTTGGGACGGGCCCCGCCACTCGGCGGGAGCGTATACGAGAACTTCTGCGGAGCCTTTTCCGGCATCCGTCCGTCTTAGCCATGGGTGGAATCGCTGGAATAGTGGTTTCCTCGGCTGGCCTCGCTGCCGCCATGGCATTTGGCGGATACTCCATGACCAAGGGGGTAGTGGAAGAGGAATGGGCAGAAGCCGGCGATGAGCCGACGCAAGAAACGACAGTCTGGCCGCGGCTGGAAAGCTGAGCCACTGAGACGCAGATATTAGTGACCTAGTATCGTAATTATTCTTAAAAAGCAGCCACTCCCCAGTAACGCCAGTTGTCCGATACAAGCGATTTGTGCCGTGATATACCCAGTGATCGCTCGATAAATCCAGTACTCATCGAAGACCGGTCAAGGCCAAGAGATCATGCTTGTGGTAGAAAGCCCGAACACGCTTGCCGAAAACATCTACAACAGGATAAGAGTCTGATGCACGATTTATAATAAAGGATATACCTACACATGGGAACGCTGGTGAGGCAAATGACAACCTGCACAATGGCAATCGGTAGCATCGTCTGCTTGACGCCACCAGCCACGAACCAGTCGTACGCACTGGCCGTCAGGCCGAAGCTCAGGATGTTCTTGAAGATGATCATGACGGTGAAACCTTCAATGGTGAGGTCGCCTGCGGATTTTGTCAGTGGCACGTGGGTAAGGGACAGGACCAACTTATACATACGGTATGCATCGACAATGTAAAGCGAGCTCGAGACGGCCCCAATGACCATGCCAGCCACCTCGAAGCCAAAGAACACCAACGGTGGCATGTAGGTGTATTTCCTCGAGATGACTTCGCCGGCGGTCAGTGCGAAGCCGAACAAGCCAATGCCACCGACGATGAGCATGGGGATCACGAGGAGGATCCGGAACTCGGGCTCGTACACGCCGCCGTTGCGCTTGGTGAGCCATTTGACAGACGTGTCCGCCAACAAACCCGATATGACGAAGCCTGCCAGGGCACCGACAAAGGCGCCTGTGTAGGCGTAGCCTGCCTCGACCTCGGACCAGAGGTAAGGGGGTCCGATGAAGAGCGCGGCCACAATAACGCCGATGAAGACGGTCCAGCCGATCATGGTGCCCTGGATGAGACAGCCCCAGATGAATGCTGGGTTGGCCAGGATGGGGAATGGGCGTAGCAGGAGCACCCAATACCGCTCGTCCGTCTTGCGTCCGTCAAATAGAGATAGGGATTCGACAAAGGATTTTGGCAGCGTCGAAGCGTCGCCAATGGGCTGGAGAGCGTTGGACGTCGGGAAAAAGACGAAGCCGCCATGACGAGGGGCCACCTGCTGGCTGGGCGAGACGGGCTGCGCAGTATTCGCCGCCGATGCCTCGGGAGCCTCGTGGGTGACCTTCGCCTTGTCGTTAGCCCACGCCGTATCGGTGTTGAGGCGGTCTTCGCGTCGGTATGCTGTCTCGGGACAGAAGAAGAAGACGAGGGGAAAGACGAGGGCGGAGAAGCAGGCGACAAAGTAGAACGTCCACGGCCAACCGAGTCGCCTAGTGATGATGCCCGTGACAATGGGCGTGAAGAAGGCGCCGCCAAAGACAGCGAGGTTGGTGAAGGCCATGCGCGTGCCGCGCTGGTGGACAAAGTACAGATCGCCGACGGCCGCGTTGAGTAGGCTCTCAAAGGGGGCGGCGCCTACGCCCTGAATGGCCCTCGCCGCTGCGAGGCTGCCGTAGTCTGTGCCCGTGCCACCGGCCCACGCGCTCGAGAAGATGATGAAGACGATGCCGATGAGGAAGAGATGTCGCTTGCCCCAGATGCGGCCGGAGGGGACGAAGAAGATGGCGGCCGCACCGGCGCCGAGGAGGAAGTAGCCCGTCAAGAGGGCGACGCGGGTGAGGGTCTCGCCAAACAGACCGGCGATGGTGAGGGTGTTGGCGGCCAGGATGGGCCCGAGGGCTGTCGCGAGGATGGCGGCGAAGCAGAGGAGGAAGGTGATGAGGTCGCGCCGCCAGAGGGGCCAGTTGAGAGGGTCGTTCGGATCATCGGATGGCTGGGGGTTCTGGGAGGGTCAGCTTGTCCTGGCTTGAGGTTCGCTTCGAGCTGGGGCAGGCGAAATGTACGAGGATGATGGGCTCTTTGCCGCTCTTGTCGACTTTGAGGCCGATGATGTCGTTGGTTGCGTACTGTGGTCGTGAGGGATCGTCATAGTATCGTGTGGTGCCTGTGTCGTAGACAAGTCAGAACATGGAGTGATTGATGAGAGACTTGCGACGCGTGTTTCTCGTGCATGGTTGGGTCGTTACCTGGGACGTGCTCGGCGCCCTTGGGCTCGAGGATTCCAAGAGGCATCTTGCGTTCTCAGTTGGTGCAGTTCGAGTTCCACGGAGGGGATTGAACATTCGAAATGGACATGGGGACGTCGAGGTCGCCCGTCAATATGGCCGACATCGTGGATATCACGGCTTCGAATGGCGGTTTTCGGGAGCTGGGGCCCCCGAGAGGCGCAGGGGACTCGAAAGTGACTTATTAATTGGTTGCATCCTGGCGCGAAATTAAACAGATAAATAGATCGTGTTTTTTTATCTACTGCAACCCCCCAGAGGAGACTAGATCGGCTCTTCACAGTAGCCCGAGTCCGGATTCCCGGCCAACGTCGTGTCCTCGCGGCTTCACCAACAACCCCCTTTTTTCTGTTTGGTCAAGCATCCTCAACCTTGACTCTGTGGCAACACCTTTGAGCTCATATGGATGCCTTCTCTCGTGAAGTGTCTGAAGATCGCTGTTCTCCATATCTTAGTCGTATTTGACTTCGACGTCCTTGGTACCCACTGCCTTGCCATTGTACCAAACAGTCCAGCCCATGATACCATCTTTGCATCATGACCACGTACGTACTCCAGTCGACGGTACGACTTTCCCACTGGACTCTTCCACTTTGGGAGCGAATGCAGCAACACATTCTTTTTCCAGTTGATCGTGCACAGACGCTCGACCGCTTCATTTTTGCGGGTAGGGTTCGGATCTGCAGAAGACATGTATATATTTTCCGATAGATCGCCGGTTTTCTCTCCTTTGCTAGTGATCTCATATATTCGTTCAAATTTATGAGTCACCACGCGCTCATCGGTCACCTCTTCGCCCTATTGAGTCTCGTTAGTTCGCCGAGGCACACTCGCACGTCACCATTATGACACATACCGTTGGCAAAAACCATTCCATTTGATCTCTAGCCTGGTAATGACAATACCTTTCATTCCACATCTTGTCTGCGTTGGAGTGTCGCTTGTCTTCAAAGTCATCGTTATACACAATACCATAGCTCGCCCGTGCAATCCGCGCGCGGACGGTGCATGTCATACCCGCCGAGACCTTGCTGATGCTCAGCCCGTGGAGGACCGCACCACACGCAATCGCGCTCCACCTAAACCCTGTCAGTCAGTAGTTTCCGTGGATTACACCCATGAAGACTCACGGTTTGCCATCTCTTGATTGTAGAACCTCGGCATCGTAGTCGTTTGCAAGCTGCTTGACTCGGTCGAACAAGTAGCGGCACCGACCAAAGCCTCCGACAAGAACAATATACTGCATTTCGTCAGTGAATCAAATCTCAGAAAGACCTGCGAGTTAGCCGGACGGTGGGTGTTGTGCTCAGCTTCGTCTTGATAGCGTCGCCTTGGGCCTTGATGAGCTCGATGATTCTGTCTATGCAAAGATCGAACATGGCTAGGACCTCCTCACTGTAAATCATCAAGGTCATCCATGCTATCTATCTTCTATACCAAGTACCAGTAGGCTTACGATGTGAATTCTGTAGTCCAGGTGCGCTTGCCTCGTGGGTTTGCTTCTGAGTTGCAGGTATCAGGAACAACGACTCTCCAAGTTTTGCCAGGCTGGTTAGCGAATTGCGGTTTGATCCCACGCTCCCAGTTGTCGTTGATGAACTGCTTCTTGTCGCCGTGACTTGCGCTTGACCAGTTCAAAATGCCCCATTTCGCTTCTACAGCTGCGATGAACTGATCGTCCACAAAGACGCCTCCACATAAACCGCCTAGCGACTGTTAGTATTGCATTACTCGTGCGTAGAGCTAAAACTGACCATCGCCTTTGACACATTCTTTCACAACGAATGGTTCCATACTTTCAATTTGATAACTTATCAAATCCTGTAGACATACTTGTAAGAGTTGGTCAATCGTTACTTGGGGCTTCACCTACCACTGTGCCACCGCCGGCATCACACACGATCATAGTGTCTCCAGCCTTTTTTTGTTAGTTACAATTCTTCTGAGACACATGTGCGACAGTGGGTACCTTGACAGACGAGCGTGTCGATAGATCAGTGAGGGTGGCAAGTGCGGCAGCCTCTGGCTCGGAGATGAAGCTGAGCATGGTCTCACCAGCTTGGCGCTTGGCAAGTATACCAGAGTCTTTGGCCGCTGTCATCATTTTCTGCTGGGCATACGCAGGCCAAATTGCTGGCAGAGTGATTACGACACGGAACCTGCACAGCTGCACAAGTGTCGCGCCAACCGAGCGCTCAATGGCCTCCAAGGAGTGCCTCCAGATGAAACCCAGGTACAGTGCCACAAGCTCTGTAGCGGTCTTCTTGTGCTTAGCGCTCATGGACTTCGCTACTTGGTACTGTGCAGAGTCCTTGACCTCGCTGGGCACATCTCTGTCCCCGAGCAGCAGCAGTTTGAACCACCGCACACAGTCTTCGTCTAGTGGGATGCCATATCCCCAAGACGGTGTTTCAGAGCCATCGCCAAACCCCAGTTGAGTGGGCGCCTTCTCTTTGTCTGAGCAATCGTGCAGGTCTGTGTCCCAGCTTGTGACCATTTCAATTTCGATGTTATCCGACGTGTCGCACTCTGCCCACGCAACTCCAGAATACCTAGCATTGTCAGTCAGTGTCCGAGCAGTTCATGAGATGTGCTGATCAGAATACACAACGTACGTTGTTCCAAAGCCAATCCCAACTACAATGAAATTCTTAGCTACGTCCGGAGCCATGGTAGCGATCGACCTGCTTGAGACGCCGAGTGAGTTGAAAGGGGGGCATGGAAAAGCGTGGTGTGATGAAGGGGAGAAAATCTCACGGCAGGCTGCAGATACCCCAAGTATGGGTTGAAAGCAGAGCGTATACGTGTGAAGTACAAGGTATCTAGGGCAGGGGGGAAAGGCGTGCTCACGCAAACTAGAAATTGCTGTGAGCGGACGTTGACAAGACGAAACATCCACCTCGTTTTCTAGCTTTTTGAGGTTCTGACTCCTCAGCAGAGAGTCTTCTGTCTTACAGTCAGGTTTCCCACAGCTACAGCCGTCCATTCTGTGCCAAATCATCTGAACCCTCATTCACGCCATGCTCGCCTTGGCGTAAATCCCTGCTCACTCTGATCATATTCCTCGCATTTGTGCTTTAATTTCTCTTGTTTTTATCTTCTCACTTTTCGTTATCTTCTTCAAAGTCCGCGCTCTGACCTACAGTAAACCTCTTCTCAGACAGCCAACCCCTTCACATGCTCTGCAACTGCTACCGCGCCTAACCCAACAATGACGAAGCAATTCCCTGATCCGTACAACTTCCTTTCTGACGAGGGTATCAAACCTTTACCAGCGCTATATCCTTCAGTTTCTGTGTCCGGAAAAAATACATCCAAAGAACTCGATGAGCTCGCTAAAGACCCTGAGGTTGCCAACATGCCGGAGAGCAGTGACCGAAAGCACACGAGCTCTGAACACGGAGAAAATGTCGACATGTCTGAGATTCCTACGCCTCCAGTTATCGAGTTCAATCATCAAGTACATGAGCTTAGTCACAGACCCTTCACCAGAGCACGTGGCCGCAAGCAGTCACCCAACCACCAGAGCGCCCGGAGCAGAGACTACTCTCACTATCCACAATCTCCTATCCGAAAGAGACGCATTCGAGAAGCAACTCATGCATCACAGCTCCCCCTGCGACGCGTCGAGATTAGCGGACGAGATCTGAAGTCTTCAAATGAGATAATCAACGTGGACGCAGAGGAGGCCGAAGAGACCGCCACAGTGAGTGCAATTCACAGCATTGTCACTGACATGAGAAGCATGATGACTAGAAGTGTCCAATATTCGACCAGAGATATCTCAGAACTCAAGCAGAAGCTTTCGGAAGCAACCCGGGAACGTAACATGGCCGTTGAGCACGCCAAATCTGGACACGAACGCAACAAGGAACTTCAGCGCGAGCTGCAGGCCCAGAAAGAGGCATTTGAGGAGCTCAGGGCTGCGCATACCAAAGCTCTGCGGGACAAATCTCGGCTCAACCGCCTCGGCAACTCGCTCAAGACTTCTGACTCCGCTATACAAGAAGCATGGGGCCAGCTATCCTACGCAATCACGAACCTAGCGTGCTGTCTCGCCAAAGGCAAGCCTGACATGACACACATGGAGGATGTTCGGTTGGCCCTCCGCCATGTACTCCTCAATGATCCAAGAGAGATGGATGACGAAGGAGGGCGCCAGCGCATGATAAGAATGTTTCTTTGGCGAGTTGCGCGCAAGTGGTGGCCTTGTGGGGGAAAGCCTTCCGGAACCAAGACTGCCAAAACATGGAAATCTCTCCGAGCCGGGATGCTGGGTAAGTTACGCAAGAATGAAGAATTTGTCAGAAAACCCTATCAGTAGACTAACCTTACCAGTGGCATATCAGCAGGACGAGGAGCGCATGAAAAGCGTGCTTCAATGGTTCGCCACAGGCTGGGGGTTCGTGGAGGACACCGTGTCGCACCCTCAACATATGCAGGATTTCGTCGAGACTTTAGAAGGTCAGCTGAGACTCTTCCTCAAACATCGCGAGGATGAGACGAGGTCCCAGATGCGTCTGGAGAGGGATCTCACGGACATGTTCGATATGCTTAAGCAGTTGGAAAGCATATTCTACGGGGCAAAGTGCATTTACCAGCCCGTCTTCCGGTTTGTACCCTTGGAAGAACCACATCTTTACGACGAGGAGTTCGTGGAAGCGGTTGACACCACTAAGCCGCCATCGCCAGCGTCGAAGGCGAAGTATGTGCTGTCGCCCGGTTTGTTAAAATACGGGAGAGCAGATGGCACGGAGTTGGGAAACAGAACTGTCGTGGTCAAGGCCGAGGTGGTTCTTGAGTGAAGGCTGAGGATCCAGGTGTGTAAGGTTCTGGAATACCTGGGGGAGTTGGCCAACAGCGTGCTGGGAGGTTTCCGAGGAATTGATGCAGCCATCCACTTGAGCAGCAATAGTGCCAGACGGTGGATTGGGGCGGTTTGGTGAGGTGGACAGAGGAACATAATGATAGACAGTGTTGCTGAGGCGGATGGACAATAGCCTTCAGGTTTGACCCTGCAAAATACATTCGACAAGAAGCGGCACTTTAGAGGCGGCCGAAGGCTTCTCAAAGGATGCCCAAGTCAGATAAGAGCAATTTAAACTTGCGGAATTTGGCTCTGCAACCCAGGACTCCCAGTGATTTTAGTGCTTTCTTCGTGAGTAGAACGCCCCCTCAAAAACAGCGCTTCGTACTGATCATGGTATCATTGTCTCATATCCGCAGTGCTACCGCCCCGTATCTCAAGCGCCCTCCATCTTGACATCCTCGGACCGGATAGGCAGCTGCGAAACATGCTTCACGTCCTCGGCCGTCAAGGACTCGGCATGATCATGCCCGGACGTCCCGTTGACGCCGTTCTCGACCTTCTTGTGCCTGTACACGCGTATGGTCTTGTCCTGGCCCGCGCTGACCATGAGATCCTCGCAAATGTCGACCCAGAAGCATACACCCTGGTGACCCTTGACCTTTTGCAGGATAGCCTTTCTCTTCACGTCCCACAGTACGATGCCACCGTCCTCGCTTGCCGAGGCCACAAAAGGCAAATGATCGAGTGCGCCAAAACACGCGCCGATGGAGAATTTCTCGTTTCGATGGCCCTGGTACGTTTTCTTAACGCTGCCTGCGACATAATCCCAAAGTCGAATGCAATTGTCCAGGCTTGATGCGAGAACGAATCTGCCGTTGGGAGAGAAGCAGACGCTTGCCACTGCCGGGTTGTCTTCGTGGACCAAAGTGCGTAGACACTGCCCAGTTTGCGTGTCCCATATACGACTGTAGTTGTTAGCGCGATTTGGGATAACCTTGGGGGATACGAGTCTTACATGAGCCCATCTGTGGAACAGCTGGCCACCAGCGTACCGTCACAACAAAAGTCAATACCACTGACAGGGTCACTGTGGGCGGGTAAGCTTCGCATCAGCCGCCCAGCTCTCACGTCCCACAAGAAGACAGCTTCGTCGTAGGATCCGCTGGCTAGGATGTTCCCCTTGGGCGAGAACGCCAGGCAGTGCAGGTAATTGTGATGACCTCTTAATGGCGGCATCTCTTGGCCAGTCGCCGACTTCTTGTTCGACATCTTGGGTTTCCCTGTGACCCTGTCCCAGAGTCGGATCGCCTTGTCGTCCGAACCGCTGGCGAGGGTGTTGCTATCTGGACTCCAGGCCACGCAGCCCACACCAGCCATGTGTCCGACTAACGTGTCCATGTGACTGCCCGTCTCCGCGTTCCAGATCTTGACTGTGCCATCCGCTGACGACGAGGCAATGAAGCTGCCATTAGGCGATATTCGAACCTGCGACACTGGTCCCTCGTGGCCACGCAGGATCAGCCGTGGCCGGTAGTCTGGCTCCGGCTGTTTCTGAGCGGGCACATAGGCGCCGTCCTCGTCGTCGTCGTCATCTTGTCCACGGGAAGGCCGTCTCGAGCTCGACTGTTCCGGTGTCACGGAGCGCGGTCGTGTGCGTGACCTGGAGCGCGATCTCGAATTATACGGCGAAGGGGACCGCGTCGCGTCGCCGGACCGTGACCTAGAGCGCCGTCGTCGCCCGGACGTTGATCCTGACCGCGATCTTGACAAGCTAGGCTCTCGGCTGGCGTATGCCTCTCGTGATCTGCGCTCGCTTCGCGGGCGGCTAGGGTCGCGGCTGTCGCGTGCTCTGTCTCTGACTCTCTTGCTGCCCTCGCTTTCGCACGCTGCGCCATCCGATGCGCCATTTCTTGTTGGGGACTCGCTGTCTGTTCTTCTTCGTTTCAGCGGCGGAGTATCATCGCGTAGCTCGTCGGGCGGCGCCATGGTGGATGGCATTGCGAAGATTAATTTGTGTGGGTGGTGTCGCGTGTATCCTCAGTTGTAGCTTGCAATTGAGTAGGAAAATCAATAGTGGGGCTATAAGCTACAGTGTCGTGCTCTAGTTGGTCTGGATCACTGAATGCAAGTTCTCGGGCAATTGAGCATTGGGGTATCCTGCGACGAGCTCATAATCTTTTGTAGCTAGCTAATGCGTCGTAGGCAAGACGATATCGGCACAGAGTGCTTCTAATGCCTGCGAGACTCGCATAAGTCGGGGGTAATGGATACGGGTTGTTCACGTCTTCAAACTACATGTTCGACATGCGAACTGTATGGTGCTGCAACCTCCGAATTACGGTATCTGGCGCGAATGTTTGAGTATTCTTGAATTGTGGACTACGAAGTAAAGTAATTCCATCAGAAAGGTAGCAATTGACCGTGACGCAGCAAGGAGTACAAGACACCGGTGCCTGTCTAGGGTAGTTTTTTTTTTAAAGGGCGCGGACGGGCTCATGTTGTTCACGACTGTACCTTCATGTTAGGTACGAATGATTTAAGTAGTACTATTACCCTTGGTATGTATTATTATACGACGGGACCTATCATTAGATGGCCGGACACTTGAATTTCGGTATGGCTTTAACAAGGACAAGGTATTGATCATGCCGTTTCGTGCTGGAAATAAGTAATAATACGTGCTTCCGGATATGATGATACAAGGTCCACATGCACCATGCGCGACTAGAAGACATGGAAGCACGGAACAAAGTGGCACCTCATGAAACTTGCAATTTATTTTTATTAATAACGGCTATGCCGCTGATGCGCCCATCAACAAAGCGACCACGTTAGCCGCGCCAAGTTGGCGACAACCGAGCATCGATTTGCTTTTTTGACTGGTAATACTAAATGGCCAGCGCGAGCGCAGCCCCTGCATCCGCACTCCTGTGTGTGTGTCCGAGTGTCGTTTGTACATACAAACGCTCTCGACCTGATCCATTCGTCGGCCCGGAATCACAGTCACAATTCTACAGCACGCAATGTCTCGGATTGGTTTGATCATTGCCATGTGATATGAAGTGGTCATTGGCACAATGGTCAAGAAGCCAGCTGCCCAAACACAAGGTGACAAGACGCACAGAGCGCCGATTGGCTGCCAATGTTTCGAAATTACAGTAGGGCTGACGGGCGCTGTGCCGCCCGGCGCCAGTAACAGTGTGATCCACTGGAAGAGCAAGACTGGTCAGTTTTGCTTCTCTTGCTTCGGTCGCGGAGGTGGATGGATTATTGTCTGGTCCAGGACGGAGGCTTCCCCGTCTGCCCCTTATTAATGCAGTACAGACGGAGTGAAAAGGAGCCGCCCAGAAGCCAGCCTTGGACCGCGGACTTGTCAAAGGCTCAACGGGTGAGACACACGTCTGTACACACACAAATCGTTGGTGTGGAAAAGTAGGCTGGAAAAGTACGTCCTACTCTGAACTGGAGCAGGGTGACTGTGGTTGAATATCGGTTTCGAACGGCGTTGGGATTACCTTCTTGTTGATGATAGCGCTGATGTAGTTTGGGGTCGAAAATTTATCCGTATATAATTATTTTGAGCCACACACGCTCTGAAATCTCCACACCTTGAGCAACGAGTGTGTAATAGCCGTACGGCGTACGGTGATATTATTGCACGTCAAAGGTGATCTTCAAAATTCGGGCATTTTTTCGTACTCCATCCGGCCACAAGACGCTATGACCAGCCTAATTAGAGGCCCTAGCCCCAGCTGACATTCTTGGCACCTCAGCTCCATGTCCATGCTGACTCCAGACTTCAGAGTCCAGAGTCTAGGCGGAGAGGGGCAGGCAGTGCTAATAATAATTAGAATCGGTGGCGCCAAATGGAAAAAGACAAATTGGGCCACCCCTATGATTTGATTTGTGATTTGAGGAGCATGGATGATGGCGTCGAGGTCTTTTGTTAGCACGCACATCCGTAAATCATGCTCGGATGGCGGCCGATGGTTTGACGCCTGACGGCAACTGGGGCGCGCGACGTTTCCGTTTAGAGAAGGTGTGCCTGGCGATCTCCTGCTAGTCGGTCAGACCGTCAGTCACGCCAGTCACAGTGGGCTTGTCAATTGCTGGACCCAGGCAGACACTCCAGTCGGTTCAGTCTCTGTGTCGCACAGGAATTGATCGGTTATCTTCTCTGCAGACTACAGAGTGCAGGCACGCAACGACGGGTCGACGAGTCAAGGTCGACAAAAAGTCCAAGACAGTGAGTAATCCAAGCACAATGAAGGCGTCGGCCTTCATATTGAGCAAATTCTGAATGGGCGCCATCTTGGCAGCACGCTCTAATTAACTAGCAGAAAAGAACAGTCAACAACCAACAACCAACAACCAACACGAGCCCGCGACTGGGACTGGAACTGGGAGACTCGCGCGTCGCATTGGGCTGCTATTGGATGGCATGCTGCTCAGCCTTTGTGGGTGCGCGCCAATCGCCGCGACTGGTTCGGATGGTCAATTGATTGCATTGGCATTGCATGCCCCTGACAGGGCGCGTCCCCACCGACAATTCGATGGGCCAGGCTGCCGCGCAGGGAACTTGAACAGGCTCGCAGGATACCCCATCCACAGTCAAGAGGGCCATGCCTCATTGCCAGATGGACAGACATCTGTGTGTTGGATGCCACAATTAGAACGCTGACAGACCAATGTCAGCGGCGGTCGGTGAAATTACAGTATCCAAGGTACCACCCTGCACACCGCCCGGCTTCAGCACCGTCAGCATCGTCAGCAGTCAGCAGCCACGAGCAAGATTGCTGGACCAATGGCGCGGAGCCAGTGCCTTGCATTACGACAGGGATGACCGGCCCACGGAGGCCTGCCATGGCCCAGTTAGGCTAAGCGACTGGGCGGAACGGACTGGACTAAAGAAGATTGAAGAGTGATGGATGAGACACGGCCCTCAAAACCGCCTGGCCCTGCTCCTCTGTCTCCGTCCCCTCTTTCTTCCTCTCACCAACCTCACGTCAAGCACATACCAGTCGGTTGTCATCGTCACTCTCTACAAGGCTTAGCCTACCACGCTCTTTCAACAGCACCAGCTCTCGTATTCACTCTTTTCGACTCCTCCTCTCACCACCGACTATCCTTGTCGCTCCATCCGCTCTCACAAAAGCAACACAGATATTCACAATGCGCTTCTTCGCTTCCGCCTCCGCTGTCCTGGCCTTTGTTGCCTCAGCCATTGCCCAGACCCCTGGCTTCAACCCCATCTTCACTCCCGGCCTCAACCAGGAGGTCCCCGCCGGCGAGAACTTTGAGATCACCTGGCAGGCCACAGAGCCCTACAAGAATGCCAACATCAAGATCAGCCTGATCGGTGGCGCCAGCCAGGGCACCCAGCAGCCCATCCAGGACATTGCCTGTGAGTAGCCACGTCAAGGCACAAGAGCCATCGCATTCGACAATCATACTGACAGCACGTCTTTACAGCCGGCATCAAGAACTCTGTCCAGAGCTACAGCTGGGCTGTCGACGCCTCTCTTGGTGCTGACGCCGTCTACGGTCTCGTTATCTCCCTTGAGAGCGACTCCAACGTCTTCCAGTACTCTACCCCCTTCCAGATCGCCCAGGCCGAGGTCGACGAGACCGAGGCGGCTAGCACTGAGGCGAGCAAGCCCACCGTCATCATGACTACCTCCGAGGGCGTCAAGACCGTCTCCCTGACCTCGTGCCCGCCCACCGAGCCCACCGTGCACACCGAGGCTCCCGTCGTCACCCCCTCCAGCTACCACCACGCCAACACCACCTCCATCTGGGTCACGTCCACCGTCAAGTGCGCTGCCTGCGAGCACGTCCCCAGCCAGCCTCCCGCCGTTCCCACCACCGAGGTCTACGTGCCCGAGCCAATCCCGGAGCCTTCCTACTCGGGCGTCAACCCCGTTCCCGTTCCTGAGGAGCCTACCACCACCCCCGTCCCCGTCCCTGGCGCTGCCAACGCCATGGCCGCCGGTCCTCTCGCCATCTTCGGTGGTCTCGCTGTCGCCATGCTCGCTCTGTAAGCGGGTTGACCCTCTCTTACCTCGGCATCTCACACCAAGGCGTTTCTTGTTCTGGCATATTCCCGGGAGGAAGTTTGGATGGATCTCACACTATCTTGAGCTTTTCTTGCACATAGCCTTTTCGATCTATGCGCGAGCGGTCTGTCAAGCAGGTTGCTTCCGAGATTACGAATACACTTTGGCCCTATAATGACCTGCTACACACGCAGTAATGAAATGCTATGACTCTTGCGTGTCCGTCTTGCTGCCTGATCTCTGGTATGGTGTCTCAAGTATTGTTCCTTGATGAAGAGGAAACATTGAATGCAACCTTGTCTCCTTTCGTGTCGCTGTGAGGACACTGGTGACCACCGGTGCTTGCCTAAGTAAGGTACTTACACAAGCTTCGACTTCTAAATCTTGGACTTTAGTCAGGTCTTGTTTACCTTAGTTGTGTACCTCATAAGAGTCTTTGGCTGCCCGTTCTCCTTGATTCGCTGTTATCTTCCTTCATTATCACCTAGCGAGATATGCATAATAAAATGTGTTCGATTCGGTCAGAAACTTCGGAAAGACGTGATCATTACCACTGGTGGTAGTTATTTTCCTCCTCGCCGAGGCTAGGCATCAACATCCCGTCACGCTGTGGAATGCAAGTCTGCATGTTGATGTGCAACTGCATCGGATTGTCTCGTCACACAGCGTCTCGGATGGATCGTTCCGGCCTCCCTTGTCTTGCATCCAATCCTCAAGCTTGCCGATCTCGTGTCGAATGAGACAAGGTCTCCGAATGTTCGTCATCAGCTCAGGTTCTGGAACGATGGTTCGTCTTCCATGTGGCCGCCAATCGAGCGTCGGTATTGCCTTTTATTCATGCGCTAAAAGTCCATTCAATCAAAGGTCCATTCAATGTTTCTAGGTATCTAATATCTTTCGTCCACAATGCGCTTCAACAAGAGAACGCCGCCTGCTTTCCATATCCAATCTTCATATCTCAACCTTAACGTCCACCGACTTGGCCACGGGGGATAGGCGGTATCCAGCAAACCGCCAAGTTGAGCGCGACCTGCATGATACCAATCACCCAGAGACCCATGGCATAATCCGACCCCTTGTTCATGAAGCGGAAGATGATGGCAAACACGACACCGCCGAGGTTGCCACCTCCACCGGTCGCGCCAGACACGATCCCGTTAGCGTGCGGGTGGACGTGCGGCACGAGCGCAAAGTTGGCGCCGTTGCCTGCCTCGTGGAAGATGGCCATGAGGGAAATCAGGCCGACCATGAGGCCGATGCTGCTCCCGTTGGCCTCGGAGGGATCAATCTGTCCAATCAAGATGAGCAGCCCGCCGGTCAAGAGACCGCACACCGTGATCCAGGCCTTCTTGAGCCACAAATTGCCACCGAAACGAGTGTAGAGAATGTCGGCAATGATGCCGCCCAGCGGTCGGGTGACAAAGTTTAGGAACCCAAAGATGGAGGCGTAGTTGCCAGCGAGGGTTTGGTCGAGGTGGGGAAAGTTCTTCTTGTAATAGGAGCTGAGAATGGAGTTGATGGCAAGCTCACCACCGAAGGAACAGGCGTAGGTAGCCACGTGGAAGAACGTTTGCAGCGAGCAGAAGACGGCCATCATCTCCTTGAAAGACGGCTTCACGACAACCTCGGCTTGGGCCGTCGCCTGTGCCTCCTCCTTGGAAAAGCTGCCATTCCTGGACAGAGCCTGGATGTCGCGTCTCGACATGTCGCCCTTTTCCTCGTCCTTGCGTGACGATGACGATACCGATGACGGGGATGGGCGGTCGGTGATGTGGCCGGGGACGTTAACCACAGAGGCGTCCGACAGGTCAAAGGCTGCGAGATTTTCCTGCACCCTCTGTGCGCGCTCGTTCCACTTGCCAAGGGGCGTCTCCGGGCAGAGCAGGAACATGGAAACACCACAGGCGATGAGGCACATGAGAGGTACCACAAAGGTGACGCGCCATGCCTTGTGCTCACTCATCCCGTGATTATGAACAAAGGCGTCAAAGACGGCAGGCATAATGACATAAGTCAAGCCTCCTCCGGCATTGCCAAAGCTATAGTCATGTCAGCATGCGAAGTCATCAGTGATCGAGTTTATGTATGGGACACTAACCCTCCAGCAAAAGCATTGGCTGTGCCGACCACGTTCTTGTCAAAAAACCCCGTGCACCAGACCTGACAGGGCACAAAGGTCGCTCCAAGTACGCCGATGAAGAAGCGAGACACGTAGAGACCAGTCGCGTTCTTGACGAGGGGTGCGAGTCCGATCGGCAGGCAGCCGATGAGGAGCAGTGAGGCGTACACGTTCCTCGATCCGAACTGATCGCACAGCGGCCCGGCCACGAATCGGAGGAAGAAGGTCGATACAAGTGACACAATGTTCGAGTTGGCCACCTGCACTGGCGTGAGGTCCAGGTCTTTCGCGATCGTCATTGAGAGAAGCGGAGGGAAAGTGTACCTGTAAGGGGTCAGTCATGGTTCAACTGTGTGTTAGATGGTCTGAACTGACCAGGCCCAAAAGGCAGTCATGAAACCCAGCCAGGAGAAGAGAAAGACTCGTCCATAGAGATCGAACGGGTTGAGTGCTGGTATACTCCTTGCTTTCTTGTTGATTGGGTTAACCTCAGGGGCTTTCCACAATACTTTGATGTCGAACATGATGGTGGGACCAATACTGGTGAGCGGGTGCTTTGAGAAGACAAAGTTCTTGTTGATGAGAAGATGTCAAGCAAGTTGCAGTGATGAGGCGTTTGGTCCCTTGAGTAGACCCGATGGCCTGGCACCTTGATATAATAGCTGCCCGGTTCTGAATATCGTCTGAGACAGTCATTCAGATCAAACTATGCATCTCCGGCCTGACGAGAAGCTATGCCCAAGAGGACCTATCAGGCTTTAGAAGAAACTGTAGTCTCTCTTATGGGGCCGATAACCCCCAGATTGACGGGACAAGGTAGTTTGATGGGTCCGGTGTGCCGGAAATATCTGGGCCAGTCGGCAGGCTTGCAGACCCGATAAGACCCTGGACCGGGAAATGCCACAAGAAGTATCACAGTTGACGGCCTGCGGTCATTGTTTCGGCTTTCGACCTAGAGACGTGCGATGATCACCGGAGCTGGTCAATTCATCAAGACGGCGTGCGAGGCGTTGTGCGTTGTTGCTATGTTGGTAGAAGCCGAATGATGTTTCCTGGTAGCGATTTTGGCTTCGCGGAATTGTGAGATTCCCGCAAAGAGACAATAGCTCTGCGGCCTAACGAGTCTCTCGAGACAGCCCCCAATTATTTTCTCGATATGCTTCAGTGGCTTCCTGACCTTGCGGCTGCATGCGGGTGGGCGATCAATTCGTGTAGGGATGCCGGCGACATCCCGCGGACTTGATGAATCTTTGTTTGTGAATGGCAGCGCCGTGTAAGTATATCGAACCTGATGCAAGATAAGAGCTGTCTCCGGATATGGTCTCTCCAGACTGCCCGGTTTGAAACCCACACAGTTCTAGGTGGAGTCAGCGCAGGAGAGATCAGTCCGACTGGGTCAGGGGATACAAGGCCTGTAAGCAGCAATGGACAGCATCTGATGGGCGCGGAATTAGGACTGAGATGTCACGTCTGGTCCCTGGACATGGAGAAACATCAGTGTCGTCGTCGCCTTATCATGGAGCTGCGCCCGCGAGGGACTAGTAAGTGGGAGGGACCCGCCAGGACAGATAAGCATTGCGAGGGCGACTGGCTAGTGGTTAATTACTGACATGCGAGGAGGAGGATCTCCGCGGGGATTTCTTTGAATGATAATCGATAGGCACCTGAAATCAGGAGAAAGGCGAAACTGACGTCGTTGCTTGCTTCATGGGCATTGGTAAGGCTGCGCTGCGCTGCCAAACAGCGAGTATCGATGGCCTATTATTAGAGCGGCACTGATACTTGACAGCTAGTTCTAGGTGCTCGGTCGGAGGCTTTGATGCATCTTCTTCTTGATCAGAATTGAGTGCTCTCAATAAGACACGAAAGGTCACTGAATGAAACCAAGGTTTGTGGTCGAGCAACGAAGGCTTTCGTTTGAGGGTGTGGCTTGGAGAAAGATCGCGACTCCGCGCGAATTTGTGGTGCAAGCGCCGAAAGATGCATACGCCAGAGTCTGCAACTCCAGTCGCTCGTACTTCATGGTTCTCTCGGGTATTCACCCGTTTGTCTCCCTGTGATATGGGGCAATGTGCAGATATGTTCTGGGAGTATTGCATACCATGCCACAGCGACGGCAATCTCATCATGTTCAACATCTCCGCTTGTCGCGATGCTATCAGCTGGCTAGACTCTGGAGTCATTATTTGCGTGGGGGTCACCTGAGGGGCTGACAGTTGATCCGAATCTGGGGTCTTGATAGTCAGCTGTACGTATCCCCTTCGTGACGATCACCCAAAAATCCTTAAAGCCATGGCGTCGCCGCTGGGCTCCAGCAATACTGTAGCTCGTCGCGTCTCACTGTTCGTCGCCAGTCCGCCCAAGGGCTAACGACGTCTGGATTCTGAGCGTGTCCAAGAGGACCGTTGCTGGACCGAATCGAGCCCAACGCTGAAGAACATACGGTTTCCCAAGTTTGTGGTAAAGACAACTGCCTGCAAGTTGCGTGCTGCAATAGAAACGACTGGTCTTTCGACAATCAATGAACGCCATCAGGTCTTGTTGTGAAGTTGTGATGCTAATAACAAACAGTTATCCTTACAGAGAGAGGTCGGAGACGGAGCTAGATGCACTTGTCCCAATGCAGTAAGCGCGACACGTCGCCGGTCGACGGAGGGAAGGCACACGTTGAGTTTTTTTTTTCGCTCTGACTTGGAGAACAACGAACCAGAGGAGTGCCGTCTCAGCCAATGAATGAGTCGCAACGACTCAGCGTCGCGATTGGGGCGTGATAATTATTCCACCTCACTTGAACCTTCATAGAAATTTGTGACTCTTGAGCAATACCTCCTACGTATGGCTCAAAGTCCCAAGCTCATAACGTTCACTTGTCCTCTCGCCCTTACCCGATTGACAAACGTGCATTCAAAGCTCGCGTACCGCCAGAATTGCACCACACACGTCACAGTGGGGTAGCTGAGGGTCTCGAAGAGGGAGAGAAAAAAAAGTGACTTCTCAGTGTGAGTATGAATGTTCACGGTCGAGAGACAGACCTCGCGTTGACGTAGTGAAATAGTTCAGTGTAGCACAGAATCCATGATGGCGTCGCAAGATGCTGTCAAGACTTGCCGTGTGCTGACGGCCGAGACCATTGCCAAAAACCTCTTGAACGAGGTCCGTGATACCCTGGCCAAGATCCAGGAGACTGGCAGCGGGCAGCCGATGCTGGCAGCTTTCCTGGCCAACGGTGACCCTCACGCCGAGAAGTACGCGGAATGGTCCAAGAAGACGTGCGAGGACAAGTGAGCTTTCGGGTCAGGCAGCCGTGTCCAGCCCATCGCTAACATAGTAACAGCGGCTTCAAGTTTGACCTTCGCAATGTGGAGAAGGAGGCTCTCGAGGAGGAGATCATGAAGGCCAACGAAGAGGAGGAGGTCGATGGCATCATTGTCTACTACCCCATCTTCCCCAAGAACCCCAGCCACGACAAGTACGTGCAGGAGACAGTAGACCTCGGAAAGGACGTGGAGGGGATGCGTCACCAACACCTCCACAACATGTATCACAACATCCGCTACTTGGACCCGCCTGAGAACCGCAAGAAGTCCATCTTGCCCTGCACCCCGCTGGCTGTTGTCAAGATCCTCGAGTACCTCCAGATCTACAACCCCGTCCTGGCGGCTGGCAACCGTCTCTACGGCAAGACCATCACCGTCATCAACCGGTCCGAGGTGAATGGCCGTCCGCTGGCGGCTCTACTGGCGAACGACGGCGCCACCGTCTACTCCGTGGACATTACCGGCGTGCAGCTGTTCACCCGCGGTCAGGGTATCAAGAAGGTGCGCCATCAGGTTGAGGACAAGGAGGGCTGGGGCCTGGAGCAATGCCTCCCCATCAGCGACGTTGTCATCTCTGGCGTGCCGACCGAGTCGTACAAGGTCCCGACGGAGCTCATCCGCGACGGCGCCGCGTGCATCAACTTTTCCTCGTACAAGAACTTTGATGGGCCTGCGATCAAGGAGAAGGCGGCTCTGTACGTGCCGTCTGTCGGCAAGGTCACCATTGCTGTCCTGCTGCGCAATCTTGTGGTGAGTGTGATGACTGGCAGATTTTCGCAGCGCGATGCAACAGTTCGGTGCTAACGGAGAATCAGCGATTGATCGCCAACCGTCCCGCGAAGAAGCCTGCCGATTCGGGCGACATTGCCCAGGCACGCAACGAGGCCTTCGCTGATGACTAGTGCTCGGACCCAGATTCGACACCAACGTATTTGAATTTGCGGCGCATCAAGGAGTTCACACTAGAATTTGAACACTAGACAAAATGCATTATAGATGATGATGCCAGCTGGCTAGGCTGGGCTTGGCTGGGCTAGGCTGAGCAGGGCCTGCCTGCGGGAGACCACGTAGGATGGCGGCACACAAAACAAAAAGGTGGCCTGTTTGCACGAGGCTGAAGAGAATCAAAGAATGATTGTTGACGACCAGCGAGCGTTGTCATGCCAAATCACGATGAACTGCGCACAAGCCCCTGAATATACCTAGTTGTTGCATGCTATAGATGCTGCCCTGGCCACTGGCTGCGTGCTGCGCGCACGCAAATTGACAGAAGCAGGGGGCCAAGGGCCAGCCGTGATAGAATACGACAGAATTGGCCAATCAACCATCAGCGCAGGTGGGCGAGCGACCCTTCAAAGTTCAAACATGTTTCGATTCCAACAGAAGACACATGGACGTTTCCCCGACTTGACATTCAAACAAACGGGACCAGACGCCTTAACGCACGTACGCACAATGTACCCACTAGCTACCCTATAAGCATCCGCGGCGACACTGAGTGAGACCTGGAGTCCCCAGGTTTCTGAGGCAGACCTCTGATAGTGTTGCCTACTGATAAACGCATTGAAGCAAAAGTTCATGCCGAAATTTCATGGCGCTTGCCCCAGACAAATGCCATCTTCGATTCCTCGGGAGGTGCCAGTCCGGTCCGGCGCCTTGCCTGGCCAGGATTAGCCCCTGAACCATCTTTTGTGCAGGCGGGTCGACTGATCCTTGTCCGTGGGTATCCTGACAAGAGGGAAAATGAAGAAAGAGGAGCCGTGCCATCGAGGTCGCGCGGCAGTTCAATCAATCCAATCCCTCCTTGCCGTGTGCGCGTGTCGCGGCGTCACAGCCTTTCCTGTTCTTATCCCGTGCAAAATCCTTTCTTTGCTGCTCAGCTCCGCCCAGCCACGGCGTAGGCGTAGGCGTACCGTCTGTGATACCATCACTCTTTAGTGTCCTTGCATCCGACCATCTTTCCTTCTTTCCTTCCTTCCTTCTTCTTTGGTGTCTTGGACCGGACCTTCCGTCCGACACAAAGGCGCGGGACGATTGTCTCGCCGCCAGCCACTCGCTCAATCATTCACCCACACACAGGGGACCTTTGACCACAGCAAAGTCCAGTCCCAACGAAGAAGCGCAACGCCTCCCGAGACACTGTCTCTGCCATCTCGAAGCAGCAGTCGTCATTAATCTTCACCGACCTACCGATATCGAATCTCTCCCGCGACTCCAAGTTACTGAAGCGCGGCGCTCTATTATACCCACTTCTGGGTACCATTTCAGACTAATCTTTGCACGTCCACCCCCGAGCCAAGGCGCCCTCCCGAATCGCGTACCGTCCCATCTCGGTTCACACACTCCGGGCTGTAGCGGCTTCACGACGGCCCGCCCGCGACACGACTCGTCTGCGCAGCACCGTTCGCATTGCACCGATTTCCCGTTACCTGTGGCCGCCATGGCGACTACTGCCTCTCACAATGGTCACCAACAGCACATGCCTTCTGGGTCGCACGGCCCAGTACCAGGGTCGCCCACTCTGACGAACCCCGACATGATTCTGCCCGATTACGAGATGCCAGACTCCCCCGAGGCGCTGCCACAATCAGTGATCACATCATGGAGGGACCCGAACCTGGGTCAGTTGGACTTTCAACTGCACTCGCAGCACGATCACGGGTCCATGCCAACCACGACACCCATTATCTACGGCAATGGAACAATGTTATCAGATATTGGCGAGGTCACAGAGGTGGAAAGCAACGCCGGTACAGGGCCAAGGAGGGCCTCGTCACGATACTCTGCATACACCAACACCGAGACATTTGGTGGCTCGCCCACACTGCTGAACAAGGGATTTCAGCGTAGGTCAAATATGGATCGCGAACGAAGGTCTTCGGTGGACTCGACAAGCACAGTCACCACGCAGCGAATTGCGTTTGGCGACTTTGATGACTCCATGAGCGTTGGGGATAGCTGTTTCCAAGGCGACGACGAGGAGAGTATGGCATCCGAGTTTGTCGAGGGTACGCATCCGAACCAGGCACGAGTAAGATCACAGCATAAAAGGGAGGGAGACGTCAAGTACGCCACGACGGACATAGGCCAAAGAGCAGAGCAAATCCTGGCCAATGCCAAGCGCAGGTTGACGGTAGGCTTGATTCCTCCATCAGGGGAGACATGTAATGGCTAATGCGAAGATCAGGCAATGGAAGGCAATCTGTCCCGTGCAAGGAGCTCGTTGAGCTATTCGGATGGCTCAACGCCGTCCCCCCAGCTGGGCTGTTCTGCTAGTGCGATACGAGACGGAGCTGCTGCGACATCACTCAGTCACTCCAGGATCAAGAGTGAAGATGGTATTGGTGACTTGAAGCAGCTGCCAGCGTTGGCGCAAAGGTCGGCCAGTGCCATGGGCGCCGCTGGAGGCTACCGGCAGCCGTCGCTGCGTACCAAGCAAGCAGAGGCCGAGCTTCCTCCATCGCGACTTGCGTACGGCATCTCTCAACATCCCTTGGATACTACACTGGAGCCGCTGAGCGAGGACGACGACGAACAGCAAAGCTCGGGACCAACCAACAGCGCACGCAATAGTATGCGTGATAGTCACTTGATTCCGTTCCTGCTCAGTCCGACGTTTGGTGCGGACCCTGATCGAGGATTGACCAGGTCGGCTTCAGTGGCGCAGATGAGGGACATTCAAGATCAGATGCAGGGCCTCCGCGGAAAGATCTCGACGCTGAAACAGCAAGCAAGGGCTGATAGCCTCAAGCGACGGAGTCTTCAGAGTCTCCGGACTCCAAGCCCGTTCACCCACGCTCGCTGGGATGGCGGTTACGTCGGCACGCCCTCATTTGATTCGAGCAGTTCATCTCGTGAGGGCACGCCGACGGGGTTGCGTACGACCGAGACTCAGCCCCCCATGCAAGAAATGAAAGGACCCGAAAAGGATGAGCCTGCTGTGGGCAATGTGCAGCCTGCTGATGAGATGGCGCCTTCGCCAGAAGAAGTGACAGTACCTCAACATCGACCAGCTTCTGTACCACCTGTGGCAGCACCGTCGCAAAACGACGACGAACCTCGCCCGCATGACTTCACCGATGATGCCAATGATGATATGCGCACGGACAACGGCGATTCCGATGCCTCGAACGAGGAGGAGGAAGCCTTTGATGACGCCCGAGCCGAGGTATCAGATTGGGGGAGTGAGAGCGGGGAGTCGACGTATCACGACACTTTCCAGCACCAAGTCTCGCATGAGGATCGCGAAGATGCTTTCGACTACGAGCATTTCTTCCTCCACTCGGCTCTCGGCAGTATCAGCCGTCAGCACAGGGAGAGCGACTCTGAAAGCGATGTTTCTGACGACTCTGTCTCAACGACGCGGGGACCCATTCCCACCCCTTCGAGCATGTCTTTCCGCTCAGCCATGTCACGGAAGAGACAGAGCGTGGATACTACAGCTTCGGACGACACCTTTGCAACGGCGAACGAGGGTCGCGCTAGCCGCAGCTCAACCTTCAAGACTGAGCTGGGCTTAGGCATAGACAGCTATGACGAGCTGCCGCCTCTGGAAGAGGAACGCAGCAACGCCGGGGATGACGCTCAGATGAATGAGATGCCCAAAAGCAGGCAGAGGCAGAACTCGGTGCTCTACCGTCCGACCAGCGCTGCGCAGGCCGATCGCCTGCACCGGCCCTCCATCTCCTCCTTCGAGTCCACGGGAACGAATCGCAGCTTCCCCCTTGTGAACAAGGCCAAGCTTCATGGCGGTGTCCTTACGCCAGGGGGATCTCCAGATCCTATGTTTACCAAGATGTCAGAGGCTCTCATGAACGACACCACCCGTGCCCTTGGCAACGGCGACTCAGCAATAGCCTTGCGGAGTCTCCACAAGGACGACCAGTTCATGGTTGAGCGGCTGGTGGCCAGCATTGGAAAATGTGCCCTTGGGCTCAGTGAAGCCTCTATGGCCAGTACCGAGGCACGTGTCTTGCGGCGCAGGATGGACGCGGCTCGCCGCATATTGGAAGGCTTGGATGACCCTTGATGCATAGCAGCGCAGCGCAGCCAACGACAAGTCGTGCTTTTACAGCGTTCATATACTTTACGGCGGGAGGGAGCCTGTGTATTTGCTTAGGGTCTGTTTTTATTTCTTGTACATGGCTTTTCGGATTCGCGATACCCCTTGTTCTTTGCTCCACTACTAGATGGGGCCTCACCAGGCGCGTCCATTATGAAACGCGAGTACGTACTTTCAGCGGTCCTATGACCGTCATGACAATAAGAATAATGTTTATCGCCTCTTGTAATTGTCCTGCCAAACATCGCCCAGACTCACCCAGCTCAGGTACCTTAGTTTGCTAGTTTGGGACTAGTGCCTTGCGATTAGTGACTGACCAGCACCTGACGATCCCCGGACAGAAGCCCCACCAAGGCTTCACCGCGACAAGGTCTAGTCCCAGTGGCCTTTGATCCTTCCCACACCGCCAAAAGACCCTTGAAAACGCGACAGCACGACGCGATAATTGAAAGCCCTTGGCTTTGGCTCCCCCATCAAGCTAAGCTGAATTGTTCTGAAAATAGCAGTCTGTCATCGAGAGGCAGAGCACGTCCACCCTGCCACGATCCAGCCGCGCCGCATCCAGTCAACAGCGACCACGATATATACAGACAGCACAAGCGAATCCACAAACGCGAGCGCCGCCACCCCTGGCATGGACTTCCTCACCCACCAGGCGCTCTCGCGCATCCTCCCGCCCGACGCCTACGCTTTCGTTCAGACCAATATCCTCCACCCGCAGTCGCAGTTCCAACTGCTGCTCAAGCAGAGCACCGTGGTCGCGACCAACGCCGTCTCGGCGACCCTCCCGTACCTCGACCCACTGATTGAGCGCGTGTCCGATGCGCTGCACGACAACTCGGGCGCCGTGGGCGTGGTGGTGGCGCTGGGCGTCATCACGGCCGTGGTCATGATCATGAACTGGATACGGCGGCTGATGATGTGGTGGGCGCGCTTCACCATGGTCCTGGCGTTTTACGCGGCCGTCGTTGTCGTGATTGCCATTGCGTGGGAGAGGGGGCCCGCGCGGTCGCTGCGGGACGTTGTGGTGGTCGCGTCCAAGATTGTGGGCTACCTGGCGTCGTTGCGGGAGGTCTGGGTGCAGGAGTACGACCGCTACGAGAGCCAGGGCAACCCGAGGATGAGGAGGTAGTCAAAGGGGGACGGTATTGCTATTCTTTTTTTTTTTTTTTTTTCTTTGGTTAAGGGAGGGCGCTGGACGTTGTTTACTGGGAGGCGGCTCCAAGAGACGCCGTGTTGAAGTAGGAGACACCGCAGGGGAAACTTGGGTACAACATGCCGGGGTAACAGCACTGCATTGTGATTATGATAATGACGAACGCGACAATGAAGGACATGAGGCTTCATCAACGTACATAAAGAAGACATTGTCGTCCTTCTTTTGGGTGATATTTGATCCATTAACTCTCGACCAGACAGACCATGCCCAGACGCCCCGCTATGCAAGAAAGACAAGAACTTTAAGAAAAAGAAAAAAAAAAGGCCCACTCAGCAGCACCATTGACGACCGGCCTCGAAAGCTAAAACTACTCCTCATCTCCCTCCTCAAAGTCCTCGTCCTTGGGCTCCTTTGGATCCTGCGCCTCGTGGAACTGGATGCAGTCATCGATATAGCTCAAGATGGCAGCCACGCTATCCTCATTGGTCACATCCAGCTTGAGATAGTTGACCATGCTGAAGTTTTCAATCAAGCCGGCCACGGCGCGGTTCAGCTTCCGGAAGGACGTGCCCTTCATGACCTGGTCCTTGTCGTCAGGTCGCTTAAACTCGTCGTCGGCGTCCTCCTCGCCGGCGCGGAGTCTGCGCTCGTGCTCGACGGGGTCGTCGTCCATGAGCGCCGTGTCGGGCGTGAGGAACTTTTTCATGTCCTTCTTCTTGACCTGCCCCTTGACGAGGTCCATCTTGCTCAGGACGTTGATGTGGGGTACCTCGAGCATGAGCATGGCGCTCATGGCGCTCAGGGTGCCGGCGAAGAACTTGGCCCTGTCGACGACAAAGGTGGCCTCGAGGAGGTACACGGCCGCCATGCGCACGTCCAGGCTGCCCGGCTGGCTCAGGAAGCGCATGAGGGTCGGAAGGATGGGGATGTGGGTGTACAGCTCGATCTGGCCCGGCATGTCGAAGATGATGAGGTAGTCCTCTGTCAGCCCGTCCAGGCTCTCTGTCAGCCAGTCAAGGTTCTCCATGAGGAACTCGAAGCAGTAGATCAGGCCGCCGTTCGGTCCGAGGCCGACTTCCTCCATCGCGTCGTGCAGGGAGATGAGGTCCTTGATGTCGAGGTCAGGCTGGTGCTCAAAGGACTCGGCGGCCGGATCGAGGTTGACGTAGAAGGAGGAGCGGCGGTTGAGGTTGAGATGGGTGATGAGGGCGGCGCAGAACGTGGACTGTCGCGGAGCTTCATGTTAGCAACGCTGCGCGCAGGAGAGTGTCGAACGCCGTGGGGCTTGTGTGTACCTTTCCCGCGCCTGCGGGCCCCATGACCATGGTGCCGAACTTGCTCATTGTGGGATCTGTGACTGCGCGCTTGGGCAAATGGGTGCGAGGGAGAGGCTGCGCTGGTCGCGGAGAGCGGGTTGGTTGTCAAAAGAATTATCGATGGAGTTGGGCTGCTGGTGCTAGTACCATCCGTGGTGGGGGCCCCGCAGCTGTACAGGGTAGTCGGGAGCTCCAGGATGGCCTCGGGCCTGCCAGAGTCCGGTCTAGACACTGAACTCAACAGACTCAGGTCCAGGGAGATATTTTCCGGCAATATTTTGGATAGAGAAGAAAATAAAGAAGACAATAATCGATGCCTCGCTAGATTCGAAGTAGACAAATACTTGCACTGACCCGAGCGCATCATTTCTGGCAGAAGCGTACCAGTTGCACAAACAGGCAGATCGATCCAGATTCCAGAATCTGATGCGAGCCCAGGAATTTCTCGCATACACGAGAGCTTACCCAGGCTTTGTGCGAAGCGGCACATATTTCTGAATAAAGCAGCCACGATAGTTTGCAGGTCGATTCCTGCACGACCGAGAGGGGGATCTCAGGGGGGGTAAATTAACATGCATGTCTCCGTTGCCGGCAGATTATAGCCATTCAATCAATGAAACCGAACATGGTTTGCGATTCAGGCAGGGAGGGAGGTGCATATTCGCTGCAGACCCAACTCATCGAACAATAGGTTGGGGGCAGACGCCAGCGTGGTGGAGGATATCGGATACAGGACAAGAAGAGTGGATGAATACCGCCATCCCCAAGATGTGATTGGTTTCCGGGGTTGACAACAGTCCTACTCTTTCCTGGCCATTTACGAGTGGATTGTTTCGAGCAAGTGTTACGTCATGTGTCAAGTTACGTGCCCGCGGCCGCCCGTTGAAGGTTGTGAACATGTGCGAGGGTTGCGAGGGTTGCGACCTTGAAGCCATCGGACCATGCCTGGTAGGCTATGCGCTTAGCTTGTTTGGGACAAGGTTTGGCAAACCAACCACGCATGAGCAATTTGTCAAATGCCCATGATACTACATACGTATGTATGTGGATGGCAATGTCTGACCCCGTCGCGGTCAATGGACTCATTCAGTACCACATTTTACCATTGTTGGGCGGATCGATCATGCCGCGCCAAGATCGTACCGCTGAGTGCGTCATGACAAATGGTCGACAGCACAAGCGAGAGCGCCATTTCGCCAACCGTACAGCGAGGAGGTAGGATCGTAGGCTTCGCAGCTGGACCGTGGGACCGCGGGATGTGGCTCGGCGCAGGTCCACAGGCGAACAAAGTGCAGCTACCGCCAGGGAAGCCGGAGGATCCTCCTTGAAACGGCAACTTGTTGAAGAAGTGTAAATGCGCGTCCGACAAATGACAACTGTCACAGTCAGCCTGTCATGCAGCTGCTACTCCCCAGAGTCAGGGACTCGGGGCCGCAGGCGCCAGCGAGTAAGTGTGAAGGTGTGCCCGTTTGCTCTCCGTCCCTCCTCTGTAAGAGAACAAGAGGGGCCGCGGATCGATATGGGCCTGATCAAGGTCATCAATGGCGTCCTGAATGGCTACATGGACTGGCGCAGTGCGACTCTGCGAAGAGAGAGTCAGGCAACAAGGGAGGTTGATGGTCGTCGGGCGAGGTGGAACAAGCCCCGCTTTGTGAGCGAAATGACCAATAGGCGCTTGACGGGATCGCTTGCTAGTGCTGTTAGCGGGCAATCCTCATGGGGTCCAGGGGCGGGCGCTAGTTCTTTTTTGGTGGTCAATAGGCCAGCCGCCAGCCCCTTTTCGACAACAATATCAAGCTCGTCAGCGCACAATAGCAACATGAAGCAGGCCCATTCCCCCAGCAGAGCTTGTCTGCCTGCTTGATCGACCTTCGTATCGGCGTGCCGGAGCAGGGATGGGATCTCATCTGGCCTATCGTACATCCACACGCACGCTCAGACTCTACATAGTGGTACGTGTCATGGATGCTCTGCTGAACTGGCGAGAAGGGCCTTGTCGACTGTTCAATGTTGGCAACCACCCGTCCGGCACCCGAATTAGCACACGCTCTCGTGGAGAAGGGCAGACAATGCTTAGACATGGCGTTCGGAGCCGGTGAGCAGCACGCCAATGGGCGGTAAGGGCGTCCTCTCCATAGGCGCTACTGTACCTGATTCATATTCTCGGGTCCATGGAGGGTGTGCTGGCCACACACTGTCGGGCCCCGCGAACGCCTGCCACGAGCACAGGTAACCTTGCCCATGCGTCCGCCTTCATTTGCTAGCCTAGGCTGAATACAGCTCCCGCCTGCTGTCAATGGCATTCGCGCACGGCGGTACCCGTCTCGCTGGCAGATCAGAGGTCGTGGGCGGGATCTATACTTTTTAATTTTTTAATTTTGTTTTTTTGCGAAAGCACGAGCCCTCAATGTGAGCACGGAGCACGCATGAATCGCTGTTGCGCGCCGTGCGTTTGGGAAACGACAAGTCAGTCTACGCTTCCCAGACCCATACGTGCTTGCCCTCAGTCAAATGGACCAGCTACTGTGTGTTTGTTAGGCAGAGACGTGTTTGAGAGGGAAAAGGTTTTTTCTGCAAACCGAGAACAGGGGATAATGGATCATCCTATTGTCAAGCGAGACGGGCCGTGGGTCGCTCATATTCTGCTCCGAACCGCCCGCGTCTGTCTCACTGCATCGATCCATTCCACCTGAATGGCCTCATGATGGACAGCAAGCTTTTTCGCATATTCTAGGCCATCCCTCCTACAACCTATACCGTTTCTTCATCGCACCCACAACTCGTATTCCAGCATTAAGTTCTTTTCTTGGCCCAACCGCTTCCTAGTTCGTCTAACTCTGGCACACTTGGTCCTCACACCCGAACCTTAAAACCTAGCGCCTGTCTTGATCTGATCTACACACCTATCGTGCAGTCCTCGAGTTTGACAAGCTGTGGCGCCATACTTCACATCGCACCACGCCATCCCGGCCGACTACTGCTGTTGCCGCAAGTGAACCGCGCAGTCGGCACCATATCCGTCACACTGTGACAGGCGGTTACTCAAGGTCTCTCAGGCTGGCCGGCCGTGTCTTGGGACATCGACTAGACAAAAGTTTCCCCATAGCTTCCATCCGGGTCTCAGAGTTTAATCTTGCAAACTTCCCATCTCGCTCAAGAGTGCTTCGACAAGACATCGACGACGACAAAGTCATCGTGGGCATCACTTGAAGAACCAAAGCCTGGCTTCACACGCAAGGCCACCAACACAATGGGTACCTCAAATCACAACCAGTCAAACATCCCCCACCTCATTCTACCCAAAGACTCCTCATACAATATCATGTCCCCCGAGCACGTCTCACCGCCACCATACAACACACGGCCTCCACAGGTGGATTTCTACACGCGGCCTCTCACAACAACCGCGCTGGAGGGCGATGAGCTGGACGACAGCACCATCTCACCACTTACGCTCCGCATCAACACCTCCATCAACATCCTCAAAAACAACAACCTCATCTGCCTGAGTGACTCGCCCGCCAACCACGCCACCGCCATCGCCGACGCTGTCACCCAGGCCATCCAGAAGCACAGCTCTGGCAACTGCGGCATCCCCATGATCGACGGTAACGGAAATCCTCGCCCAGTACGTATCGATATCGATGCCGGAATGGTCACCGACGGTGTGGGCAACGTCGTTGGCTCCGAGAGCATTGTGCTAGAGGTGCTACGGCAACGGGGCGATATGAAGCGGCAGCGGGAAAGCCCAGCAGCCCCTTCGCGTTTTGTAGACGAGAGCTCAAAGAGGAGGCGGTCACATTCGTAAATGGCTTTTGTATTCTTTGTTGGGCATTCTAGTTTGTTTGGTTACAAAATTTGAGGACAGCATTAGACCGATGTTAAGGGCAGAGGTTGCGTTATTCTTTTCTCTTGGGGGTTTTCATCATACGGGTACACGACTGATGAAACAAAATAAATCGGATTTTCATTTCGTACGCCCGCCTCAGATCTTTGTCCAAGTCGGAGATTTTGAAGTAATGCCGTGTACTCAATGACAGACGCAACTGTCAACCCAAGTAGGGTCGTCCGTCCCTCCTTTCCTTCGACTCGGGTCCTTCATATCGCGTGGTTTGGCTTCCCTGATGAACCTGCCACACACACAGCTGGCCAAAGGTCAGCTGGGCTGATATTAGCGTGCATCTACTAGATTGTGGCGGCTCGCTTTGACAATCCTGGTCCCGTGTGGTCGTTTGGGGCTGTGGGCTGAACACTGCACTTCGGAAACAAGCAGGACCATGATCGGACTTTGCATTGAGCTGGGCTCTTGACTTGGAAATAGCAAGAAAGCAACATTGTTTGCCTCAACTGGCCAAAAGACAACTGCTCAGATACCTACCCCAAAGCGCCCATATCCACATTTCCCCTCACGATAGTAGCTTCGGGACGTCACCATGTCTTCCAGCGACTTGAAGAATATAGGCTAAATTGCCAGTCTATGCTTAAGATCCCGAGCTGAGAATCGCCAAACACCAACAAAACACGCCTCGTTCCACAGAAAGTAGGTACCAATCGCACCATGCCCGAACTTCCCAACATACGCTGGGGCATTATCGCTACGGGCCTCATCTCCTCCTGGTTCGTTGAGGACATTGTTCGGACCGATCGCCCGCCCCCCCAGGCGACGCATACCATCCGAGCCATTGGCTCCTCCTCGCTCCAGAAGGGCAAAGACTTTGTCGCCAAGCACATTCCTCAGACGTCCCCCACCATCTACGGCTCTTATGAGGAAGTGTACAATGACCCCAACGTCGATGTGATCTACATTGGCACGCCACACGCCTTCCACAAGAAGAACTGCCTCGATGCCATCTCCGCGGGGAAACATGTCCTCTGCGAAAAGGCCTTCACGCTGACTGCTAAGGAGGCCAGGGAGGTCTTTGAGGCTGCCCGGGCCAAGGGCGTCTACGTGATGGAGGCCATGTGGACAAGGCACTTTCCCCTCATCAAGGCCATGCAGAAAGTCTTGCACGAGGAAAAGGCCATTGGCAAGGTGCAGCGGGCATTCTGCGACTTTGCCATCTTCCAAGACATTGCCTCCAAAGGACCCGAATCACGGTTGAAGAATCCAGCCCTGGGAGCTGGCAGTCTGCTGGATATCGGTATCTACAGCTTGACCCTGACCATTCTAGGTCTGGAGCCGGCGTTGGGAAAGAAAGGGGCAGCAGAGACGCCGGCTGTGAGGGCCATCCAGTCGCTCTCCGATGGCGTGGACGTGAGCACCGCAGTGCTGTTACTCTACAAGGACGGGAGACAAGGCATTGCCACCTCGCACAGCGACCTCAAGTCAGGCGACGATTTTTGCCGCGTCGAGGGCAGTGAGGGCACGTTGATTGTCCATGGCCCGGCGGCGTCGGTGCCCAGCTCGTTCACCGTCGTGAAGAGGGGCGGCGGGGAGAAGAAGTACGAGTTTGAGAGGCCAGGAAGGGGCTTCTACTGGGAGGCTGATGCGGTGGCGGTGGATGTCCAGCAGGGGAGGACGGAGAGTCTTGTGATGCCGTGGAGTGAGACCATTCGGTTCATGGAGATTATGGATGAGGTGAGGAGGCAGGGTGGTGCCAGGTTTCCCCAAGACGAGCGGTAGCCATAGTTATGCGCGGAAGCGTGAGACCTACCGGGTAGGCAGACATTTTACAGTGCTTATTTACCGTGTGCACAGTTTATAAACGGTACGGTAGGTATGGGAACCAAAGGGCCATGCGAGCCTTGAGCAAAGTTCTTCATCTCTCACTTCTCGCCTCCTCTTTCTGGAGTCTGGACCGCCGCACCATCTCGCGAAGCATCAACTCTAGCTATTCCGCATCGGCACCCCGTGATAACGTCCGAGGAGCCAACACGATAAGATCCGCATTGGCCTTAGCCCCTGATCGCTCCTTCCATCTTCACCAATAGCATCACTCAATTCCACCCACGGCACCCACTCCTCAGCTCGGAGCTCCAAAGCTTGAACCCTTCCATGATGGAACTCGACCCGGCCACCCCCACCGAGGTGCGTGTCCCGCACCGTTGTACGTATAATGTACCTTGAGAGCAGTAGTCCATCCCCTTCTTGTCCAGGACGGCTGTCACCTCGCCAATTGATCATTTGTCGCCAGTCGAAACCGTCAGAAGCCACCCACCCATTGTGACTCCTGCACGGAGCAGCTAGCTCGCCAAGATGGCCAACCTCTCCGTCCGCAATCTGACGATCCATCCCCTCGAGCTCCTCACCATCGATCGCTTCGAGGGGGCCAAGGAACAGACTGGCGATCTTCTGACCAACACCCTGGGCACCGTCAACTCCTTTCTTAACGCAACCGAGTTCAAGACCACGCGCACGGTTGCCAAGGGCGAGCCCCACAAGCAAGACAAGGTCAATGTCACCATTGACCCCTTCAAGACCAAGGAAACCAATGAGCGCACCGCGGACCCCAAGAAGGAGGTGATCCGGCTGGTGTTCAAGACGGTCGGCCACAAGTACGAGGTCGACGTGCCCAGCGCCGACACCAAGAGCACGGTCATGAAGAAGCTGGACGGCGGCAAGCTCGAGCTCACAGCCGTCTACGTGCCCACCGGCGCCCTCCTCGCCGTCTTCTCCTCGGCCAAGCTCGACGCGTGGATGAAGGAGCTCGACAATGACTGGCCGCTGCAGACGCTCTCCATCCCCGGCACGCACAACTCGCCAACTTGCTACAAGGCCCTGCCCTCCGTGCGCTGCCAGGCGGTCGGCGTGCCGGAGCAGCTGCGCAACGGCGTGCGCTTCCTGGACGTTCGTGTGTCCGCCGACCCCGAGGACCAGAACCTCGCCCTCGTCCACAGCGCCTTCCCCGTTTCCCTCACGGGGACCAAGTGGTTCGGCGACATGTGCGACGACATTTACGATTTCTTGCAGAAGCACCCGAGTGAGACGGTCATTATGAGCGTGAAGCGCGAGGGCACCGGCAAAGGCACGGACCAGCAGATGGGCAACCACTTGAAGAAGAACTATGTCGACAAGAAGCGTGACTTTTGGTGGACGGAGCCAAAGGTACCCCGCCTTGGCGAGGCGCGCGGCCGCATCATTATCATGCGTCGCTTTGGGCTGAGCGAGGAACTCAAAAAGTGCTGGGATGGCCGTGGCTTCGGCGTCGACGCCGCGGCCTGGCCGGATAACTGCGAGGACGGCCACATTGGCGGCGGCCACATTCGCGTGCAGGACTTTTACGAAATCTCGGAGACGCAGAACGTGCAGAAGAAGATTGACTTTGCACGTGGTCAGCTGGAGCGTGCCGCGGAGCAGAACTTTTCCCTCGGGCACAAGGACAAGACCCCACCCTTCTTTGTCAACTTTCTCAGCGCCAGCAACTTCTTCAGCGCGAGCTGCTGGCCGGAGAGGATCGCCGCCAAGGTCAATCCGTCGGTTGTTGAGTACCTGTGCATCAGGCACGGGGAGGATGGCAAGGGGCCAAGGAAACTCAAGGTCGGCACGGCGGGCACTGGTATCGTGGTCACTGACTGGGTCGGTGCGAACGGCGACTGGGACTTGATTCGCTGCGTTGTTGGCATGAACGCAAGACTACAGATGAAACGATAGACATGGCATATGATGTAGACACGAAGCGATGCATAGACGTAAATATGATATTCAGTAAATCGTATCAGGCTAATTGGTGACTGTGCAGCGAGTTAGCACCGATCTCTTAATTACAATGTACAACAAAAGCGATGAGAGGGGCTTTCATATCAGTTCTCCAAGGTGAAAAAGTGTTCGTCACGATGAACTCAGATAGAGCTAATAATAGGATCATCATGAAAGCGAAGGGCTGTAAGGAAGTGTTGAAACGTACCATTGAGTCAAGCCTGGCTGACTAGACAAGCGGTCCCGTTTTCTTACCTGGTAGCTGGGTTAGCAACCATTTCGACAAGTTCATCCTAGCAAAAATGTGTAGAACTGCCCAAGTCGAACTGGCCGTCGTTAGCAGTGTCCCAAGAAGCACCGACGTGTGAGACGTACTGACTATCAGAAGGTGATAAAGTATGTTCATTTCCACCAGTTCAAGACTGGTGATCAAACAGTGTGAATACGTTTCAGCTCATCACGGTAGCAGCGTGAAAACTAGAAGGGATCGTGTTTGATATTGTATTACCTAGGCGGCAGCAGGTTAGCTACAGTCCCCTTGACAACTGGTACTCAAAAAAAAGTCCACAATAGGTGTCACAATCAGGTGACGAATTATCATCAATAGCTCACACCAGTCTCCCACCACAAGGTTTGTACGCCTTGCTGTCTAGGGCGGGAGGTGACGTGGCTCGATTATGTCCGCCCGTTCGTTCAATTTATCGTCATTTGGTGTGTGGTGGGATGCTTTGTCGTGGTGGATGAAAATTTACCTGTCGAGGTTTCTGGTCAGCATTCGTGTTTGACGAGAAAAGTGGCAGAAAGGACAGTAATGGTAGATCTCTGGTCAGACAAGGCTGAAACTAAAAAGCACAAACTCCACATGATATTTTAAGAATGAGGAATCCCTGTGTGTCAAAATCTTCATCATACAGAGGAAGTAACAAGCAATGTACGCAAACAGAAAGCACCAACCTTTTGGAGTTTGTCAAGCAAGCACGCATCCAAGTGGTCTCCAACTTGGCAGGATTGGGAAAAATTCTAAGCAGTCTATTAGCAGCAGGTCTTGAAAAGATTGAGCTATAGAATGCAGTAGGGTTCGATTCGCTCAGACTAATTCTAGAGATAATTGAGTCCCCATGGTTTTGTAGGATTTGGATTGTTCGTGGAAAAGTATTCATCAAGGAATTGATTAAAGGTAGAATGGCTGTACTTACAAGTAAAAGTCGCTCTCCGTATGCGAAAACGCATCGGCGCACACACTTGTGTTGCCTCTGCAGTGGGAGCTGAGAGCGGAAGCTGTTGGGAGAGGAGAGAACGAGGTTGCAAGAACCCGAAAAAATTCCTGGTGACAAGAAAAGGTAACACGATTCGCGCTAGATCGAATTGAGGAAAGCGTTCTATTGCCCTGCAGTGTGTGGCTGCGTGGCTGTGCAGACCGGAGCTAGTGTGGCGAATCCGGTTATCGCCGCAGCGGCGGTTGATAAAGCGCCAGTTCCCCCAAAGGTTCCCCAAGGTCCCTCCACGCTCTCCCTCCATCAAGCAATCGGTCCCTCATCCTTGAGAGAACCACCAAACCAACTTCATCAAAATGGCGTCCGTAGGGGCGATGTGGGGTCCGACGACCCTACGTCTCCTACGTGTCGCAGTGTCTAGAACCGCTGCCGCGGTTCGGACCGCCACGAAACCTCTCCAGGGTCAAGTCGAGCACATTACTCTCCGAACAAGAACACAGCCGATTCATCCTGCCGCTCTGTTGAAGCAGCAAAAGCGAGGTGCTCGATGGTTTTCGTCAAACACCGCCAGGAGTGTCAACCGCGTTATCCGGCGATACTTTACGTCCGAAGCCGGGGGCGTCCCACGACTCGATCGATCCAAGCTTCCTTCGTCGAATACCTCTCGTCGAGTAGCGCAGTTCTCCGGGCGAGCTCCGTTTGCGAACACCCTTCGACCGAACCTCACAGGCGGGGCGTTGCCCCGTACGGCTAGCGGATATAGCTTGGGTGGAGGTGCGCGGTACTTTTCGCATGGGCCAGCTGCACCGGCACAGGTCGTGCAGAATGTGTCCCAGGCGATGCGCGCGTTCTTCATCTCCGGCCAGAAGTTGCGGTACGATGGCACGAATGCGCGTGGCGATCGCCAATACCGCAGCGTGTCCGACGTGGAGGACCGGGCCATGCGCAAGTTCGCGGGCGTTCCATTCCAGGCAGCCGGCGCCTATGTCGACTTTCAGACCACTCCCGAGGTCACCGCCCTCACCCCCCTGGCCGCTGCCATTACCAACAATGGTGGCTTCCAGGCAGAGGCTGTCGCTACCGAGACCACCCTGGAGACAGACGGCTTCCTCGACACACTCTCTGCCGACTTCGGTCGTACGTTGAAGAACCTCACGGCCATACACGCCGATCTTGCAAGGCTCAAAGCACTCGGCGGCATGCCTGTAACGCTGGAAGGCCATGGCGTGATCCGGGTGCGCTTTCCTGGTGTAGATGCCTATACAGTCGAAGCCTTGTGCGCGGAAGCTGGCATTCAACGTGGCGTTGTCGGAGAGGACGCCAACTTTGGTCGCGTGCCAGACGCTCCTATCGCTCTCCACTTCCCGTGCGCTCCTGGTACAGACAGGACCATCTCCTCGCCGGGAGGGTCTGCGCGCGCCCTGGACGATTACGAATTCGATGATGGTTTGTCATCTCTCAGTGACGACTCGTTTATTCATCAAGCATTCGTCGAGGAAGCAGATGACAATCCTTGGCTCTCGGACTCGGATTCAGACGGATACAAGTCAATGTCCCCACCGTTGAGTTCAGGCCAGCATGTGTCGACGGAGTTTGAAGGTCTAGAGGGCATATATCGGTTTATCGAAGAGTGCGATCGCGGGCGGGACCGATTTCGTTGACGAGAAGAAGAAGCATTGTACGTTTGGATACCACGGATAGCGTCGTTCGAAGATACACACTCCCTCAGGCGCGGTGATGACTCGCGTCTTCTTTCCTACTAGTTTACGTAGTGAATTTTATGTGCAAGGAAGAGCAATTGCCGCAATTACCTTTGATGTGCATGTTTCTCGTGTTGCCGTGCACGTCCAGGGTTGTGTGCCTTGGGTGCGTCCGCTTTCGGAGTGAGCAAATGTGTGTTGGTTGCAAGATCTTGAAGACGCATGCCGAACAGGATCAATGATGCGCAGAGGCGATCGCATTGGTCTTGTTGGGTCATGGCGACGATCACAATTGTGTACAGAAGGGAGGCGGGACATGGCGGCACAAGCGTCGAGACCAGATCGTGGGGCGGGCAAACCTCGGAATGTTCACTACTGGGACGCTATCCGTACCCAAGGTACCTTACTTTTCGTCCCAGTGCACGCGCTTCCAAATTTTGTTCACCTTACCTCAACATCAGAACTTGAAGACTTGACACTGACATCGCAGCTTGTCTCTCTATGCCTAGGCGAATGGTAAGTCGACACATTTCTGCTCATAACCTTCATATGATGTCATTCTTTTTAAGAATTCTGCAATGCCCAATCGCCCTGTATGGCCGGTGTGTGGACAACTTCCAGCTGATCCTCCATGAACCCTCTACATCGTACCAGTTGATCACTTCCGCCAAAATCGCATGCTGACCACAGCTCGTCTGTACAGATCGCCCGCTTCAGATCGTGGTAGGAACGCCGGGGGGGTATCGGCCGCCCTTGACCTCGAAGTTTGCCAACAGCTTCTCGATCTCCTGGAGGTCCGCTCCATCGAGTTCCACGACCGTGCTGTTCTCCTTGACTCGGGACGCTGTTGTCGACCCAGGGATTGGGATGATGAGTGGCATGCCTTCTTTCTTGCCGATGCTTCGAACCCACGCAAGCGCCAGCTGCGCAGGCGTGCAGCCCTTTTTGTCGGCCACGGCTTGTATCTGATCAACAAGCTTCAGGTTGTGCGCCATGGCGTCGTCTTGGAAACGCGGGAGCGACCCGACCATGCCCAGATGCTTGGCATCCTCTGCGCTCCTAAAGCGGCCGGTAAGGATCTGATGCCATGTTAGCTAGCTATTGGACGTTTTTTGAAAAGTGAAGTAGAGAACGTACGCCGCGTCCAATGGGCGAATATGCCATTAGGAGGATGTCGTGCTGCGCACATGCTGCCGCCACACCGTTTTGCAGGGTGTCCTGGGAGAACATGCTGAGCTCGACCTCGGCCATGGCAATCTTACAGGTCTTGGTGGCTTCGTGGATGGTCTCAGCGCTGCACTCGGACAGGGCGATGCCCCCAATCTTGCCGGTGTCGACGTACTCCTCCTGCAGGACGCGCAGCGTCGTGGCAAGCGGCACCATCTTGTCCCTCCTGGCCAGCCCGAACACGTCGAGCTTCTTCTTGCCGCCGAGCTGTGCGAGTATGTTGTCGACTGACTTGCGTATGAACTCGGGCGACCCGTCAGGGACAAGGGTCTTGGTGTCTACGCCGCCCTTGATGACGAGTGTCACCTTGTCCGCGTCCTCTGGATACTCTGTAAAATACTTGTTGAGCAGGGTCATGGAGTTGTACTCGGGCGTGCCGTAGAATTCCCCGCCATTCCACAAGTTGGCGCCCGAGTCGAGAGCTTGCTTCATGGCTTCAATCGCCTGCGAAACGGGCACCGGGTTGGGACGCCATGTGAGGCCTGCTCCGTTAGCACGGTGAGGGAGCATTTATTGTGACGAGCGGCGAGAAGTTACCCATGAGACCATATCCGATGGGGCCAAGGGACCCGTGGGCGACTTGAGTCATTTTTGCAGTGGAATCGGAAGTTGTCGGCTACGGTGATGATAGCTATGTGTTTTGAAAGGTCGAGACGCAGTAGTCTAGGCGAAGTGCTTATTCCCGGATTCTCAGGGCGACATATACATTACCAGTGCAACAGACTCCAGTGAGTACAGTCTGCGTGGTGAATGATATCATGTGCTCGGGGTTAGCGTCAGGAGTGGGCGACTATGCCGAGTGCTACTGCCTGTTACTGGCTGGCCAGTCTCTATCGGAGATATCAGACATCTTTAAGTGAGCATGTCCGAGCGGGCGGAGGAGCGGAGTCAATGTTATCTGTAATCGCATGTCTTCCCAAAGGCAAGTAAACTTTCGTTCACAACTCTATCAAGAGCTCTTCTTCCTGAGATGACGATAATGCTGCTGATGCTGCAGCCGTGTCTTTCTCACCAGGTTCTTCTTGCCTCAGTGGCGCTCTCTTGTCATCCTGGCCCTTGACAATACATCTAGGATCGGGAGCAGACTTCGGGTCTGACGTCTTGCTTTCAGCACTGGCCTGGCTTTGCAAGGCTGGATCTTCAAATTCTGATACATGCGCCATGCTTCTCCCATAAGAATGATCCTCCAGCCCAAGAGTAGCAGGGTTCTGCTGATTTGGGAGCGGTGAAATATCCCAGGCTTTATATTCGTGTACTCTATCCATGGACGTAGCAAACTGTGTCGCCTGCAGTACTGGCTCACCGGCGCTTGCTTCTCGCTTGGCCACGGACGCCATGCGCGCCCGGCGACCCCTGATATTGTGAGTACGTATCGCATCGAAACGGGAGGCTCGTTACTTGTGCATTGGTTTTCTCCTACTCTTCTTCCTTTGTGTAGTAGACCTTGCTGTTCCTGGCCTTGTTTGCTCGAGGTGCGAATCGGCCTTCAGCTCTACCACAAGTCCCTGCGCGCTGCAGTCTTCGTCCGGCACATTGGGGTTCTGATCGGAAGCGTGGCTCCTGCCCGAAGAATTGTTGAGTCGAGCGTCCTTCTCGAGAGAATCCGCACGCGATAGCGGAGGCATCTTGGGTTCGTCGCTTGGGTCTTCGGGCGAAATGCATAATTGCAAGCTCCGTGGTGCTCTGCCATCGTCCCTCGAATCCACGACTCCGAGGTCGACCGTTCCAATCATCTCTTGGGACGTCAGAGAGCGCGGATGTCCTCCGACCACAACGCCCTCGGGGAGAAGGTCCACTGGTATCAGGGGGACGACCCGGCCTGACTGAGGGCGGGTGATGGTAAAAAGCGGCCGCGAAAATACCATGGCGCGCTTCAGGAGGTCTCGTCTATTGTGAAGTTGCTCGGCTAGTCAAAGCCGATTTGTCCTTGAGTAGACATGGAGCTGTGGTCGAGCGACTCGTCATGCGTGTGTAGAGCCCGGGCTTCATGCACACACGCACGACAGTTTGTTTGCAGCCAGCAACAACAACGCTTCAGACACGTTCTACACGTATCACAGCATCCAGCCCATCAACACAATACCCCAGCTGTCGGGGCCCGTCCTTCAGCTCCACCTCGCGTCTCACCCATCGCCCTGGCCTTTCGCCGTCTCCTGCTTCGTCTTCTGCCCCATCTGCGTTGTCCTCGTCATCGCTGCTGTCGCCAGCCACATCCTCGTACCCGGCTACGGGGTCCCACTCGCCCGTTTCCCACACAAGCTTCATGCCCAAAGGCGGCAAACCGAGCAGTTTGCCGGCAATGCCCTTGAGGCGGTAAATATCAAACGATTTCGGCACGCGTGTCTCCTTTTCCACGTTTGCACCTCGAAGTACAATATTAACAAGACGCGCCTCTAGGAAGGCGGGATTGATCTCGTTTCGACGAACAATGTCCGGCTCCCCATATTGCTCGCAGAGCGACGTCCACCGTGGATGGCTCTTTTTAATCTCGGCCTCTTCACTTTCCGGTGCGGCGCCGAGCTGGCGCGCTATGCGGGACAGGTAAAACATCTCGGCGTTGGCCCGGTCGCTTGCCGAGACGGCCGTGTAGTTCAAACTTTTCAGGTCGGCCATGCGTGCAATGGTGAACATGTATGCATCCTCTGGCGACCCTGTCCCGTCCTTTGCGTCGGGATCAGGCATTTCATAGATGGGGTTGTGCGCGATGCGGAGGGCAGACAAGGAAGGGAAGTGCCCTGGAAGACTGTCGACGAACGACCATGAGCTGATCTGGTTGTAGGAGACGTCGAGGTACTGGATCGACACGGGGAAGACAGGGCCCGATGAGGATTTGGATAAGTTGTTGCCCTTAAGGTGCAGGCTCCGCAAGTTTGTGAGCCCCTGCAGACTGGATAAGTCTTCTAGCGATGTGAAGTCGTTGTACTCGAGGTTGAGGCTGGTGAGCGTCGAGGCGAGGGATGCGTAGTCCACCGACGGGAGGGACGAAAGCTGGTTTGAGCCGGCATTGAGTGAGCCTAGAGACGTGAATGCTGTGGCGACTCGAGTGATCTCGTGCCAATCCAGCAGTGTATCTTCCAAAGCGAGCTCTGTGACCCTGTCGAAGGCTTCGGAGCAATCATCCAGAGATTTGTCCTCCAGCACACCTTGAAGACGGTTGCCACTATCAACCATCATTAGCGCCCTGTCGCGATAGATAGATTGTGAGTAGCTACACACCTGAGGCTGAGCTCCCTCAGCGCCCCCAACTCGCGGCAGATGTGGACGACGTCTTGCACCTTCTCGAGCAGGTTCCGGCTGAGGTCCAGTTGCATGATGCTCGGGCACGTCTGCCCGATTTTCCCCTCCTCCTCGCGTATCCCCGCAACCTTCATGCCATCCAGAATCACAATCTTCAGATCTTCCAGCTTGGCGAGCTGTCGTTGAATCTTGTCGAATCCCATCTCTTGGGCCACTTTTGTCCCAAAGATGACAATCTGCCGGTCTGGGTGGTTTGGGTTCTCTCCGTCGGCGTCAGGGGCGTACTTCTCCCGGAGTGCAGAGAGGAATGGCTGCGGCTGGTCTGCGCGGCGCGTCGGACGGATAAAGGAGGCGGCTAGAGCCGATCTTGACGTTGTGGCGAAATAACGATGGCCCTTGTGAGAGCCATCGTGCTTCCCGCGGGTGTGGTCATCCCACTCGACGCCTAGCCAGAGGCCTGTGGTGCCCGCGACTTGGCCAACGTAGCGAACGGTGCAGAGCGCACCGTCGTAGGACAGGCGCTGGCCGACGTACGGTGAGTCTGACATGTTGTGATGAGTGGGAACAGGAGCTGCGAGCGGACACTGAAATGAGGCACGAGAGGCAGAAGTGGGCGGGGCAGCATTGAGCAACGCCAAGGAGACAGGCTGACAGAGTGACCGGACAGACACCGACTGATCAATCTACTTCCACGAGAATAACAACACGCGAGAATAGCAACAATTGAATAGATAGCATGCTCTTGATTCAGTAGATTTAAAGCAACATGGACACATATCTGCGTTGCTCAACAGCCTACAGCTTGCTCTTGGACTCCGCAACGACTCGGATCAGGGCGCGTCCGTTGGTCAAACAAGCCTTGCCCCCGTCGACCTGCGTCACGAAGCGAATCTCCTCAAAGTCCCCCTTCTTCTCGCCTGTCCTCCAGACCTGCGTCACGAGCTTGTCGCCCGGCTTGACGGGGCTCGCGAAACGAGCCTGGTACTCCTTGATGTTGGACGGGTCGCCGCCGCCCAACTTCTTGAGCAGCAGGTGCGATGTCGTGTTCCACGAGTAGAGGCCGTGCATAATGGCACCACCGAAGCCCATCTTCTTCCCTGGCTCGGGGGTGGCGTGGAGCGGGTTGTAATCGCCGTTGAGACGGTACAGCAGCGCCGACTCGGGCGTGGTCTGGTGCTCCAGGGTCGCGTCCGGGGCCTTGCCCTTGGGGGGAGGGAAGTTCTCGGTGGCAGGGCCCTTGGGGCCGCCCCAGTTGCCTTGGGCGATGAAGAAGGCCGAGCCGATCATGCGGGAGTAGACCTCGCCACTCTTGGCGTCCACGAGATCTGTCTGTGTCTCAACGACGGAGCCGGGGCGGCCCTTGTCGTAGACGCCGAGCACCTTTTGGCGGATCTCAAACTTGCGGTTCTCCGAGGTGACGGGGAGGGGCTTGAGGAACTCCATCTTGCGCTGCCCATCCACCACGCGCGTAGAGTCAAAGTCGGGCACATCGGGGATCTTGACGGCTTTCTGGGAGGCATAAAAGTCGACGACCTCGCTCGAGTCCTTCTTGAAAGCTGTCGGTGTCAATACCAATAGGACAGGTTGACTGCTGGGGAGCATGACGTACGAAGGATGATTGGGTAGGTCGGGAAGACGGCAAAGTCGGGGTGAAGTTCCTGCGGGAGTCAGTATGAGATGCGTCACCGTCGGAATGAAAGACTCACGTAGAGGAAGTGAAGCTCATCGGCCGTCGCGCCAATGGTGTTGGCGAAGAGTAGGACGTCTCGCTTGAGCCATGTCACCTCGACGGGCGGGTACTCGAAGCCAACTCCAGGTTCAGGCATGATGATTGCTGTGGTAGTTTCGGGTTATTATTGTTGTTGGCGTGATTGAGTTGAGGTGGAGGAGCAAAGGTCGACGATGCGACGAGGACGAGGCGGCTAAGTATCACATATGAATGGGATCAAATGGCACGTTGCCGAAGACAGCGAGGTCGGGCCAGCCGTAGCAGCTTGTTGGAGCTGTCAAGCCGAGGTTGAAGTGTGGGGAAGAAGGACTGGACAGGCTGACAGGTGCCGGCGCTCACCCTGGGGAGCGCTGCAGGGGGTGCGCTATGCCTTACCCTGTACCGCGCTACAGCCAGGCTTGGATGATCACGACAATGCTCCAAGGCCTAACGACTTGGGTGATTTGATGTGACTATTGATTCCACACATTCCAGAGTAAAGCCCTTCAACTAGGAAACGGTATCGACGCCGGGCTCTTGTACCCATTCTTGCCCACGGACCGGACGCCAAAGATGACATTGTCAATTGACAGCTCCACCGTCGTCTCCGCCACGTCCCCCACAAACGCGGCGTGCGTCCACTGGGGCGCGCTCGTCGGACGCCAGACAACCTCGTACCCTTCCACCTCGTCGTCGTCCAGCTTCGCCCACGACAGGCGACTGTCATTGTCCAGGCTCGCCGTGTCAATCGTCACGTTCTGCACTTGACCAGGCGCGTTCGCAAGGGACCACATGGCCGCCAGGTCCACCCTGGCCACGCGCGCAATGAAGTCGTAGTCGAGGAACTCCTCCAAGTCGCCGTACTGGACACCGTCCTCGACGCGCGTGTCCTGGTGCTGGTGGTCAAAGTTCTCGTTGGGCTCCGTGAAGCGCACTGCTGCACCATACCCCGCCTCCAGGAACGACCGATGGTCACCACCGCGGAGGAAGCGATCCAGACGGTAGATCATGGCCACCTTCATGTCCGTGTACTTGTTGGTGGCCACCTCGGCGATGAAACGGCCCAGGTTGCGCGCAGGCGAGTCGTTCTCGCCGCCAATAGTCAGTCTTGTACTCGTCTGGCGGTCGGATTCCGTGAGCGGGGGTCCCTGGCAGAACATGCGGATCGTGTGAGGCTCCTTCTCACCCCGCGAGCCGACTGAGCTGCCTACGAGGTCGACGTTGAGGACACCCTTAATGTTTGCGCTCTCGTTGCGGTATGTCTGCGCCATGAAGCCAGACCCGAAAAGACCTTGCTCCTCGCCGGCGACAGCAGCAAAGACCAGCGACGCACGGTGCTTGTGCTTGGCCATGACGCGCGCCAGTTCCATGGCGACTGTACGGGTCAGCATCATTCTCAAGTTCTCGCGCCCTGCCGGTTTCGACGTACCAGCTACACCAGATGCATCGTCGTTTGCGCCAGGCTGATCGTCCCACCAGTTCAAAATATCAGACACGCGAGTGTCGTAGTGGCCCATGGTGAGATAGTACCGGGTCGGGTCCTCGGTTCCCTCCAGGGTCGCCTGGACATTGCTGATCTTGACGGGTTCGGGGATCCGTGGGGTAGGTTGCTGGGTGTATCCGTTTGTCTCTACCGTCAGTCTGCCGTCCGACACCTCAGCATAGCGCTCGAATTCGGCGGCGATCCAATCCCTCGCTGCGCCAATGCCACGGGTGGTGTCATTCTGCGGGGAGAGCGTGTGGCGTGTGCCGAAGCTGACCAGCTTGGAGATGATCTCCTTGATGCGCTCAGGGGACACCTCGGCCAGGGCGGCTTGGAGTTCCTTGTCCGGGCGCTGAGGCTTGAGCAAGGACCCCGTGTTGTCCCCTGGTCCAGGGGGCGGCCAGTTGGCGTTGGCGCACGAGATGTAATTCTTATCATATGTGGCCACCAGAGGAGGGAAGGCCGGAGTCATCCCCTCGCGCGGATTGGCATTGGCATTGGCGAGGGGGAGGGCTAGAGTGCCCAAGGCAAGAAGATTGGCTCGCATAGTGTCCGATTTACGTGTGGTAGGGATCCGTGATATAGTAGAATCTTGTCTGGGTTCATCACCGGCTATATACTCTGTGGCATCTACAAGCATACATGCCTATCCCTCGGCCTATTGGTAATCAGAGGCGAGAGCATCTTCTACTTACCCCAACATCCTGGTCAAGCCATCGAGTAAGCTTATAGTAGCCTATCCGGCAGTCCCCCAACATCAACAGCCGGCCTCCAACCTCCTGCCCGATATGGCAGGTCGGCGCCGCAGGTCTGTGGTTGCTTTGGAGTCGCGGACAGAAGTTCATGATATCATGGACGGCATTGAGCTACCGGTAGTCTGACGCGGGGTGACCAAGGAGAGAGGCAAATTGCTTATGCGCCATGGGAGCTCGACGGGACGAGTAGGGAACTTTGTGGATGAGGATCATTGACTGTGTCCAAGCGCTTCTGGCGTTTCTGCCTACCCTGACTCGTTCCATGTGGCTACTCTCTGGGATACACTGCCAAAGCAGTTCATAATCGCTGGCAGAATAACTTCCAAGGCCGTCTTGATTCAATGCAGCGGCTTGCACATAACTGAAGACGCATGTCCAGGAGTTGTATTGTCGTCCACTCTCAGCGTTCGGGGTATAGTAAAAACAACGCCGTCTACCAGCCTTGTGTGAGATTCGCAGAAGCCAGCCAGCCACCCTGTCGCGCAGCGCAGCGCTGCTCTGCTCTGCCCTACACAACCATGGCTCCGTTGAGGCCGTGGGCATCCACCCGGTTCACTAACTTCTTCACGTTTGTCCAGTCCTCATGCTTGAGTCCCTCCTTGCCACCGAGCCCGCTCGCCACATCAAACACGGTCACGCACCCATCGATGCCGCCCGTGGCCAGTCGCTTGCCGTCATTCTGCTCCCAGGCCACCTTGTTCAAGCTCCTCGTCCGGCCCTCTTGGCGGGTCGTTGGGAGGATCCGGGCCACCGGCTCCTCGGTCTCGACCGCAATGTCCCACAGCTCCAGCCACCCGGCGCCGTCCACCAGGGCAAAGACGCTCGGCTTGACGGGCGACCAGCGTGCGTCGTACACCACGTCCTCGCGTACAAAGTCCATCAGGGGCGAAACGGTGCCGTCGCCTGTCCCCGTCGACGTCGCGGCGGGGGCACGTACCTTCCAGAGCTTGGCGCTCCAGTCCAGTGACGAGGAGAGGACCAGATCACCGAGGTCCACGGGTCCTTTGGCGGGGTGAAAGTCCACCGACATGACGGGCGCCGTGTGGCCCTTGTACGCAATCTTCCTGTCGACGCCTGCCTTGGCGCCAGCACGATCGTACCGGTGGCAGGGGAAGATGGTGCCCTCCTCGCTCCCACTGAGGAAGAATGTAGGGTCCGTCTGGGGGAAGGAGATGCAGGTCGGGCTGACGTCCTCGACGGCAACCTTGGCCTGGCTGGGATTCTTCAGCTCGAGAACCTCCTGAGGCTGGGCAAACACGTCCATGCTCCAGCCGCAGACCACACCGTCTGTGGAGCACGAGATGATGTTGTTGGCGTTTTGCGTGCCCACGATATCCACCGCATAGATGGGATGCGCGTGTCCGTTGCCGGTCAGAGGCGTCTTCTGCACAGGGGCAGCCTTGGCTCTCGTATCCCACAGCAAGACCTGCCCGCTGTATGAACCACCGAAGATCAGGTTCGGGTGATATGGCGAGAACTTGGCGGTGAGAATGTCCGACTGCGCGGTGAAGACGTACTCGGGCCTGTCTTGCATGTGCATGTTCCACACCTGTACCAGGCCGTCCGGCTCGTGGGGGGCCGTCGGGTTCTTGGTGTAGGATGCCAGGAGTAGCTCGCTGAACTTGGGCGAGAAGTCGATTCCGCTGACCATCCGCATCTTAGACCAACGCTCGTCGAAGAACTGCGCGACCTCTTTCACCCTGTGCTTGCCTCTCCCGCCAGTGTTACCCGTCTCGTCATCGTCCTCCTCCACATCTTGCCCGTGCAGTGCGTAGTCCGTGAGGATGTCATATGTGTCCTGGTCAAAGGCGCGCTCAATGACCTTTGTCGATTGCTCGAGAAAGTCGTAAAAGTCGTCCGATTGTACCACAGCCGACAGCTCCTCCTGCGTGAGATCTCGGGAAGGGAAATTCGCCGAGGTCGATGGTGCGCCCACCGTGCCTTCTGTGATGTACTCCTTGGCCGCCCTGAGCTCTTCCTCAATCTCCTCTTTGATCTTCTGACGCAGCTCTTCCTCCCGGTCACGCTCCCGCCTGCTGAGCCGCTTGTTAGGGGTAGTGGTGGTACCAGGGATGTCATCTATGTCCGACACGCCCGAGTGCGCCCTTGGCCGATCGGGACCCATCCATTCCTCGGTGGTCTGGACACCCTTGCTGTAGGTGAACACCTCCTTCACAGGCGACGGCGGGCATTCGTATACGGTCGTTAGGGCGACAGTCGTCAGGGTGGGCGGAGGCTGCGCCGGCGCCGGCGCCGGCGCTGGCGTCGGTACGGATGCCGGTGTCGATGGACCTGGCGTTCCCGGTACCAGAGTGCCTTCTGAGTAGGCGTTGCTGAGCTCGCCAGCACTGAGCACGCTGCTGGGTCTGCTGCCCCGACCTGCTGGCGAGCCAGCTCCCCCAGTCGATGATCCGGATGCCTTCTCGCCAAGGATGTCGTTGATCAGACTCTCGAGAGCGCGCCGATCGGTGCCGAGATTGAGCTGCTGTAGTTAGCTCTTGAACCTGCAGGCTTGTTTGTGGGAGGACGCACGTCGACCGCGCCCTCGATGCTTCCGCGACCCGCATTCGATTGCTGGGCACGCAGTTGTCTCTGCCGTTTCAGCTCGGCAAGCTTCGCCTGCTTTGCAACGAGTTCATCTTTGCGTTGTTGCATGTTCGAGAGCTCAAGACCCCATATCGGGGGGTGCGAGTTGGCGACAGAGCTTTGGCGGAAAGGGGCTGGGGTGAGGCAGTCGTATATCCCCGGGAATGTGTGAAGGAATGGAGCGATTGACGAGGGCGGAGCACGGCCCTGCTAATGTCGCAAAATCCGGTTCAAGAAACAAGTCCTGGCGTGCGTGGCTGGGACAAGAATTAGTTCTTCCTGTCAAAGGTGACCGACACGACACGGGGAAGTTAAGAGGATCAAGGATTGTAAGAAGAGCAAGCTACTTATTCCTTACCTGCACTCAATCTCATCACTTCGGTCCATTAGTGTAGTGGTTAGCACGAAAGATTTTGATTCCTCGTCAAAACATTTCTTTAGTCCCCGGTTCGAACCCGGGATGGACCTACGTGTCTCCCCTTTTGCATTTTTAGGATACTATGCAGGTATGAATGTCTTTTTTGGCATTACAGGAAGTCCATGCTGTTTTTTGGCGGCAAATATGAATCTGATTGCATTCTGTCTTTCATCATCGTAATGCATTTGCAATACAGTTTGTTCCCTAGTCTAAAGCACCCGTACTTCATAAAGGCGCTTTGCTTCTAGGGTAGGCCGTTGACTAGGTGTCGCCAGCCAATGGCCAGGTCGCAATGGCTGACTCGTCGACCCACCCCTGGCGGCGGCGCTGCCGCCCAGCGACTGAACCCGAGCTGGCAGTGGACAGAACGGTCGGTTGACGCTTCAGGTAAAATCTGCGACTTCTCCCGACCGAACACCGAACCTGAATTCTTTCGAGTCCGCCGCGCCAAACTCGCCTTCCACCACAAACTCAAGTACCCTGGTGCCATCTTGAAGCACCCATCGACAACTTGGGCTCTCACTCCTTCCACGCAAAGTCCGCCCACTCGATTCATCCGCGAACCACAATCATGGTCTCGACCGGTGTCAACGTGCGTGCTTTCCCTTGGACTCCCACGCAGCCATCTCCATCGACGCCAATCACGATTGCGCACTCTCCTCCGCACTTGATAACGTGCTGCGACGGACAATTGAGCTAATTGACCTCCCCAACAGGTTTTCCGGTGGTCCGCCCTGGCCTTCGGTGTCTTCTACGGCTTCTCGCACCAGCGGGCGATAACGGCCAACCAAAAGGCCATCCACGACAAGCACGAGTGGGAGCAGAAGCAAAAGGTGATAGATCAGGCCAAGGCCGAGTACCAGAAGAAGAAGAACCCTGCCCCCGCCTCGAGCGACGATGGTAAGTTGATCAACTGGCCCGTTGTTGCGCGATTCTCGCGCACGGGCGACGGAACGCGGCCGCGTGTCTGCGGCTGAGATCGGAGAGAGGAAAATGGCTGACCGTGACTAGTTGTGATGGACCCTGCCGACCCCAAATTCGATCTTGAGAAGCTACTGCTCAAGGTTTCCGAGGACAAGGCCTAAGAAGCATTGGAAAGAGGTGGACGAGAAGCCATGCCATGTCGGATTCCCAGAACGAGGGCCGGCTACGGCAAAGACACGCGGAGAGGATGGTTTTTCTATAGCCATCGGATGACGGACGGCGAGCTCAATGTATCATCGCAACTGACAGTGGTGGCACTGCATAGAATTTGCTTGGGTTCTCTTGTGCTTTTTGGTACAGGTGTAAAATACAACAATTAGACCACAATGGATATGCGCGCATGTACATTGAGTCGATTTTCGTTGGAGTATAATGTACATGACCCCGGAACTTGTCTCATCGAAATGGGCCTCAGCCTGCGCTTGACTACTTTCATAGGGCATATATATTGTCTGATTCATGTCTGTCTATCGTATCCAGTACCTAGCTGCAAAATGAAAGACATGGGAGAATGAATGCTATCTATGACAGGATTACCTAGGAAGGGGCTGCGTACGTGATGTATGCAAGCAAGTCCTTGTAGTCGGAAAACTCGGCTTTGGCAAATGTAAACTCGCGCCCACCGGGGAAGACGTAACTACGAATGGCGTTGGCGAGCTCTGGGGGGCTGTTGGTGAGGTGAATGCTGGTCATCTCGCCGGCCCAGGCGCGGATGTCGTCGACGGCGTCGTTGAGGCCGGTGCTCCCCCAGAACTCATCCCAGCCGTTAAAGTTAAGGTTCACGCCCTTGTCATCGGGCAGGCCCTCGGTGATCTCGGCGGTCAGCTGGCCATTGGCGACGCCAATGTCGTACGTATCGACAATGGTCCGGTCCACGACCCAGCCGCTCTCCTTGACGTTGAAGGCGCCCTCGATGCTGAGGTAGGTGCGCGCCCTCTGCGTGGCAACAATGCTGTTGCGCTCGAACTCCAGCCTCATGCTGTATGTGGTTTTCAGTTCGACCCTGAAGGTGTGGAACACCCCGACTCGCATCTTGTCCGTGTCGCTGTCTTCGTAGGTAAACTCGACGACGGGGGTGTCACCGTTTTCGATATTGACTACGACGTCGGGGTTGTTCCCGGGGAACATATTGGTTACCAGCTGCGCCTGGAAAGGACCGTCGTCATGCAGGTCGGCGTAGGGACGCAGGCAGTTGCTCTGGACGTGCGGTAGCAGTTCGTCCTTGAAGTAGTTGGCGAGGGTGTGGCCGTTGATGGCGACGACGCCATGGTAGTCGTCGGCCTCGAAATTCTCGAGCCAGTTCCACCCGAACCTGTTATTGTTGACGTCCTGGGTCTCGCGGTCGCCCGTGACGCAGAGGTAGTTGAGGGTGGTGAGCTTGGACAGGTCCGGGTCGATGGCGCCATCGCCGCCGAGAAAGGGGTTGACTCCAATCTTCATGCCCGTCAGGGGGAAAGTGGCCTCGGGGGCGTTGCCGTCATCCTCGATGACGACGGCGCCGAGTATGGGAACGCCTTGGCTCGAGATCGTCTGAAAGTACTCGGTGAGGAAGAAGGTGTTGAGCTTGCTCTGGATGTCGAGACCCACGTCGGGGTTGACGGTGGGCACTGAAGTTAGGGTAGGGCTCTGGAAGTTGTAGAGTAGCTGGGCGATGCTGTAGGGGCGGCCGTCGAGGTTCTGGATGGCGTCCTGCATCTCCTGCGGAAGCGACTCGAACGAGGAGCCGTTCTTGATGGTATCCATGCTGAGGTCGACCTTGGTATGGAAGAGCCAGGGGTCGTCGAGCGGCTGGCTCTCGCGGCGCATGCCTTTCCTGCCGCGATCCAAGTCCGCGGTCCAAGCCAGCTCAAAGTCGGAGCAGCGAATGATGTAGTCGATGCCGGTGGCGGGCGTGTTGAGGCTGACCACGTCGGGGATGGAGGCGGCGTCCTCAAGAGTCGCGTCGTCGGGCAACTTGATGCCGGCCTGGGCACGGAAGGCGGCGTAAAAGCTGTACCGCAGATTGCTGTAATAGAGAATGTCCCACTCGGGAGAGTCCGTGGTGAGATCTGCCACGTCGAACGGGTCCGTGTTGTTGAATTCGATCATCAATTCATCCCATTCCATGATGACCTCATTCCCGTGGTTTTCCCAGTCCTGAACCCAGGCCATTCGGACAGTTGGCTGTTCCATGGAGCGCAGGTAGCCGACCATGGCTGCATTGATGGCATTCTCGGTAGTAGCCACAACCCAATCTTGCCCGTACTGGGCCTGGCTTAGGAAAGAATTGGCCAGAGCCATTTTGGCTGGCGAAAGAGTTGAGGAATGAAGAAGAAGAAGAAGAAGAAGAGAGTGGAGATGTTGGCACCAAAGGTTGAAGCCGAAGGAGTTGGGTGATGTGGGTTGAGGATGTGGTTGAAAGGGGGGAGAATAGCTGCCCTTATATGTTTACAACACACGATCGACTCCGGCACCTACCTTGGTCTAGACATTGTCATTCTTTTCATTCGATACCAGATGTTTTGTGAGCAATGGTCTGGTCACAAGGCACCGAGATCTTTCCGTGCTAAGGGTGCAGTCTCCAGTCCCTCCAAGTCGAAAAACACTAGTACGAAGTAGTACATAATGTTCGAGCTTCGAAGGCCAAGAAAAGTCGGGCTCAGCTGGCATAGGATCCGTCCATCACATATCACACATCATGCTTGAGGACGCTGGTGGCAGGCATGGCAATTTCCGCCTTGAGATACTCGTAACTGGAGTACGGCACCAAGAACTAGACCTGAGCGGTCACTCCGAACTTGAAGCGCATTGCATTGTTGGCAATAATTGTCTGACTGCACCAATGATCTGACTGCACCCGGCTTGGACAGCAATTAAGCTTCCGCGCCGAATCCGTACACATCATTCGCATCTACCGCAGCACCCCATCCCCGAGTTCGAAACACGCTTCTCCAACCAATCTAGATGTTTTCCACTTCCGGGGACGTCGGCCGCCGGGGGCCTTGGCAGCTGCAAGGAGACGCCCCAATGTCGGCCGCGCCATGTGAATGTCAATGCCCTCGTGGCTGCGGCAGTCTGACAGTCGGCTGACGCGCATGAAGCTGAAGAACTCCATGTTCTTCTCACTGCCTCAATGGCCGCCTATGTTCCCATGGGCGAAAACACTTTCACGAATCAAGACATGGACATGGAGACGCACAATCAATCCCAAGAGCCAGAGCGACTGGAGGAAATGGCCATGGTGATAAATATCAAGCGATATGCCACCATGCCCACGTTAGAACAGCCAGATCAACAGAGTCCATCCATCGTACATCACCTCCATCCTGCAGTTCTTCACGCCTTCAGGCAAGGTCTCGATCACTGCCATCCTTTGTCCACATTATTCCCTGCCTGATCAAGTCTGCACCATGAAGTTCTCCACCTCTTCCGAGTTGATGCTCAACCAGAAGCATGCCGAGGTCATGTCCCCCGACAAGGCCTTTGAGGTCCTGCAGACGCCCTCGGGACAGTCTCTCTTCTTTTCCATCGGCACAGACGATGTCTTCTACGTGACGAGGGAGGCCGGACACTCCGTCACAGGCTGGCAAAAGGTCGACCTCTCCTCGCGCCTTTCCTCCTCCTATGGCGGCAAGGCGGTGGCGGCCAAGCGCTTCGACGTCAGTCAGAACTCGGCTACCATGGCCATAGATATCATCCTGGCCATCACCGTCGACGGCGAGGACTACCTCCATGTCTCCACCGGCAACCCGGCCGATCTTGTCGACTGGAGCGACGGCGTCGAGTGGACGGCCATGCCCTGGGATGGAGGCAGTGAGCCCTCGCCCCTGATCATCACCAATGTCTACCATCTCAACGTGGCCAAGTCCTCGGGTCCCGTGCTGACCTGCTTCGTCGAGGTCCTCCGCACGCCCGGTCACGGTCTCCAGTTGATTGACCGCTACTACCTCGACTTTGACGGCCTCCCCCGCTGGCATAAGCATGCCCTTGCCATCGACTTCTCGGCCAGCAGTGTCGTCACGGCGCTCGGCCAGAGACCAGGCGATTTCGTCTCGTGCATCTACTCGTTTGGCGCCGTCAACGGCACCGAGCAGATGATTGCCTGTCCCCGCATCAACGCCTTCCGACCCGACACGGCCCCCAGCCCTGCGCGGCTGCGCATCCCCGACGGGACGACCTACATCGCCAGCTGCAGCGACGGATCATCCAGCGGCAACACGAATCTGTTCGTGGCGGCCCCGGGCGGTCTGTACATGTTTGCGCCCAACAACCAGAAGGATTTCGCGGACCCGGTGCTGGTGCTGCCGTCTCCTGTCACCAACGGTGTCCCTCTCTTCGCCGGCGTGACGCGCATGGCCGCGCGTGTTGATCCCGCCCAATCTCGCACCGTCATCTGGTGCCGCAATGCGCAGGGGAACCTCTTCTACGTCTCGTGTCCCACGGGCCACGAGGCCACACAGTCGGCATGGTCTACGCCTGTGCCTCTGTACCGAGGCGTCGAGGACTTTGCCTTCTACCTCAACGTCAACCACGCGTACACTGTTCTCTTCGCGCAGATCTCCGGCCAACAGATTGTCCAGCTGACGCAAGATCCCACCACGTCCGTGTGGTCGTCGCGAACGATCAATCTGCCCTCGACGAGTGTCGACAAGATTGTTGAGTTCCAAAGCTTCACGACGCAGTTGACGCTGGAAAAGGAGGCGAGCGACGATGAAAATGTCCTCGTGGGCGACACGGATGTCTACTTCACATCCACGAGCCCCGTCTCGGTGTACATCAACAACGAGTATTACGTGCTGAGCCCCAGCGTGCCCATCCCCACCAGGCCCGACGCGTCAGGTGCATTTACCATCATCCAGCCGGCCGACTCGCTTGCCGCGGTGCAGTACCAGGCCAGACTGACGCCATCAGGCGCTCCCCTCCAGATCGACCCACTCGCAAAGGCGTTTGCAAAGCTCCAAGGCATCACGTCGGGGGATGACCTCGCCGACGTCCAGATTCCGACTGGCACCAACGGGTCTTCCACAAAGCCATTGCTCCCTTCCGACACGAACAACGCGGAAACCCGCGACGCGCTCGCCCACGCCGTTTCTAACCTGCTGGAAGCCAAATCCACCCTCCCCTCTGATGGTTCGGTTCAAGATGCTCAATCGACAAAGCTGGCGCTCGCCGCCCGATCTTTGGCAACGCCGCGCGTCAGGACGTGGGGTCTCTCCTTCAAGGGTGGCCTCAAGTACGTCGAGGGCGAGGAGGCGTCCAAGTCTCTTTCGGCCAAGGTCGGCCAGTCGGGCAATGATGGTCTTGTCCGGCGCGCGACCGTGGGCGACCGCATCACTCTGCTGTGGGGCGACTTGAAGGAGTTCGTCAGGAACGCGCTGGACGGACTCCAAGAAATGGTTCTCGACTTTGTTGACGGTGCGTGGAAGCTTGTCTGCGAGATCGGTGGTCAAATCTATGAAGCCGTCATCGACTGCGTGAATGCCGTCGTGGGTGCTCTCGAGTTCATTTTCGACAAGATCAAGGTCTTTTTCGAGGATCTGATTGCCTGGCTTGGCTTCCTCTTCAACTGGGACGACATTATCAGAACACAGCGCGTCATGAAGAACCTGTTCAGGCGCTACGGGGAGAATCTGGTCGACTCTCTCGACACGGCGCAGGATTCCATCTCGGAGATGTTTGAGGGCTGGGAGGACAAGGTGGCCCAGTGGGCCGGGCTGCCGGATCCCGACGACAGCCAGGCCCTAGGCAGCTTCCAGAGCCAAAAGAGCGGCGTCGGTGGCGTCAGCGACCCGCAGTGCGCTTGGGGATCTCATCACGTCAAGAACGGCGCCTCTGCGTCCGTCAGCTCGGTTCCGGGCCTGGGCGGCAGCGGGGGCTTCGGTGCTCTCCTCGAGGAGCTCAAGGACCTGGTCGAGAGCCAGGCGGACGAGGTCATTGGCACTGTCGAGCAGATCAAGACCGATGTCATCGACCAGGTCCAGTCGCTCACGCCAATCGAGATTGTGAAGCGTCTCGTCGGCATCTCGGCCAATCTGATGTTGGGGGTAGCCAAGAACCTAGTCGTGTCCGTGATTGGGATTCTCAAGTCCATCATGCAGGGTGTGATGGCCCTCCTCGATAAGACCGTCAAGATCCCTATCATCTCCAAGATCTACAAGCTGGTCACCGGCAGCGACCTCTCGATGCTCGACCTGATGTGCCTCGTCGCCGCCATCCCGTCGACCATCATCTACAAGGTCATCAGCAACGAGACGCCCTTCCCGCAAGACTCCGCCACCTCGTCGCTGATGAAAGCCTCCAGCATCGGCAGCATCCGGTCGCAGCTCGCCGCCTCGCCCGTCATGATGGAGCGTGTTGTGGTCACCTTCAACATTGCGGCCCTCGTCGGGTCGGGCGTCTACGTGGTGCTCGACCAGGTGCAGGCCGCCAACGCCATCCCCGTCGTCGGCGCCCTCTCGGCGTCGAGCTTCCTCGTCTTTGTGGCCCCGGCCATCGCGGCCGCCTTTGCCATGCCCGACACGCCGGCCATCCGCTTCAACAACGCCATGACAGCCATTGCCGTGTCAAAGTCGTTTGCCGACAACGTCAGCCCGCTGCGGAGCAATCCCCTGTGGACCGAGGCCGTGGGCCCCGGCAGCGAGACCATGATCAACCTGCTCTGGATGGTGCCGGCCGTCATGACCATTGCCGACATGGACGGTCCCAACGCGAGCGACTTTGTTGCGCTCGGCGCGGCGCTGGCGGCCGGCCTGGGCGGATCTCTGGCCTTCTTCGACATGAAGATCTTGGCGGTTTCGGGGCCTGTCAAGCTCGTTGCGGAGCTGGTAGCGGCGGGACTGAACATTTCGTACGGCGCATTGAGCCTGGTGTATGGCCACCTTTTGGTGCTTGATCTATAGGGAGGGATGGAGAGGGTGGGAAGGGGAGAGAGGGTGTTGCAGGTACCTTGGTTCATGCGAAGTTGACAAGTACCTTGCAACGGGTACCCACCGAGACCTGCCCCCCCTCTCCCGGAGTCCCGGGTAGCCACTATAGGGTAGCTATAATTTTCACACTAAGTTAGTTACAGCCCCTTGGACGGAATCGCCCCACAAATCCCGACGTAGCACTTGTACATAACGTAGCTCCAAGCTGTCCTTTGGCTGTGATGCCCGCGACGCCTCAGCTTTCCAACATCATCTCTGACAATCTCTTCGACTCGCCCACAGCGTTCCGTCAATTAATCGTCCATCATGGCGGTTGCGCAGCAGAACGCTCTCTTGGGGCCTCCCTCGCAGAGCTCGAGGACCCTCTTGCGGGTCGTCATTCTCCTCTTCATTGCTGGCGCGGCCATTGCCAGTCGACTCTTCTCCGTCATCCGTAAGGGCTATGCCACCGCAGCATTCGTGCCACCAGTGCGCTAACCAATTCAATCCTGCAGGTTTCGAGAGTATTATTCACGAATGTCGGTGTACCTCGCCGTCCGTAGAGTCAATCGCCCCCCTACTGACGCCTTGCTAGTCGATCCGTGGTTCAACTTCCGCGCCACCAAGTACCTCGTCGCGAACGGTTTCTACAAGTTCTGGGATTGGTTCGATGACCGAACATGGCATCCCCTGGGGCGTGTCACGGGAGGCACGCTCTATCCCGGTCTCATGGTCACCAGCGGTGTCATCTACCACATCCTCCAAGCCCTCACGATCCCCATCGACATTCGAAACATTTGCGTCCTGCTCGCACCGGCCTTCTCCGGCCTGACGGCCTTTGCCGCCTATCTGCTCACGAATGAGATGACCACGTCGCCATCCGCTGGTCTCCTCGCCGCGGCTTTCATGGGCATTGCCCCCGGCTACATCTCGAGATCCGTCGCCGGCAGCTACGACAATGAGGCCATCGCCATTTTCCTTCTCGTATTCACCTTTTACCTCTGGATCAAGGCTCTCAAGCTCGGGTCCATGCTATGGGGTGCCCTCTGCGCGCTCTTCTACGGATACATGGTGGCGTCCTGGGGAGGTTACGCCTTCATCACCTGTATCCTGCCCCTGCACGCATTCGTGCTCATCTGCATGGGCCGCTACAGCACACGTCTCTATGTGAGCTACACCACCTGGTATGCCCTGGGTACGTTGGCTAGCATGCAGATTCCCTTTGTCGGATTCTTGCCGGTCAAGACCAGCGAGCACATGCCAGCTTTGGGCATCTTTGGCTTCCTCCAGCTGGTCGGGCTCATCGACTACGTGCGCTCTGCCATCTCAGGCCGCCAGTTCCAGGCCTTCCTCGTCACGGTGCTGGTCGCCACATTCGGCATCGGCCTCGCCGGGCTGGTGGCATTGACCTCGCTCGGCTACATTGCGCCCTGGGGCGGTCGTTTCTACTCTCTGTGGGACACGGGCTACGCCAAGGTTCACATCCCCATCATCGCCTCCGTCTCCGAGCATCAACCCACTGCCTGGCCGGCCTTCTTCTTTGACCTCAACATCTTGATCTGGCTGCTCCCCGCTGGCGTTTGGCTCTTGTACAAGGAGCTGCGCGATGAGCATGTCTTCGTCATTACGTACGCTCTGTGTGGCAGCTACTTTGCTGGTGTCATGGTCCGTCTCATGCTGACATTGACACCGATTGTGTGTGTGGCGGCTGCTATTGCTGCCTCGAAGCTGCTCGACACATACCTTGTCAACTCGCCAAGCCAGCCAGCCACGTCGACGAGCGAGGCTGGAGAGAAGAAGGCTTTCAAGAGCACCGACAAGACGGAATCTCCTCTGGGGGTCTCCTCCATGGTATCCAAGCTCACCATCGTCGGAGCCATGGTCGTCTACCTGTTGATGTTCGTCAGCCACTGCACCTGGGTTACTTCCAACGCCTACTCGTCGCCCTCTGTTGTTCTCGCCAGCCGCATGCCGGACGGCAGCCAACACATCATCGACGACTACCGCGAGGCCTACCAGTGGCTTCGTCAGAACACAAAGGAGGACGCCAAGATCATGTCGTGGTGGGACTACGGCTACCAGATTGGCGGCATGGCGGACCGACCCACCCTCGTCGACAACAACACCTGGAACAACACGCACATTGCCACTGTCGGCAAGGCGATGAGCTCCCGAGAGGAAGTCAGCTATCCCATCATGCGCCAGCACGAGGTGGACTATGTGCTTATTGTCTTTGGTGGACTGCTGGGCTACTCCGGTGACGACATCAACAAGTTCCTCTGGATGGTCCGCATTGCCGAGGGCATCTGGCCTGAGGAGGTCAAGGAGCGCGACTTTTTCACTGCCCGCGGCGAGTACCGCGTGGACGATGGTGCGACCGACACCATGAAGAACAGCTTGATGTAGGTGCTTACTTGATGCTCATGACGGGCCCCTCATACTAATCCCTCGATAGGTACAAGATGTCGTACCACAACTACCAGTCCATGTTCCCGCCTGGCAAGGCTGCCGACAGAGTCCGTGGCGTTCAACTGCCGTCCGAAGGACCCGTTCTCAATACCATCGAGGAGGCGTACACCACCGAGAACTGGATCATTCGTATCTACAAGGTCAAGGACCTGGACAATGTTGGTCGCGATCACTTTTCGGCGGCCGCTTTCGACCGTGGACAGAAGAAGAAGGCGGCCAAGAAGCGTGGCCCGCGGGTGCTGCGCGTCGATTAGGTGGGAGGGAGACGGCAAGTAAATCTGGCCAAGATAAAAACGGATAGAGAGTTGGCTGGCCACACGGTCTATCTTGGGGAGATAGAACTCCCTAATGTATACCATTGACTGAACTCGGTGCGCAGACTGCCGTGATATCGTGAAGCTGTGGTGGCTCCTACCCCTGTTGTTTACATTGCCTACCCCAGGTACACGGACTTGAGCCTTTCCCCACTGCACACTCACCTCGCTTCAGACTCTTTTCTCTGATCTGCTAACCTTTGGCTCACCCAAGGCTGGGTGAGAGACGCCGTCTAGTCTCTGCGCACGGCCACGCAGTGAGCTTGCCCTGATTTTCAACTCAATCTGCGCTCACCACACACGTAACTTGAGATGGCCACCGAAAAGTTTTCCATCCCACCTCGAGACGCTCCGTTGCTTTGATTGCAAACCTCTACATATCCTCACTTCCTCAATCTTCTACCGAGCGACACGAAACACATTGCGGCAACTACGCTCCTTGTTGTTCCTCTGGCTCCCCCGTACGCTTAATGATGGGACTCCTGGCTGGCCGCAAGGTCAAGCGTCATGGATCTCCCGAAGTTGACTTGCTCTTGGCTGCCTTCCACATTCCGACTCGCCGGAAGTTGGTGAAGAACGAGGCGAGATCGCAAGGCACGGGAGCTCCATCGGCTGTGGTAGCTTGCCATAATAAACAGACAAACGTGGGACAGCCGCCCATTGTGGTCAAGCCTCCAAAAGCTACCATTGCAAAGACGAGTTCAAGTTGCACAGCGAAGCATTGCAAGAAACACAAGTGCCAGACTTCGTCAGAAACTGGTCTTGATTCTACTTCGCATACGGACAGTGTCGCTTCAGGCACGGACCCCTCGCCTACGAGACAATCACGCAGGCACGGGAAGAAGACGTCGAAACGAACGAGGAGGAGCTCCAAGGCTCGTCATTGTCTGAAGACAGCTGCACAGCACGAGGGCGAGGAGGATGAAGAGGATGAGGAGCCAGATAGCTCTTTTGACTCTGACGTACCGCTGTTGCCCACCTCTCCCCGTTCGAAGAGGAAGAGCTCGAACAAAGATAAACGCGTTGCGGACGTCGTACCGCGCTCGCTCATCGAGACTGATGTAACTGCGTTGCACAACACTCGAACCTCGATGCCCAAGAATATCGACCATGCCCGCCATGTCAAGCAGTCCTCGCCGACACCTCACGGTTCAGACAACGGTGCCTGGATGCCCCGGGCTGTTCCTCACCAGTACTACCTACCGGCTACGTGCCTGACACGATCCCCTGAGAGCCACCGATACGACTCATCAAGACTGACCCCGGCCTACCATCAGTGGGATGACGTTGGTCTTTCCACAGTCTTGGGCAACTCTACACTCCATCAACATCCGCTGCGGCAATTTCCAGCTCAGAATCTGCACCATCAGCAGCGCAGTCTTGACGCGGCGCTCTCTGCCCTCGCGAAGCGCCCAGACGACCCGCAGCTCAAAGCACAAGCAAACATACTGCAGGGGCAGTTGAATTCCATGCTGGATTAGGCATCTGGTCAGAATCAGCAGCAAGGACTGAAGTCACTAGGCGGTGATCAATACGCGAGCGTCCGCAACGACCACGATCCTGGCGTTCTCAAGAGTCCTGCGCCCATCATCGCCGAGAAGACCGAGAAAAGATCCGAAGACAGGGCGGAACTCCAGGACAAGAGTCTCCTGCACGCTTGTGCCGGGTGTGGATGCGTCCGCTCGCGCAAATACCACGAGAAGCATGTGATTGCACCTGGAAAGACCAAGCAGCCCAGCCTCTGCGAGAATTGTCGCGCAAAGCTGCACCAGACTGGGCTCATCGGAAAGCTCAAGCGACATGTTTGCTTCGGCTGCGGCATCTACCGCTCTCGCTCGTTCAATGAGGAGCATCCAGCCAGGCCTGAGGAAAAGTTGCTTGTCAACTACTGCGTTCGGTGCGAGAATGAGATGGGCACGAGCCCGAGCGACATCAGTCACCAAGAGTCTGGATGCAACACCCCCAAAGACGCTCCTGAGGAACCACATGACGCCAGATCTCGAGTACCAAAGCCACCAGAGCCTAAGCATCGCAGCCCATTGTCAGCCAGTCCCATCCTCGACAAATCCTCCACACCAGCATGTCTCCCAAAGCGAGACCATGGAGCATCTAGGCGCAGAGATGTAATAGAACCCATTTTGGAGGCAGCGTTCAACAGCAGCCACAAGCAGGAGCAGTCACGTCCCCAATACCGGCCACCTTTCATGGAGGACGTGACTACGCCACTGCTTGCCCGTCCAAGCAGTAGTTTTGTTCATAATGAACCAGGCCTGGAGGAATCTCCTCCCCAGACTCCCAGCATCGCCCCCAATGGTACCAAAAATACAAGACTGTCCTCTATCTTGAGATGCAAGACCATTGTACAGGAGGAAGGACCGGGCATGGATTCCTCGTCACCCACAAAGTCAACGACTAGCTCGGACCTGTCAGAAGTGGGCAGTGGGTCTACTACATCGAGCAGCAAGACGGTCAAGTTCAAGAACTTGGTCGGCGTCAGGCGTTCACGATCGCCTTCAGAAAGCGGTTTCGCGTCTCAGGAAGAAACGGAGGAGCCCATCAAGCCTGACGACGACACACAACCCTGCCGAATTGGCACCTACGGCTGTAACCCACTGATGGACGAACGTGGGAGACCTTTGTCCACGTCTGAGCGCCTGGGCTCGTTCTCCAGCAATGCTCCTCACCCAGAGGCATATGATGAGTATGATGATGGGATGCCCCGGGGTCTTGAGGACCGCTACTCTCAATCGACTCGGGACCATACACGAGGCGCTTTCAGTGGTTACGGTGGTGCTTTCAGCTCGGACGCTGGCTTCAAGACCAAAGCTTGGGATTGGAGTGATTTCAACGGTAATTCCTCACCATGCACGCGCAAAGGATCTCCCGAATGGTACGGAGAACGTTCGCATAGTGTTTCCAACTCTGAAGCTGGCGACTCGTTCCCAATGCCACAAATTCAACGAAGCGCCTTCAGCTCCTACTTCAACGACGCAGCGGACAATTACGAGGGGATGCCCAGCAGCCCACAGCCATGTCCACATGCGGATGGCCCTGTTGATCAGCAGCCCCCGGAGACTGTTCGTAATGACTAGGAGAATTCCGGCCCTCACCACCAGACCAGCGATCACTCGAGCCCTCTGTCATTTGCCTCCAATTCGGGGGCTTTTGCATTTTTTAACACCGCAGCAAGTTCCGCCAGAGAGGCGTCGGATTTTAACCCTTGTACGACGAAGCAGCGCACGTCACACTTTCACCCTGCGCATGACACCATCTACGATTCAGAGCCCATCATTGAGGAGGCAGACTCCACGATCAGCTCGCCTGCCAGGATTTCCCTTTTGCTCGGTAAGGACCGCTTCTCGTCTGACTCTTACCAAAATAAATACAGCTGACACTTCTAGAATACGAACTTGGCGCTATCCCTGTCCTTGATCTGGACGGCGAGACTATTGTCAACGAGAGTCCCGAGCCAGAGGATACCAGTCCTGACGAAGACTCTGGCCGTGACTTTGATGTCCCGTGTCTGCTGTCAATGCTGGCCACGGAAAAGAGCAATTACTGAGCCACCATCGTGGCTGTAACGAAAACATGACCGACTACCACACACACACACACACACAAAAGCTCATTGCGTTAACAACCAGGCACTGTACTTGCACACGACTGCACATGTACCCTGATTTTACCAAGCGCTTTACTACCACCTTGTTACATCAATACGCACCAACCAACCCCTGTTTGGGGGGGAGGCAGCAACAGCGCCGCATCCCCCCTTTTTACATTTGTCATATCTGTTACTGGACTGCAAAGGCTATATCATCTCTTCAACACTTGTGGAGCTACTTTCTTACCTTTTTTTCTTCTTTTTCTTTTTCTTCTCTTATCTCTCGATTTCCTCTTCCATCCTCGCTCGCCCCTTGGTGTGGGTTGAAGATGTTGCGCTTTTGTCTACTTCCCGTCTCTTGGCTCGATACGAGACACAGAGAAAAAACTGTTCCGCTGCTCTTGGCTTGGCCGGGAAACACTGGGAAGATGGAGTTGGACAAACTAAATGAACGCTAGAGTGAGAGCAGAGAACAGGCAGATACACCTTGCATCTTCACTAGAGCAACCAACGATTGGGGACACGCACGATACATGAAGCGATGGACATTCCTTTCGTATCTGTCTTTAGGGTTAGGGGGCCGGAGAAGCTACGAGACGGCCACAAGCTACTGTGTTTTGTTTTTCGTCTTTGTTTTCTTCTTTCTGTGCATCTGCGCCGTGTCTGCAGGAAGACTTGGTGTGGATGGCACCAACGGCTAAAAGTAGTCATTGCTCTCCCGTGTTCATTTGGGCATTTCTCAATACAGAAAAAGCAACTTGTCATGATGAATGTTTTCAGCCCTCTACATGTCTATTGATGTCAAAGTATGTATATGATTGATGGCCATTTCACTGGGGCCAACCCCCAAAGTTACTCGACGCGGGCGGCGCGCTGGCCGGGGACTCATTTCTCGACAAACGACCAAACTGCTGCTGCTGCTGCGTCGCCTTACTCCGCAGGAACGCAATAGCCTCCTGCCGTTTCATCTCAAAGGCCCGACTCCTCTCCCGTTCACGCTCAATGTTCTGCTCGCGCCTGGCGAGATCCTCGTTGGCGCTCGTCCAGAGTCGCTTACTCTCCAGGTCATCGCGCACACGCTTCTCGACTTTGGAATAGGCCACGTCAAGTTTCTCGGCGATATCGGGCGGGGCCATGACGGGGGGCTTAGTCGCGTCCTGACGGGCGTGAGAGGATCCGCCCCAGAAACAACGGAAAGACAGTATGGTCTGGGCCTTGGCTTCGGGCGAACCCCATATGCCTAGGCTGTCGCCGTCCTGGAGCTGCATCCAGTTCCTCGCTGGTCCGCGTGGGTTCTTGGGATCGTCCGATGAGAGCAAGTGTCCGTTGACGTGGATGCCGAGTGTTGCCTTTGTGGAGATCCAAAAGGTGTAGGCGTCCTCGTCGCCCGTGGACGGCTGCTGTACCCATGGGTAGGGGTTCCTCGTCGTGTGGTGTTTGTGTGCCTCGTATCCGTCTTTCCAAAGGACAATCTTGAATGCGAATTTGGGGACCCGCGACTCGGTCAGGGGTTGGAACACTTGGATGTTGTCCTCGTGTCGGCCAAACGAGGCAAAAGGAGCCATGATGGGGAACGAGATGCCGCCCACACACGAGTTGGCCTGTGACTCGATGAGCCCTATGGCACGCTGGTTGTGCTCGTCTGGCAAGGGAACGACCAGCTGCTGGCCCGGCGGTTGCGTGTCCGGCAACTGTGGCTCCGAGGGCACGGCAGTAGGCGGGAAGTACTGGGGATTGCCACTTGCCCTGCGCTCATCACGCTGCAAAGCACCAATATGCGTCTGTGCTAAGCTCTGTGGTGATGGCGATAGCGGTCCGTTCGTCGTCGCTGTCGAGGGGAAGTGCTGCATCGCAAGCCACCATAGAGGCGACTTGCCGGGTGAAATCTCCTCGCCCCGCTGTCTGGCCGCTTCCTTGAAAGCAGCAAATTGAAGGTGTGTCATTTCGGGGTAGTCAAGATGCCACGTCGACCTGTCTTTGGTCCACCATTCTGTCTTGGTCACAGCCCGGTCGATTTGACGGCCTGATTGTAGTCTGCTGATCTGCGGCACACAAGCGAGCAGTTCAGCCTCGCTGAAACTACCCTCCAGCAGGCCCTCGATATTGCCCTCGGATTTGAGTCGCTTCATGAGCGGCTTGTCCATGGATACATACTCGCTGTCCATGCTATCGTTGGCTTCCTGGGATGGGGGTTTCCGTTTGCTGCCTGTGAAGTCCAAGGATTGGAAATGAGATACATTCGTCTCCAGCTTGGCCGTCTCATGCCCGTTTAGGCTCTGTGAAGCGACAAACTCGACCAGACTCTGCAGTTGATCCGCCGACTGGTTTGGCCCGACAGAGCCTGCGACTTGGCGGTCGTCGCGTTGATATGTCCGGGTTGCCGCAGGTGTCCCTGAGGCCCCATGGTCGTACCCACTGTCATTGTATGAGTTGAACGCTTCGTCATCGCGCTGGCTCACGGGCAGGTTCAAAAAGTCATCTGGTATGACACCAGAGCTTCCAACGGCAGATACACCGACCTCGCCAAACAAGCGGCGTGGTTGACCTGGCCCGGTGTTTTCCTTTTCGGACTCATCACCCCCGGAATCGCTGACTCGATCTTCTTCTCGCCAGTCTTGCTGAGGCGGCTGTTGCTGCTGCTGCGAAAACGTGGCAAACTCTTCATCGTCTGTGATCTCGTCGTACGACTGGGACGCATCAATAATGGAGCCGTCGCCGCCCAGCCATGCGTGTGTGTCGAGCTCTAACACCGTCGCGCGATTCTCAGGTCGTCTCTGCAGCATGCGAGACAAGAAGTCAATGCCGCGCTCCGACACCCCTTCCCTCTGCAGGGGGACAGTATTAAGCCTCGTAGTCATGATCTTATGCAATAGCTCCGAGTAGCTGACGCCGTTCTGCACCGGATACGGTGGCGACTTGGTCAGTACGAAGAACAAGACGCCCCCCAAGGACCAAATGTCCACGGCGTGATTGTAACGCTGGCCGGGCATCCGGCGAACCTTAGTGCCACGGATCCGGAAGCCATTGTCATCATACTCTGCGTACTCGGTGTAGACCTCGGGGGCGCAGTACAGCAGGGTGCCACAAAACGTCCGCAGGCCTGTCTGTTCGCCCTCCACCATCTTGGAGAGGCCAAAGTCGGTCAGCTTGACGTCTAGGGGGTCGATGCTGTTGAGGAGGATATTGTCCGGCTTGACATCGCGGTGGGTGATGTTGTTCTTGTGCAGGTACTCGAGGGCGCCGAGCAGCTGCTTCGCTATTGTCTGCGCCATGTCCTCGGAGAAGGGCCCGTTGCTTTGGTCGGCAACGTACTTGCCCAGGTCGCCACCGGGCACATACTCCATGATGATGATCAGGAGTCGATCGTCCCAGTCAAAGTTCTCAATATATCGTACAATATTCGGCTGTTGCACAGATCAGTAGCTGACGACGCACGATGGGCACACAAACAGGAGGGGACACTAACATGCTGAATTCTCTTCATGATATTCATCTCATTCTCCACCTTCTGGTCCAACACGCCGTCTTTGATGAAACGCCTCTTCTCTAGCTCTTTGGCGGCGTACGGAATACCGTTGTACTTGGACGTGACCTTGTAGACAATGGCAAAAGCCCCCTTGCCAATTTTCCCAATCTTGTTGTACGTGCCAGACCCCGTCCACTCCCTGCGCATCGGGTTCTGAATCTCCCTCCGCTTGGACGGAGACCTTGTCGCCGCATCGGCAGCCTGCGCTCGCGGGTGCGCGCGAGGATTCGAGGCAGGCCTGGGAGGCCCCTTGAAGATGTCTGGAGGTCCGTCCGCCGGTGGCGCAGGCCGGGGCGCGGGCACAGGAACAGCAGCAGCACCTCCGTCCTCTTGGAGACCATGCCGCGTGAAGTGCTCGGCCACCTTGTCGGTATAAGCCTGGTCGTACTCGTCGTCGCGTCGGGGGATGCGCACTCGAAAGGTCAAGTCGGAGACCGTGTTGTGCAGGTAGATCATGATGATGGTGCCCGAGCTCAAGACCCATCGCGTCACGGGCGGCCCTCCATTCTTAGGTCGAGAGGTGAGAAGGTGACGATCGACAAAGGTCCCGTTGGTGGACTGGTCCTCAATCATGACGTTGCCGTATTCGTTGACGTAGATGCGAAAGTGAACATTGCTGACACGTTTCAAGGGATCGTTGGCGAAGACGAGGTCGCATCGGGCCGGGTTCCGGCCGAATGCAAAGCCAGCAATGGGGTTCTTGACCTGCGCAGACAGGCGGAGTATGATGGCGTAGTTGCCATGGTTGGCGGGCGCTGACTCGAAACGACTGGCATGGTCCTCGAGCTCGTAGTCTGGCTCGACGCCGTCCGCCTCGTCCTTACCGATGATGTACGGCGAGTCCTCCTGAGCCAAGCGCGCGACCTCTTCTTTGGCCGAGTCCGAGTGCGGGTACAGTACGCATATTATGTCCGACACATCCTCGTCTGAGAAACCCGAGTTCTGCTTGCCTACACGGCGGGGATCGAGGACATTTTGGGTTGCTGGTACATGGCAGTCAGCCTGTGGAACTCCATTGAACGATCGCCTCGGACTCTGAGAGGGTGGGGGGTTATTTACCTTGCGTGGGCTCTTCGCCGTCCATTGGGAGAAGAAGCCCGTTCCGACTGGGGCTCGACCGGGCAGCGCAATGATGGGTTCGCACCAGGATCCGCCTCGTGCTTCGGTGCGGTCAAGTGTTCGCAGGTCGTTCGTGCCACAGCTTGGCTAGTAGGGGAGGAGAGTAGACGTCTAGTGGTTGGTGCAAAGTCAAGTCGTTGTTCGCGCGGGTTCGCATGGAGGTCGAGGCATAGATTCGCTCGCTAGTTGGCAGGGTGATGGAGGACAGAACGTGGATGCAGAGATCTCGAAGCAATACACACAGAGAGGTGCGTAGAAGAATGACGAAGACAGGCGCGAACGCGTGACCAGATCCGAGTCCTGTCCGAGGACGTGTGCTAAGGTACGTAGGTGGTGGCAGAAGAAAGAAAAACAAATACTAGAAGAATTGATTGGACGAGCTTGCAATAACAGACAGACGGACGGCCGGGCTGGACTGTAGTGAATGGATGGATGGGTGGTGGATGGACGGGTGGATGGATGAGAGAGTGACTGGAGTTGAGTGATAGGGTCACGACAGCTGCTGCTGCGGGTTTGGCGGGGGTTAGACTGCAGCCTGCCGTCCAGCAGTCCACTTACGTCAGGTACCTACCTACCTGGTACCTTCTCACTGTACCTCCAGTCGACGTTCCGCTTTCTTCGACAATAGGACCTACGCGACCATGTTGGCTGCACCGGTACTTGCTACACAATGCTATAATCGCCGTATTCCTCGCCCCAAGCCAAGCCAAGTTAGCTCAAGGCAGATTGAGATATCGTATCCCTAGTCCCAGCCTCACGTGCCGTAGTCACTCGTCGCCATCCTGTGCGAAGAACAAGATGAACTCACAAATCATTCACCGCGTGACACATGTGCGTGACTTTGACATTTATTTGGCAGATATATAGCCAGCTAGCAAATTCCGGCTTGTCCTACTTGCTGATGCATGACATAAGAGAACCATACCCATGGTGGAAATGTAGTGACACCCGTCCTGTCCATTGTTGCCTGTGCCTCTCCAATGCGTTGAAATGAGCAAATGCAAGAATGATAAAAATGATAAAAAAATGACACAGCGTCACAGTGTCTGTAAAACGCATATGCTTACTTACTCTCGTGGCACACGCATAGTATGCTTCGTCGTCGTTGTTGTCGTCGTCAAGCTCTTGCTTTTCTTAATAGCCGAAATTCAAAAATGCACAAATGTCCATGCGCGGTACGGATAGAATCCGACCTGCTTGTGCCCTGTCTTTGCACGATGCCGCCGCAGCTCCTGTCCTTGTTGGTTGTACCATGCGCACGCACGCCTCTAAAACGCCTGTCCTTGGTAATGAGGGTGGATGTTACGTTGCCCAGGTGCCGGGCCGCCGTACTGACCCTGGGGTGGCATGTTACGAGCATCAGTGGGCTGGGCGCCCGGTTGCATAGGCCTCGAGAAGCTGTTGGGCTGGCCACCCGGGCCAGGACTCGGTGCAGCACCTCTGTTGCCGTAGGGATGAGGCCCGCCCTGGCCTGGGGACCCCGGCGCCCCTTGCCAGTTCATGTTGCGCTGCTGAGGCTCGTCATGCCTCATACCTCCCCGGCCAGATTGAGCTGTGCCTGGACGTGAACCGACCGGAGAGTAGGGGCGTTGAGGTTGGGCAAAAGGGGCAGGCGGCCCTGGTTGGGGTTGCGCAAAGCCCCGGGATCCGTAGCCACCGTCTGGGAAGCCATAGTCAGAACGAGCTACGCCGGGCTCGTGGTTACTGCCCGTGGAACGCATCGTGCCGGCACGAGAGCGCGCCCCATCCGAGTAGCCAACATCGTCCTGGTAAGGGTTGGAGCCAGCCGGGGCGTAGCTGTCGGTATACTCCATGGGAGTGGGAGGGCCACGACGTGCAGCAGGTCCAGGCCCGTCCGCGAACCCATTACTTGGGGCAGGCGCGCCACGACTGGGAGGCGGGCGCCCATACTGATCGCGTGGCGGGCCACGGTCCGTTGTGTACGACTCGATGATCTCGTCAGCGGTGGTGCTCCCGTGCTTGTTCAAGCTTGCGGATCTCTCTGGAAGCACCATCCGCTGGGCGTGGCCTGGAGGTCCATAACCACCGCGGCCGCCTTGGCCTGGAGGGGGCCCGCCTCGGCCTCGGCCAAAGTAGTCGGAGGGGGGGCCGTGCTGTGGCGGTCGCATGTTGGGCGGTGGCCGCCCACGGCCTGGTGGGGGCTGCCCACCCTGAGGGGTGCCTTGGGGTGGTGGCCGAGGCGATCGAGGCGCGCCGGCGACGCCCATCTGGCCTCCGGGGGTACCTGAATGTCCTGGCGGGTAAGGCGAACGGCGACCATCTGACGTACTCGGCCGAGATGAGTTGGGCCCACCGCCATAGGGGCTCGGGGGGCCAAACGGGGACTCTGATCGGTTCGTCGGAAGGTTGAGCGGCGCTGGCATGTGCGATGGGATTTGACCTGGAGGACTCAGAGCTTCACGAGAACGATTGTCGTTAGCAGATGGTCCCATGGGGTTGGCGTGGTGATGTACCGAAGGCCCTGCAATGGCTCCATCCTCCATCGCCCTCCTGTCCTGTGACATTCCAGTGTTCTGGTCGTTGACCTCGAGTCCGCCGGCCTTGGCCAGTTGCGCGAGTGTGGTGGCAGAAAGGCGGCTGTTAGCCCGACGCAGTTCCGGTGAGTGGTAGGCCCTGCTGATAGGACGGCCTTGGTGCTGCTTGGCTCCGAATTCAGGGGGGCGCGAGACGGGCTCGGGCGTGTTCAGGCCACGTATGTTGCTCAGGTCGCGTCCGGGCGGCGAACCGTGGTCGTCGTCGTAGGGATTGGCGCCGGGCGTGCTTGGGTCCGACGTGTTGCGCACATGGCCACGTGCCATTTGCTCCTGACCTGAACCAGGTGCGCCGAGCATGCCATGCCCAGGTGGAGCGTTGGGACCGTTGAGGGAGAAAGATCGCGAGCCCCTGACCTGCTCACCTGCGAAGCCCACCTTGGGCCTACCGTTATCTTGACCAAACGACACCTTGTTACCGCTGCTCCGGCTTGCACTGCGCGAGTGAGACTTGGGTGACCTGGTGCCGTCCTCAATGGCGTTCATGCGCGTGCCTGTAGCCTCCTTGAGGCGCCTTCGCCACTCTTGCTCGGTCCAAGTACCGCTGGAGCCTTCGTTGATCAGGTTGGTCACATCCAAGGGTTCCAAGTATCCGTAGCGTTTGTGCTTGGGCATGGCGAACATGAGGGATCTCGAATCAAGAATGCTGGCGACGAGCTTTCCGGGACGACCGTACAAGGCAAAGGTGTCCCACGTCGGGAACAGGAAACGCAGGAGCATCTCAAAGCCACTGACCATGGGACGCACCTCGGGCATGATGAAGACGAAGCCCTCGGATGAGGTGGGAGGTTCCGTGTGGACAGTCACATTGCCTTCAATCTTCAGTAGGGTGGATGCATCGATGAGCGCCTTGGCTTGAGGATAGATTGCATATGCCGAGTAGGCGTCGGTGATGGTCGCAATGGGCTGCAATTTCTTCTGCTTCTTGCCATCGGCCTTTTGGTCGTAGAATTTGATGTCACCTTTCAGATTAGGTATGTGCGACCGGTCGTACGGCGATCGCTTCCGCATCTCCTTCTGCTGCTTGGCGTACTCCTTCTCGTTGGGAGGCGTAATCACGCACCAGCAGCGTCTCCAGGGGACGCCGGCGCCAAAGCGGACTCGAACCCACTCCTCTGTGTTGAAGCGGGAGCGCTCCATGATCACGTTGATGTTGTTCACAGACCTGGCCTTGCCTGCGATCAGGGCGCCGGTATACGCCTCCTGCAGGGTGTTGTGTTCATAGATTGCGAGACGGATGGCAGCTGTCCACTGCACAAGAGAGTGGTGCGAGTTGAAGTGTAGCAAGTACCGATTACGGCCGGCCGTGGAGACGCTGAGGATGTTCTGGAGAGGCTGTTCGTCACTAGAGCGGGTGGGCAGCGATTCGATCTGACACCGTGGTCAGTTTGACTGGCAATGGCCGGTGGACGCAGAGCATGACCTACCATTTTGACGGAAGCATCTGTCAGATTGAGGAACTTGGGGAGCACCTCCCCGTCCTCGCCCGCGGCGTCAAGCTCAGCAGCGTCCCAGAGCGAGAGGACGGTGCCCACCAGTTGTGCGAAGCATTCGGTCCATGTCCGATCGGGGTTAGGTTTGCCCTCTATTGTGAAGCCAGAGTCAGCGTGGAACTCTCACGCAATGGAGGGGCAAGATGACATCCGTCGGTTTTGGAAGCCGACTGGCAACTTACGGCTGTTTTGATCGTCCAGCTTGAGGAAATAACCCTCATGATAAAGCTTGTTGGAATGGCTGTTTAGAAACGAGAAGACGGGCTGCAGCTCCGGAATGGTGTCTTCATTCACGTCCATCTTGGGCGGTGACCAGGCGTGTACGATGGAGAGCGGTCGAGAGTTAGAGCGCTTGTGACGATGTACGCTATTATCTGGAGAGGATGCTTTGTTCAGAGGGGACCCCTGCCCGTGGTAGTCTCCATCCGTCGGTGGCGTTAAAGGGCGGGAGGGAACACGCTGGTGTCCACGTTGCTGAACAAAGGTGTCTTTCTTCGCGGCGGTGACACTGTCCTCGCTAGTGAGAGGGGAGTCGTTTGGGGGGGAGGAAGATGGTGACGGCGCTTTTGACCCGGCCGAAAACTGGGACATGAACGAGAGAACTGTTGAAGAAATGTAGTCAGCAAATGATGTGGTGAACTCAGTAATGTGCTTGCGTGGAATGGTCTGGGATGAGTCTGGCTGGCCGCTGATCCCACGCCTGGCGGGAGGGGGCGTCCAGGCGTAGGTGTGCAGGCATGCAGTCGTGCAGCGGTGGTACGGTGGTCCCTAAGCCTGAACGCTGGAGGTCCAGAGGCCGGGCGGGGACTGGGCTAGAGGGGGGTCCAGTCACGGAGATACCTGGAGGGTACGTGTGCTTCAGGGCCAAGACACGCACCGTCCCTCATCATTTTCCTCGGGTGTGCGGTGACTGGAGACTTGAGTCCAGCGCTTGGTGTGGGCCCCGCCCATTCTTTGGGCGAGGCAACCACTGGAACCGCCCTTGTCCAGTCAACCGGGTTGGACGGCATCACCGCCTGAAAATGCCCAGCTGCCCAGAGCCTGACAACAAATCTCCCGCGCGCGTCCAGTCCAATCCAGTCCAATCCAGTCCCTGCCTGTCGCATCGGTGGGCGGGCAGTCTTGAGCGGGCTTACACGTCAGTGATTGACGTAGGGCCCGTCTTGTGCCCCGGGTCCGGTCGATGATGAATTGATGATCCCTTGAGCTTGCCTCTCCAATCTCATGCCTCTTCTCATGGAAACGATGGGCCATGTGCGACGATTCGTGGCATGATGCATTGATGCTGCAAGCCTGCAATTGGCAATGCACGCCAGGAATCAACGATCCAAAGACCGGCCGGCCAACGCAGGACCCTGGTTCCCGATCCGGGCTTCTCGGAACGAGCAGTGGAATGAAGTGAAATGAGCCGAAGGGGATACGAGAATACGAGAAAGCGACAAACCTCTATTGCGACCCATTTTGTCGACTGCGCCTCGTGGAGGACTTCGGTATTCGCTGAGACAGCAAGCCAAGGGCTGAAACCTCGGTGTCCCAACTACTGGGCTGGTGTCTGTTGCAGATAGACAACCAATATCGAGTGTGTAGTCAGCGAAAGACTGCTCGTGTGAATGCGGATCGGACAGTCTGCGTGTGAGGTGTGTGGGATCGCTCGTCGTGAGATGCGCTGCGCACAAACGGTGCAGGGTGCCTAGGACCAAAATCTGAGAGCTCAGGGCCGGGTAGCAGAAACAAAAGATGTGAGAAGAAAATAATCAAGCTCAGGCGCAGGTGAAACAGGCGGATGCGAAGTTGAGTCTTATGCCGTGTGATCTCAAGCCTGGGTTTGCCAAAGGTACTTGGCCTGGAGACAAAGGCGGAAAGAACAAGTCAAGTTGGGTCAAGTCTGTGGTGATTTAAGGTGGCCGGCCCGGAGGCTGAGGTGAAGCTCGATTCGATAATGGGCACTGCGTTGTGTGTAAGTTTCCAGTTGTCTGCTCAAGCGCAACCTTGTGTTCCTCCCTTCGGCCAGGTGTTGCCGAACAAATGAATACAGAGTGAGAGGTCTGGGAGGAGGAGGGTCCGGAGACAGGATGATGCCAGCGTCTTGGTCAGGTATCAAATTAAACCAGCAAGCAATAAAGCTCCCTCCCTGCCTCTCTCTCCGTGCGTGCGCTGCTTGCGGGATAATAAATAATGGGGAGCGGCGGTCAGGCTGGGCAGTTGTTGGTCTCGGCATTCGTCAGGGCACTGCACTCTCGCCTTGCCGGAGCCAGAACTGGCCGCTTCATCGAAGCAGCTGCAAGGTGCATCGATCAATCGGCCAAGCACAATTGACCCCCCTCTCCTCTTCCCCAGACCACGATCTGTGGCCACGAGCGGCTGCTTCGGTGTTTGGAGATTGCACTCACACTTGGCTTGGAGATGGTGATTATCCGGAAGTCCGCACTTGGCAGCAGCTGCTGGCGTTGATAGCGGCTCGTCTGGGCTGTCGAAGCGACAATGCACGAATAGCCTCCAAGAACCACTGTGAAGGGATTTGAAACTATACTCAAATGTCAGACTGTGGGATCTTTGCTTCAGGAAAACAAGTCATTCGCCCTGCTTGCGGCATGACATCTGTGTAAGGTAATGAAATGGCCTTTGCTCACACCTCACACCACAGGCTTCCACGTGTATGAGCGTCGGCTAGGGTGCAGCAGTGGCTTGAATTGACGTATAGGCAAGGTACGTACCTTAATTGGGGTATGGACGACGGACGCTACACCACCACAGGCGCAAGCGATCAGTACAATAAATATAGGTGTGATGGAATACAAAGAGAGCAGCTGACAATACAGAGACCTTGATTATGTTCCATAGTGCCGCAGTCACACATGCCCAGTAAAGATGAAGTCATACATTGTGTTCTAATGTACGTCCGAGCTGCCGTCCGCGTAGCGCCCACGCTGGGACCACGAGATCGGCTCGTCCAGTCGACTTTCCTAGCCATTGAGCTCAGCCACGATTTGGGTCTAGCCGCGCGCGCTCCGCACGGTGCGCGTCTACGGGCACTATCATCGATGCGCATCAGTTAATAATGCATTATTAGTATCGAGGAATGGATCCCGATCAGCCACCTCGAAGCTGTCAGAGGCTCACAGCCACCTACGCGTACACTACCACCGCCGCCGTCACCGCTCATACGGTTCTCCGCGCATCCAGCCGCTCTGGCGGCGCTATTTTCTCGCTGCTTTGTTGTTGGTGAGAGAATAGCAAGCGCCGGCTTCAACGCCGAACCACTAATGTTAGGTGCTTGCATGCAGATCCACCACAGCAACTCAGGCCTCACACCTTGCTCTGACAGTCTTGCGTCGCACAAACGAAGTTACGTACATACGCACAACACAGAATGACCCCTCATAGGTCTTCACTAGCGTGTCGCGAAATGGTTCTAGAGAGGGCGTATCGAAACACATGATGCGTGGTGCGTGTGATGCATTGCATCTCACGCTCCAGTCGTCGCCGCATGCAGGTACTGCCCGAAGCCGAGATCGACGAGCTGAACATGTCGTTTTGTTCCCGAATCTAGCTTCAATTGTTCTACTAAATCAGCTAACGAATGATTCCACATTCGCCTGGCCTCGGGAAAGAGAAGCGCATTTTGGGGATTTCCCGATTATGCAGCATCCCATGTGTCACGCGCCATCTACATTCCAGTTCCCCCTCCTGGCTCTGATTCCTACCTTAATTCCCCGGAAAATGCACCTGATGGCGTGCCGTGTCATCTCATGTGACTTCGAGCCTCCTCATACGCCAATCGTACTTTTTGTACTGTCAGTGGATTTGCTTGGCTTGTCAGAGGACCGGCAGCTAAATATCTCCTTTCCATTATGATACCTGGTGGCTTGGGAAACGCTAATAACGCATGTGGTTGAGCCCGCCCGCGAATTTGCGATACGGTCGTTGCAAACTGCCGCGTGTACTCCTCGCCTTGGCATTATGGCTTAGATCCTAGACTACGGAGTAGAGGACACAGATTGTGCTTGGTGTTCTCTTGGAATACGTGCAGTGTGACTTGGCAAAGACTAGAAAATGTGGTGGTTGGTTGGCCAGAGACATTCCACCCTGAAACAGACCTTGGGCGCCGTCTACGGATGACGCGCTCTCTGCGGGACTGTTCTTGACACAGCCCAGTCGGTGAGTGTTGCGCAATCAGTGATCCTCTCTCCACATCCATTGGACTCTAGTTTCTTATTGTTCGACTGTTGGCGTCTGGACTTATCGCTGGGACATTCAAGCTGCACTGCTGCGGTAAATTATAATGTTAATAAATAGGCCAACCCCGAATATCAATTTCTTGTGGGACTTGGGTTAGGTGATCTATTCACTGATAGCGATCTGCTATTCTCAACCCTGTCCCTATGTGTTGGTGCGACGTGCGTACCATAAGGTATGTCTAAGCTACGTCATCATTGAAAGCCCAGTGCTCAATCGTCGGACATGACCATCCCCGCGATGACTTTAGAACTTACCTGTCAAGTACGTGTACCTGGGTTTATACAGTGAGCGGCCTCTGCAGATCGCACAGTGATTGTTCCTCCAGGGTATGCTGACTGTCACCCTGTTGAAACTGAGGTTGCCAACCAGCTTACCTTGACGATGCCGCAGTTGTCAATTCGTACGGAGTACATGCAAACCGTTACAATTTGGAACCATACCACTCCAGTCTATGGCCGGAAATCACTATGTGGGGTAAAATTGTGTAGTGAAAATACTTGCTGTCTGTGGCAGCAGTTGCTGCCTTTCATGGACCCCAGCTGCAGCAACGACATTCAACCTGCGGCATAGTGCCGGGCACCTCATTTCCTGCAAGTGAAAGCATGTAATATTGCCTTGATAGCGACCTGATTTGTTCAGATTGCTACAAACGTCCGCGAGCGCCGTCGTAGGGCGATGGATCTCTAGCAATCCCTGGCATGCACAGGGTAGCTCAATCGCGAGATGCGGACAACGTCAGATAAGGTAGACCGACAGCCAGCACGTAAGTAGTCTCCCAGTCTGGTTATCAGGTGCCATTGGGTGATTTTCGTAATACGCTATAAGATCCAATTTTGAAAAGGTGACAATTGTAGGGGGAGTAAGAAAAAGCCAGGAGCGAGGCAATCTTTTGGATGAAGGTGCTGTAAATATCACGTGGCAGTTGCCCAAAATGCTGCCTTAGCTGGGTAACCATGGTTTCTCATGTCAACACCATGCCCATGCTGCGTCGAAATCTCACTTTCCCGCCAATGCAAGTATCGAACCTATCGACCGCGGCCTCGTAACCCGCGGGATATCCA